CCACTCGTGTTTGTGATTGATTTGCATATTTATTAACAATTATTGGATGAGGTTGAGTGTGATATCGAGAATTATCAAGCCGAAGTTTGCATTATTCGCCGAAGCGAAGCTGAGGCGGATAATGCAAACTGAGGCTTGATAATTCTCGATATCATGCGAAAACCGAATTCAATAATTGTTTTATTATGTATTTCCTTTTTAGAGAGGAAGCCTGCGCCATTATTAACAACAAACTAGCGGCAAAAAATTACGTCACCTACGGATAATTTTCAATGTCTTGTAGGTGGCAAGACATTGAGAATTATCTGTAGGTTTTAAGCCAATCACAATCGAGATTGCATTAGTAATGCATAATAATCAATCTTATTTGTATGGGGTATACAGAGTGTGCATGTGACCTATCCACGTATTCAGTGCCTTTTTTAACTATATATCTGAGAATGCATTTCCCCCCCAGTACTACTACATTTCTGCCCACGTGGTGCGACACAGTATTGCTCATGATTGCTCTGAAATTGCTGTTGATTTACTTATCCAAGTTAAAATATTCGACATCGTAACCAAAGCATGGTAATGTTGTTTAATGTTTGTATATGAGCACGAAACATGCTGGCAACTTTACATAGGACAAGCATTTGACCATTAAAACAGCGTGGTTATCCATTTCAAAATATTTGACATCATAACCAAAGCATGGTTATATTGCTTAATGTTTGTATATGAGCGCCAAACATGCTGGAAACTTTACATAGGACAAGCATTTGACCATTAAAACAGCGTGGTTATCCATTTCAAAATATTTGACATCATAACCAAAGCATGGTTATATTGTTTAATGTTTGTATATGAGCGCCAAACATGCTGGAAACTTTACATAGGACAAGCATTTGACGATTAAAACTGAGTGTTTATCCATTTCAAAATATTTGACATCATAACCAAAGCATGGTTATATTGTTTAATGTTTGTATATGAGCGCCAAACATGCTGGAAACTTTACATAGGACAAGCATTTGACCATTAAAACAGCGTGATTATCAATGTCAAAATATTTGACTTCATAACCAAAGCATGGTTATGTTGTTTTACTTGTTTCATGTTTGTATATGAGCACGAAACATGGTTGCAACTTTACATAGGACAAGCATTTATTTTCAAAGTTTCTAAAAGTTTCAGAGTTTGCGGTTATTAGGCATCAGTATTGCTTAGTTTAAATAAAAATTCCTACCGTCCAAAGATGAAGCATAAACAAACTCAACAAACTAAATTGTCACCGCAAACTCATCTTAGACGGGAAAGTTGATAGTATAATAATCCGTCTGAATATATGAATGGGGTGGATAATTTACACGTATGATGGATCGGGCAATGCTAAAAAAGGGGTCGTAATCATTACGATGATCATTTTGATTATTTTCTGCTACCCTTGTTTCTTTCTTGTGAAATGGGCCGAGCTGTCTGAGACACACACACGTTGAATCCAGTTTCTAAGTGTATTTTATTTCATTCTTGTGCTCCCTACATACATGAGTTCAAGGCTCTCGATTATCTAATCACAATAGTGCACTGCTACATTATCTCATCACAATAGTGCACTGTTACATTATCTCATCACAATTGGTGCACTGTTACACTTGTCCGTGTTGATATTTCAGAATCTCGTCTGATTTATCCGTCTAAATTCGAATTTAAGAGGAGTTTCTCGTCCAGAAGGGATTCCCTTTCAACTTAAGGCTAGTTTCCACTCGGGAAAAATATCCTTTGCATCGAAACGGACAGGAAAATTTCCTTTGTCGGTGAGTTCACAGTCGGCGTCATGTGTAGCACTATGCTAAAAAAAGATTTTCCTTGACAAGTTTCCGTTTCGGAATGCAGTTTAATTTGACACGCATCACGTAGCAGTTTTATCTGCTAGTATAGTGATAAATGAATTTCAAAGATTCGACACTTTACTTTACTTTACGCTTTTGACTGACTTACAACACGAGCATTTTCTGGGGCCGGTTGTATCAAGCCCGTTTAGCTTAAACTGCGGATAAGTCAAACTTAAAATAACACTCTTACATCTCTCTTAAATGAGTAAACTTGAATATTGTGCACTAAATATGTAGTTGTAACAGAATCTTTGTATTAAGGTTAAAGACATTTAGTTTGCTTCTTGAATAAAACGAATAAAACGCTTTGTATTTTGAACTTAACCACCGTTTAAGCTAAACGGGCTTGATACAACCGGCCTTGGTATTTAAAAAAACAATCTGTGGATAAAATGTCATTTTTTGCCAAGTCGAACGTGCCAAGCCCAAGGATAATCCACCTGTAAAAGTTGATGTAAAAGTTAAAAGACCTCATCCAGTGGTAATTTCCTAACATTAAAGACCTCATCCAGTCTTGTTGCAACGATGATAGTCAATATCCAATGTAATTTTCTTACACACATGCGACTGTAAAAGCAGATGAAGTTTTTTAATCGCCCTTTGATCCATTAAATGACCGAATCCAATCCAACTTAGCATTTCACATCTTTGTATATTTTCTTCCAGTACGTAGCTATGCATTACCTGTGACAATTGGAACGAGTCAATGTTAGTTGCCTTGATGTTAGAATCATGCATCGCTAAAGCGACATATACATCCTCAAGGTGGAAGGGTTTTCTAACAGAAACATAGTTGAACAATTTGTCGAAAAAGGTCACTCGATAAAATGTAGAATGGCCCACGATTGAAGTCTGGAAAGTGTGTTTCACCAAATTTATAACTTATTGTCCATTTTACTCCAATTCTGCGAGCCACTTTGGCTTTGTTACGAGGGCAGACCAAGCCTCCGTAAATTGGGAAATTTCGCGTTCACAAGATACTCCAACACGCGCGGTATGCGCACGTAAACATCGTCGTCTGCTTTCAATGTATATTTACATCAAATTTGCTCGCCCAAGCAGACTCATGTATACTTTAAGAATAAGATTGATGTATTGTCTGTGATATTTCCAATCAACATATCGTTGTGTTGTCGAGCTTCAGCGATATTCAATATATCGTCGTTCGTTCCGGTTCTGCTTTTCCCAACAACAAATACGAGCAGCCATCTTAAGTGTTTTAATCTTTCATCTTGCGAGGCTTTACGTTGTTCGCAGGTACTTTGGTTTCCCCAGGTTTGTCGGATGGCCTCGCGACGTTTTCTAAAACTTGTTTCCATCGGCGCCGGACATCACTAATACAATCATGAAAACATTTTTCGTCGCTCCAACTGTAGGCGAGATTCTCGGAGTTGTGAGTTTGAAATCTACGAAGGGATAGTAGTCGTTAACCATATCAATGGTTGAGTTTTCACTTACGTCTTTCTTTGTTGGTCGTGTCCGTGCAGATAGGCGTTGGTCTTTGCGTTCCAAAAACGATAGTGAATAAACTAAGAATCCCAAGAAGACTAATACAACTAGTTTCTTCCTGTTTCGTTTAAGAGGACTCATCTTGCTTTCGATTTTTCACAAAGGGTCAAGAACGTCTGAAAAGATCCCTTTAAAGACCAGAAACTGGATAACAACGTTAAACAACAACACTAATTTATAGCGATATTGACCATGATTTTGGGCACAAAACCCTACGTTAACACTGGATGATCAATATTTCCTGCAAAGTTGGCAGACGTTGGTTAAGTGCAGAGGATGAATTAACGAAATATAATTATTAAATTACACCACCCACACTTACCACAAGCTTTCTTGTTTAAAGCAACAAGCAAGGTTTCAGCAGGGGCGGCCGTTGTATTGATTACTCAATCAATGTATTGAACATCACGAAAACATGTTGTGTAAACAATTTGTGAAATTGCTTTAAAAAATATTCTAAAAAGATATGCAAATCTGTTAGCAACACTATAGATGGTATCAATATAAAAGCAGCCACCATAGGCGTACGGGTTCAACTTCGTTTGGGGGGGGCAAATAAAATTGCCTGAATTTTTGAATTATACAATGTGCCTGAATTATAACTTTAACCAGATTTGTAACAATAGATTTGGCAAAGCGGCGGATGTGCTTTTAAGAAAGTGCAACAAAAATAGCGAAATAGAATACAAATATGTTATATATATTACAAAATTTGGTTTTAAAAATTTTAGCTATGTGATTTAGCTTTCAGTTTGCCCAAAGTTTCGGCTGAAATTTGCCCGTATTTCTTGATTCTCGAAATTTTTTGGGGGGCAACTGCCCCCCCTGTCCCCCTGTCTCGTACGCCTATGGCGTACGCACGTACGCACGCACTCGTGTTTGCGATTGATTTGCATATTCATCAATCTTATTTGAATGGGGTATACAGGATGTGCATGTGACCTATCCATGTATTTTGGTTAGGTATAAATCTCATTAATGAATTTCCGAAAAGTTTTAAAAGAACAGTATTTATCAAGAAAGACGTGATTAATTAGATGTCTCCTTGACTTGATCAACAATGTCGACAGTCGTGGGACAAGGGGCACCGGAACCGCTGGGGGTAGCCCTTTGTTGACGGGGAAAGTTTTCCCTTTATACGCTCATAGACATTAAATGTCTTACTTCGTAATTTTCGTTCTTCAATATGGGTATATTTGCGAAAGCATAAGTGCATAACACACATTTATTTTCTTATTTGAGTCCGAAGCTTTAAGGTAGCCCTGATTCAATTGTTTCATACGTCGCATCTCGCATGCAGATAATTCAAGCAATTGTATTCGGCACATGCAAAATGCGACGTTTGAAACAGGCCTTCTTGAATGAGTAAACTTGAATATTGTGCACTAAATATGCAGTTGTAAACAAATCTTTGTATTAAGGTTAAAGACATTTAGTTTGCTTCTTGAATAAAACGATAGATTCGCTTTGTATTTTGAACTTAACCACCGTTTAAGCTAAACGGGCTTGATACAACCGGCCCTGGCATTTAGGAAAACAACCTGGGGATAAAATGTCATTTTTTGCCAAGTGGAACGTGCCAAGGATAATCCACCTGTTTAAAAGTTAATGTAAAAGTTAAAAGACCTCATCCAGTGGTAATTTCCTAACATTAAAGACCTCATCCAGTCTTGTTGCAACGATGATAGTCAACATCCAATGTAATTTCTTACACACATGCGACTGTAAAAGCAGATAAAGTTTTTTAATCGCCTTTGGATCCATGTAATGACCGAATCCAATCCAACTTAGCATTTCACAGTTTTGTATGTTTCCTTCTAGTACGTAGCTAGCCATTTCCGATGACAATTGGAACGAGTCAATGTTAGTTGTGCTGATGTTAGAATCATGCATCGCTAAAGCGACATATACATCCTCAAGGTGGAAGGGTTTTCTAACGTAAACATAGTTGAACAATTTGTCGAAAAGGTCGCTTGATAAAATGTAGAATGGGCCACGACTGAACTCTGGAAAATATGTTTCACTATAATATTTATAACTTATTGTCCATTTTACTCCAATTTTGCGATGCACTTCGCTGCGAGGGTAGATCAGGCCTCCGTAAAATGGTCTTGGAAATTTCGCGTTCACAAAATACTCCAACAAGCGCGGTATGCGCACGTAAACATCGTCGTCTGCTTTGAATGTATATTTTACATCAAATTTGCTCGCCCAAAGCAGACCCATGTATACTTTAAGAATAAGATTGATGTAGTTGTCTGTGATATTTCCAATCAACATATCGTTGTGTTGTCGAGCTTCAGCGATATTCAATTCATCGTCGTTCGTTCCAGTTCCTGCTTTTCCAACAACAAATACGAGTAGCCATCTTAAGTGTTTTAATCTTTCATCTTGCGACGCTTTCCGTGTTCGCATGTACTTTGGTTTCCCCAGGTTTGTCGGATGGCCTCGCGACGTTTCTGAACTTGTTTCCCTTTGCGCCGGACATCACTAACACAATCATGAAAATTTTTCATTGCTCCAACTGTAGGCGAGATTCTCGGAGTTGTGAGTTTGAAATCTACGAAGGGATAGTAGTCGTTGACCATATCAATGGTTGAGTTTTCACTTACTTCTTTCTTTGTTGGTCCTGTCCATGCAGTTCGGCGTTGGACTTTGCTCACCAAAAACGATAGTGAATAAACTAAGAATCCCAAAAAGACTAATACAGTTAGTTTCTTCCTGTTTCGTTTAAGAAGATTCATCTTGCCTTCGATTTAACAAAGGTATGGGTCAAGAACGTCTTTGAAAAGATCCCTTTAAGACCAAAAACTGGATAACGTTAAACATACAACACTAATTTATAGGTTATTCTGATATATTGACCATGATTTTGGGCACAAAACCCTACGTTAACACTGGATGATCAATATTTTCCTGCAAAGTTGGCAGACGTTGGTTAAGTGAAGAGGAAAATTACGTTCAGCCCTAGTAGTTTCATACATACAGTATGTTAAAATGAATATATAAATATTTACACCGCACTGTTCCACCCACTTAATTGCTCCTTTTTAAAGCAATATAAAAAAAATCAATTGTCAAAACCCTGGGTCAAGGTTGCAACCACTCGTGTTTGTGATTGATTTGCATATTTATTAACAATTATTGGATGAGGTTGAGTGTGATATCGAGAATTATCAAGCCGAAGTTTGCATTATTCGCCGAAGCGAAGCTGAGGCGGATAATGCAAACTGAGGCTTGATAATTCTCGATATCATGCGAAAACCGAATTCAATAATTGTTTTATTATGTATTTCCTTTTTAGAGAGGAAGCCTGCGCCATTATTAACAACAAACTAGCGGCAAAAAATTACGTCACCTACGGATAATTTTCAATGTCTTGTAGGTGGCAAGACATTGAGAATTATCTGTAGGTTTTAAGCCAATCACAATCGAGATTGCATTAGTAATGCATAATAATCAATCTTATTTGTATGGGGTATACAGAGTGTGCATGTGACCTATCCACGTATTCAGTGCCTTTTTTAACTATATATCTGAGAATGCATTTCCCCCCCAGTACTACTACATTTCTGCCCACGTGGTGCGACACAGTATTGCTCATGATTGCTCTGAAAATTGCTGTTGATTTACTTATCCAAGTTAAAATATTCGACATCGTAACCAAAGCATGGTAATGTTGTTTAATGTTTGTATATGAGCACGAAACATGCTGGCAACTTTACATAGGACAAGCATTTGACCATTAAAACAGCGTGGTTATCCATTTCAAAATATTTGACATCATAACCAAAGCATGGTTATATTGCTTAATGTTTGTATATGAGCGCCAAACATGCTGGAAACTTTACATAGGACAAGCATTTGACCATTAAAACAGCGTGGTTATCCATTTCAAAATATTTGACATCATAACCAAAGCATGGTTATATTGTTTAATGTTGTATATGAGCGCCAAACATGCTGGAAACTTTACATAGGACAAGCATTTGACGATTAAAACTGAGTGTTTATCCATTTCAAAATATTTGACATCATAACCAAAGCATGGTTATATTTTTAATGTTTGTATATGAGCGCCAAACATGCTGGAAACTTTACATAGGACAAGCATTTGACCATTAAAACAGCGTGATTATCAATGTCAAAATATTTGACTTCATAACCAAAGCATGGTTATGTTGTTTTACTTGTTTCATGTTTGTATATGAGCACGAAACATGGTTGCAACTTTACATAGGACAAGCATTTATTTTCAAAGTTTCTAAAAGTTTCAGAGTTTGCGGTTATTAGGCATCAGTATTGCTTAGTTAAATAAAAATTCCTACCGTCCAAGATGAAGCATAAACAAACTCAACAAACTAAATTGTCACCGCAAACTCATCTTAGACGGGAAAGTTGATAGTATAATAATCCGTCTGAATATATGAATGGGGTGGATAAATTTACACGTATGATGGATCGGGCAATGCTAAAAAAGGGGTCGTAATCATTACGATGATCATTTTGATTATTTTCTGCTACCCTTGTTTCTTTCTTGTGAAATGGGCCGAGCTGTCTGAGACACACACACGTTGAATCCAGTTTCTAAGTGTATTTTATTTCATTCTTGTGCTCCCTACATACATGAGTTCAAGGCTCTCGATTATCTAATCACAATAGTGCACTGCTACATTATCTCATCACAATAGTGCACTGTTACATTATCTCATCACAATTGGTGCACTGTTACACTTGTCCGTGTTGATATTTCAGAATCTCGTCTGATTTATCCGTCTAAATTCGAATTTAAGAGGAGTTTCTCGTCCAGAAGGGATTCCCTTTCAACTTAAGGCTAGTTTCCACTCGGGAAAAATATCCTTTGCATCGAAACGGACAGGAAAATTTCCTTTGTCGGTGAGTTCACAGTCGGCGTCATGTGTAGCACTATGCTAAAAAAAGATTTTCCTTGACAAGTTTCCGTTTCGGAATGCAGTTTAATTTGACACGCATCACGTAGCAGTTTTATCTGCTAGTATAGTGATAAATGAATTTCAAAGATTCGACACTTTACTTTACTTTACGCTTTTGACTGACTTACACACGAGCATTTCTGGGGCCGGTTGTATCAAGCCCGTTTAGCTTAAACTGCGGATAAGTCAACTGAACTTAAATAACACTCTTACATCTCTCTTAAATGAGTAAACTTGAATATTGTGCACTAAATATGTAGTTGTAAACAGAATCTTTGTATTAAGGTTAAAGACATTTAGTTTGCTTCTTGAATAAAACGAATAAAACGCTTTGTATTTTGAACTTAACCACCGTTTAAGCTAAACGGGCTTGATACAACCGGCCTTGGTATTTAAAAAAACAATCTGTGGATAAAATGTCATTTTTTGCCAAGTCGAACATGCCAAGCCCAAGGATAATCCACCTGTAAAAGTTGATGTAAAAGTTAAAAGACCTCATCCAGTGGTAATTTCCTAACATTAAAGACCTCATCCAGTCTTGTTGCAACGATGATAGTCAATATCCAATGTAATTTTCTTACACACATGCGACTGTAAAAGCAGATGAAGTTTTTTAATCGCCCTTTGACCCATTAAATGACCGAATCCAATCCAACTTAGCATTTCACATCTTTGTATATTTTCTTCCAGTACGTAGCTATGCATTACCTGTGACAATTGGAACGAGTCAATGTTAGTTGCCTTGATGTTAGAATCATGCATCGCTAAAGCGACATATACATCCTCAAGGTGGAAGGGTTTTCTAACAGAAACATAGTTGAACAATTTGTCGAAAAGGTCACTCGATAAAATGTAGAATGGCCCACGATTGAAGTCTGGAAAGTGTGTTTCACCATAATATTTATAACTTATTGTCCATTTTACTCCAATTCTGCGAGCCACTTTGGCTTTGTTACGAGGGCAGACCAAGCCTCCGTAAAATGGTCTTGGAAATTTCGCGTTCACAAGATACTCCAACACGCGCGGTATGCGCACGTAAACATCGTCGTCTGCTTTCAATGTATATTTACATCAAATTTGCTCGCCCAAAGCAGACTCATGTATACTTTAAGAATAAGATTGATGTAGTTGTCTGTGATATTTCCAATCAACATATCGTTGTGTTGTCGAGCTTCAGCGATATTCAATATATCGTCGTTCGTTCCGGTTACTGCTTTTCCAACAACAAATACGAGCAGCCATCTTAAGTGTTTTAATCTTTCATCTTGCGAGGCTTTACGTTGTTCGCAGGTACTTTGGTTTCCCCAGGTTTGTCGGATGGCCTCGCGACGTTTTCTAAACTTGTTTCCATCGGCGCCGGACATCACTAATACAATCATGAAAACATTTTTCGTCGCTCCAACTGTAGGCGAGATTCTCGGAGTTGTGAGTTTGAAATCTACGAAGGGATAGTAGTCGTTAACCATATCAATGGTTGAGTTTTCACTTACGTCTTTCTTTGTTGGTCGTGTCCGTGCAGATAGGCGTTGGTCTTTGCGTTCCAAAAACGATAGTGAATAAACTAAGAATCCCAAGAAGACTAATACAACTAGTTTCTTCCTGTTTCGTTTAAGAGGACTCATCTTGCTTTCGATTTTTCACAAAGGGTCAAGAACGTCTGTGAAAAGATCCCTTTAAGACCAGAAACTGGATAACGTTAAACATACAACACTAATTTATAGGTGTATCTCGATATTGACCATGATTTTGGGCACAAAACCCTACGTTAACACTGGATGATCAATATTTTCCTGCAAAGTTGGCAGACGTTGGTTAAGTGCAGAGGAAAATGACGTGAATTAACATGAATATATAATTATTTACACCCCACCGACTTAATTACCAAGCTTTCTTGTTTAAAGCAACAAGCAAGGTTTACAGCAGGGGCGGCCGCGTTGTATTGATTACTCAATCAATTGTATATTGAATACATCACGACCACAAGTGTTGTAAACAATTTGTGAAATTGCTTTTTAAATAAATAAGATTCTAAAAGATATGCAAATCTGTTAGCAACACTATAGATGGTATCAATATAAAAGCAGCCACCATAGGCGTACGGGTGCAACTTCGTTTGGGGGGGGGGCAAATAAAATTGCCTGAATTTTTGAATTATACAATGTGCCTGAATTATAACTTTTACCAGATTTGTAACAATAGATTTGGCAAAGCGGCTGATGTGCTTTTAAGAAAGTGCAACAAAAATAGCGAAATAGAATACAAATATGTTATATATATTACAAAATTTGGTTTTAAAAATTTTAACTATGTGATTTAGCTTTCAGTTTGCCCAAAGTTTCGGCTGAAATTTGCCCGTATTTCTTGATTCTCGAAATTTTTGGGGGGCAACTGCCCCCCCTGTCCCCCTGTCTCGTACGCCTATGGCGTACGCACGTACGCACGCACTCGTGTTTGCGATTGGTTTGCATATTCAGCAATCTTATTTGTATGGGGTATACAGGATGTGCATGTGACCTATCCATGTATTTTGGTTAGGTATAAATCTCATTAATGAATTTCCGAAGAGTTTTAAAAGAACAGTATTTATCAAGAAAGACGTGATTAATTAGATGTCTCCTTGACTTGATCAACAATGTCGACAGTCGTGGGACAAGGGGCACCGGAACCGCTGGGGGTAGCCCTTTGTTGACGGGGAAAGTTTTCCCTTTATACGCTCATAGACATTAAATGTCTTACTTCGTAATTTTCGTTCTTCAATATGGGTATATTTGCGAAAGCATAAGTGCATAACACACATTTATTTTCTTATTTGAGTCCGAAGCTTTAAGGTAGCCCTGATTCAATTGTTTCATACGTCGCATCTCGCATGCAGATAATTCAAGCAATTGTATTCGGCACATGCAAAATGCGACGTTTGAAACAGGCCTTCTTGAATGAGTAAACTTGAATATTGTGCACTAAATATGCAGTTGTAAACAGAATCTTTGTATTAAGGTTAAAGACATTTAGTTTGCTTCTTGAATAAAACGAATAAAACGCTTTGTATTTTGAACTTAACCACCGTTTAAGCTAAACGGGCTTGATACAACCGGCCTTGGTATTTAAAAAAACAATCTGTGGATAAAATGTCATTTTTTGCCAAGTCGAACATGCCAAGCCCAAGGATAATCCACCTGTAAAAGTTGATGTAAAAGTTAAAAGACCTCATCCAGTGGTAATTTCCTAACATTAAAGACCTCATCCAGTCTTGTTGCAACGATGATAGTCAATATCCAATGTAATTTTCTTACACACATGCGACTGTAAAAGCAGATGAAGTTTTTTAATCGCCCTTTGACCCATTAAATGACCGAATCCAATCCAACTTAGCATTTCACATCTTTGTATATTTTCTTCCAGTACGTAGCTATGCATTACCTGTGACAATTGGAACGAGTCAATGTTAGTTGCCTTGATGTTAGAATCATGCATCGCTAAAGCGACATATACATCCTCAAGGTGGAAGGGTTTTCTAACAGAAACATAGTTGAACAATTTGTCGAAAAGGTCACTCGATAAAATGTAGAATGGCCCACGATTGAAGTCTGGAAAGTGTGTTTCACCATAATATTTATAACTTATTGTCCATTTTACTCCAATTCTGCGAGCCACTTTGGCTTTGTTACGAGGGCAGACCAAGCCTCCGTAAAATGGTCTTGGAAATTTCGCGTTCACAAGATACTCCAACACGCGCGGTATGCGCACGTAAACATCGTCGTCTGCTTTCAATGTATATTTTACATCAAATTTGCTCGCCCAAAGCAGACTCATGTATACTTTAAGAATAAGATTGATGTAGTTGTCTGTGATATTTCCAATCAACATATCGTTGTGTTGTCGAGCTTCAGCGATATTCAATATATCGTCGTTCGTTCCGGTTACTGCTTTTCCAACAACAAATACGAGCAGCCATCTTAAGTGTTTTAATCTTTCATCTTGCGAGGCTTTACGTTGTTCGCAGGTACTTTGGTTTCCCCAGGTTTGTCGGATGGCCTCGCGACGTTTTCTAAACTTGTTTCCATCGGCGCCGGACATCACTAATGCAATCATGAAAACATTTTTCGTCGCTCCAACTGTAGGCGAGATTCTCGGAGTTGTGAGTTTGAAATCTACGAAGGGATAGTAGTCGTTAACCATATCAATGGTTGAGTTTTCACTTACGTCTTTCTTTGTTGGTCGTGTCCGTGCAGATAGGCGTTGGTCTTTGCGTTCCAAAAACGATAGTGAATAAACTAAGAATCCCAAGAAGACTAATACAACTAGTTTCTTCCTGTTTCGTTTAAGAGGACTCATCTTGCTTTCGATTTTTCACAAAGGGTCAAGAACGTCTGTGAAAAGATCCCTTTAAGACCAGAAACTGGATAACGTTAAACATACAACACTAATTTATAGGTGTATCTCGATATTGACCATGATTTTGGGCACAAAACCCTACGTTAACACTGGATGATCAATATTTTCCTGCAAAGTTGGCAGACGTTGGTTAAGTGCAGAGGAAAATGACGTGAATTAACATGAATATATAATTATTTACACCCCACCGACTTAATTACCAAGCTTTCTTGTTTAAAGCAACAAGCAAGGTTTTCAGCAGGGACGGCCGCGTTGTATTGATTACTCAATCAATTGTATATTGAATACATCACGACCACAAGTGTTGTAAACAATTTGTGAAATTGCTTTTTAAATAAATAAGATTCTAAAAGATATGCAAATCTGTTAGCAACACTATAGATGGTATCAATATAAAAGCAGCCACCATAGGCGTACGGGTGCAACTTCGTTTGGGGGGGGCAAATAAAATTGCCTGAATTTTTGAATTATACAATGTGCCTGAATTATAACTTTTACCAGATTTGTAACAATAGATTTGGCAAAGCGGCTGATGTGCTTTTAAGAAAGTGCAACAAAAATAGCGAAATAGAATACAAATATGTTATATATATTACAAAATTTGGTTTTAAAAATTTTAGCTATGTGATTTAGCTTTCAGTTTGCCCAAAGTTTCGGCTGAAATTTGCCCGTATTTCTTGATTCTCGAAATTTTTTGGGGGGCAACTGCCCCCCCTGTCCCCCTGTCTCGTACGCCTATGGCGTACGCACGTAACGCACGCACTCGTGTTTGCGATTGTTTGCATATTCAGCAATCTTATTTGTATGGGGTATACAGGATGTGCATGTGACCTATCCATGTATTTTGGTTAGGTATAAATCTCATTAATGAATTTCCGAAGAGTTTTAAAAGAACAGTATTTATCAAGAAAGACGTGATTAATTAGATGTCTCCTTGACTTGATCAACAATGTCGACAGTCGTGGGACAAGGGGCACCGGAACCGCTGGGGGTAGCCCTTTGTTGACGGGGAAAGTTTTCCCTTTATACGCTCATAGACATTAAATGTCTTACTTCGTAATTTTCGTTCTTCAATATGGGTATATTTGCGAAAGCATAAGTGCATAACACACATTTATTTCTTATTTGAGTCCGAAGCTTTAAGGTAGCCCTGATTCAATTGTTTCATACGTCGCATCTCGCATGCAGATAATTCAAGCAATTGTATTCGGCACATGCAAAATGCGACGTTTGAAACAGGCCTTCTTGAATGAGTAAACTTGAATATTGTGCACTAAATATGCAGTTGTAAACAGAATCTTTGTATTAAGGTTAAAGACATTTAGTTTGCTTCTTGAATAAAACGATAGATTCGCTTTGTATTTTGAACTTAACCACCGTTTAAGCTAAACGGGCTTGATACAACCGGCCCTGGCATTTAGGAAAACAACCTGGGGATAAAATGTCATTTTTTGCCAAGTGGAACGTGCCAAGGATAATCCACCTGTTTAAAAGTTAGTGTAAAAGTTAAAAGACCTCATCCAGTGGTAATTTCCTAACATTAAAGACCTCATCCAGTCTTGTTGCAACGATGATAGTCAACATCCAATGTAATTTCCTTACACACATGCGACTGTAAAAGCAGATAAAGTTTTTTAATCGCCTTTGGATCCATGTAATGACCGAATCCAATCCAACTTAGCATTTCACAGTTTTGTATGTTTCCTTCTAGTACGTAGCTAGCCATTTCCGATGACAATTGGAACGAGTCAATGTTAGTTGTGCTGATGTTAGAATCATGCATCGCTAAAGCGACATATACATCCTCAAGGTGGAAGGGTTTTCTAACGTAAACATAGTTGAACAATTTGTCGAAAAGGTCGCTTGATAAAATGTAGAATGGGCCACGACTGAACTCTGGAAAATATGTTTCACTATAATATTTATAACTTATTGTCCATTTTACTCCAATTTTGCGATGCACTTCGCTGCGAGGGTAGATCAGGCCTCCGTAAAATGGTCTTGGAAATTTCGCGTTCACAAAATACTCCAACAAGCGCGGTATGCGCACGTAAACATCGTCGTCTGCTTTGAATGTATATTTACATCAAATTTGCTCGCCCAAAGCAGACCCATGTATACTTTAAGAATAAGATTGATGTAGTTGTCTGTGATATTTCCAATCAACATATCGTTGTGTTGTCGAGCTTCAGCGATATTCAATTCATCGTCGTTCGTTCCAGTTCCTGCTTTTCCAACAAAATACGAGTAGCCATCTTAAGTGTTTTAATCTTTCATCTTGCGACGCTTTCCGTTGTTCGCATGTACTTTGGTTTCCCCAGGTTTGTCGGATGGCCTCGCGACGTTCTCTGAACTTGTTTCCCTTTGCGCCGGACATCACTAACACAATCATGAAAATATTTTTCATTGCTCCAACTGTAGGCGAGATTCTCGGAGTTGTGAGTTTGAAATCTACGAAGGGATAGTAGTCGTTGACCATATCAATGGTTGAGTTTTCACTTACTTCTTTCTTTGTTGGTCCTGTGCATGCAGTTCGGCGTTGGACTTTGCTCACCAAAAACGATAGTGAATAAACTAAGAATCCCAAAAAGACTAATACAGTTAGTTTCTTCCTGTTTCGTTTAAGAAGATTCATCTTGCCTTCGATTTATCACAAAGAGTATGGGTCAAGAACGTCTTTGAAAAGATCCCTTTAAGACCAAAAACTGGATAACGTTAAACATACAACACTAATTTATAGGTTTATTCTGATATATTGACCATGATTTTGGGCACAAAACCCTACGTTAACACTGGATGATCAATATTTTCCTGCAAAGTTGGCAGACGTTGGTTAAGTGAAGAGGAAAATTACGTTCAGCCCTAGTAGTTTCATACATACAGTATGTTAAAATGAATATATAAATATTTACACCGCACTGTTCCACCCACTTAATTGCTCCTTTTTAAAGCAATATAAAAAAAATCAATTGTCAAAACCCTGGGTCAAGGTTGCAACCACTCGTGTTTGTGATTGATTTGCATATTTATCAATCTTATTTGTATGGGGTATACAGGGTGTGCATGTGACCTATCCACGTATTCAGTGCCTTTTTTAACTATATATCTGAGAATGCATTTTCCCCCCCCAGTAACTACATTTCTGCCCACGTAGTGCGACACAGTATTGCTCATGATTGCTCTGAGAATTGCTGTTGATTTACTTATCCATGTTAAAATATTCGACATCGTAACCAAAGCATGGTAATGTTGTTTAATGTTTGTATATGAGCACGAAACATGCTGGCAACTTTACATAGGACAAGCATTTGACCATTAAAACAACGTGGTTATCCATTTCAAAATATTTGACATCATAACCAAAGCATGGTTATATTGTTTAATGTTTGTATATGAGCGCCAAACATGCTGGAAACTTTACATTGAACAAGCATTTGACCATTAAAACAGCGTGGTTATCCATTTCAAAATATTTGACATCATAACCAAAGCATGGTTATATTGTTTAATGTTCGTATATGAGCGCCAAACATGCTGGAAACTTTACATAGGACAAGCATTTGACCATTAAAACAGCGTGGTTATCCATTTCAAAATATTTGACATCATAACCAAAGCATGGTTATATTGTTTAATGTTTGTATATGAGCGCCAAACATGCTGGAAACTTTACATAGGACAAGCATTTGACCATTAAAACTGAGTGTTTATCCATTTCAAAATATTTGACATCATAACCAAAGCATGGTTATATTGTTTCATGTTTGTATATGAGCGCCAAACATCCTGGAAACTTTACATTGAACAAGCATTTGACCATTAAAACTGAGAGGTTATCCATTTCAAAATATTTGACATCATAACCAAAGCATGGTTATATTGTTTAATGTTTGTATATGAGCGCCAAACATGCTGGAAACTTTACATAGGACAAGCATTTGACCATTAAAACAGCGTGGTTATTCATTTCAAAATATTTGACATCATAACCAAAGCATGGTTATATTGTTTAATGTTTGTATATGAGCGCCAAACATGCTGGAAACTTTACATTGGACAAGCATTTGAACATTAAAATAGCGTGGTTATTCATTTAGAAATATTTGACATCATAACCAAAGCATGGTTATATTGTTTAATGTTTGTATATGAGCGCCAAACATGCTGGAAACTTTACATAGGACAAGCATTTGACCATTAAAACAGCGTGATTATAAAGGTCAAAATATTTGACTTCATAACCAAAGCATGGTTATGTTGTTTTACTTGTTTCGTGTTTGTATATGAGCACGAAACATGGTTGCAACTTTACATAGGACAAGCATTTATTTTCAAAGTTTCTAAAAGTTTCAGAGTTTGCGGTTATTAGGCATCAGTATTGCTTAGTTAAATAAAAATTCCTACCGTCCAAGATGAAGCATAAACAAACTCAACAAACTAAATTGTCACCGCAAACTCATCTTGGACGGGAAAGTTGATAGTAATAATCCGTCTGAATATATGAATGGGGTGGATAAATTTACACTTATGATGGATCGGGCAATGCTAAAAAAGGGGTCGTAATCATTACGATAATCATTTTGATTATTTTCTGCTACCCTTGTTTCTTTCTTGTGTAATGGGCCGAGCTGTCTGAGACACACACACGTTGAATCCAGTTTCTAAGTGTATTTTATTTCATTCTTTTGCTCCCTACATACATGAAGTCAAGGCTCTCAATTATCTAATCACAATATTGCACTGATACATTATCTCATCACAATTGGGGCACTGTTACACTTGTCCGTGTTGATATTTCAGAATCTCCTCTGATTTATCCGTCTAAATTCAAATTTAAGAAGAGTTTCTCATCGAGAAAAGATTCCCTTTCAACTTAAGGCTAGTTTCCACTCAGGAAAAATATCCTTTGAATCGAAACGGACAGGGAAATTTCCTTTGTCGGTGAGTTCACAGTCGGCGTCATGTGTAGCACTATGCTAAAAAAAGATTTTCCTTGACAAGTTACCGTTTCGGAAAGCAGTTTAATTTGACACGCATCACGTAACAGTTTTATCTGCTCGTATAGACGGTATAGTGATAAATGAATTTCAAAGGTCCGACACTTTACTTTACTTTACGCTTTTCACTGATTTACACACGAGCATTTCTGGGGCCGGTTGCATCAAGCCCGTTTAGCTTAAACGGTGGATAAGTCAAACTTAAATAACACTCTTACATGCATCTCTCTTAAATGAGTCAACTTGAATATTATGCACTGAATATGTAGTTGTAAATAGTATCTTTGTATTATGGTCAAAAACATTTAGTTCACTTGTTGAATAAAACCATAGACTAGCTTGCTTTCTATTTTGGATTTATCAACCGTTTAAGCTAAACGGGCTTAATACAACCGAACCCTGACCCTGGGGCCGGTTGTATCAAGCCCGTTTAGCTTAAATGGCGGATAAGTCAAAATTAAATAACACTCTTACATCCCTCTAGAATGAGTAAACTTGAATATTGTGCACTAAATATGTAGTTGTAAACAGAATCTTTGTATTAAGGTTAAAAACACTTAGTTTGCTTCTTGAATAAAACGAATAAAACGCTTTGTATTTTGAACTTAACAACCGTTTAAGCTAAACGGGCTTGATACAACCGCCCTTGGTATTTAAAAAAACAACCTACGGATCCGGATAAAATGCCACTTTTTTTTCAAGTCGAACGTGCCAAGCCCAAGAATAATCCTGCAAAAGTTAATGTAAAAGTTAAAAGAAACGCCTTCCAATGAAATTTGTCATTTTCCAAACTTTAAAATTCCGCCAAAATTAGCCAAATTTTGCTAAATTCTGCGGAATTTTGATTTTTTTCCGCAAAAATATCATTAAATTGCTAAATCCAGCGGACTTCACTGCGAGTTTCATTATAAAAGTCATTTTCTTGCGGAAATATGTTAAAATTTCGTTGGTGAAAAAGCCTATTTCTCGCGGAGTAAGAAAAATATGGCCTCGTTTTTACTGTTTTTCGAAAATACTAGCGGAGTGAACCAACTATGGCTCCAAAATCAATAAAAAGCGAGAAAATCTGAGGAAAAGTTAATACTTACCAAAAAATACTTATCAGTAGAATTTTTACAAACACACAAGGGTGTCCGAATTTCGGAAACCCCTATATCTCAATGTGAGAGACATATAAGGGTGTCCGAAATTCGGAAACCCCTATATCTCAATGTGAGAGACATATAAGGGTGTCCGAATTTCGGAAACCCCTATATCTCAATGCGAGAGACATATAAGGGTGTCCGAATTTCGGAAACCCCTGTATCTCAATGCGAGAGACATATAGGGGTGTCCGAATTTCGGAAACCCCTGTATCTCAATGCGAGAGACATATAAGGGTGTCCGAATTTCGGAAACCCTTATCTCAATGCGAGAGACATATAAGGGTGTCCGAATTTCGGAAACCCCTATATCTCAATGCGAGAGACATATAAGGGTGTCCGAATTTCGGAAACCCTATATCTCAATGCGAGAGACATATAGGGTGTCCGAATTTCGGAAACCCTTATATCTCAATGCGAGAGACATATAAGGGTGTCCGAATTTCGGAAACCCCTATATCTCAATGCGAGAGACATATAAGGGTGTCCGAATTTCGGAAACCCCTATATCTCAATGTGAGAGACATATAAGGGTGTCCGAATTTCGGAGACCGTTATACCTCAATGCGAGAGACATATAAGGGTGTCCGAATTTCGGAAACCCCTATATCTCAATGTGAGAGACATATAAGGGTGTCCGAATTTCGGAAACCCCTATATCTCAATGTGAGAGACATATAAGGGTGTCCGAATTTCGGAAACCACTAGCTATATCTCAATGTGAGAGACATATAGGCGTGTCCGAGTAACGTAGTGCACTGTATCTACAATGGGTTAATGGGTTATTATAAAAACTCAAAACACTTAACAATACAGTCCATACTTATGTAGTGTTTATTATTCATATCAGTGATAATTCCTGAAGATAAATGAGTCATTTGAATGTTGGCATACATTTTAGTTAGCATGCGATAATGATATTGAGGGTAATATTCTCCAATGCTTCTGCACTTAAAAATTTAGCATCTTGCGTCTGTATAATTATAGGTACAAGCGTAGAAAATATTTTTTTTTAAATTAATCCAGACCCTTAGCCCTTTCAGCTTCCTCCCAATACCACCGTTTTAAATATTTTCTGGTATTTTCTTGGAGATGGTTGTTATCGTCAAGTTAGAACGAGCAGAGAATTACTGAATCTTTTGGAAGAGTGTCTGTCCAAGGTATTTCACCATCTTTGCTCGTAACCATAACGGGTTGCCAGGTCGCGGTATATGTACCTTTCCAGTAATGCAAATTGAATTCAAAACTTCACAAACATTACCAATACCGGTCTCTTTTTGTAATTACTAATATACACTGCAACCAACACGCCAGGACAAAGCGACTGAAGATAGTTGTCATCATGTCGCATTCCTCTGGCAGCAGGTGGTTGATATGGCCCAGCGTAAATCTAAAGAGAGCAAAATTCATGTTACACTTTTGAATAACATATTGCCAGTATTCTGAAATTGAATTTTCTTTTAAAATCCATAGGACAAAGCAGGGAAAATTGGATATCAAACCCTACAGTAAGCTTAAACAGTAAGATAGAGTGTTTGTTGTAGGTTTGTCCAAAGGCTCATTATAACGTATCTCCCTATAATTTTGTAGTACCTCTCTCGAGCTAATTCCTCGGAATCATTTTTTACTGAAATATGCGCAAAGAAAATATCATAGTCCTATTTTTTTGAGAGTTTTAAAATATTACTAAAAGTTTAGTTTGGCGCGACTGATAGCGTATAAATTATCCGTTTTGCCATTTTAATGAATTTTGGCATTTTGATTTGAATTAGAGATTTTATGTTTATCATGGTGTCCCTAAACTACATGCATTTATCCGCACCCATTATATGTATAAAGTATCCAGTTCTGGGTTTATTCATATAGTGTTCAATATGACGTGTTTTTCCGGTGCAGGTTTGCCAGCGCCTCAATGTTTGACGTCAATCAATCTTAGCTGTTGTTGGTGACACATTTTAGCTTTGTAGCTATGTATTGGCGGAAAATCTGCATGTCATCATCGAATTGCAAGTTGACATTTGTAGTGCTTAGATATATACAGCCCTGATCGTTTTATTTTATTTCAAAAATCTAAGCGCGCTTCGCCCGTAATGGAAAAACGCCTTATCCTAAATTCGAAAGTATCCATTCTCATTTACATGGGTATGGTGTTCCATTTATCCCCACGTGTCTTTAAAATAATTAATTCAATTAAATGAGTATTCTTGTATGAAGTTGCGTGCCAATATAACGAGGGAGCAGCGCGGCAGCGTCTTCAAACAACTTAGCATTAAATGTGGTATTTTAGGCAGTTGTTATACCACATTTGATGCTGTTGTTTGAAGATAGGTATATACATGATATGTTGTTATACAGTGTGTAAAAAAAAACTAAAGATTCAAAGGGTCTTAATTTCGAGCGGAATTATACAAACTTCGAATTCAAGCCAGGAACAGTTGATGGAAAAATCAGTCAACTATTGACTATTCCTGCCGGAGGATCTATAGTTCTCCGGCAGGAATCGCGATGCCGGTGCAATGCGCAGTGGCTTGAATTTCAAGTGTGTATATTTCCACTCGAAATAAAGACCCTTAATTCGAACCTTTAGAATTTACCTGCATCGAGTGAAGTGCCAAAAATCATAAAAAACGCTTAATATTCACTTAAATATATTTATGAATATATTGGTGATTGCGTTTTTTTTACAGCCTGTAATTCATGGGTTTATATATTTAACAATCTTTACGCCTTGCAGGTCTTGGGGAAAAAATTATAATCTAACATATTGATTGACACACAAACAAGCGCCGGGAATAATGTAACTGTAAATCCTCAGTGACCAAATATTTTAATCGTTGCGCGCACGCAAAGTCGGCTTAGTATATGAAAATTTGCAGAATGGTGTCTCAGGATACAGAAGTATTATTATCGCGTGTTTATATAATAAAATAACTTGCAAAATATCATAAAAATTTATCGCTTACCACTGCTATCGGTTGAATCGTATTGTAAAGCTCTCTTGACTTTTTTTGGGCTCCTACTTAATACATATGCTGACGGCGTATCGTGAGGCAAAAGATTGCACGAAAGATCTAAAATCAAATAACAAAATTTGCATTCTTATTTCACATAATAGAGCACAAATTAAGAAATCGCTCTGAAACCTGAAACCAATTTTAGCAATCGCCAATGCCTTTTCTATTTAGCTTAGTTTCATATAAGATTGGTAATAATTAGGAACTTACGTTCAGAAGAATTTGAATCAGGAAAGGATCCATTTGCGTCGCTACTTAACCCAACAGAAAATGGTGAAGAAAATTCTTCGCGCAGATCTGTACTAGTTGAAATTGATGAAGGAGAAGCTTCAAGTGAGTTTGAAACTGCATGTATACATAAGATAGGGAAAAAACAAATTAAAAATATATGTATAATTATATGGCATTATTAATTCATGATGCTCTTACTTTTTGCCTCTGAATGTATGAGAGGAGATGATTTTTCACTGTCACTAAATCTTACACTGTTAATTTGAAGGTGTCAATTTAGCACCAAAAAAGGTGTTGAATGAATATGGCAAAAATAACACCTGTTGAGGTGCTATTTTAACACCATAACCTGGGTGCTAAATTAACTCCAATCCCTGGTGCTAAATTAACGCCCATTCTGGTGTCAGAATAACACCTTTGGGTGTTTAAATAGCACTACATTTGGTGTTAAAGCAGCACCTTTTTACCTACTGCAATTTAATGTGCAGTTCTTACATCAGTAATCATATCTAAATCAAAATTAATGACACTTATACAAGGAAATAAAAAATCAATATATTTGGTCACAGTTGCATATTTACAATTGCTTCTGCAGGACTATTTACAAAAACAACCAGACAAATATTCACAATTTTCGATAATCAATGTCAAGTTCTTATAATGCTACATTACAATTTTCGACAAGCAATGTCAAGTTCGTATAAATTTATTGACAAAAACTCACTTCCCAGCATGTTCTTTCATGGCCATTTTTTATTATTTGTATGTCCTCATTTGTATATGGAGTCATCAACCCTAAGATAAATTTATCAATAATCATTAGTATTATTAGCAAGTCAAATCAGCCCACAAGGTTTCTTAACATAAAGAGGAGAGATTCTCCTTCAGTTAGACCTAAAGCAACCACTAGCTGTGCTCTGAATGTCTGTTTTGAAAAACAAATTGTTTATCAAATATCAATAACAGAAAATCTAGTTAGGTTACCAAAACTATAATAGGTACACTAAACATTGGATAAAGACAGTCTAAATTGCAGATTGTGGGGCAATAAACTACAGGTGACACTGTAAAACACCTCCTTGGGACAATTATAGTATATTAATTGCATGATTTACCTGATTCTCTGTGCAGCTAATCTTGTTTCTTGTTTCTATCCTGTTCGAAAGAACCAATACATACTTCTTGGCACAATTTTTGGCATTCCTAATTGAAATTTGCCAGCCATACCATGGACCAATTTGTTCTTGCACATTTCACTTCCAAATTCTGCCTTTACCTGCAACAAAATAATAGAATGTGTTCAGTGAACTTTGTTACTTGACTAAAATATAAATGTGAATTTGAAAAATGACAGGCTAAAATGGGACTCTCAGGTATAAACCTGTAGGAGATTATATTTCTTACAGTAATAATTTTATCAAAAGACATACACAGGCATTGATTTTAAACAAATAACTTGCCCTCTAAAATCAAATTTATCAAAATAGAGCAAGGGTTATCGTTAATATATCAAAATAGAGCACGGACAATCGTTGATATAGGATAAAATATTTGCAAAATTATGTCAATAACATAAGAGAAAAGCGAAGACGCATCATAAAATTACGGTAAAGTAAATATGAATAGATACCTATTATTGCAATGATATTTTCTTTGACCACAGCTTGCTGAAGAGATCGCAGTAAAGTAGAATACGTCATTTAGCTTCTCTAGAATAAAAAAATAGCACACATTTGTTTGTTTAGCGATTTGGCCGTTTGACTTTGAGCGAACATGGATACTGTGTGTAATCAAATTCAAACACTTACCAAAATATTTCTGAGATAATACCACAACCAATTGCCTTGAAATTTCCTTATGGGCGCCCGTTGTTGTTAAGGATATTTAGAAGTACCAAAATAGTTGAGTAAATACGCTCAAAACGTCTTTAACACAGCAGCATAAACATCTCGATGAATATACGATTCAAAAGAGTTTTCAAACGACGCGCTCAAAAAATTTGCATGCAGGCGCCGGCACGTGTCATATTTTCTTATATGGACATACATAGTATGCCTATACGCGATTGCGAAATATTTACTTTGTAGCAATCAATACATAGCACAAAATAACATAGTTTGATAAAATAAAAAGGACAATGGATCACTATCGATGTATCTCGGGGTTTTTTTTATATTGAAACGTATCTGTCGTATTCATAGCAACAAGCCGAATTTCCATGTCGTCTTTTAGATGAATAGTTGTGCGAAAACGCATGGGAATTCTTTGTTCCAAAATCATCTCATTCGAAAATACAAATTTATTTTCCAATAGCTTGAATAAAATCAAACCTGCTCTTTCCCGGCCTATCCGCCATTTGGTGTTATTTTGACACACCATATTTAACTCCCTATATGGCGTTATTTTAACACTTTCCGTCGGTAAAAGAGGTGTTATTTTGGCACCTTGCAATGGTGCTGGTAATATGGTGTCATATTGGCACTTTTAGCGCCAATCCAAGATTTGGTGGTGTTAAATTAGCACCGAAGTTGGTGCCAAAATAGCACTTTCTATTTAACACCACTGCATGGTGTTGATTTGGCACCTACGGTGGTGCTATTTTAACACTTCAAAATTAACAGTGTATATCAAAACCGGGTGAGCTGCTGGTGGCTGACGCTGGTCCTTTCTTATTCGTAGATAACAAAGACATTATAGACAATGCTGGTGATATTGGTTCAGGTGAGCTTGAAAACCCCATTTCGAAAACAGAGGAATCGTCATCTTCTTTATCTGGTGAGGACAACATTGTGCTCAAATTTGATCACTTCTCGCAAAAATATATATAAACAATAATTAATGTTTAGCTGTTGAGCATATTCAATACATATATATCAGTAAATTGTGCCGAAGCTCGAAGGTGATTCCTTGTTGTCTGACAACCTGTTTTATTTTACAATAGTCCACTGATTGGATTAGGATATTCCCATCAATTAACTCTCTGACAACGGAAAAAACTTTTCTTTGTTATTGGTTAAGTTTACCGCTTTGACCAGGTGTAATGTTCATATGATATACTTCGCATGTGCGCTCTTCCCACATTCAACATATTGAGCTTCAATTGTCAATGCCAGTAGTTTTGAGAGAGAGTTTTTATATATAGATATGCCACAAATGAAAAAGTGGCCTGTTCGCGTAAGGCAAGGCAAAGAAAGGCGTATGTATATGTTGCTGGAAAGCCCCTAGCAAAGACAGGCGTCGAGTATCATCAGTGCTGCCGGCGTGAAAAGTGAGGATAATAAGCCTCTCAAGGTATGTATTAAGTTTCGATATTTTGAAACCTTTTTGATATTAGCTAGCTTTAGGCTTCTCGGATTTATAGTAGGTAGAAAGAAAAAAACCTCCTTTTTAAGAGCAAAGCTATAAGTAGGAACAAAAATATAACATATGTAAAGGCCTTATTTAAAGGCATGCTATACATGCATATGTATAATATATAGTTATATATATGTGTGATCAAATTGCTTGACACTGTCGTTATCTATATTTGGTTACCGCTGAAATTCCATTTTCGCGCTGCGTTTTCATTTTGTTTCATTGGCGCTTCGTATGATCGCTGTTTGCCCGAGAAAAAACGAAGTAGGCATGTCATTATTATTTATAGGGATTGAATACGAGTAAAATTTTAATCTCGAATGCAGCTGATCAGCAGTTAATCTCGAATGTATGATGTATGTGATCAATGTATATAAACACTCTCCTTATTATACAAGACCCTTGTCCCGGCGAGACTGTTTTGATATCAATAAAGTACTATATATAAATTAATAAATGCCTTTTATAGCCTTGCGCTTAAGCGATATGCATACAGGCAATGCGTGAATGCCACTGATGAAAACACAAATTTAGGTTTTTGTGGGCAAAAGGGGAACGTCATGAGAAACTTATTGAAACGTTTTTGTAAATTAAGGGGCGTAAAAAATAAAAATAAACAGATGATAGTTAGTAATTTTTAAGGCAACCGCCAACCATGTGGTGTGTGTTCCTGCATGACTGTTCCAGTTTATGGAGTATATATATCCACAATCAGGCATGATTTTTGGCACTTCACTTGATGCACGTAAATTTAGAGGTTTCGATGCGCCTAAAAGCGTAGGTTCGATTCCTGCCGGGGACCTATAGTTGACTCATTTTGCTTTAATTTGAATTTGAAGTGTGTATAATTCCACTCGCAATTTCCTGTTATGTTGACAAACACAAGCAGAGCTGGCCTCCTTCTGTCCAAACAATGCAGAAAATGTTACTCGGTGTACGCAATTCATGTAGCAGAATACTGTAGCTAGTGGTTAATTAATCGTTGTCCTTTTTCACTCTGTAGGGAATATATTACCAGGCATGAACGAGGCTGTTGAAGCATTTGTTGTCTTCCATGCTTCGGTATCTGGGCGAATTCTGCCAGAACACTTCAACTTCGCGTTTGGCAAGGTCCCAAACTTCATTTGTGTCAATTCGGCAAAACAGAGAATTTGAGACATGTTTGCGGCTGGTAGAAATGTTCAGTCACTCGGGTGACTGGATATTAGATGTTAATTTACCCGAAGGTATGTCATTAACCTCATAAATATAAAATATTAAACCACCCTTTTGTTCGAATGATGTATATATAATATACGTTTCCCGCCTGGTACAGTATTGAACTTTTATAATTATCATCTTTGTCAAATCTTTTTCTTGCAGCTGGCGGTGTTGCAGCAGTCACGATCGAGCGCAATTACCTCATTCTGGTAAAAACAGAAGAGGAGGAACGAGAGGCCAGGCGAAAGTTGAAAGAACTTTAGAACCTATAAATCTATATATATATATAATATATATTATACATCTTCATTGTGTGCTGGGTATTCCCGGCTCTACGTGGGAAAACATACCATAATGAAACTTTAATTAAGACAACTTACTTTTTAAATTGTCAGAATGTTCCTTTGCTATTTACAAAATATACTTCTAAATTGGTTTCACTTGACCATTGCCCATTCGACTTGCGTAGAGAATATAACCCGAATAATTGTAGATACCGTGCACTGCGTTACTCGGACACCCCTATATGTCTCTCACATTGAGATATAAGGGTTCCGAAATTCGGACACCCCTATATGCCTCTCGCATTGAGATATAGAGGTTTCCGAAATTCGGACACCCTTATATGTCTCTCACATTGAGATATACGGGTTTCCGAAATTCGGACACCCCTATATGTCTCTCAAATTGAGATACAGGGGTTTCCGAAATTCGGACACCCTTATATGTCTCTCACATTGAGATATACGGGTTTCCGAAATTCGGACACCCCTATAGTCTCTGGAATTGAGATACAGGGGTTTCCGAAATTCGGACACCCTTATATGTCTCTCACATTGAGATATACGGGTTTCCGAAATTCGGACACCCCTATATGTCTCTCGAATTGAGATACAGGGGTTTCCGAAATTCGGACACCCTTATATGTCTCTCACATTGAGATATACGGGTTTCCGAAATTCGGACACCCCTATATGTCTCTCGAATTGAGATACAGGGGTTTCCGAAATTCGGACACCCCTATATGTCTCTCAAACTTGAAACCGACGGACAGTGGAATCCTTATACATCTAAGACAAAAATCCTTTTTATGCGGACAGTGGAATTGTGTCCGCCAAAAAAGCTATTTTTTAAAAAAAGAATTAAAAATCCGCACAATTTTGTTAATTTCGCTAATATATGCGGAAAATTACAAGTTTGGAAATGTTCAAAATTCTTTGGAACACGTTAAGACCTCATCCAGTGGTAATTTCCTAACATTAAACACCTCATCCAGTCTTGTTGCAACGATGATAGTCAATATCCAATGTAATTTTCTTACACACATGCGACTGTAAAAGCAGATGAAGTTTTTTAATCGCCTTTGGATCCATGAAATGACCGAATCCAATCCAACTCAGCATTTTACATATTTGTATATTTCTTTGCAGTACGTATCTACGCATTGTCGGTGACAAGTGGAACGAATTAATGTTAGTTGCCTTGATGTTAAAATCATGCATCGCTAAAGCGACATATAGTGATATACATCCTCAAGGTGGAAGGGTTTTCTAACGTAAACATAGTTGAACAATTTCTCGAAAACGTCGCTGGATAAAATGTAGAATGGCCCACGACTGAAGCGTGGAAAGTTTGTTTCACCATAATATTTATAACTTATTGTCCATTTTACTCCAATTTTACGATGCACTTTGCTACGAGGGTAGATCAGGCCTCCGTAAAATGGTCTTGGAAATTTCGCGTTCACAAAATACTCCAACAGGCGCGGTATGCGCGCGTAAACATCATCGTCTGCTTTCAATGTATATTTTACATCAAATTTGCTCGCCCAAAGCAGACCCATGTATACTTTAAGAATAAGATTGATGTAGTTGTCTGTGATATTTCCAATCAACATATCGTTGTGTTGTCGAGCTTCAGCGATATTCAATATATCGTCGTTCGTTCCGGTTCCTGCTTTTCCAACAACAAATACGAGTAGCCATCTTAAGTGTTTTAATCTTTCATCTTGCGACGCTTTCCGTTGTTCGCAGTCACTTTGGTTTCCCCAGGTTTGTCGGATGGCCTCGCGACGTTCTCTGAACGTGTTTCCCTTTGCACCGGACATCACTAACACAATCATGAAAACATTTTTCATCGCTCCAACTGTAGGCGAGATTCTCGGAGTTGTGAGTTTGAAATCTACGAAGGGATAGTAGTCGTTGACCATATCAATGGTTGAGTTTTCACTTACGTCTGTCTTTGTTGGTCGTGTCCGTGCAGATAGGCGTTGGTCTTTGCGTTCCAAAAACGATAGTGAATAAACTAAGAATCCCAAGAAGACTAATACAACTAGTTTCTTCCTGTTTCGTTTAAGAGGACTCATCTTGCTTTCGATTTTTCACAAAGGGTCAAGAACGTCTGTGAAAAGATCCCTTTAAGACCAGAAACTGCATGGATAACGTTAAACATACAACACTAATTTATAGGTGTATCCCGATATATTGACCATGATTTTGGGCACAAAACCCTACGTTAACACTGGATGATCAATATTTTCCTGCAAAGTTGGCAGACGTTGGTTAAGTGCAGAGGAAAATTACGTTCAGCCCTATTAGTTTTATACGTGCAGTCTGTTAACATGAATATATTAATATTTACACCCCACCCACTTAATCACCTAGCTTTCTTGTTTAAAGCAACAAGCAAGGTTTACAGCAGGGGCGGCCGCGTTGTATTGATTACTCAATCAATTGTATATTGAATACATCACGGCCACAAGTGTTGTAAACAATTTGTGAAATTGCTTTTTAAATAAATAAGATTCTAATAGACATGCAAATCTGTTAGCAACACTAATGATTGTATCGGAAAAAAAAACAACCACTCGTGTTTGCGATTGATTAGCATATTTATCAATCTTATTTGTATGGGGTATACAGGGTGTGCATGTGACCTATCCACGTATTTTGGTTAGGTATAAACCTCATTAATGAATTTCCCAAGAGTTTTAGAAGAACAGTATTTATCAAGAAAGAGGTGAATAATTAGATGTCCCCTTGACTTGCTAGACATTAAATGTCTTTCTTCGTAGTTTTCGTTCTTCAATATGGGTATATTGGCGAAAGCAGAAGTGCATAACAGTATAACACACATTTATTTTCTTATTCGAGTCCTAACCTTAAAGGCCGACACAGACCGGACGCGATGCGGCAACGCGACGCGAATTTTGAGTTTTTAGGAGCACATAAATTAAATTCTGAAAGCAAAATTTGGAATCTAGCTATGGACGCCAGAGCAGTCAAAATGTATTATCGTGAAGTAATCTACGACAATGTAATAATAGTTCAAAATTTATTTGATTTTGAAAAATTAAAAACCTTGAAAATTCGCGCCGCGCTACCAATTCGCGTGCTGTCGGTGTGGGTCTTTAAGGTAGCCTGATTCTTTCAATATACACTGGCGGTCAAAAAGAACTGCTCAAAACAAGTTACATGCTCTCGAATGAACGTATAACTGTACCTCTAACAATATATACGAGTAAATATAGACTAGATTACATGCTAAGCTATATGGAATATTAATATTTTGTTGACCCTCCTTTGGTCTTATAATTGATAACGGCCTTACACCGGCGTGGCATACTTTCTGTTAAGGTGGTAATCTTAGTGGTCAAAAGAAATTCATCCTATGGACAGTCTTTACAGCAACCCATAAATCATGGACGCTTTATGAATTAATTCCTTTCTTGCACTATCCCCTTGACAATGTTTCGTAGGTTTCCAATAGGGTTAAGGTTTTTTTAAGTGTGCACGCCAATCCATTTTTGTCACCCCCTCTTCCTGAAACCATTATTTGACTATCTTGGAAGTGTAGCAGGTTGCATGTAATATTATTGAAATATTACTTGGCATGAGAGAATTATCCAAAATGCCTATGAAGCTCTCTCCTATGTTCGATTCTTTTTTATGAATTTGTACCTAAACAGTTCTTTTTGAACGCTAGTGTACAATAAAAGATTGATTCCTGTTACATACGAAAATAGCAACATTTGAGCAGTTCTTTTTGACCGCCAGTGTGTATTAAAAACGTATATCTGGCAGCAGTTCACAGCCAAGGGTAACATCTAGTATCCTATATTGTTTCTTTTATATCGTCCACGTTTATCTACCAAAACCATAGTCCAGGTTAAATCTGATGCTACGCGAAGTTTGATTTGCTCGTAAGTTTTTTGGTACTAATAAAACTTCTTGTGCATTTTTATCTCGCGTTTGACGTCATTATGAGAAACAGAGAAAGGTCTATATTATTTGGACATGGGTTTGAGGGTTATAAAACCCGAAGTACGTACTGCTGATGCTTTAGTTTGAAGTAGTTAAAAATTAAACGAATTAAACGAGCATTGAAGTGCCTTAACTCCTATTGGAATTGGTTAAAGGTTTTCAATTTCTAACGAGCCTAACCGCACGCTTAAATTCTATTAGCACTTCATTTCTGAATACTTATTGCAATCAGACAAAATACTATTAGAGTAATTTTAAAATGTGGCGAAAAAGCATGAATTAGTGATGCACCACGCGATCAATAGCAGCCAATTAAAGGACATATTGATATAAAAAGTGGTAGGTAATAGAGATTATAATAGAGATTGTGGAATGCATGAATAATTAATGAGTCTAACTTGCAATCATTGCGCAGTATTTTGTCACATGTATACATCTGTAATTCTCCATAAAGGTCTCATGAATTGTTAATTAATATATTAACTTTGATACAACCAATCCTAATTAGTATTCATAACTTTGTTACACACATGCCCGAATATGCATTAAGTTTAATTTATTCATTTCACAAGCACGTTAAAAAACTCGCGGCCGATACTCGTGCTACGCACTCGCCATTGTAAATACCCATACAGATCGGCCGCTCGTATTTTAAATAATACTTATAATGATTATAATTACGCGGCCATTCAATTATCGCAGCCTGGGACGGGGATGTTTCGCCTCGCTTCTGAGTACGAAAACAAAAGTTTTTATGACATTCAAAAATTTGACATCATAACCAAAGCATGGTTATATTGTTTAATGTTTGTATATGAGCGCCAAACATGCTGGAAACTTTAAATTGGACAAGCATTTGACCATTAAAACAGCGTGGTTATCCATTTCAAAATATTTGACATCATAACCAAAGCATGGTTATATTGTTTAATGTTTGTATATGAGCGCCAAACATGCTGGAAACTTTACATTGAACAAGCATTTGACCATTAAAACAGCGTGGTTATCCATTTAAAAATATTTGACATTATAACCAAAGCATGGTTATATTGTTTAATGTTTGTATATGAGCGCCAAACATGCTGGAAACTTTACATAGGACAAGCATTTGACTATTAAAACAGCGTGGTTATCCATTTCAAAATATTTGACATCATAACTAAAGCATGGTTATATGTTTAATGTTTGTATATGAGCGCCAAACATGCTGGAAACTTTACATTGAACAAGCATTTGACCATTAAAAAAGCGTGGTTATCCATTTCAAAATATTTGACATCATAACCAAAGCATGGTTATATTGTTTAATGTTTGTATATGAGCGCCGAACATGCTGGAAACTTTACATAGGACAAGCATTTGACTATTAAAACAGCGTGGTTATCCATTTCAAAATATTTGACATCATAACCAAAGCATGGTTATATTGTTTAATGTTTGTATATGAGCGCCAAACATGCTGGAAACTTTACATAGGACAAGCATTTATTTTCAAAGTTTCTAAAAGTTTCAGAGTTTGCGGTTGTTAGGCATCAGTATTGCTTAGTTAAATAAAAAATTCCTACCCTCCAAGATGAAGCATAAACAAACTCAACAAAGTAAATTGTCACCGCAAACTCATCTTAGACGGGAAAGTTGATAGTAATAATCCGTCTGAATATATGAATGGTGTGGATAAATTTATATACGTATGATGGGTCGGGCAATGCTGAAAAAGGTGTCGTAATCATTACGACGGTCTGTGAGCGAATTCACATCAGAGTTTCCCGTCTCTTATTACTTATTAGTCTAATATGAATTTAAAAGATTTTTTTCTTAAATTAGGTCTTAAATTAGAACTTCTTTCTTAAAATTGTCTCAAAAGCGTTGTTCATTCGCGCTGATAGCTCAACTGTAGTCAACTGAAACATTTATGCGGTTTTTTTCTTTGTCTCGGGCATTTTAAAATCATTAACTTTGAGCCGGGGGGGGGGTTGGAAATAGTGGCAGGTGAATTACACTATGTTGATTATCAGGTACTGATTATGTAGGTGCTGTAAAAAAGCAAAATGCAATTATGCAACAAACTTGAGAAAATTGATCAAAGACATGTTCTGTTTTGTTAAGAAACGACGTCACGTGTAGCACTATGCTAAAAAAAGATTTTTCTTGGCAAGTTTTCGTCTCGACTCTATTCTCTCGTGAATGCAGTTTAATTTGACACGCATCACTTAACAGTTTTATTTGGTCGTATAGTGATAAATGAATTAATTTCAAAGATTTGACACTTTACTTTACTTAACTTTACGCTTTTGACTGACTTACACACACGAGCATTTCTGGTATTTAGGAAAACAACCTGCGGATAAAATGTCATTTTTTGCCAAGTCGAACGTGCCAAGGATAATCCACATGTAAAAGTTAATGTAAAAGTTAAAAGTTAAAATCAATTCGGTTAGAGCATAATCTTTCCTAACATTAAAGACCTCGTCCAGTGGGAAGCGATAGCGATCTTGTTGCAACGATGATAGTCAATATCCAATGTAATCTTCTTACATACATGTGACTGTAAAAGCAGATGAAGTTTTTTAATCGCCTTTGGATCCATGAAATGACCGAATCTAACCCAACTTAGCATTTCACAGTTTTGTATATTTCCTTCTAGTACGTAGCTAGGCATTGCCGATGACAATTGGAACGAATCAATCACTCATCAATGTTAGTTGTCTTGATGTTAGAATCATGCATCGCTAAAGCGACATATACATCCTCAAGGTGGAAGGGTTTTCTAACATAAACATAGTTGAACAATTTGTTGAAAAGATCGCTGGATAAAATATAGAATGGGCCACGATTGAAGTCTGGAAAATATGTTTCACCATAATATTTATAACTTACTGTCCATTTTTCTCCAATTTTGCGATGCACTTTGCTACGAGGGTAGATCAGGCCTCCGTAAAATGGTCTTGGAAATTTCGCGTTCACAAGATACTCCAACATGCGCGGTATGCGCACGTAAACATCATCGTCTGCTTTCAATGTATATTTTACATCAAATTTGCTCGCCCAAAGCAGACCCATGTATACTTTAAGAATAAGATTGATGTAGTTGTCTGTGATATTTCCAATCAACATATCGTTGTGTTGTCGAGCTTCAGCGATATTCAATTCATCGTCGTTCGTTCCAGTTTCTGCTTTTCCAAGAACAAATACGAGCAGCCATCTTAAGTGTTTCAATCTTTCATCTTGCGAGGCTTTCCGTTGTTCCCAGTTACTTTGGTTTCCCCAGGTTTGTCGGATGGCCTCGCGACGTTCTCTGAACGTGTTTCCCTTTGCGCCGGACATCACTAACACAATCATGAAAACATTTTTCGTCGCTCCAACTGTAGGCGAGATTCTCGGAGTTGTGAGTCGTTTGAAATCTACGAAGGGATAATAGTCGTTGACCATATCAACGGTTGGGTTTTCACCTACGTCTTTCTTTGTTGGTCGTGTCCATGCAGATAGGCGTTGGACTTTGCTCACCAAAAACGATAATGAATAAACTAAGAATACCAAAAAGACTAATACAATTAGTTTCTTCCTGTTTCGTTTAAGAAGACTCATCTTGCTTTCGATTTGTAACGAATGGTATGGGTTGGGAACGTCTGTGAGAAAATCCCTTTAAGCCGGACCAGAAACGTTAAACATACAACACTAATTTATAGGTGTATCCCGATATATTTACTATGATTTGGGCACAAAACCCTACGTTAACACTGCATAATTATTATTTTCCCGCCTTGTCCGCGACACCGCAGAAATTGGTGTTTAAGACGTTTCAACCCGAAAATCTAATCGCTGGTTCACAATTGTGCATTTCTGTATCGCCCTATCAAAGAGAAACCTTTTGAATATCTTAAAAAAGTTCAATTTTTCTTCTGAATACGCATTCTGCAATCTTTTGACAGCTCATCATACACATCTGACCGCTGTGAAATGGCCATTTTGAGGCTTAAAGTATACACAAGGTTATTAATTCAGACGATTCGTTTTTACCGTGAGCAAGCTTCAAATCTTTTGTGCAAGACATATTTTCTTGAATATTTATAAATCTTTTTCCTCACCAAGTTTGAAGTCTAAGTATCGAGAATTGCGGCTAAGCCTATACCAATTTCCGCGGTGTCCTTGTCCGCAGACGTTTGTTAATACGCTAAGAACTAAAAGAAGTTCAGCAATTCGGCAGTAAGCGCAAACAAACAGCAGCTTGGCAATATTGCGGCAACGATTCCGAAATTCATCTCATTTAAAAGTTCTTCGAAGAAACGATTAAGTCAAATAAAGAACAATAGCCGGCTTATCGACAAACGATGTTGGCGTCAAGGAGTTGTTGGTATCCTCAATCCAAAGTTTCAAGTATTAGATTAGCGTATTTTATATTCGACGAACCGGCTAGACCAGCTAGTATTTCGACTTTTTATACAACAAAGTCTGAAAATAAAAAGTCAATGTCTGTTTAACTGGATATTTGCTTCATTTGCAATTTGGTAATGCTAATGTTTATTACATACACTGAATAGCTGTTAAGCTAAAATATTATGTTTTTTATACAAAAGTTCAAAAGTGATAAGATTCTACATTAATCATCATTATTATATTAAGTTTAAAATTTTTAAAAGTTTGTAAGTACGATAAAAAGGTTAAAAATTTTAAAAATTTACATCATTTACAATCGATAATATGCAGTATAATTACGAGTATATATATGCTTTAAATTAGCTACTAATGGTTCCTCTTGTACCCTAAGTGTTTATCATCAAATTCTCTAAACTAGAATTATCATTACCAGAAATTTGCGACATGATAATTTGCATGTATACTAATTTGCATTTAACTTTCAGCATAATGGCCTTCAACTTTTACTATAAAATCACATATAGTAAATATACAAAACTTAAAAATGCCGTTGCCTTAGACCTTGCCTACTGTTTGCCGACCTCTAGATCGGTAGAGCAGCTGTTTAGAAACGTTTTGGTGACCAAATTTTTTAGCTTGGGCATTTCTACACTCTGCCAAATTTAAAAATATACTGCTCAAAGTTTTATCCGTGTTCTGTCAACGAACTTATAAAATCGCTCACATTGATTCGAATATTTCGATTCAGGTAGTTGATGAATTGACGTGTAATATACCAAAAAAATTGTTAAAGATATTGTCTTTCGTATTTGTGTATAAACTTTTCTGTACGGCTCGGATTTTCACTGCAATCACTTTAAAAAATATTATAAGTCTTATCAGGAACTTGAACAATACGAAGGCTATACACACATTTAAGGTAAGTAATTCGATCATTAAAACGTTGGGAAACGGCTGTTCTATTAACCCAGAGGTCGGCAAACAGTAGGCGAGGTCTAGGAAAACGGCATTTTTAAGTTTTGTATATTTGCTATATGTATTTAATAGTAAACGTTGAAGGCCATTATGCTGAAAGTTAAATGCAAATTAGTATAAATGCAAATTATCATGTCGCAAATTTCTGGTAATGTATTTTTCGATGGCCGAAAGAGCGGACAATGCTTATATCGTCCGGTTTTACATGAGAAACTGTGATTTTTTCGCCATTTGACCTTGTCTGCCGACACTTTACCTGGGATACTTTTTTTGGTAGCAAATGATGTAATTTGTCCTCTGGGTTGGACATGTCTCTAATGGACGACTTGCGCTTTAGACTAATTTTTTACATCGGCGATAAAAAGGGCATTTTCAAAAAGAGCTTTGTGCACATAATTATTGTCTCTGCGGAGCCCCAAAGACCTGAGATTGAGTTCTGTCAAGTGTCGATTAAGGCTTGCTGGTAGTCTAATTCAGGGCAGATTATTTTTAGCACTCTTTTTTGGATTCAATTCATGACTATACGAGTTATATACATTTAGCCAAATTCATATTAGAGACAGGAAACCCATCGAGGACGGGAAGCTCGTCTGATGTGAATCACAGACGGGTTTTTTGTCCGAATTTTCCCGTCGAATTTTCCCGTCGAATTTTCCCGTCGAACCTTCCCGTCTAAAGAGACGGGTAAGTTGCACGAGAATCCCGTCTGAATACTCATCCGTTAGACTGGAAAGTTGATAGTAAAAATCCGTCTGAATATATGAATGGGGTGGATAAATTTATACGTATGATGGATCGGGCAATGCATGCTAAAAAAGGTGTCGTAATCATTACCGATAATCATTTTGATTATTTTCTGTTAGCCTTGTTTCTTCCTTGACCGTGTTGATATTTAAGAATCTCGTCTGATTTATCCGTCTAAATTCGAATTTAAGAGGAGTTCTCGTCCAGACGGGATTCCTGTCCAACTTAAGGCTAGTTTCCACTCAGGAAAAATCTCCTTTGGATCGGAACGGACAGGAAAATTTCCTTTGACGGTGAGTTCTCAGACGGCGTTTAAACAAAAGAAACTTTCCTGTCCTGTATGATCCAAAGGAGAATTTTTCTGAGTGGAAACTAGCCTTTACCCGTCTGTTTAGACGGGAAAGTTTGATGGGAAGATTCGAACGAGAAACTCGTCTGTTACTGAATTCACATCAGCGTTTCCCGTCAAACACGAGTTTTCCGTCTCTAATTACTTATTAGTCTAATATGAATTCAAAAGATTTTTTCTTGAATTAGGTCTTAAATTAGAACTTTTTTCTTAAAACAGTCTTAAAAGCGTTGATCATTCGCGCAGATGGCTCAACAGTAGTTGGCTAAAACATTTATGCGTTTTTTTTCTTTCTCTCGGGCATTTTAAAATCATTAACTTTGAGCCGGGGGGGATTGGAAATAGTGGCAGGTGAATTACACTATATTGATTATCACGTACTGATTATGTATGTGCTGTAAAAAAGCACAATACAATTATGCAACAAACTTGAGAAAACTGATCAAAGACAGTTTCTGTTTTATTAAGAAACGGTGTCACGTGTAGCACTATGTAAAAAAAGCAGATTTTTCTTGGCAAGTTTTCGTTTCGACTCTATTCTCTCGTGAATGCAGTTTAATTTGAAACGCATCACTTAACAGTTTAATCTGCTCGTATTGTGATAAATGAATTAATATCAAAGATTCGACACTTTGACTGACTTACACACGAGCATTTCTGGTATAGCCAAAAATTTAGAAAAACAACCTGCGGATAAAATGTTATTTTTTGCCAAGTCGAACGTGCCAAGGGTAATCCACCCGGGGCCGGTTGTTCGAAAGGCGTTTAGCTTAAACGGTGGATATAAGCTAAAGTTTAAACATACTCTAATATATCTTGTGAATTACTTAACCTGCGTCTTATGCGTTTAATATGTACTTCTAATGACAATTCAACTATTTACATCGAAATATTTCAGCTCAGTTGTTCAATAGATAGATAATTTTGTTTTCCATTTTTAACTTATCCGCCGTTTAAGCTAAACGCCTTTCGAACAACCGACCCCTGTTTAAAAGTTAATGTAAAAGTTAAAAGTTAAAATCAATTCGGTTAGAGCATAATCTTTCCTAACATTAAAGACCTGATCCAGTGGAAAGCGACAGCGATCTTGTTGCAACGATGATAGTCAATATCCAATGTAATCTTCTTACAAACATGCGACTGTAAGAGCAGATGAAGTTTTTTAATCGCCTTTGGATCCATGAAATGACCGAATCCAATCCAACTTAGCATTTCACAGTTTTGTATATTTCCCTGCAGCACGTAGCTAGGCATTTCCGATGACAATTGGAACGAATCAATGTTAGTTGTCTTGATGTTAGAATCATGCATCGCTAAAGCGACATATACATCCTCAAGGTGGAAGGGTTTTCTAACGTAAACATAACTGAACAATTTCTCGAAAAGGTCGCTGGATAAAATGTAGAATGGGCCACGATTGAAGTCTGGAAAATATGTTTCACTATAATATTTATAACTTATTGTCCATTTTACTCCAATTTTGCGATGCACTTTGCTACGAGGGTAGATCAAGCCTCCGTAAAATGGTCTTGGAAATTTCGCGTTCACAAGATACTCCAACATGCGCGGTATGCGCACGTAAACATCATCGTCTGCTTTCAATGTATATTTTACATCAAATTTGCTCGCCCAAACCAGACCCATGTATACTTTAAGAATAAGATTGATGTAGTTGTCTGTGATATTTCCAATCAACATATCGTTGTGTTGTCGAGCTTCAGCGATATTCAATTCATCGTCGTTCGTTCCGGTTCCTGCTTTTCCAACAACAAATACGAGTAGCCATCTTAAGTTTTTTAATCTTTCATCTTGCGACGCTTTCCGTTGTTCGCAGTTACTTTGGTTTCCCCAGGTTTGTCGGATGGCCTCGCGACGTTTTCTGAACTTGTTTCCCTTGGCGCCGGACATCACTAACACAATCATGAAAACATTTTTCGTCGCTCCATTAACTGTAGGCGAGATTCTCGGAGTTGTGAGTTTGAAATCTACGAAGGGATAGTAGTCGTTAACCATATCAATAGTTGGGTTTTCACTTACGTCTTTCTTTGTTGGTCCTGTCCATGCAGATAGGCGTTCGACTTTGCTCACCAAAAACGATAATGAATAAACTAGGAATCCCAAAAAGACTAATACAATTAGTTTCTTCCTGTTTCGTTTAAGAAGGCTCATCTTGCTTTCGATTTGTAACAAAGGGTATGGGTCACGAACGTCTGTGAAAAGATCCCTTTATTGACAGAAACCTGATAACGTTAAACATACAACACTAATTTATAGGTGTATCCCGATATATTGACCATGATTTTAAGCACAAAACCCTACGTTAACACTGGATGATCAATATTTTCCTTCAGTGTTGGCAGACGTTGGTTAAGTGCAGAGGAAAATTACGTTCAGCCCTAGTAGTTTTATACGTGCAGTCTGCTAACATGAATATATAAATACTTACACCCCACCCACTTAATTACATAGCTTTCCTGTTTAAAGCAATATGCAAGGTTTACAGCAGGGGCGGCCGCGTTGTATTGATTACATAATCAATTGTATATTGAATACATCACGGCCACAAGTGTTGTAAACAATTTGTGAAATTATTTTTTAATAAATAGGTATTTTTTAATAAACACGATTCTAATAAATATGCAAATCTGTTAGCAACACTAATGATTTTATCGAGAAAAAAAACAACCACTCGTGTTGGTGATTGATTTGCATATTTATCAATCTTATTTGAATAGGGTATACAAGGTGTGTATGTGATCTATCCACGTATTTTGGTTAGGTATAAATCTCATTAATGAATTTCCAAAGAGTTTTAAAAGAACAGTGTTTATCAAGAAAGATGAGAATAATTAGAGGTCCCCTTGACTTGCTCAACGACGTCGACAGTCGTGGGACAAGGGGCACCGGAACCGCGGAGGTAGCCCTTTGTTGACGGGGAAAGTTTTCCTTTATACGCTCATAGACATTAAATGTCTTAATTCGTAATTTTTGTTCTTCAATGTGGGTATATTTGCGAAAGCAGAAGTGCATAACACACATTTATTTTCTCAACCTTTAAGGTAGCCTGATTTTTTCAATACATATTAAAAACGTATATCTGGCAGCAGTTCACAAGCAACGGTAACATCTAGTATACTTTACGAATTTTAGCAGACTCTTTCTTCCAAGAAAGTCCTCATTTCTGAATACTTATTGCAATCAGACAAAATACCATTAGAGGAATTTTAAAATGTGGCGAAAAAGCATGAAATAGTGATGCACCACGTGATCAATAGCAGCCAATTAAAGGACATATTGATATATAAGGAGGTAGATAATAGAGATTGTAATAGAGATTATAATTGAGATTATAATGGTTATAATTACGCGGCCATTCAATTATCGCAGCCTGGGACGGGGATGTTTAATATTTTCCAATATGGCCGTTCTTGGCTTCGCTTCTGAGTACGAAAACAAAAGTTTTTATGACATTTTAAATCCTTCCTCTGCATCTTGTATCGATTTTGAGAGCGAGGGCGTTTTCACATTTCCTCCTGTATCGAATGTAAGTATCAGCACCGAAATATGAACATTTTATATACGATTACTTCGGAAATCGTGTATTCTAAATTCTAAGAATTGGCAATTTGCTGTGTCATTGACTATAATTCTTTTGGCATTTCTTCACTGGATGATACTTTTATGTAATTCTTCACGACAAAATCTCAGATAGAATGGGAGATATGCTTTATTGGGAATAATTTGGATTTGAATAAATTGTGGTAATGATCACTCCTCCAATTCCATGTGAAAATTGCAAAGGCCCACTACTACCAAATCTTTTAGGTGTCCTTAATTTCAGACTGCCAAGGTTCCTTGCCACAGGGGCAATGGTTGCACAATGGTCTTGAATTCTGTTTGAAGCATATACAAATGTAAACCAGTTTTTGGTTGTTGAACGCTAATTTTTGCATTCATATGACTTTCAGCCTACAGAATTTTTAAATCAATACACCAACGGGGAAGGCAACATAAAGATTAATTTTGCTCATGGAACAACTACGCTAGCTTTCAAATTTCAACATGGAGTTATCGTTGCTGTCGATTCTAGAGCCACTGCTGGGTCTTATATAGGTTTGTAAGTTTTTTCTTTATGTCAAATACATATATTCACTTCTCTATGACAGACAATGCACTCTGTGTAAGATGCAGATTACTGATTCTCGTTCATGTTCAGCTTCTCAGACTGTGAAAAAGGTCATCGAGATCAATCCCTACCTGTTGGGAACAATGGCAGGTGGAGCTGCCGATTGCTCATATTGGGAACGGTATCTCGCCAAGCAATGCAGGTGAGTATATTTTGGCGACATCTGTAAAAGGATAAAATTAAGAAAAATATTTGATCTACATCCTCTAAAAGGTGAAGGCTAATCTACACAATGCGATTAGTTGTATACAATCCTTTGGTCTTTTGTGAATTGCTTATTGCCCAATCCAAATAATGCACTTTTTCATCATTAGATGCTCTAAAACTGTAAAGAAAGAGTGCTGTTGCATAGTACTATTTAATCTGAAGAATATTTGCTTAAAATGTTTACGTTTTTAAGGATATATGAACTTCGAAACAAGGAGAGAATCTCTGTTGCGGCAGCATCCAAGTTGTTAGCTAATATGGTTTATTATTACAAGGGCATGGGACTATCTATGGTATGTTGTTTGTTTGGCCTTAAAAATATATTCAGCTTAACAGCTTTATTTTTCATCAAAACTTAAATATGTTGAAAAATAAAAATATTTAATTTTTGTGACAGGGAACAATGATTTGTGGCTGGGATAAGCGGGTATGTAAAATATTTTGTTCTCCAATTAAGCTAGAGTGTTCAGTGTGTCAGAATGCTAGGGGTGCAACCAGCCATTTGTTATGTGAAGCTATTGCAAAAACTTTGACAGTCACCCCCACCCCCACCCCCTAACTCTCATTTTGGTCTCATTACACTTCTTTGAGCTACGTTTGGCCTCAAGACATATTACAGTATAAAATAAAATTAAAATTTTAAAATAATGTCTCAAAGGGTCCCGGACTTTACTACGTTGACAGCGATGGAAGTCGGTTATCCAACAACATATTCTCGGTAGGATCCGGCTCTACCTTTGCCTATGGCGTACTTGACAGTGGATATCGCCATGATCTTTCGGTAGAAGAGGCCTATGATCTAGGCGAGAGGGCTATTTATCATGCCACACATAGGGATGCATACAGTGGTGGTGTTGTAAACAGTGAGTACAGCCCATCTTGTATTTGAACAAATACCATTGCCAAGCAAAATTGTTTGTTGATCTTATTCCATAATGATGTCTATGCTAGTAGGCAGTATACTACACAGTATTGCAGTAAGACAATTGCTCTTTAACACTAAAAGCAATATGATTTTCGTATAGTTGTTATAATGCTATTAAAACTTTTTTTACCTATCTCTTCTGGTCCTAAATATATCTCACCCTATGATGGTTAACAAGTTTCAATTGAATATAGCACTTATTGGGATGTGTTAGCACTTGGCAGTTTGTGTGTTAAAACCTGTTTGCAGAAAAATGATTGAAATGTATTTGTGTTTTAGTGTACCATATGAAGGAGACAGGTTGGATCAAAGTGTCTCAGAATGATGTTGGAAAACTGCATTACAAGTATCAAGATGAGAAAAAGAGATAAGAACTTTTTTGAGAACTTCATTTTTGTATTGTTCTTCCCTAGAGGTTTGTGTCACAATAGTAATTAATTATATTAGCAATAAAACTTCCAGCACATCGTTGGTTAAATGCTGAGAATTTTCGATGCATTGATATTGGAAGCGGTCAAGATTTTGTCCTTTGCATTTTCATTCTCTAGCAACTTGTGTGAATCATATACCAAATTTTGCATGAATAATGCCTCCCTGCTGAAAAGCATAAATTCCCTTTATTTTCATTCTGTAAAATGAAATTGTCGAAAGCCCATCGATTATGAAGCCCCATGCACCTAGTGAATAAAAAGTCATTATATTCTTTAATTAAAAACAGTATAAATTAATGAAATTCGAGTATAAAATTAGATAGTACATAAAAATACTTAACACGCGAATATAAAAATATAACTTACTTAGGAATTAATGCACTATTGCCTAAATCAAATGTCCGAAGATATATAATTGTGACAGTTAAACCAAAAAACAATTAAGTTTATTGTTATTTATATGCCATTGGAAGAACTCTCGTATATTGCTGCGTCTAAAAAATGGAGGCGAATATTTTAGAGTAATGTGGAAAGTATTTTCACATAGGGTGTTGATTTTCACAAGCAGTTAGTTGTATAAACAGATACAACTAATACAAGGCAAGACAAAATTTGCATTAGTGTTCATGCTATGTGATATCACTCCAGATATAAATATATTTTGTTCGACTTACCCGGGGATTTTGAACTGCAAGAATGTGCGCTAGTTTCACAAATTTCCCATTATTCTTCAAACAGTGAAAATACACTCGTTCCCCAACCGTTCCATTGGTGTCCCCAGCTAAACAGGGAAAATGTAGATAAATAATTGAAGAAGTAATATGTGGTAACTAGTAACTACTAGCATAAAAACACAGTTGAAAGTCAAAATCACCTGAAGGTTGAAAGTGAAACACTGAATCAAACATTGTGACGCTCTGAGTAAATTACCTGGGATGTCCAACTTCAATCCGGCATAGATACCCCGCTTGAAATTTGAATGATAAACAGGACCAACATACTTCACAGTGCCTGAAATATTTTGTTTCTTGCCTAGAGTTAAAAATCAACCAACTTTTAGGCAAAAACTTTCATATTATAATCCCAACTTTAGATTTGTATTTTGCCAATTTTTCCTGTTTGACCATGTTGATTTTCACCCACAGCCTATCCCCTTGCCCAGTTTAAGGGGTGTATCCATCCCTAAGTACACACCTACTCACCCTCAACAGGAAGCTCAAGCAGCACTCTATCCCCAAGTTTGACGTACTGCATTGCATACTGGTCAGCGCTCACGCTGCCACTGTCATGCTCAGAGCTGGACTCTAGTTTTTGACTGTCAACTAACACTATTTTCGGTACCCAGTCTTTTTCACTGTGGTGGTCGTGATGGCTACCTTCGATGTTATTGGTGGACAACGATCTATTCCCGTATGTAGACCTTGGCCGGTTGGGATGAAAGGTCATGGGTTTACTGGATTCGTCATATTTTTTAGTTACGTCATCGAACGTATCCTGTCAAGTAGAAAGGCGAAATTAAAAAGCGTCTGATAGCTTAAAAATAATATTACTTTTTAAAACCTGTTTTTAAACTGCTTTAAACAACGAAAACACTTAATTCATATAACATTTATTAGGATACATTGAAAAAACATTGCCCAACTCCGAATTGTTTTCAGAAAAGGTAAATTGCCGTTCCTTGCTTTTGATTGGACAAGTGAGTTTTTCATGAATTTTGATTGGACGGGCAATTTTTCTGCGAATTGTGATTGGACGAACAATTTTTGCACGTGTGAGCATTTTGACGGCAATTTGTTGACATACACGCTGGTCCAACTTAGCTAAGTTTCTCCCACTCGTGCAGGCTCATATTGTCAGCGGACAACTTACATAAAATTGAGAGCAAGGCGTAAAACGAAAAGCTTTTAATTTTTGGTAGTTACTTTATGTGACCCCTATTATAATGTATCACATATTATAGTGTATCACATACTTAGTCCTCCTCAGTCTCCCTCAGCCATCCTTAGCCCTCCTTAGACATCCTTAGCCCTCCTTTGGCCTCCTTACACCACCTTAGCACTCCTTAGCACTCCTTAGCCCTCCTTAGGCCTGCTTAGCCCTCCTTAGCCCACCTTAGACCTCCTTAGCCATCCTTAGCCCTCCTTAGCCCTCCTTAGCCCTCCTTTGGCCTCCTTACACCACCTTAGCACTCCTTAGCACTCCTTAGCCCTCCTTAGCCCTCCTTAGGCCTCCTTAGCCCTCCTTAGCCCACCTTAGACCTCCTTAGCCATCCTTAGACATCCTTAGCCCTCCTTAGCCCTCCTTTGGCCTCCTTACACCACCTTAGCACTCCTTAGCCCTCCTTAGCCCTCCTTAGCCCTCCTTAGGCCTCCTTAGCCCTCCTTAGCCCACCTTAGACCTCCTTAGCCATCCTTAGCCCTCCTTAGACATCCTTAGCCCTCCTTTGGCCTCCTTACACCACCTTAGCACACCTTAGCACTCCTTAGCCCTCCTTAGGCCTCCTTAGCCCTCCTTAGCCCACCTTAGACCTCCTTAGCCATCCTTAGCCCTCCTTAGACATCCTTAGCCCTCCTTAGCCCTCCTTTGGCCTCCTTACACCACCTTAGCACTCCTTAGCCCTCCTTAGGCCTCCTTAGCCCTCCTTAGACCTCCTTAGGCCTCCTTAGCCCTCCTCAGCTCTTCTTAGGCCTCCTTAGCCCTCCTTAGCCCACCTTAGACCTCCTTAGCCCTCCTTAGCCCTCCTTAGACATCCTTAGCTCTCCTTAGCCCTCCTTAGGCCTCCTTAGGCCTCCTTAGCCCCCCTTTGGCCTCCTTAGCCCACCTTAGCCCTCCTTAGACATCCTTAGCCCTCCTTTGGCCTCCTTACACCACCTTAGCCCTCCTTAGCCCTCCTTAGCCCTCCTTAGCCCACCTTAGACCTCCTTAGCCCTCCTTAGCCCTCCTTAGACATCCTTAGCTCTCCTTAGCCCTCCTTAGGCCTCCTTAGGCCTCCTTAGCCCCCTTTGGCCTCCTTAGCCCACCTTAGCCCTCCTTAGACATCCTTAGCCCTCCTTTGGCCTCCTTACACCACCTTAGCCCTCCTTAGCCCTCCTTAGCCCTCCTTAGCCCACCTTAGACCTCCTTAGCCATCCTTAGCCCTCCTTAGACATCCTTAGCCCTCCTTTGGCCTATAGCCCTCCTTAGCCCACCTTAGACCTCCTTAGCCATCCTTAGCCCTCCTTAGCCCTCCTTTGGCCTCCTTACACCACCTTAGCACTCCTTAGCCCTCCTTAGCCCTCCTTACCACTCCTTAGCCCTCCTTAGCCCTCCTTAGCCCACCTTAGACCTCCTTAGCCATCCTTAGCCCTCCTTAGACATCCTTAGCCCTCCTTAGCCCTCCTTTGGCCTCCTTACACCACCTTAGCACTCCTTAGCACTCCTTAGCCCTCCTTAGGCCTGCTTAGCCCTCCTTAGCCCACCTTAGACCTCCTTAGCCATCCTTAGCCCTCCTTAGACATCCTTAGCCCTCCTTTGGCCTCCTTACACCACCTTAGCACTCCTTAGCCCTCCTTAGGCCTCCTTACCACTCCTTAGCCCTCCTTGGACCACCTTAGCCCTCCTTAGACCACCTTAGCCCTCCTTAGGCCTCCTTAGCTCCCCTTAGCCCTCCTTAGGCCTCCTTAGCCCTCCTTAGCCCTCCTTTGGCCTCCTTAGCCCACCTTAGCCCTCCTTAGGCCTCCTTAGCCCTCCTTAGCCCTCCTTAGCCCTCCTTAGACATCCTTAGCTCCCCTTAGCCCTCCTTAGGCCTCCTTAGCACTCCTTTGGCCTCCTTAGCCCACCTTAGCCCTCCTTGGGCCTCCTTAGCCCTCCTTAGGCCTCCTTAGCCCTCCTTAGCTCTCCTTAGCCCTCCTTAGGCCTCCTTAGGCCTCCTTAGGCCTCCTTAGACATCCTTAGCTCTCCTTAGCCCTCCTTAGGCTTCCTTAGCCCTCCTTAGACATCCTTAGCTCTCCTTAGCCCTCCTTAGCCCTCCTTAGACATCCTTAGCTCTCCTTAGCCCTCCTTAGCTCTCCTTAGCCCTCCTTTGGCCTCCTTAGACCACCTTAGCCCTCCTTAGACATCCTTAGCCCTCCTTAGCCCTCCTTAGACCACCTTAGCCCTCCTTAGCCCTCCTTAGACTACCTTAGCCCTCCTTAGACATCCTTAGCTCTCCTTAGGCCTCCTTAGCCCTCCTTAGCCCTCCTTAGACATCCTTAGCTCTCCTTAGCCTTCCTTAGCCTACCTTAGACCTCCTTAAAGTGCTACTGCAACGAAATTTTCGACCCGATTTTTATTAGCCTAAACAAATATTCAGCCTTTTAGAAACAATTTGATGTATATATGACTTTTGTGTGTTAAGTAGAAGTTGACTAATTTTACCCTCAAACCTCGGTATCAAATGCGAACTTTTATAGCCGCCATGTTTGCTGATGTGACGTCATAACGAGTACCGATATTTCGAAGCTTATGGTAATATATATAGCTTGTGTGTTGTCCGCTTCAAATTTTCGAGCTTGACGCGGAGAACCAAATCATTTTATTTTGAAATGGAAGTTAATTCTGTTAACTAACATATATTGAAGAAATGCCTGGTAAAGGGTCTGAAAATATACGCCGATTTGTTAGAAAATTCAAACTAGTCTTAGCCCGTCTGACAGAGATATAATGTAGTAATATATGCCATATATAAGCATGTATATCTTGTGCCGCATAGTCCTTTATGCCACAAAGTCCTACGTAAGACGATCTTGAAGAACTTAAAAAAACTGCTTAGCCTTTCAGTAAAACAAGACGAAGGCAATGATATGATGTCCTTGTTACTGATAATATTGGTGTATGCTATGCGATATATTCCCGCAAACCATAAACAGTAATATACTGGCTATTGTAAATGCCACATTGCCACTGTTTTGCAATAGCGCGTATCGAAATATATCAAACTGAAACACACACTAACACAGGTCCTTTTATCTACATGCATAAATACTCAAGAAACACCAACCTTGCTGATTTAAATTGAACTTCAATGTCTTATGAAACGGCACTCGCCGTGCACATTAAGACACCAAGGCCAACATCAGCTTTATTCAGCATGAATGCATGTGCGCGCAAAGTATCTCCGCATTGATGGTAAAATCAGCCTTTGCCTATATATCAGTTAGCTTTCAACTTGTGCTACGATCAGTTCAGACATCAAATGTATGCACAGAATCTTCTTTCGATACTCTTTTATTTAAGGGATCTTGCTAAACAAGAGTCATATACGAATCTTTGAAATCGACTTAGCCGCGCAAAGAACCGCACCATGAAACAGAAAGTCGGAACAAAATTCAATATTTTCTTCGACTTTGGCGATCCATTTTTTCGTTAGGAACATATGTATAGATATTTAATAATTTTGATGAATACTGGCTTAGTAGGGACTGTAAGAAACGCAGCTTCTTCGTCGATGAGGCTACTTAACACTAGTATTTTTACGCCATGCTAAGAATCGGTACTCTTTTCTACGTCACAAACTACATTATGGCGGAGCAAAAGTTCGCATGTCTAAGTGGCAAAAATCGCGACTTTGGAAAGCTATAAAAATCTTTTGAGAAAGCCAATTTTGATTATGTTTTCAAAAATGAAATCAGGAAAGTGAGAACTTTAAATTGAGCCAATAAAAATGAGGTCAAAAATTTCGTTGCGGTAGCACTTTAAAAGGTATGTTATGTATTTTCCGTGTAATGTGATATATTTTTGGAAAGAAATAAGAAGATGTATAGACGGCTAAGGAGGTCTAAGGTAGGCTAAGGCGGTCAAAGGAAAGCTAAGGAGGGCTAAGGAAGTCTAAGGTGGGCTAAGGAGGGCTAAGGCGGTCTAAGGAGGTTTAAGGAGGTTTAAGGAGGTCTAAGGAGGGCTAAGGAGGGCTAAGGAGGTCTAAGGTGGGCTGAGGAGGTCTAAGGTAAGCTAAGGAGGGGTAAGGAGGCCTAAGGAGGGCTAAGGAAGGCTAAGGATGTCTAAGGAGGGCTAAGGAGGGCTAAGGAGGCCTAAGGAGGCCTAAGGAGGGCTAAGGGGAGCTAAGGATGTCTAAGGAGGGCTAAGGAGGGCTAAGGAGGGCTAAGGAGGGCTAAGGTGGTGTAAGGAGGCCAAAGGAGGGCTAAGGATGTCTAAGGAGGGCTAAGGTGGGCTAAGGAGGCCAAAGGAGGGCTAAGGAGAGCTAAGGATGTCTAAGAAGGGCTAAGGAGGGCTAAGGAGGTCTAAGGTGGGCTAAGGAGGGCTAAGGAGGCCTAAGAAGAGCTAAGGAGGGCTAAGAAGGCCTAAGGAGGTCTAAGGAGGGCTAAGGAGGCCTAAGGAGGGCTAAGGAGTGCTAAGGTGGTGTAAGGAGGCCAAAGGAGGGCTAAGGAGGGCTAAGGATGTCTAAGGAGGGCTAAGGATGGCTAAGGAGGTCTAAGGTGGGCTAAGGAGGGCTAAGGAGGGCTAAGGTGGTGTAAGGAGGCCAAAGGAGGGCTAAGGATGTCTAAGGAGGGCTAAGGTGGGCTAAGGAGGCCAAAGGAGGGCTAAGGAGGCCTAAGGAGGGCTAAGGAGAGCTAAGGATGTCTAAGGAGGGCTAAGGAGGGCTAAGGAGGTCTAAGGTGGGCTAAGGAGGGCTAAGGAGGCCTAAGAAGAGCTAAGGAGGGCTAAGGAGGCCTAAGGAGGTCTAAGGAGGGCTAAGGAGGCCTAAGGAGGGCTAAGGAGTGCTAAGGTGGTGTAAGGAGGCCAAAGGAGGGCTAAGGAGGGCTAAGGATGTCTAAGGAGGGCTAAGGATGGCTAAGGAGGTCTAAGGTGGGCTAAGGAGGGCTAAGGAGGCCTAAGGAGGGCTAAGGAGGGCTAAGGAGTGCTAAGGAGTGCTAAGGTGGTGTAAGGAGGCCAAAGGAGGGCTAAGGAGGGCTAAGGATGTCTAAGGAGGGCTAAGGATGGCTAAGGAGGTCTAAGGTGGGCTAAGGAGGGCTAAGGAGGGCTAAGGAGGCCAAAGGAGGGCTAAGGATGTCTAAGGAGGGCTAAGGATGGCTAAGGAGGTCTAAGGTGGGCTAAGGAGGGCTAAGGAGGGCTAAGGAGGGCTAAGGTGGTGTAAGGAGGCCAAAGGAGGGTTAAGGATGTCTAAGGAGGGCTAAGGTGGGCTAAGGAGGCCAAAGGAGGGCTAAGGAGGCCTAAGGAGGCCTAAGGAGGCCTAAGGAGGGCTAAGGAGAGCTAAGGATGTCTAAGGAGGGCTAAGGAGGGCTAAGGAGGTCTAAGGTGGGCTAAGGAGGGCTAAGGAGGCCTAAGAAGAGCTAAGGAGGGCTAAGAAGGCCTAAGGAGGTCTAAGGAGGGCTAAGGAGGCCTAAGGAGGGCTAAGGAGTGCTAAGGTGGTGTAAGGAGGCCAAAGGAGGGCTAAGGAGGGCTAAGGATGTCTAAGGAGGGCTAAGGATGGCTAAGGAGGTCTAAGGTGGGCTAAGGAGGGCTAAGGAGGGCTAAGGAGGGCTAAGGTGGTGTAAGGAGGCCAAAGGAGGGCTAAGGATGTCTAAGGAGGGCTAAGGTGGGCTAAGGAGGCCAAAGGAGGGCTAAGGAGGCCTAAGGAGGCCTAAGGAGGGCTAAGGAGAGCTAAGGATGTCTAAGGAGGGCTAAGGAGGGCTAAGGAGGTCTAAGGTGGGCTAAGGAGGGCTAAGGAGGCCTAAGAAGAGCTAAGGAGGGCTAAGGAGGCCTAAGGAGGTCTAAGGAGGGCTAAGGAGGCCTAAGGAGGGCTAAGGAGTGCTAAGGTGGTGTAAGGAGGCCAAAGGAGGGCTAAGGAGGGCTAAGGATGTCTAAGGAGGGCTAAGGATGGCTAAGGAGGTCTAAGGTGGGCTAAGGAGGGCTAAGGAGGCCTAAGGAGGGCTAAGGAGGGCTAAGGAGTGCTAAGGAGTGCTAAGGTGGTGTAAGGAGGCCAAAGGAGGGCTAAGGAGGGCTAAGGATGTCTAAGGAGGGCTAAGGATGGCTAAGGAGGTCTAAGGTGGGCTAAGGAGGGCTAAGGAGGGCTAAGGAGGCCAAAGGAGGGCTAAGGATGTCTAAGGAGGGCTAAGGATGGCTAAGGAGGTCTAAGGTGGGCTAAGGAGGGCTAAGGAGGGCTAAGGAGGGCTAAGGTGGTGTAAGGAGGCCAAAGGAGGGCTAAGGATGTCTAAGGAGGGCTAAGGTGGGCTAAGGAGGCCAAAGGAGGGCTAAGGAGGCCTAAGGAGGCCTAAGGAGGCCTAAGGAGGGCTAAGGAGAGCTAAGGATGTCTAAGGAGGGCTAAGGAGGGCTAAGGAGGTCTAAGGTGGGCTAAGGAGGGCTAAGGAGGCCTAAGAAGAGCTAAGGAGGGCTAAGAAGGCCTAAGGAGGTCTAAGGAGGGCTAAGCAGGCCTAAGGAGGGCTAAGGAGTGCTAAGGTGGTGTAAGGAGGCCAAAGGAGGGCTAAGGAGGGCTAAGGATGTCTAAGGAGGGCTAAGGTGGGCTAAGGAGGCCAAAGGAGGGCTAAGGAGGCCTAAGGAGGCCTAAGGAGGGCTAAGGAGAGCTAAGGATGTCTAAGGAGGGCTAAGGAGGGCTAAGGAGGTCTAAGGTGGGCTAAGGAGGGCTAAGGAGGCCTAAGAAGAGCTAAGGAGGGCTAAGGAGGCCTAAGGAGGTCTAAGGAGGGCTAAGGAGGCCTAAGGAGGGCTAAGGAGGGCTAAGGTGGTGTAAGGAGGCCAAAGGAGGGCTAAGGAGGGCTAAGGATGTCTAAGGAGGGCTAAGGATGGCTAAGGAGGTCTAAGGTGGGCTAAGGAGGGCTAAGGAGGCCTAAGGAGGGCTAAGGAGGCCTAAGGAGGGCTAAGGAGTGCTAAGGTGGTGTAAGGAGGCCAAAGGAGGGCTAAGGAGGGCTAAGGATGTCTAAGGAGGGCTAAGGATGGCTAAGGAGGTCTAAGGTGGGCTAAGGAGGGCTAAGGAGGGCTAAGGGTGTAAGGAGGCCAAAGGAGGGCTAAGGATGTCTAAGGAGGGCTAAGGTGGGCTAAGGAGGCCAAAGGAGGGCTAAGGAGGCCTAAGGAGGCCTAAGGAGGGCTAAGGAGAGCTAAGGATGTCTAAGGAGGGCTAAGGAGGGCTAAGGAGGTCTAAGGTGGGCTAAGGAGGGCTAAGGAGGCCTAAGAAGAGCTAAGGAGGGCTAAGGAGGCCTAAGGAGGTCTAAGGAGGGCTAAGGAGGCCTAAGGAGGGCTAAGGAGTGCTAAGGTGGTGTAAGGAGGCCAAAGGAGGGCTAAGGAGGGCTAAGGATGTCTAAGGAGGGCTAAGGATGGCTAAGGAGGTCTAAGGTGGGCTAAGGAGGGCTAAGGAGGCCTAAGGAGGGCTAAGGAGGGCTAAGGAGTGCTAAGGAGTGCTAAGGTGGTGTAAGGAGGCCAAAGGAGGGCTAAGGAGGGCTAAGGATGTCTAAGGAGGGCTAAGGATGGCTAAGGAGGTCTAAGGTGGGCTAAGGAGGGCTAAGGAGGGCTAAGGAGGCCAAAGGAGGGCTAAGGATGTCTAAGGAGGGCTAAGGATGGCTAAGGAGGTCTAAGGTGGGCTAAGGAGGGCTAAGGAGGGCTAAGGAGGGCTAAGGTGGTGTAAGGAGGCCAAAGGAGGGCTAAGGATGTCTAAGGAGGGCTAAGGTGGGCTAAGGAGGCCAAAGGAGGGCTAAGGAGGCCTAAGGAGGCCTAAGGAGGCCTAAGGAGGGCTAAGGAGAGCTAAGGATGTCTAAGGAGGGCTAAGGAGGGCTAAGGAGGTCTAAGGTGGGCTAAGGAGGGCTAAGGAGGCCTAAGAAGAGCTAAGGAGGGCTAAGAAGGCCTAAGGAGGTCTAAGGAGGGCTAAGGAGGCCTAAGGAGGGCTAAGGAGTGCTAAGGTGGTGTAAGGAGGCCAAAGGAGGGCTAAGGAGGCCTAAGGATGCTAAGGAGGGCTAAGGAGGGCTAAGGAAGGCTAAGGATGGGCTAAGGAGGGCTAAGGAGGCTAAGGAGGGCTAAGGTGGTGTAAGGAGGCTAAAGGAGGGCTAAGGAGTCTAAGGAGGGCTAAGGTGGGCTAAGGAGGCCAAAGGAGGGCTAAGGAGGCCTAAGGAGGGCTAAGGAGGCCTAAGGAGGGCTAAGGGTGTCTAAGGAGGGCTAAGGAGGGCTAAGGAGGTCTAAGGTGGGCTAAGGAGGGCTAAGGAGGCCTAAGAAGAGCTAAGGAGGGCTAAGGAGGCCTAAGGAGGTAAGGAGGGCTAAGGAGGCCTAAGGAGGGCTAAGGAGTGCTAAGGTGGTGTAAGGAGGCCAAAGGAGGGCTAAGGAGGGCTAAGGATGTCTAAGGAGGGCTAAGGATGGCTAAGGAGGTCTAAGGTGGGCTAAGGAGGGCTAAGGAGGCCTAAGGAGGGCTAAGGAGGGCTAAGGAGTGCTAAGGAGTGCTAAGGTGGTGTAAGGAGGCCAAAGGAGGGCTAAGGAGGGCTAAGGATGTCTAAGGAGGGCTAAGGATGGCTAAGGAGGTCTAAGGTGGGCTAAGGAGGGCTAAGGAGGCCTAAGGAGGGCTAAGGAGGGCTAAGGTGGTGTAAGGAGGCCAAAGGAGGGCTAAGGATGTCTAAGGAGGGCTAAGGATGGCTGAGGGAGACTGAGGAGGACTAAGGTATGTGATACACTATAATATGTGATACATTATAATAGGGGTCACATAAAGTAACTACCTAATTTTTTATGCGAAGACCGCTGAAAAACTGAGCCCTCTTTACCGGGAGAAAATTTGCCGAATATGACCAACGTGATATTTTTCAAGATGGCGTCAATGCAGCGAGTGAGCTTTAAAAAATAAAAGATAATCTCTAAATTTATTGGCATTCTTTTATTAATTTTTTTTAAATACCATTAATCTTTGAAAACAACAAGGTCAGATTGGATAAAACAGAGAAGAAATTGAACGGTAATATATAATTATGTGATTTTAAAACTGCCTTTTGTAAAGTGTAGATTACCTCCGAGTCATTCTTGTCGGTTATTTGGACTCTATATCTGGCCTCTCTCCGCGCTGAAGTTTTCCTTTTTGGCATTCCTCTCGGCGGAGATAGCAGTTGTTTATACATATCAAGCTGACCAGGCCATGTTTGGGATGGTTTTGACTTCCTCCCTCGGTTATATCGACCTGGAGCTGCGCTGTTTACGGTAAAGAAGACAGTAAAGAATATGACCCAAAGAAGATGGATTCCGTGAAGGCTAGAAGATGGCAGGGTCCAGAAAAATCTCAGGTAAAATTTCTTTCAGAGTTTTTCTCAGAGTAATATAAAATGCAATGACTAATAACCACATCACCATATTACTGACGCGTATATTTCATCCCTTGATAATTTACTTTCGAGTTTTGACTTGTTATCTAAATAGGCTTTTCGACTTTAGTTTTAACTGACAAGGGTCAGTGATTAGACGTAACTCATATTAGTCAATAGTCAGATGTAAGCTTGAACTCCTTAACTGTGCAGGCATATCAAAAGCGATGACAAAAAATCGCATTGGAAACGTCCACAAAAAATCGCATTGGAAACGCCCATTGCTATTGACACGATTAGGCATTACATTTTAAGCTGCACGGGTCTGTGTAGAAAAGAGATTTCATAAAGCGTAACCTATATTGAAGAATGGTGAATCTTTGTATCCTACCTTAGCCTCCGACCTCTGGTGTTGCCATTGCTATGGATATATTGCTTCAAGACTTGCTGAAGCTGCCTGCATTGTTCATCCAACTCTTGCAATCTCACCGTCTGTTCTTCCGTGTACAACTCGTTGTCGACGGCCTCTATTTTTGCTGCTTCAAAATCTGCTTGAAGCTTAGCTAGCTGCTCGCTTAGCTCCTGTAAAGTTTGAGAGGTATTTAGGTGTTACCCGCGAGGCATATCTTGATAACGATTGTTCCAAAGAGAGACTCTTACCACTTTCTTGTTCAAAGTCTCTTCCAGCGATTTTTCGTTATTTCTTAACTTTTCTGCAACTTCAATTTTGTCTTTCTCCAGGACTACTATACTGTCTTTCAGAGATTTTGCTTCCTTTCTTAGAATTTCAGCATTTGCAATGTTAGCCACGAGATCCTATAAAAAAAATTGCGAAACGCATCTTCAGAATTAATAGCGTTTGCGACGGGCAAACTAAATGCTTGTGAATGTAGGTTGAAACTCTGTTAAAGAGAGTGGACTCATTAATGAACTGAGGTTAGATTTACCTTCTGATGAGATTCAGAGTTCTTAATTAAGACACTATGCTGCTTTTCCTTCTCGTGGATAATCTTCGTGTATGTCTGGGGTTAGTAAAGAGTATTATTAAGTTCTCACTTTCATGACAAGATTCATGGTACTGGCATGGTGGTGGTGATGATAACATATGTATAGTTTTGATATAATAGTGATGACAATGATGGTGAATGACCACGGGAGGGTCATCAATTCAGAAAAGATCGTTGGTAATCATTTTAACGATTCAATTTCACCTCCTGAGTATCGGCGTACTTTCTCTCAAGCTCCTTCAACCTTCGTTCATTCTCCACAAGTTTTTCCTTGGCAATCTGCGGATGATAGTATATAAAAGCCAAAATATGAGAACTGTACTGGAATGTACTTAAATTTCAAGTCATGGCTTTTCATTTATTTTATGGTATGTATTATGCTTTATGACACGAGAACTCTTCTCAAAATATTGAAAAAAATACCTTTAAGGTATCTTTCAGTTCCGTTATCTCGAGTTGTAACATTTGATTCCTCCTTCCTCGTTTTCCAGCCAGCTTTCTAAATACGTAATGAGATCATACACGTTTGAGTAGTCATTATTCGTGAAGATCCATGAGAAAATTTACCGCGCTAAACGATGAAAATGTAAATTTTTCACGAGGAAAAAAAGGATTTTTCACGACGTATTCTTACTGGTGATTCTTCAACTCTTTCAGAACTTCCTCCAGTTCAAAATCGAGTCTTATTCTCTGCTCATTTTCTCTTTCATACTTTTCTTTCCATGTTTTTGATTGTTCGATAAATTCTGCATTCTTTGTGTCAACCGCTCTATTTCTTTCCTCCGCCTTAGAAACTTTATCTTTCAGTAGGACGATCTCTTCTTTAAGCTTGTCAACCGTTTCCAAGTCTCCCAGCTCTGAAAGCAAATTTGACGGGAAATTAGCAAATGAGAGTGTGCACAAGAGTTTCATCTCTGGAACAAGGTTATTTCGAAAAAATCGCGTATAATGAATACCTGCATTATGCTTCTTTAGTAATTCCACCAAATTTCGCGATTCCTCCGTAGCCTCTTTCCATTTTTTTACTAGAGCATCTTTTTGACCAAACTAAAATGCGTAAATGAAGGCATTTCTATTGGAATTCCATGTTTTCTTTAAATCGTGGAATTACTAGTTCTGTTAACTCAGTAACTCTTATCCTAGATGATGATTATCCTTAATCTTTATCAAAGATCTAATCTTAACTCTTATCATTAAGCTAATCCTAACACAAGACTTAACTCGTAAACCTGCATGGTCTAATCCGAATTAATCTGAATCTTAACTCTTACCCTGAATATCCTGAAGTCTGAAGATTATGTTACAAACTGTTGTACAGATAACACAGAACACGAAAATACCTACCAGTTTATCGACTGCTTCCAAGGCTTTGACTGCTTCTTTATAATCGTTGGACAACTTCGCGTTGTCCGCAGATGCTGCTTTGAGATTTTCTTTCATTTCGAAAATAATTTCCTGTGATTTGAGCATACCAAGTAAATGCTTCTCCAATTCTTCGTTTCGCTGTAACATTCTTTCTTCGATATTTTGGTTATGGCTTGACGATTGTTCCAATTTTTCGAACTTTGTCTTCAGGGTTTCATTTAGATCCTTTAGTCGTCTGATTTCCTCTGTTTGCTCCTTGTTTGAAATCTGAAGGTTTGAAAGTTTTCTTTCGAGATTTTCAAGTCCACTGTGGTCTTGGTTTGCAAAGTTGGCTGGTTGGGTAGGTGTAGTCTTGGAAGCAGAGGTAATTTCTGGTTTCTTATTGGTTTGTGGTCCATGCAAGGTGTCATTTTTCACTACGTCACCCCCTTGTTTGCTACTGTCTGCAGTACCATGTAATATACTATTGCTACTCGTACCATTACCTTGGGTACCATTACCTACATTTCCACCATCCCTGTCAAAGTTGGCAGCACCATCTGTATTTCCATCATCATTGTTTTGGTTAGTTTCAGCTTTTGTATGACCATCGATGCTAGTACCCAAATTGTTGGCCAGAAGACTTTTCATGGTACTATTATTACCATCATGTTGGTTGCTTGTATGGGAATTGTTTTTGGTAACATCATTCTGGACTTTGGCACCATTATTGTTTTCATCACCTTGGTTTATCTGGCTGTTACCGTCATTACTCTGGCCATGACCATCATGCAATTCATCATCCAGCACAATTTTTTGAAGCTCAGCAAGGATTCTAGCATGGTCCTTCAAGTCCGAATCATCACTCACCGTTCCAGAACTGTTAAGGTTACCTTTGATCAAATCCGGGGGATTGTGAGCTGATGGTATTATAATGTCAGAGCTGCCACTGGTTGATGGTTCACCATAGCTGCTAGAGGTGGTTGGAATTGACTCAGAGGTACCATCCACCTGGTCTTTTAGCCTTCCTCCATTGTTGTGACCAGAGACCGATAAAGGACTTAACTTTAGTGGTAATTTGTTTTGAAGTCCTGTATATTGATTACCTTGATCAATGCTGTCTTCTGTGTTTCCACCATTCACTATGATGTCATTGCTATTTTTAGAATCATTGCTTGGCAAACTTGCAGTATCTTTAGATGTTGCTGGAGAATGGATTTGATTTTGTGTTGCATCAAACTGTTTAAGATGGCTACCTCTTTTTGCCGGAAAGAACTCTACTTCCTCTTCAGTGCTGTCATCAAGACTCACATCGCTGTCACTATCTGTATCACTCGTGAGGGATGATATGTCCTCTCCACTGCTATCATTGTCCTTTTTGGCTTCTTCCTGTATCATTCCCAGCTTCTTCTTGTCTTTTTCATGCAAGGTTGCACCAGCATTATCTTTGCTGGAATCTTTCACTTTTTCTGAAGTGATCAAATTTTCTTCCAACTTTTTGAAGTTATCCAGATGGTTGACATGGTTTGTTAGTACTGTACCATTCATTGTTTTTACCTTATCTATGTGAACAAAACACAAATTATTGATCAGTGTGAAGCTCTTATCTTTAAAGTATAACAGATCACCTTTAGGGGTCATACATAAGGTGATTTGTGTCACAACATGACAGACAGAAAAGACATGGAAAGAAAACTATGTACTATTATGAATGTTGCTAATCAAGAGCTCTAGGCTTTTATAAAGTTTTAGGCAAGTTTGCTGTTCAGATAAAAAGGCTTAAAAAATATTAATTTTTAACCACGTCTAGATGAATATAGTAACAACGCCGTTGTTGCTAAGCAACTTGACACAGCTAAACTTATACGGAACATTATACTTTATACTTTTATAAATACGCAGAATTCAAGATTTAGCTTGAAAATGCGAGTAGATAACTGCAGACAATTTAGTATTTTTTCTTTTTCATTGTAAACTTCAGCTTGGAGATATTTATAAGCCGTTTTAAAGCTATCAAAGTATCAAGTATATGCAATATCGCGTGATAGTTCTAATATGTTTACAATTCATTACATAAAATGTAACATAAAATAAACTCCAGATATACTTATACAAATCGCTATAAAACAGTTCAGTTCTTTCTGCTATGTCCTATAAATGTCGTTTAAGTACGTTTCAGAGTTAGATCAAGTATAGAAATCAAGCGAATGAAGTCTTTATGAACTATAAAAGCAGGTTTAATACTAGATCACTCGCCATACCTGACACAAGTTGATCATTTAATTCGCTCCTGAAATTTGTAATAGCGTCTCTCAATACCTCAACCGCTAAGGCGTCACAATAACTGCGTACCGTATCTGTGCTCTGCGAAAGTGTCATCTAATATTCATGATTCGCGAACGTCTAATCTTTAGTATTAATCCAAAGATCAAATACTAGCGCCTCAAAACAAAACCGCAGGATGACCACTGCTGACTGCTGCGTCCAACGGTCCAAGTTTAATTTGCGCAAAGATCAGCCAGTTTGCGCTCTTTGCCCTTGTTGTACGTCGTTTCAATTTGCAAAAATATCATAATGCTTCAAAGTTCACCGCTAAATTGGCCAATTTCTTGGTGTTAAATGGATCCTTGTCAATATTTGTTGTATTTTTGATGTCAGATATAAAGTAAACAAGCTCTCGTTGTTACTATGACAACTAATTGAAAACAAAGTGTTCTTTTACTAGTTTTTTCAACATTTGCATAATTGTTTCTCTTCCTGAAAAGGCTGGAACTAGCAGTATGGATTGTGGCCATTAAGCGACGAGAGTGGGGGGTTAGGTCTTTCCCCATGCATTATTTACCCCACTTCTTTTTCTTGTACACCTATCATTCTGAGCACCCCTTGGGCCCAAGTGTCTAGCAAATTGCCCGATTTTGTTTCCCCTTTTCCCTCCCAGAAGTCTGACGCTTTCTACAGGATCAAATCTTCATTTATATTAAAAATTGACTTCCCTTTTTTCGTCTAAACCATTCGTCACAAAAATGAAAATGTTGGAAAAATTCAGTTCACATTGATAGGATAACATGAAGTTTTGCACAAATCAGTTGGTCATAATCAATATGGCCGATTGCAAAGTAGTTTTCGCGTGTTTATTTTCATCCGTTTCTCGGCATCCTAGATGTGTTTTAAACACTCTGTCTCTATGCAGGAGGTTTTTCGCAACTGGCGCTATACGCAGAGGGGAAAATGACACCGACAATGCCACAAATATGTTTGAATTTTATCAGAAAAATCCCAAACATTTGAAAGATCTGAATGTCAGAGATATTAGGTTTGATATTGACCAAGAACTGTCAATGGAAAAGGAAAAGGCAGAGAGAAAACCGCCAGTTGTTGAGCCTGAAAAAGCAACTTGGAGTGCAGGATGTAAGAGAGTTGGAGCGATTGGAGTTAAATTGGGTATGATTCCCTTGTGGCTGAAGAATGGCAGAAGAGTTCCAGTGACATTAGTACAGGTAATGTATATAGATCAGTTATTTTGATACCATGCTCTTTGACTAATGAAAGTAATAAGTAGATATTTTTTCTCCCATAGCTTAAAGATTGTCAAGTTCTTGCTATGCGGATATCCAGAGAACTTGGTGGAAATGATGACATAACTGCCCTGGAAGTTGGCGCTGTAAATGAGAATGATCTGGAAAAGGTATGCCAAAGTGTTTTATTGGGTTTGATCTTCCATGGTTTGTTGTCTCACCTCACCAATTTGGACCCACCTGGTCAGTCTTTAGGAGTGGTTTTGCAAATATCCATTAACAGTTGTTTAGGAATTGCTCTGATAACCAAGTTTTTAAGGTAAACAAGGCAGATTTTGGACGATTTGTGAAATATGGAGTTCTTCCTAAAAGAAAAGTTGCAAGTTTTCCTGTTAGTCCAAGTGCTCTTCTTCTTCCAGGTAAATAGACAATCATTTTTCCGTTGTATAAGTTATCATTAATTTTCCTTTGGTAACGATTGGTGCTTTCTCTCAATAGGAACTGAGATTCTTGGTGGGCATTTTTATCCTGGACAGTTCATTACGGTACAAGCCAAATCGTAAGTAGGGATAATATTGATGTTGGGCAATATATGTTTTGCTATCTGATCATGTGAACAAGGCTGGATATCTTTTCTGAAGGAAAGACAAAGGATTTCAAGGTGTGATGAAGAGGTGGGGAATGAAAGGTCAACCTGCATCTCATGGCCAGACCAAAACACATAGAAAAATGGGAGCAACTGGTGGAGGAGGGGTAAATTGCTTTTTTTGACCTAGTCAAATTCAACTTTCTTCACTATTCGATTTCATTGAGTTATGTTAAAGCTGGAATTTACAGGCTGTGAATATCTCTACCTTTACAGCAAAGACATGTATCTTCATTGCATCTTTTTAAACTTGTTACAGACTCCAGGTAGAATCTGGCCAGGTAAAAAGATGCCTGGTCACATGGGAAATAAGAATAGAACTGTCTATGGTACAAAGGTTGGTACATTCTCCTAAATATTCACCTATGAAAAAGTTCACAAAAATCCCTTACAAACAATCAATGATACCTTGATATCTATTTGAATCTCATGATCTAGAATAAACTTGGAAACAAATTTCCAAACCCAAAATTAAACCCCAGCTTGCAAGCTTGGACAGGATACCTTTATTCTATCGCATTGAAATTTACTCAATGTATGCTTGCAAGAGCAATGATAAATACAAACTTGTAATACCCAACCAGGGGTATAAAACATGGGCCCACAAGAATGTAGAAATGTTTGTTTGCGATTTAAGATTTACCGAATCAACACAAAGTACAATGTTCTCTACATTCACGGTCAAATCCCTGGGCCAAACGGTGGGATGGTCAAAGTTCAAGATGGTGTGGCCGGGCATAAAGAGGCACCCCCATACCCCACATATTTACCCCACACCCATGGACCTCTCCCTGAAGAACTAATTGATGAAAGTGTCCAAGACTTTGCAAATGACTCAATCAGCTTTTCAAAGGGATAAAAAATCGCGAAAATTGGTAGATGGTTAAGTTAAACTGTACTAAAAACTGGGGGTTTGACTGAGAGTCCTCCCCCCAGATTCCATGGCTGGGAGACACGCGCGCACCTCCATCCTTGATGGGCAAAGCTGTGACGCGGGAAAAGAACGCTTGCGCGGTTGCATTACGTAATTTTTCATCTGCGATCATTGCTCTGTGTTTTGCGACAAATAAAAACAGACAAAATTCAAGATGGCGGATTAACAAATTTTACTAGTGCGAAAGACCACATGATTACATTTGATTAATATTAAGGATGTTCGTTTTGTGGCTGGTAATTTTTTCTTCAATGGCTTTGCATTCTTCGAGCTTTGAATTTGGATATTTTTCTTGGTTCTGGATTCTGTTCCTGTCGAAAATGAGGAGGAACGGGTGTAGAAAAACTCGTGATTACTAATAGAAACAGTATAAACTGGTTATACATACGTAAAGGTGCGATTTTCTTCTTTTGATAGATGTGAACGAGAGAATTAATTACTAATGTTCAAATAAGAGCTCGTATTAACCAGAGCATTTGTAACTAATTACTCCTTCACATCTATCAAAAGAGGAAAATCGCACGTAAAACCGCAGCAAAAGTGTAAATGGCCCATAACATACCGTATCTTTTTTAACGGTAGCATTTGCAGCAATTGATCTATCATGTTCAACAACAACATTAGAAAACGCCTAAAATTGAATAAAATTAAATATTTTTCACTATATTCCATATTTTAAAATTAAGTCAAAATTTCACCGTAACACGAAAAACAAGGACTAAAGTTTAAGTAAGCGAGCCTGGCTATTGAATAGTTAAGAAAGGGTTATTTATTTGCATTTCAAATCAATGCTGACAGCCATTCTTCACACCTGCGGTATAGTCTGTTTTTCTGTATTCTCTAATTTCTTTCCCTGGCTCGATATTGGCAAATCGTCCTTGGCCTTTGGAGCTTTTTCATCTAACGAACCTTTAACCGCTGGCTGAGCAGACTGTACCATGGTTAACTTTTTATTCTGGTGGTCTGCGAAAATGTCTCCTGGGGATGTTATATTGTCACTTTCCCTTGATATTACCTAAGAGAAGAGATAATATCTACAAAATTGTGGTGTGTGTTACCGTATTGCGTTCCAATAGACCTCTCTTATAATGACGTCTAACGCGGGAAGTCTGATGTTACACGAAATTTAATTGGCTCCACAAAACTGTCGAGCCGATCAAGCTTCGTGTAACATCAGACTTTCCGCGTTTGACGTCATTATGAAAAAGGTCCATTAGATGCAGTCAAATTTGCACCTCAAAAATCTCATTTCCATTCATCTTACCGTTCCTGTTGAATGAGTGAAGTATATCGTAGCGGATTCCCCTTTCGGATAAGCGACTCCTTCGCTTTCAACAATATTCTCTTTCCATGAAACTCTTTTTACTAAACCCTTCCGTTCTGAATCATTTGAATTTTTGCCCTGTTTCGCGTTTCTTCAGTACCGTTTTGCACGCTTTTCGTGCGGCGCGCATTTGTCGCACGTGGTTTTGCAACAGGTTCTTGCCTACTTCGGTTACTCGTATCTGAGCTCGCTGAAGTCGGGCTTTCAGAGCGAAAGCTTGCGTGCGTTTCCTCAGTTCGCGTGCTCTCGTTTTTCCTGTTCGTGTTGCACGACTCGACAAAGTATTGTTCGTTTTCGAGCTCGTTTTTATTTATTTGTTCCCTTTTTTCGAGCTCCTCCAGTCTTGCAAACAGATTCTCGTCTTCCTTAGATCTGGTCGCCCTACTAGTGGGATTACGTTGTAAATCTACTTTCTTCACGCAGTCTTTTGTTGCCTTCTGGTGAGCCAACCTTCGTGATTTCTTACCTTGATATGGAATATATGCTAATTAGAATATCTGGAAGACCAATTTGGGTCTAACCAATGGCCCTTAAAATACCCTGTCTTTGTTTATCCTTTTCTGTCAGTTCTTCCTTGATTTCCTGATAATCATTTTGTTTCTATAGGATTGAATAAGCTAACCGTTTAACTCAAACCAATTTCATTCTTTTGACCCCTACCATGCAATGTATCTAAATGTTACCTGAACATTAACCACGTCTGTGGTGAAAGCCATATGTGACAGTATATTTTCATGTTCTTTGTGGAGATTGGCTAAATATTCTTCCACACCTGAACAAATATATATATGTATTTCATATAATAAATCTGGTTGTCATTCTATCAACATGAAATATTACATGCAGTCTTACTACATGTTGAGACATTTGTACCAGCATAACATGGGTGATTTACAGTTCACCCACCGGTAACAAGTAAATTTATCTTGAGTAAGATTACATTGAATACTGAAGTAGGCTGGTCTCAGTTAACATAGTAACCATCATTACATTATTAATGGCTAACATTTCTCAAGTTCTCTTACTCTTCAGACGACGTTTTGCTATCTCCACAGCTTGTGTTGCTGATCTTTCAGCAAACCAATTGTCTCCCAATAGGACCATTATTTCATTTGTATGGATAAGATGGCCTGGCATGTATGCCAAAGGACTTATGGGAACCTAGATGTTGCAAATGAAAAAATTGCAATTTGCTGTGAAGTAGGTATAACTTGCTGGTGAGATGTATAAAACATTTTTTTCAGATCACTTGCAGACTTGCCATAACATCATGTGTGAGCTTCTTTGGTAAATCAGTCAACAGTTTTTCAACAGTTTCATAATCCTCTTTAAATTTTTCCCTGTTGTAGAAATTATAGCTAAAGGGAATTGCTTGATGCACAATGAAATTGTTTAAAGGTCAGGAAATACATTAGGGGAGAGATGTGAGTAACAATGATCGGAAGGAAGGAAGATTGGGGGCATGCTTTGCATAAAGTAGTTAATGGTATATATACAATGTGTGATATATATACAATATAGTGAAAACAAACCATTTCTCTATCATTGCTTCACAATGCTTTAAACTCTACAGAGAAGAACAATTTCACATTCACCTAAAATCATATTTTCATCACTCACCTGACAAACACCATATACTGATACACCCATATTTGGGAGTGGGGGTAGATGGTAGTAGGGGGTAACCTTGAGTATGGTGGCCAGAGTAGAGAATTTAGTAGTTTTAGTAAGACTAAAATAGTCCGATATAAGTTTTGAATCACAAACCTTTTCTTGCTCTTCTTGCAATCGCGAGATGCTGTTCAAGTCTGACATCGCGATTATTTAAATTATGAGATTTGCGATGGTGTCAAAAAAATAACATGTGAAGTTGCGAATGTTGCAGAAAGCGGCCAGCGATTTTTATGTCAGCAGTTTTGCCCAAAAGAAATCGGATGTTTTGGCTTGTATTCTCATCGTGAAATTTGAATATTTTTTTTTCTTAGTTTACAAAGCAATAGAGGTCTGAAAATACTAAAAAAGAAGAATACTATTATTATTGACGAGAAGAAGTGATTTTCTAATATTTTTGAACGGACAAAAGCTAGTGTTATATTTTCGCGCCGTTTCAACTTTCAAAACAAATATGGCGGTTGACAATGACAGGGAGGAAAATCCGTTTGTTTGAAGTTTGAACGATTGTTTTTGTACATTTAATTCAAAGAACCATGGAAAATTATGTTTTGTACGACGAATTAGGAAGAGGGACGTATTCTGTCGTTTACAAAGGAAGAAAAAAGGGTTCCGTAGAATACGTTGCCGTGCATTGCGCTGAGAAAACTAAACGACAAGAACTACAAAACATCGTTCAACTGACGCACGAGCTGTCACATGATAATATTGTCATGTTTTACGAATGGTACGAAACGACAAATCATATATGGATGATTGTGGAGCTTTGTACGGGCCAGAGTCTGTCTGTTATGTTAGAAAAGGACGGATGCTTTCCTGAAACGAGTGTGCAAAGTTTTGGACTGGATATTGCAAGGGGTCTGCACTATTTGCATGGTCTGGGAATACTATATTGCGACTTGAGGTGCTCTAAGCTTATTTTGGATGGATATGGTAAAGTCAAGCTTAGTAATTTCTCCCTTGCAAAAATTGAAGATGAATGTGGTATTGATGAGAATGAAGGTAGTATTAACGACGAGGCCCGTAGGCCATCGCCAATGTATATGGCTCCTGAGGTCCTCCATGGTCATCCTCACTCAGTTTCCAGTGAATTGTGGTCATTTGGCTGTGTCCTTTATGAACTATTTACAGGGCGTTTACCATTTGAGGGTGACTCCTTTTCAGAGTTGGTCACTAAAGTTATGACCCAAAACCTTTTATACCCTTTACAGGTGATTAATGGGATAGAAATGGGTCCCTCCGATGAATTTTATAGCTTAGTCCAAATGCTATTGTGCAAGGATAAAGAGTCACGTTTATCATGGAGTGAATTACTTCCTCACCCTTTTTGGGAAGGCAGATTACAGCTATCTGTGGATGATGTGGATGAAGAACTTGAACCAAACAATTTTAAACTAGAAAAACCTGTCTTAGAACAAGAGAAACCTGTTCTGATGCACAGAGAGGAAAAGGAACAAAAAGTGCTAGCAACTGATGATGGGAAATTTTTGAAGAAATCAAACTTACAACAAAGAGTTGCAACAAAATCCAAAGATGACAGGCCAGGGCAGGTTATAAAACAGAGACCAGATTCTGCACCAAATAGTAGCAGTACAGGCATTCAACATGGCACCTACAAAGTTGGCCAATTACGTCCACATACAACACAGTCAAACTTGTCAAAGACACGAAAACTGGCAAAAGAGGTCAACACAAGCAAAGGCAAAGTTTCAACAAAGTCTAGCATGCCCAGAAAAAAACAAACAAAAGAAACCATTGGAATGCTTAGCAATGATGATAAGTTTAAAAACAAACCGGTTGATGCTGTACCAAAGTCAGAAAGTAAAAATCATACTTTAATTGCAATAGAGGCTGTTGGTGGCTTTGATGTGGAAAACATATTGTATCATTCATCAGATTCAATTGTTACTTCTATTGTTGACAACCCCAAAATCAAGAAGATAGTTATGCCAAAATGGGATGCAAAAACATTAGGAAGAACTCCACTAACTGCAGAACAACTACAGGAAGCAAACAATGATGAGCTAACCAAGTATTTTAAGGAGATTTTAAAACTTCTTGGGGAATCAAAACAGAGCACCAGTCATTCTGGTGGTGTTGGTCAGAGAAGTAAACTTCATTGTGCAGCTTATTTGATGTCAATTTTTCAGAGTGCTGATGTTGCAAATTTGGTTGCTAATTCTAATTTGGTCACTGGTTTTTTGCAAGTCATTAAGCACTCCCCATCTGCTGATTTGAAGGCTAGACTAGGTAAATAACTAATGTGGTTTTTATTTCATTCAGTATTAACAGCATCAGAAGTGGGGGCATATGATAAGTTCTGATTGCAAATACTTGAGTCCAAAAACCTGATAGAGCCCATCTACTGATGCATTTACTTACATCCAACTTTTTTTATTGATTGTATTAGGTCTAGCATTGGGATTCCTTGCTGGCAACGCAACACTGATCTCGGACACCTTTAATATGTCTGAAGTGTTCATGGTACTGTCGGAGACTATCAGAGACAACTTCAGGAACTCAAAGTTAAAGCAATCGCTTTTGCCATGTCTCGGAGAGTTTCTGTTTTACGCTGCTACCCAGGAAGAAAATGAAGACAGAGTGAATGAAAATTGGGATGTACCAGGTAGTGAATGTTACAGAAAATTTTTTAAGCAAATGCTTTAAAACGTTTTTGCATAGTTGCATTATCATAAAACAAGTTGATAATTAATCATTCTCAACCCAGGCATTACGTATACGATCATCGTGAAATGTCTACGAGAGGGGGAAGACAGTGTCGTACAACATTACGCTGCAAAAACAATAGAAAATGTCGCAACTACGGACACCCAGCATTGCGAGAAATTCGCCACGGCTGAAACAGCTCAGGTGATAAAAATAAGAGCTTATTTTGTTCTGTTATTCCCCACGTCAAATAATTTTTCAATTTTATTTTGCATCAGATAAGACTGATATGAACCACTGATTCAGCTTCAATTCTTAGCTCTGAATGCTGTTATGTTCTTTCTCGTAGATGCTCTGGAACCTTTTCACTCATTGTTCTGGCGATTCGCAAAAATCAACTGCCATTTCGGCGCTGTGTCGCCTCACTGGTCATTCCGTTGCGCTTTTCCAACACGTCATTGACAATGCGGGTCTGCCAACTGTCCTCAATAACCTAGTCAGCGGCGTTACCAAAGTACAGCAGGCCATCATAACAATGCTTGCGGCATTAGTGAGTAAAGGTGCCCATACGAAACGCCTGATCATAAGCAAAGAGTTTGTACATAAAGTGATGCATTTTCTTGACAGTCCTTCACTTGTAATCCGCAGTAAAGCCTTCGTCGCAGTCGCCGCCATGTCACGTGAACATAATGCCTTATCACGTGAACACAACGCAGTATCACGTGAACACCCAATTGTATCACGTGAAAATCACGTGGCCCTACTTCACTGCTGTCAGTCGAGATTGGTCACGTACATCGAGCGTGATGCGAAGAGGCAAACCCCAGTGAAGGGCGACGTTGAGTCATTGGACTATCTTAGGAATTGCCTAAATTTGTGCATTCAGACCGTGTGTCGTTGCGTGCCAAGCGTTCTTCACAATCTCCTAGTCGCATTGGATGCAGTATCTGGCAGGAGGCATCCGTCTGCAGTGCAAAGCAAGGAGCTGAAGTCTTGCATTCCGTTGCTATCGATTGTATTACATCTGGTTACCAGTAGTGTGTTTAGAGAAAGCGTGGTCAATGAACTGTTTGTCCAAAGTTTAGGTCGATTGGTATCACACGTGGCGTCTATTAATAAAGGTTCAACCAGTATCAGCAGCACTCCAAGACAGGCACCAACAGGCGATCCGCTTACCAATCTAGTGCTGTCCATAATCGAGGCAATCGCTCAACATCCTTCACTGCTGCTTCAGTACCGTGGCCTGGTTATAGAAAATGTTCTGCCTCATCTGGCTGTGTTGACTTCCAGTAAAGAAGGGGATGTTCGCATGTTTTGTTTTAAGATGTTTGCTGATGTGGCAGCCGTTTTTCTAGACAGTGAAACGTTGAATGACGATCAAGGAAAGGAATCCGCCATGTGGTTATCTAAGGTAATTTTGAAACATGGTCTTAAATTGCCGAGACCCCCACCCCTCCAGTGAGGGATTCGTTTGGTAAAATCATCGTTTTTTTCATGCAAACGGGGTGGAATATAGCAGGATGGAAAACATCGCCTCTTGAGTTATTTTAATACATTCTTTGCTCTTTTTCTGTTAGTTGATCACGACTGAACTTCTTCCTCAATATGAGGTCATCCTACAAGATCAGGATCCCCTACCTTCCTACGCTTTAAAGTTGTTGCTTGCTTTTCTCGAGCACTCTCCGACATTCTCCGAAGTCGTAATCGAAAAAGAGATCGTCAGCATTTTGGGCGAAATCTTGGACCGGCATAACGGCGATGTGTCCGGTTCGACCGTGCAAACAATTATCAGTCTATTGGATTGTCTTGTTTCTTCGACCGCTGACCTGTGGCCATTGTATGAACAAGGGCTCATCGACCACGTGACAACCTTGTTTGTAAGTGGAGCCGCCTTAATTAACCAAAATGACGATGAACGTAATTTATCTGAAGTCATTCTTCCGTTGCTTGATACTGTTCATGGCATTATGAAATACTCATCGAAGGTATTAATATTTTATTCAAATTTTTATTACTCAGAACTTACTTAGAATTGTGTGTTCATAGCAAAGTCATGCACTATTATAGTCATCACATACATAGTATTTTTTTGATGTGGTTTAGGTGGTGCGTGAGGCCTTTCAAGCTAAGTCAACGGGTGACGGAGCTGCTCTAACTCAGAAAGCAGAACAGGTTTTACTCGAGGGTAAACCTTTGGTGGAACTGACAGGAGTTTTAGTTCAGTTCCTCTGTCACTATGATTCCGACATCCAGGAATGGGCATTGCGCTGTTTATACCAAGTGGTGGAGTTATTCGGAGGAACGCATGAGGATGCAATGAGCGTTGAAAACATTCGCTATTTTGCCGAGGCGTTGTTATCTTCAGATTTAAAAAAACAGAAGCAAATTTTGCGCATCGTGAAACGTTTGGTTACATCCAGCACGTGGCATGCCGCTGCGCTTAAGGAACGTGGGGACGCGTTAGTTGATGCTATGGTGCAAATTACTAAGGTTGAAAACGTCTCTGAAGATACAAACGCGGTTAAATCGCTAGTTGTTGAAATAACTAAGGGAGCTGGAATTGCATAGACCTCTAGTTATAGTGTGTTATATGCAATAACTCATGATTAGTCTTAGACTAACTGATTTCGTTTCTCGTTGTGACTCTATTTTGGTTTGGTCATTATTAGGCCACTTGTTTTGCACTAATATTATAGTAGGAAGTGAGAGTGAGCTGGATAAGTGATTCTCAGCCCCCCCCCCCTGCTTGTGAATGTTTATCAGGTGCGAAATTAAAGGTTGTGTAAATTTAGGGAAGGAATGACTAGGGAGTTCTATGGATAGTTAAACGAGTTAGGGGGATCCATGAGGATAGTAAAATCCCACTGATCTAACAATGTTTGGAACGTGTTCATCCACGTTTTGGTTTGAGAATAGTTAATTTACTGTGTCGCGAAATTACATTTAAGAAGCATGCCGGCTACGAACACTCGTAAAAGAAGTAAAGGGCAAAAAAAGAACAATAGTGGCAAAAGGCAACGTACAGATGCCACTGTGCAGGATTCTGATACCACTCCTGAATCATGGCAACCAGAGACGATCATAGTCCAATTAGAGAAGGTACTTCGCAGAAAGGGAAACGCCCGTGATGCTACAGCCATGAAAAAATATATGAGAGATCAGTTCGAGTTTTTCGGCGTCAAAAGCACGCCTCGACGAGAGATTATAAGGCAAATTATGGGTGGTAAAAAGAGTGGTCTCAGCAAAACCGATATCCGAAAGTTTGCTGAAGTTTTGTGGGGGAAACCGCAAAGAGAATTGCAACATGTCGCTATGGAATTTCTTGAAAAGCATCGAAAAACATTGTGTGAAGAAGATTCTGATTTTCCTGAAAATCTTGAATTCTTCCAAATGTTAATAACCACCAAATCTTGGTGGGACACGGTTGATATGTTGGCATACAAGTTGGTTGGGTATTTAGTACAGACACACCCAACCATGGGTAAGCCTGCGATGCACGAGTGGATATCCTCAGATAACATGTGGATGAGGCGGACAGCAATTTTGCATCAGTTAGGCTGCAAGGAAGACAGAGATGATGAAATGTTATTTCAATTTTGCAAAGCAAGATGTCATGAAGAAGAGTTCTTCATTCGCAAAGCCATAGGTTGGTCATTAAGAGATTATGCAAAAACCAACCCAAACAAGGTTAAGAAATTTCTGCTTGAACATAAAGATAGCCTGAGCAAGTTGAGTTTTAATGAGGCTGCAAAACATCTTAAGATGGCCAAGAAGTGAACAAGTATTTTTAGTTATTCGAACGAAATATTTGCCAGTTCTAGGAGGGTCGCATTAAGATGCCAAAAAATACCTTCCATATAAAGGCTATAGAAAAAGATTAGGAAATTCATCTACAAAAGGGAAAACATGGCCCACTATAGGTTAAAATCTTGCATCTCTTAAAGTGGTTGGAATTTGTGTGCTAGCTATTACATATATCACTGTAGGACAGTATATGCTAGGTTTTTGGTTAAATTTAATTTTATTAAAGTTTCAATTTCATTTTCACAAATACAAATAAAACATGTACAATAATAATATAATTAATTACATATAAATTGAAATATCTCATTTACAAGTGTTAAAAACCATTGGTTTGCAAGTTAAGTATGAAACTACGATGGGTATGATTTCAATCACAGCACTTTTCTACCCCAGTAATACTTTTGGCAATCAGTTCATTGGATTTCTGTGTGGAGATTTGTCTTGTACCCATTCACCAATTTGACAATATTTCTAAACACCATATTTCCCCTCACAACTGTTATTATGCTTTGCCTTTCTTTGAACTACTTGGAGGTGTTAGGACTCCAAGGGCAGGTGATGGTGGGCTACGTCTTGACAAAGGTGCCTGAGCAAACTTCTCCTTATGTGCAACAACGTCAGCCTGTTGAAATGTATTCAATTGAAGAAGAGTTTCAAAGTGAACTAGGTAATTTTTACCAACATCAACAAAACAAACCATCTTACATACCAGCAATGTCAAGTTGTTTGTATGGGTTTGAATATTTGCACAGTCTTCTGGTGCAATCTGAAATGCATCAAGATCAAATATTAATTCTTTGTTACATGTCAAACTCCTATAATTGTGAGATATTTTTGCCTATTTTTAACACCACACACCTTCTCAAATAATCTAACATTCACAGTTCCCTGTTCTCGCACAGCAGCTGCAAATGGTCTCATCCATTGGACACACGGCAACAGCTCTGACCAAGGTATATCTTAGGAAAACAAGAGTAAATAATGACATGATGATTGGTAGATGGTTCCAAAATCCTTTCAAGTGGGAAAAGGTTATTGTAGAAAAATATATACCTGTTACTTGAGTAATATCAATAGTAGACACAGTATGATGCAATGCTGCTGCTGCTAGTACTCTGTTGGGAAAGTCTAACGATTCCAAGTCCAGTACACATAAGTCAAGTAACTGTTGTGAAAAAGGTCAAATTTGTCAATCCACTGTTTAATATATTTCCTACTAAGATTCTCAATTTGATTTGAATCAGCAAAATACCTTTGCTGCTTGGACTAGATGCTTTCCTGAGAATGCTGGCACTAAAAATAGGGCATCCTTTTCATCCTGTTCATAACTACAGAGCTGCAGATAGACTCTTAACCATGTATTTATTGTCAGTGGTGTTAACTTCCAGTCTAAAACCTAGAAGTGACGTCAAGCAAGATGATGATGCAATTGTTGAAGTTGATACAATTGTACAAGTTAGGGTGCATTCTCGTACCATTAAAGTATTATAATCTACCTTTAGCATAACTAGCTCTTCAATGAGTATCTCATCATCCGTACAAGCACCATCAGTTACATAAGAAAATTCAGACAATTTTGGTGGATATATTTCCTCTAATTTTGCAGCAATGAACAATGCTGTGACTCCGACAAGCTGCAGCCTTGATTTTTGAATATCTCGTTTCACCTTAAGATATCGGTCAACATAGCTTGCAGCAAGGTGAAATGTTTCACGATGCAACCTGTACACCTCACAGACCTAGTAAAACAATTCCAAAGGTCATTTGGCTGTTTATCATAAACAAATTTTGTAATGTTACATATGCAACCCACCTCAATTAACCAATCCAACAAAATTGTTCTCATCTTTGGTTGTAGTGCAGGATGCTGACCCATGTACTGACCATACTTTGGGTATTCTCGATCTTTGTCTTTTAAAAATGCCCAGAAGTCTTCGGAATCCGCCCAGTTTAGTGCGGGTAATGGTGTCCTTGAATCATTGCAGTGTCGAGGGAAATTGAAGGTCATGCATGTCAATTGATGGCAGTCAGCTGGTGTAGAAGGCACTTGGTTTACAGCTAAAGACTCATCATTTTCTTTTTGAATTCTTCTGCCATTTCCACTACCTTCCTCCATGTGCTGATGTGAAATGGTACAGTGGGGCATAAACATATTGGCAGACAGAAATATAAAATTCTTACTAACAAAGCTAGGACTTAGTTGGAAAGTTCAACTTCTGTATTTTATGAGTGGCAGCATCAGTTCTCATCTACATTCACTAAGATTGAGGGTAATTCATGTTGGACCACCCAACCTCACTGCATGTTTATGCAAAATAAAAATCCCCTTCAGATCTTCTTGAGAACGACAGATAATTACAGGGATGTAGGTTAAAACAAGTTGACAAATTGTATTTTATGAAACGTTAGGGAGACAGGCATCAAAGCAGGCTGGCAAAATGCAAACATCGAAATGCCGTTTGCTTTGTTTCCGGGCAAAATGGTGGGGTACGTACGACATTGTACGAATAGTTTACGACAAATCTTGCTTGAAATACATATTGCATTTTTTGCTGCTAAACCCATAAATTGAATCCTTTACAATTTTGAATCAGCGCTTTAACTATTATATAAAAGGCTTCGTATTTTTATCCAAGATAATCTCAGTAAAAGAGGACAGGGGATTAGATCCTTTCGAAATTTAGGGCTGTAAATTTTAATATGGAAATTATGGTGTGGTTACTGTGAATACGCGGCAATCATATTTCCAAATCCCTCGGGAGAACCTACATTTTTATCGTCGTCGCAGCAACTCGTGTTCAATTTCTATGAGAAGAATGAAATTACGTTGTTTTCGGATGAAAATCAGAATGAAAAGTCGACCACTTTAGTGTAAACTATTAATATCAATTCGTGTGTATACCTTCCTCTTACGACTGGTACGAGTCTCGCGTTCAGCTTCGCTATTTTTCCTTGCTCTCAAAATCGTGCTAGAAATAAAAAGTATGGTTTTTTGGCCATCCACATTCTACATATCTCGTTTCTTTCTCGCGAGAAATGAACACTTCTCATGATGTTAATTACATATGTTCATAGTCAATACAAGAAAGGCCACCATGAGGGTTTATACCGAAATGAATTGACATGATCAAAACAGCCCTCAAACTTGAAGCGATAAAAACCCGAAATGGAGCGAAAATATTATCATTTTTTTGCTTTTTACCTTCGTCTTGTGCAGCTCATGATTGTATCGATGTGAAAATATTAGTAATTTTTCAGGCTCTTGATTTCGAGGCGCAGAGCGAAGTATCAACACTGCTCGCCAGTTGGTGATCGCTTGTGTAAATGGTGATTTGTAATCGCGGCAATTTCTCGCATCTTTGGCGCGGATTTTTCAGCGCGCCGAAGTTTAAACTATTCCCGCCATATATTGACCAATCGCGTAGCTTTACGATTGTCCTCCATTTCCGCTTTGCCGTCGTGGCTTTGTTTACTCTCATTTCCGGTAACACGTGCTTTTCCTGCGCTTCCGCCCGGGAATGGCAGATGGCCCGTCCGAGATAAATTTATGCACTGTTTATACTGCACTTTAAAAGTAATTTTTATGCAATACGTGTTAACTAAATTTTAATAGCATTGCTGTGTGTGCTGGTAAGATAGAATAACACCACACAACGACTCAAAAGCGGTATTTTTATTAGAATTTGGGCAACTGAATATAGTGTCTTTCCGAAAAGTCTTCTTAGCAAATTTTCTCGGGGGGGCGTAACTCGTAAGTATCAAAGATTTGCGTGGCAACAACATGGCGACTGGAAATGCGATTTCAAAATTTTCACATTTGTTCGGAAGGCGATCTGCGGTCGTAATTGGTATGATTCACGTCGATGCTTTGCCAGGTAAAAATTTGGCGTACGAGGGAGCTTGTAATATAATATATATTTAGGTATAAATATTTAGATGGCGGTCACAACTCACAACAATTTTTAAATGACAGCAATTTGTGCATTGCATGATTTATGAAGTGATAAACGAGTAATTTAAACCGAATTTTCATTGTTTCAAATAAAAAGGTTGAATGCAGAAGTTGCTATGTTGTTTCTATCGTTATTGAATATGCACAAACATGGTATAGGGGACTATGCCCCGTACGTAGAACAGCAAAATTACAGGTCTTTTTAGACCTGTTAGACCTGCATGTTTACAATAAGAGACCAAAGAAGAAGATAAGAGAATCTCTCTGGCATGAAAAATAAACAAATTCTCATTCTTAAAAACCACTGCAAACTGAGAAGCATTTGTGTGACAGGGAATTAATTTCTACATGCAAAATTTTTTTGTATTTTGCATTTGGTTACAATATTCCTGCATCCACAAGAGAAGCTATATCACCTGCGTAAAGCTTTATATGGCTCAATATATTAGATAATTCTACTGGCCAGAAATGGTATTCATGAATCCTGTACATGTTCGAGAGACTTTGACTTGTTTCCCTCTTCTGCCGAACATGTCCTAATGATCCTTTTTAATCATTGCATGGCATTTGAATTTTGTAGGAACCCCAAAACATAGCCAACCTGTGTGTGATATTATTGCAAAAGCATGCCAAGAAGCATCAATTTACAAACAGGCATCTGTGGTAGGATATTTTTATTATGAATTTATTTATTTATGATTTCTGTGTGGAAATCAATTTGGGTATCCCTAGCTGTATTTTCAGTGGTTCTGAGGACAATTCCAGTCTCCCTATTGCTAGCAGCTTTTCATGTGTCTAACTATTTGTCTGTGTTGATTGGCTGAGTGTGGCTATGACTGCATGGGAGCATGCAAATTTTTTTTAAAATCTATCTCCCAATAATTCGGTTTAATCTTCTTGATCAGTAGGATGGAATTATGATAGAGAACATGCACGACACTCCATATCTTAATCAAGATGTTGGTCCAGAGATCACAGCCGCGATGACAGCGGTCTGTTACGAAGTAAAACGAACAGTTCCGAGCATTCCTGCATACAAATCCTCGCCGGTGCCAACAAGCAAGCATTGGCAGTTGCGAAAGCGTGTGGTTTGGACTTCATTCGTGCCGAGGGCTTCGTGTTTTCGCACGTTGCCGACGAGGGAACGATGAATTCTTGCGCGGGAGAACTTTTGAGATACAGAAAGAGCATTTCTGCAGATAACGTGTTGGTTTTCACTGATATCAAGAAAAAACACAGGTAACCTTTTCATACAAGTTATGTTTTACGTACATCACTCGTACAACACCTTATTAATATTAGTACATTACCTAAAGCGAGAACTTTCTGATTTATTTTCTGTCAAGACCTTTTTACGCACACACGGTTGGACTGTCCAATTTTTAATTTTACGAATCCTTGGTTTTACATCCTTATTTATTATTATACTTTCCACCACATACCTCTCAAATTTTTCCAGGTTACATGGCTGTCAAACTTTTACATGCTTGAGTGATGCTCCTCAAACATTTTTTATTGTTTTGCTCCCATTTTAAAGCGCTTTTTTATAATCTTCACTCTGGAATTGCGCGTGCGAACTGCTGCTCTCATTTTAAAAGGAAATTTCCTTTAAACGAATGCCTGACATGATTAGGGGAGGAGGAAAAATGCATTGCATTCTTTTCATGAAAAGAATACAATTGATGGTTCTGTTTTTTTACTCCCGTTTATATTACCAGCTCCCACGCTATTACATCAGACGTGAATTTGGTCGAAACTGCCAAAGCCGCGGAATTTTTTCTCTCGGATGGCGTCATTATTACTGGAACCGCCACAGGGGACCCAGCGAATCACCATGACATGCTAGAGGTGAAAAAATCTGTAGACATGCCGGTTCTCATTGGTTCAGGGGTTACTACAGAGAATGTTCATCATTATATACAGGCTTCGGCACTTATTATTGGGTCATATTTTAAGGAAGGTGGTCATTGGAGTGGGCCGGTAGATTTGGCCCGAGTGCAGTCTTTTATGGCAAAAATTGAAAGATTAAGAGTTTAGGTCAACGTTGTCTGAATTGAACCATAGCAAATGAAATTAATTACTCCTTACGCTTAGCTGTCTTAGGTAGGTATTGGTTATAAAGAATATTGTAAATTTGATCGAGAGAGATTAACAAATAGATATCAAATTTGGCTGTTCAATGCCTGGAAAGTGACAGGACCTTAGTCAACCGAAACTCGTAAAAAAAGGCTAATAAATCTTTTCTCCATATTAAGGCGAGGAACTTTATAATAGCGCGGTTATAGTAAAGGTTAGTTTCAAAACAGTGGTGTCAAAATTGAGATAAAAGTAAATCTCATTGAACCTCAAAGTCACAGACACAGCCGTTAATTCTAAAATGTTCAAACGAACTATTATGGTGTTGTCTAGGAAATAATGTAAACAATGTTCATACTGATAATCAATTACAAACTCTCTTTCATTATTGTTTACAAATAAGAAATGCGTCTACATTTTGGCTGAGAGCACGTTCCGAATAGATGAAGTCGCCTACGTATGTTACGTATGTCACGTTTTCCTCCTCAAGCCAAGAGCGAGGGCAAGAGCAAATCCTGATTACGAGAACGGCAAGAACGCTAATCTGTGTTCTTTGAAATTCTAGCAGGAATTTTAATTTGCATACTTCAAAGTTATATAAGCGTACTGTTCCTTTATAGCTCAAAATTCTATTATTTTAAGAACTTTGCAATATAGTTTATGCTTTCAGCTCGAAAGTACAAAACAAATTTAGACCGTGTTCACCGTGTTCACGCTAGAAATATACACAGCTTGTAGATATCCACACCATGTTTTATTAAAATTGGCCGTTAATAACAGATATCACACACCGACAGACGACTGCGAATTTGCATTTTTATAAAAGGAATTTTATTTTTTATACATATTGCACCTGAGAGATTTCGTGCACGAGTGTAATAATAATAATTGCATATACATTATTTTTTGTCCTGTTTTATAAATATTTTCCTACATACACATATATAATAATATACAAAATTTTCTACACGATAATATAGATTTTATTACAGTCAGGGAAACCCCACGAGCTTGACCAGTTAAAATTAATTAAATACAACACTAAAATATGCGAACCGAGTTTAAAATAGAGCTTGTGGTTTAAAATACAAGCCAAATACTACCGGTTAAAAACCAAAAACTTATAAATCAGCTAAGATTTAGATTAGCAACCTCGGTTGCTATAAACTGTGCTATGCTTGCTTTGTTTTCGGTCATCTTTCTTCTGTCTGCGTCGAGAACGAGTTACGCGTATGTGGGTTTGGTTTTGTTTTTGCAATTTTTTCTTTCTGTACTGCTTCTTATTTTGATCTAGGACCTTCTTTTGAACATGTCTTGTTAATTCTACGTCCTTGTCCACCGTTCGTACAGCTCTTCGGTGCGAATGAGCACGAGTTTCGACAGCATTTTCGCTGCTATTTTCGTCCTCGGAGTCAGGGGTTTCCTCCGCGACGCTCTGCTCGACTGCAACCCAAGCTTCGTTTGCGCCACCATAAACTGACATGCTTGGGTGTTCTATTAGTAAGTTCTCCAAAGGGCTTGTCTGCAAGCTGAGGAAGTCCTCCTGGCTTGCATTAAAACACGACGGAGGTGTAACGTACCAACTTTCTTCCAAAACATTGTCGCTCTGTTGAACAGGCCCTGCACTTTGTTTACGTTTTTTATCCGTTTCGTTTTCATCTGCCAAAAGAAAATCCGCCGTTATTCCAACCCGTATTTCCCTCCCCGAACACAAAGCAAAAGTATCGCACAAATTGCATTTAAAGCCCTATTTTAGGTAGAAGAAATAACCTATGTTTAATCGTAGCAGAGCATGATAAATTTATGGCGTGCCTTTGGCGTCATACCTGACTTTTTGTTCACAAAATCGACCAAAACCCATTCGTCTTCCCCTTGTTCCACAACATTTTCATCACTTATATCTGGCACAGTTTGGTCCTCAGGTCTACTTGACCAAATATAGCTAGTCAGCGAAGAAAACATCTCTCGTTTTCGCTACGAAGTTCGAATATATCCCGACTGAATATCAAATCTAAAATAAAAAGTACATTTCTAGCGACTGACGCAATATCTACAAAGGCCCAACGTCGCGACATTTTTGCAAACGCAAAAAGACCGCATCTTTTGTGAAAAGCATCATGTTGTACATTTATGTTCATTTTTTTTGTATTTACCTTTACCAATACTGCTTTGGGCGAAGTCCACAAATCCAGTCTGTTGTAAATAGGCGCCAAAAGCTGTTTCGTTCAAAAGAATATACGAAATTCCGTTCGCCTTCAGCTGTCGATGAAGTATGTTTCTCGTCAAGATATGTTGATATTAAGTTCCAAAATTGTACAGTTTTCTTTAAGAATAAGATAGTCTAACTGTGCTGTAATATATGACTAAAGAAATTTAAATTTATCCGTAAAACGTTAGGCTGTAACTTGGTTCGGTGATGATACACAAAAATTTCGTTCTGACAACAAGGGTTTTGTTGACATCCTGTCACTCGCCCATCAAAACAAAGCCAAATATGGTCATGGGTCCGCCCTTCGGTCTCGGAGGGCCTAGAACTAGTCCCTGATTGGTTAAACCGTGTAAGTATTTTAGTGTGGCTTTGTTTGACTTTATTTTAAGGGGCAAAGTTCCGTTTGACTCCTACCCGAGCAATGTTTGGTTTGGCCACCTGAATTATGTAATTACTCCAAACAAGGGCAAAAATAGTTAGTTTGCGGATTGGAAAATAAGCTTTCTTGAATATTTTGCCCAACGGTTGCTGCTATTTTGACAGGTTATGAACCGATTATTAAAATCACTAACCTTTGCGTTAAATTACCAAGGTCGCCTCCGCTATGGTTACTTTAGCAACGGAGCCTTTTTAAGTGATCTAATATTTCTGATACATCCAGTAAAGGACTGAAATGACAGTAAAGAGGATGTTTAAAAAAAATAGCCTTGCGAATCGGCAACCAGCTTTGACAACCTTGATATATTCGTACATACCTTGTGACAAAGGTGAATGGCGTGCTGTGAATCAATGAAGTGAGAAAATACCATTAATCGTTGTTCATGTGAACATCACGAACCATTCACAAGGGTGTCACGTTTATATTTGACATGATTATATTCAACACGTCTTTTTGACAATCTGCTGGGCTCACTAATCAAAAGTTTATTCAACATTGCGCCAGAAAACTGATGTTACTATAATAACATGCAACTTCTAATGGTAAGAAACCTACCAGAAAACCGCGCATATATAATTCGGAGGCAACTAGCCCTGCATTGGATTATAATCTAATACGTTTTCATATATTTCTATTATCAAGAAATTTCCATCGCAAGTCGCCATTTACAAACCATGCAACTTGCCACAATTTCTATGGGTTCTCAAATTTGCTGGTACTGTGGTAGGCATTGTCGGCATGTCTGCTTAGCTTAAGTCTCAAGTGGGAAGTGTATTTTTTAATTATGAAATTCTGAGAACATATACTTTCCCAATTGTTGAATTCCAACTTTAAGGAACAGAATACTCCCATGGCCATGTTTCTGTACTGGAATATTGCTGCTGATTTTGCGCGAAACCGAACAGTCAACCTATCTTCACTCCTAAAAACACAAAAACACCCTAAAAACACCGAATTTTGCCGGCTGAATCGGGAGAGTTTTTGTACGCATGGAATCTTTACGATATTTGAGTATGTTGAAGAATTTGTATCCAGATTAATATGTCACACGTTAAAATTTAGAAGCTATTTTAAAACGTCTTACATGTCAGCAAGTTGTATTAGCGCCACTTGACCCAAGCTCTCCAAAGGTATAGGAACTTATGTATGAGGTTTTTGTAACAGATCTGATACATGCGACATGACATAGAACATTTTTTACAATCTTTCTGTAAGTTCTATTGTTCATAACATCAATGTTGTATATAGCATGTCATAGCTGCCTGTATAAACGTCGGTAAAAACGTTAAGATGTTTCATTATAATGCTGTCGGGCCTGCCACAAGTTGTTTCAAGCAGTGGAAAGACATCGTCTTGACATAACAGCTTTGCTAACATTTTTGCAGACTTGTTTTAAAATTTGGCGCGTTTTTACACGTGAAAAATAGTTTCATCTCTGTGATTATCAACAAGTAATACTTACGGAAAATAATGCCCTGTGACTGTGAGTATTTTGACTTTTGAAGATGCAACTCATGCAAATCAAAATTAGATTTGCTTGCGCATATTTTGATACAATTTCCGTCGAATAGGGAAGTGAAGGAAGTGACTGGGTGACTGGGTGTCTGCACTCGTATGTGACGTCATATTTGTACGAAAATGACATTTGTGAATATAGTGACCCAGTGTTGACCCAGTGAGCATATACGCAAATATCGTGTTGGCAAGATGAACCTTTGTCAAAATCTAAGAATTATTTGCTGAGCCGAGGTTAGGGCGTTTGGAAGATTAAGTAATGATCTTTTTCTATGATAAATTATCTTATTCTTGTGATATCAATAACTTGGGATTATAGGCCGACCGTGATCGCCTGATATTTGTGATCTTTGATGACCAATGAGGTCTTTAAAGCGATATTTCCTCTTGAATTATGGCCAATAAACGTTTAAGCAAGCTAAAAACTAACGAGCTGGAACCGTCCGAACAAGATTTAGCCGATGAAGACGGACACGAATTTAATCTAAGTGGAGTACTTTCGTTGACGGAAACGAAGAAAACAGCATGAAGTTACACACAGATGCAAAAGGTATACTGTAGATTATTAATTTTTTACTATTATTACATCAAAGTTATATGACAATTGTGGTAAAATGGCGATCAAATATCAAGACATGAGTGCAAAATCGCATATGTTGATTTTTGAGGATTATTTTCCGTTTTGATGTATTTTGGAAACTCTTACCAATGATTCACTCCACTCTATCAGAGAATTCTAAGTTTAAATAAAGCTAGGGGTGGCTATGCATATTAATTGTAATGTTCTGGCTGTCTTTGAAATTGTGGTAAATACTTCCTGGTCTGCCGAGGATGTATCAACCATTACCAGCAAGTATAACTTACCTCTGAATTTGTAAAATGATCTGGCACTGAACAGAGATATAGTATCATTTTGAATGTTTCCTTATAGATAGGGCAAACAGTATCGGAACCACATCTAATGATAGCCAAGATGGGGAGGATGATGGTATTGATGACAGTTATGAAAGAATAAAATCAATTTCTACACTAAGTAACAGCATCTCACGTGGATTGAGTATCTCAGTTATAAGAGAAAAGACAGATAAAGTTAACATTGATATTATTGATGCAAGGGTAGTTGGACACGTACGGAAACGCTTTGCTGTAAGTAATGTTTTAAATTCACTTTTACCACCCTGACCCATTAACATTCAAAGTACCTGTTCTTTTGCTAGCTCTATACTCTAACTGTGACCAGGACTCCAGGACTTGACAGTGACAAAGCCGTCATTGAACGTAGATACTCTCAATTTTTAAAACTTTACAAAGAACTGAAAAAGGTTTTCCCAGATTTCATGGGAGATATCGAATTTCCTGAAAAGAAATTGATTGGGAACCTCAAAGACACTCTGGTCAGAGAACGATGTAGACTTTTACAAAGTTTCATCAGAAATATTCATGAAAATAAGGAGATAAAAAATTCAGAGATTTTCAAAAAGTTTTTCTATATTGAATCCTTACAACAAGGTTGTCAATTTATTTGTGGTGGCCTGTTTGAACAAGCATTGAATTATTTGCTAAATGGTCTACATTTGCAACAAAAGCTTGCCCTGGATTCAACAAGCGAGGTAATTGCAACATTGAGCAACATTGTTGAGTGCTACACATCTTTAAAGGATTACAAAAAGGTAGTGGATTATTGTAACGCTGCATTAGAATTGATAAAAGATGATACTAGCAATGTATATTTGGTGCCACTCTTGCAAACCTTAAAGAATGCGTATGACCAATTGGGTGAAAGCTCTGAGTCAACAGAAAGAAGGTTAAAAGAAATTGTTCATCTTAATCGAATTGAAGTTCCAGATGTGCGATCATTAAGGGAACTATCTGCAAAAAGATTTGCCAAACAATAAAGGTTTTTTTAAATTATGTATAAATTATATGACAATATACAAACTATAAGCATTGCATCCAAATAATATTTGCACACTCAAGTTTACAATTAGGTCCAAATCGATTTATCTATTATAGTAATAGCATATAATAAAATATTTTTTATTTTCTTTTCATCTGAAACACTTCACTTTCGTAGCAAATACATGATAATCAATATTAAAACCCTGAAGACCTCCTTTTACAACTGTACTGAATTGAAAATATAAGTACATTAGTATTTCACTTTTGAAGCTCAAAATAACAACATTCCTTCACTTTATTTCAACTAATCAATTTTCTCAACTAAACAAATTTCTGTGTTGGTAATTATGGTCAATGGTCAATGCAATGATAAGGCTAGTCTCTGCAATATTGCTTTTAAATAAAATTCTATTGTGGAAAATTTAGAATGAAATTTAAGAGCTTTTACTGATACAATACTTAGTCATGAGGAAATTTTACTAAAGGCTTTCACAATTTAATTTTTCCAACCATGGAATTATTGCTTTCACTTCCTGTCGCCAGTTTAGTAAGTTTTCTATTGGATTATTTTGTAAATTAAGTATCTTTAAATTCCTGCATCCTTTTAGTACGTTCAAGCATGAAATTTCGTGGATATCTAGTGAAAAATATTCGTCAAGGAGTTACGATTTAGTCGCTTTTGTTGCAAAATGAAAAAAAATTTCCTATATTGTTTTCTGCTTATGTGCAAAGTTTCATGCAAAGCTGCCAACTTAAAGCCTGCAAAGGATACTGTTATTTTTCAATGATAATTCCTGCAAACACGGTAGATTTAATATTCCTTGTCTTACGATAACATCGAGTTGGTTGTTGTCGGCACAAATATTTCTCGCACATCGTAGCATATTGCAGTCATCCAGGTGACGAATTTTGTTCCCGGATAAATCGATGTGTGTCATAAGGAGTAACTGTTCCATGTGAGAAAGGTATGATAATTTCTGTAAAATTAGTATTAAATATGTTAGTGCATAGACAGAATTTATTTTATTTTATTTAACTCACCATATTTGTTAATTGAATTGTTCTGGAACGTTCATTCTATGAAAAAGAAAACTGAGTGTGAACTAAAAAATTTTTGGAAAAATTTCGACTTCTACGAAAAGTAGCTACTAACATATTTGAGCAACATACTTCTTTTTCCTTGAATTCCTTTAAATGTTTTTCTATAGTATTCTCGAGTTTATATTTACTATCTGGAAGAAATAAAATACAAACTACGGTTGATATCTGACTAGTGGACTAGAATTGAGTCAACAAAACTTTCATGAACACGCGCGTTGAGGTACCTAAATCGATGTAATATTCTTTCCTATAATAATCAATTCCACAAAGCCTTTCCAAATAGCTTTCAACTTTTTCTGCATATTTCATCGGATTTATGGCTCTCATTAGTAAAACAATGGTGAGAATAGTCCCTGTAAATAGAAAAAAATGGCACCTATTGAGTATTATAGGTTTCAGAAACTAGGAATGAAATAACGAAATAACTTGGCTTAAAATCTCACATTTATTATCTGGTTCCTCTTCCAACAACAACTCGCATGATTCCAGCTCGTTTTCGAGAAACGAATGGTGTACTGCAGTTAGCTCTGATCTACAAAATCAGCGGCAGAAATTCAGATTCACCGGTCAACTTCCAAACTTTCAGTCAAATCCAATAGGACGTACTGTAATGGGGAAACATTTAAGCCAAGAATAGATCCAAATCTACCTGAAAACATACTGTATCTGGTCTGAAAATCTAAGCCACTTCTCGCACACGGCTATAATAATTTAGTAAACATTGCAGTTGTGAATAATTTTGACAATAATAGTAAGTAAAGATACTAAATTTTTGGCATATTTTTCATAGCATTCTCACATAATTCCATCTTCAATGTCAATGAAACGTCCATTTCGTCGGAGGAAACAGCCAGATGAACAGTTTCTTTGCTATCGAAGTTTAACCTAGCTATTTATTTACAGTTAAAGAATGGTTCGATTCATTTTTCGAAAATACTATAGGTTGAACCTTTTAAAAAGAATGTTTATTCAAGCAGCTGTAAGAATAAAACAAAAATTTAATATGTTTATATCGGCTGCTTTATATACCGTTCAAGATGTCAGAACTGTTTACAAATATGAAAAGTTTTGATAAAGCTAGTAAATGACTAATTTAACTAATTACTTTAAGAACAGCAAGGAAGCGCGCTAAAAATTGTTCTCTATATTGTTATTGGCTACCAAGAAAAAAAGGAACAAAATTTTGAAACAATTCTGGTTCTAATTTATTCGCGAAGAAAAATATTGACAGCTCGGAAACCAATGAAAATGCATCAACCGAAATCCGGCAACATGATTGGTTAGCAAAAACATTTGCCGCGAAAAGTATTGGATCGCTTCCTATTTTCATTCGTTCGCGACAACGAATTCAAAGCATAGTTGGGATAACAAAAGCGTGAAGCGTCTTTTTATATGAAAAAAGGATATCCAAATAGATGACGGAAGCGAATTTGCGAACGGATTGAACCAATCTCCGTTTACATCGACTTCGTTCAACTTCAGCATAACCGATGAAAGGTTTTCCCGCTAAATAACGGTAGAAATTTATATATTCACGATGCAGACGCATTCTTGGTTGAAAAGCAGTTTGACTGACCTTTACTGGCTGATTATACAGCAAACAAACAGAAATATTGTCATCTGATCGTCTGGCATAAGCCAATATCATTCCTAGTTCGTTTCGGGCTATAAAAAACAACAATGAAGAATCAAATGTGCGAACATTCAGCGGGAAATGTTTAATTGTGCAATCGATAATAATTGTTCACCTCTTCCCAGAAGCCATCTATGATAGAACCAAGCACTCTGGTCATTTGGGTCGGTAAAAAACGCGTTTTGCACCAACTGAAATTCTGAAAAGATGAATATGGCCATGTAAAAGCGAATGGTGAAAACCGAACCTTAGATATTATTTTACCTATTTTGATCTAGGGAATAAATCCAACACTACAGCCATCTGTGTACCTTTTAAAAGCGCTTGTTCCTCGATCCTCTCCGTGTCTCCTGGTCTTGCAGGGTGGATTTTCGGCAGCAGTTTACTGCGATAATGCCAAGATGAATAATTCGAAAAATTTTCCCTGATTTTGTTGCTTGTGAACTCGAATTCTTCCTGCGCAGATATCTTAGCTTGCTTCACCACAAAACGACGGTAGTCCCAACAGTGGACTGGATGAAGAAGCGAAAAAAGGATTTCAGTATAAATGGACAGTGGGGAAGGGTAGTCTATCCCGACCTCTTTATTGCCGTGTTGGCTCCCTATTTGCTGGTGGCCTGGCAATTTGGTAGGGTGGGGCACAGTAAAGAGGTGGTCTTAGATTGCACTCACAATTTCTTTCATCATAACTAAGGTAAACAGTACAAAGGTGCAACTCCTTCTTCCAGTCTGGCTCTGGCATGAATAACATTATCCAACTTCTATGGTGCCATATCCCATATGACTTTGGATTCACCGGCAGACAGCTTTCCAAAAAGGACAATTCTTTCACACAAAATTCTTTGAGTTGTGTTGTTTCCCTATGTGAGTTTAGGTACTAATTCAGTTAGCCAGCAGTGCATTGTATTGAATAATTTAGTGGTATTCAGTAGTCAGTCCTTAGTTTGGTGGTGATGATATGTATACTCTCTTGGTAGGTCATGCAAGTAGATGTAGTTCATACACAAAACATAGATTTTAACAACTTACCTTTCATTTTTCAGGTGTTCTAAGACTTCTCTCCTGTAATTCCACAGTGAATAGAAGTCTGGATTGGCATGTAGCAACTGACCGGTTAGGCTGAGAGCTTCTTCATCAAGTTCACCATTTTTACGCTGTCAAAGGAATAATCCAAAAATTTTTGTAATGCATATTGATAAGATGACTATTGCTAATATTGGTGTTTGTTAGCTGAAGATGACTCAGGGTGATCACAGTGATTCATCCTTGAGTGTTTGCAAATAATAAAATAGTATTGTGGTATTCCAACTTAAAGGAATTTGATTCAACTTGTAACACTTTTGTCAGGAACACCCAAATAGCCACCAAAGCTTTTGTGTGGAGTCACTCCCTTTTAAATTATCATTTAATATTTCCAAACTAAAGCTTACAATGTCAAGAAAAACAACTAATTTATTGCAATTAACAAGTGCTGCACTACCTTGTGAATAGCTGCATTACATTAGCTAACAGCTAGGACTGGAAAAAGAGAAAGCGCTACCAACATGCTTACCTTGGCATTCACTTTACTTGTAACTTTCTGATACACTTCCAGTTTCTTCTCCCGCTCCTTGCGTTTCGCTTCCGCCTGTTCTGCTGTAGTACGTACCTTTATACGGCCGTGCTGTACGAATTATAATAGTTATTTCGTTGTTTTTCCGTTTAAAGTGTTAAATTTCCTTCGCATCTCGCGTTCAAAGTCACAAAACACAAAAATAAATAACAATGCGATACTCACCATTTTGAAACTTTCTTCACAGCCGTTTGGTTTCGGCCAATTTCGTGCAAACCTGTTCGTAGGCTATGAGTGGACGGGGGGAACAAACAACAACGAGCTGTAATCGTGTTACTCTCAATATTTCAAACTGAAAGAAGCTATGTTTTCTTAGATATTTTTTCACTATGCCTAAGTGTTTCACTTCAGATCGCATATAATAGTCATCTTGTGCAAGCTCATGTATATGGTCAAGCTCTGGTGGCAATTTTACCGTTCTGTTGGAACTTGATAGTGGTATATTAGTAATATTACTATACTCGTTCTGCATTGTGAATGAAATGAAATGTGAGCATCTGTTAACATCTATATTGTGTCGTTACTGTCGTAGATTGATATCAATACAGAAGCAAATGTGCTAATATCTAAATAGGCAGCACATAATATATGTTTATATATAAAAGCTTTTGTCACTTTTTGGGTTAGGTATTTTGTATCCCCCATATGCATGTGTATATGACCATATATGACACATTTATTATGGGTCCATGTTTGAATCATGTAATATTCATGTAATATTTCTAAAATTTTTCAGGGGCATTCCTACAAGCATTTAGAAGTGAATAGTTATCATTGGTATTTTAATTTGCAGCATTCTCGTATGGTCTTTATGATCAAGTGAGATGATATCCAATATTGTGTCAGTTGTGTGATGCTCTAGAATATTAAATCCTAGAGCCTCACACAGCTAGGACAATTAAGTTGGAAAATAATCAAAGGGTTAGTCCCGACATCCTGGAGGAAGGTGGTTATCTGGTTGCTAATGATGGGTAAATGGATTAACCAATCAATTAATGGGTTGTAAACAATTTATTATCAAACATTTTGCCTCCATTCTGAACTGCTATATATCTTTAAATATAATGTACTGTCTGCATATCTAACACAAAATTCGTTTGCTTCTGAATGTGAATTGTTGACCGTGTTAAAATGGATTTTTTGGTTGCAAAGTTATCTGAAGATATTTTTAGAGACCTTGTTCAATCAGTTTTCCTATGCTAATTTAATCGAAATTTGTGAATAAAAAATGAGCGCACAGTTACGGAGCGAAAACGACCTCATTTCGATTATTCCAGAATCCTTCGCGCGCTTCATCGTAGCCACTGATCTCTATATATTAGCTAAATGCAAATAGAACGCCTGGGTGCAAAGCTGTCCAAACTCCAAAATATTGGATATCTTTTGCAGTTTTTAATTGATATATAAGGAGCAAAAATGTTCTTTTAGATATTTGCTTTTACTCGAGTAAGCCAGAAACCTGAATAAATTTTTCATGCTGTAACGTCCAAACTATGGTTTGTTTTGCTTTTGTAACGGGTGGTTTCAAAACGCGGCCGCTCCAAAAAGCGTTGTTTTGCAAAATCACGACTGGTACCGTGTGCATCATGCCTAACTATATTCATATATGTCTGAGTTTGGTGTCTAAAACTTTCCTTGCGGCTTCCCAAACTTTACAAATTTTATGCACTACAAGCATTCATCGCATTGTTGAACTTTGAATGAAATATACAAATGTAGTGGAACCGGTTCAGCTGTAAAGTGTTGGCCGAGGTAATGATGAACGGACGACAGGGAACAAAAATATGGCTCGCCTTTGCTTGTGTGATAGCGTTTCAAGTCGTTGTACGATGCAAGAATGGCATTACGATGGACGAAGCTTACGAGGCGTCATATACCGATGAAAATACTGTCGAACAAAGTTCATTGGATGATAGGATTTCTGATAATTTAAACGAAGTTCGAGATAGCAATTCGAATGCACAAAATTCCCATGGCATAGATGGTGTTGACCGCGACGCTAGCACTCTAAAACTGGATAAAGTAAGAAATGAACTAAATAGAAAGAATGTTGGAGTGCCATTGGAAGCTCAAGACGGTATTTTCTCAGTTGGAAAAACTGCTAAAAATTTTGAAGAATTTTTAACCGAACAAGGCAAGCCATCTGCCAACGCACGTCCTCAAAATGAGCCGGAAAATAATAGGATTGGAAAAAAATCTGATATTTTGAAACAATTTTTGGTTCAAGACCAACAATTTCCTGCGAAAGTTGCAACAAGTGTCAACGCCGTGCGCCAAAATCTTCCGCCAAACGTAACAATACTGGACAAAATGCGAGATCTTATGAGCTACGAAAGCTCTATATTGGATTTTTCCATACTAGACTCGTTTGATTGGTTTGACGACACGACAACGTTAAAGTCGCGAATGCGCCGAGACTCGGAGGCCTATCACTACCGGAGATTCCAGCAACCTCTACGAGCTTACATCCCGGAAAATTCTCCCCCCGGTACAAAGGTTTTGGAAATCCCTCGGAACTTTGATGGAGCGCTGGAAATTGTGGAACCGGTAAATCCGATTTTTCGCATAAGAAGCGGAACTGGCATTCTTGAGACCACAGTGCGGCTGGATTTTGAAAGCGAAAAAGTTTACAATCTTATTATCCAGGACTCCGGCGTTTCCTCGTTTTATAATCATGACGTCATCGTTTACGTCACAGACCAGAATGACAACGAGCCTACATTCGCGATGAACGAATACAAAGGTAATGTAAACACGGCAAGTCGGGTCGGGTCGTTTGTGGCTCAACTCAACGCCTCTGACCCTGATAGTAGGGAACGTGGGCGTTTAGGTTTTCTCATTGGGGACAGAAATTCGGCGTTTACCGTCAACCCAAAAACTTGGGTAATGGAAACCAATGGTAGACCGCTTGATTTATCCCAAAATAGTTTTCCGGTGAATATACGAGCGTTCGACCAAGGTTATCCAAGACGTGAAAGTTCAACTAGGGTCTTGACTGTAAACAAAGCGAACAACCCCCCTAGATTTAGTCAGTCGGAGTATACATTTAGCTATCCGGAGATAACGTTACCGGGGATTGTGATTGGTCGGGTCGTAGCGATTAGTCTATCGAATATCCCGGTCGGTTACGAAGTTGTCCCGACTTCCGATGTCTTTGCGATAAATCAACGAGGAGAGTTATCGTTGAAACGCAGTGTTGATTTCGAAACCGCCGACGGTTTGACGACGACGATCATTACAATTCGCGCCAGCGAGCTTACGGACAGCAACCCACTCTCATCCCAGGCCTCTGTAACTCTTGTCGTCACGAACTACGACGAGAACCCTGCAATATTCACCAGGGCTATCTACAATGCGCAACTCGACGAGGATGTTGGGATTGGTACATCGGTAACGACTGTAACGGTAACGGACTGTGACTGCGGAGTGAACTGCCAGTGCACTGGGACCGAGATGAATTTCGCCCTTGAAGATGCTAATGCTTACTTTGATATAAGCGCCACCGGTGAAATTCGAACGGCAAAGCTTTTTGATTTCGATATTCAAAGTGTATACAGTTTTGCGGTGGTGGCTTGGGATCGCGCTGGTAGCCGCGGTGAGAGTGAGCCCGCACGTTCTTATGTCAGCGTCAAACTTCGTGACGTCAACAACAATGCTCCAAAGTTTTCCGAAAGTCGCTACCGATTCTTCGTCGACGAGGATTCGGAAATTGGCCATCTTGTCGGGGTGGTCCAGGCCACAGATAAGGACAACCTTGGTTCTCCGCTGACCTACAGCATCACGGCGAGCTCGCCCAAGAGCGGACTATTTCGTATTCCAGACTCTAGATTTGGGATCGTCGTCGTGGCGTCCTCGTTAAAGGCAGAGACCGAAAGCGTTTTCGTCTTGAATGTTGAAGCCAGCGATGGTGTGCTACGCTCTCAGACGCAAGTTGAGGTTAGAAATTTTAACCGTTAATTCAGTCATTTTCTCGCAAATAATCCTCACTTCATAATAGGCCCTCCACCGTCCTTTAACCACCTGCCCACTCTCCCCAAACTTCTTCTTTGGTTGTTGCATCTTTGATCTTTTAGAATCGTGGGCCATTTTTTGGTCTCACCAACATCACCGAGTGCATAATTTATTGCTAAGATTATTACATAGATTATTCTCACGTTTTTTTTTTTTTTATAATTCCAGATCAACGTTGAAGATGTAAATGATAACGCGCCCCAGTTCACGTCGTGCCCCGAATCCGTGTCCGTCGAAGAGAACATTAGCCCTGGATCTCGGGTGACCGTTTTGAAAGCCGTCGACAGCGACCGTGGAATACATGCAAACATCGAATATTTCATCGAGGTATAAATATGCACAGTAAATATCCTAGTGTTTACCAATCTGTATCTCTTGTATGGCTCTTTTTATATACATATACTAATATACCACAGAAACAATAGTTTTCGAAATAAATCAGTCGGGTATAACACGAATATATGGATATACACTCCTCCCTCCCCGGAATTATGCTGTTAGCCTTGTCTGAACTAACGAATCTTGTTTCTTTCCGATCAGGACTCCTATGATCTATACACACCCGATCATCAATTAGTTTTCGTCGTGAACAACCAGAGTGGTAAAGTGGAAACAGCACTGAAATTGGACCGCGAACAAAAGTCGCAGTATTTTCTTATTTCCTCCGCAAAAGACCAAACTTTGAACAGCCAGTTGCGTCAAGTGGGATACTGCCAATTTGTCATTCACGTCTCGGACGAGAACGACAACTATCCCATATTCGAAGTCGAAGAATATCAAACTAGCGTCAAAACAGATTTGGCTGTCGGCAGCCGCGTGCTCCAAGTCAAAGCAATTGACCACGATGTCGGGGAAAATGCCAGGGTTACCTATACTATTGACAAGGGAAATGACAAAAACCTGTTTGCGGTCGGTTTGGATGGATGGATAACGGTGAAATCAAGCTTGATAGGTAAGCTAAAGTCACTGAAAGTCAGGTCTAAACTTCAAAAATATTCCCTGGCGTCTTCGCAGAAATTTATGCACTATCTAGGTGATCTGAAATGGCGGGAAATGACTAAAAAGGCAATAAATGATAGCTTTGGAGCTAACAATTATTAAAAGGATCCTCAACTTAGGTATATAAAGTTTAGTTAAAGTTACACTGAACAACGGGCTACTTTAGAGCGATGGAAAAAACCGATAGCGCTTTCCAGCTTTCGTACAACCAGCCCCTGGTGTGTAAACGCGAATCACAAATACTTAACCCTTCGGGTTTGTGGCGAGTCTGACACGTTGATTTTTCTGCTATTAATTTAGGTCAACTTGGGGAGGTGTCGCTGACCATCACTGCTGGTAACGTTAAGGCGTACCACAAAGATGCCAAGTCCGATAATACACATGAGACTACGGTGAAGATTTTATTCACAACGAAAAACCTTCCGCGATTTTCTCAACCTCTATTTCAAACCAACGTATTGGAAAACACGACTGTCAGTTCTACGGTGCTGACACTTACAACGGTGCCAACATCAGCTGGAGGAAGCATGATATATAGCTTGGCCACGCTCCGTCTTGGAGATTTTCCGTTTCGACTTGACCACAGCACGGGCGCGGTGACTCTAACACAGCCCCTCGATTATGAAAAACGCAAGCAATACGTGTTTTCTGTTAACGCGAAGCAGCACACTGACAGCGGGACTGACAATAATCAGGTCGAAACGGCGGTTGAAATTAACGTCGTCGATGTCAATGACGTCGCGCCGGTGTTCGCGCGATCACGATACGATGCGACGGTTTCCGAAGGCGCACAACCTGGTACGATGGTGATACGAATATTTGCGATAGATTACGATCCGTTAAACGTCGCTATTTCGTACAAGATGGAAGAGTTACTCGATTCACATTCATTTCAATTGACTTATCGCGATTCGTCTATAGAAATCATTACGACCAGGATGTTTGATCGGGAGACTAGGGAGTATTATGACGTCAATGTTGTTGCCACTGACAACGGGAACCCTCAGCTCCAAAGTACGGCTTACGTCAAAGTGCGTGTACTGGACGAGAACGACTCGCCCCCAGTGTTCGACGCGGCTCATTATACGGTCACAGTCCCGGAGAATACCCCGGTCGGGACAACTATAAAGACTGTTGTGAGTCGGGATATGGACTTCGGGATAAATGCCCGGGCTTTGTTTTCCATTGCCGCCGGCAACGATGGGAGGTTTCAGATGACGTCACAAGAGGTAGCCAATGGCAATGAAGGACATCTGGTCGTGGCGAGACCGTTGGATTTTGAAGCGAATTCTGAATATAATCTCACTGTGGTTGCCAGTGATGCAAAGTTTAGCAATAGCACCGTAATCACAGTAAAGGTAAGAAAAAAATCATAGCAAAAATTGAAAGTTTAAGAACCCTTTCGGTATCTTTATGTGCCTCTAATGAAAGCATTATATGCCAAGAATTGTTTATACACTCCAATGAGACAAATGCGCTCAAATAAGTATAAGAATGATAAGAGTAAGTAAATTCCAGAAGTTTATTGTATATTTTCAATTTTTTCCAGATAACCAAATCGGACAATAAGCCTCCACAGTTTGGGAAAAACCTTTACGACACCAATCTTGAAGAAAACACCCCTTCTGGAATGTTAGTCCTAGCCGTGTCCGCCGTTGACCCAGACACACCCAGCAACCAGCTTGTATACACCCTAAACACAACCATTGTTCCCTACTTCAACATTGGCTCGACAACAGGGGAGATTACCACTACCGGGGTTCCGCTTAACGTGGAAAAAGTTCCGGTTGTGGTTTTTCCCGTACATGTTACTGATGGCAATAGCATAGCCAGGGCCTTGGTTGTAGTAAATGTTTTGGATGTGAACGAGCCACCATATTTTCCAAACAGCCCTTATATTGGTTTTGTCCCTGAAAATAAACCCATTGGTACACCAGTTCGGTATATCACGGCCTTTGACGACGACGATCCGAAGCTTGCCAATGGAAAGAATTCTAAAATTTCTTATGCCATCGACCGAAGTTCGGGCGAGACACAGCTCGATGCCGATGGCGGATTGTTTTCTATCGATTCTACGACTGGACTGCTGACCACTAGTGGAGTGTTCAATCTGGAGACGATTCGGCGAAATCTGACGATCTTAGTGCGAGCAAGTGACGAAGGTGTTCCGAAGCTATCTTCCACTACATTGGTTACGATTGTGGTGGAGGATATTTCCGAGTTTCCGCCGAAGTTTTCCCAAGATGGATTCGTCGGGGAAGTTGCAGAGGATGTTAGTTTAGGTAAGACTCCTGAAATTTTAACAAAACAGAGGAAATTCCCTCTTTTTTTATTTCTGAACTTTAAGGGATATCGATTGGCTTTTATAAACTACATATAAACTATACTTTATACACTATAAACGCTCACGGTCGAAGATACATATTTAAATACTTATCTATGTGTTTGCCCAGGTTCTGTTGTTCTGGAGATGGCGACGGTTGACGAAGATTTCACGAATGTCGGTCATGAATACGCTATAACCGAAGGAAATTATCCATTTGCGTTTTACGTTGTTCCTAGTACAGGACAAATTCAAGTTGCTGGCATTCTTGACTACGAAACAAAACCGACGTATAACCTCACTGTATCTGTCTTGGAACGAAGCATTGACAGGACTTTCCCCACAGATCATGCCGTGGTGTATATAAAAATCCTCGACGCAAATGATCATCCGCCAATTTTCCAACCGAAAAGCTACCATCGAAGACTGCAGGAGAATGTTACCATAGGTACAGAAGTCCGAACGGTCACATGTTCCGATATGGACGCGGGGGCCAATGCCGTACCGCGCTTTTCAATCACGGATGGAAATGTTGGGGATGTATTTGAAGTGGTAACGGATCCAACAAATGACCTCTTAGGTGTTGTAAAAGTTGCGGACCATCTTGATAGAGAGAAAATATCGTCGTATATGTTGGAGATTACTGCCACAGATATTGGAGGACTAAAAGGTTAGATATGATCAAACGATCTAGAGTTATTTAAGTTAGATTATATTATACTTCTCTAATATATATATATTCAACATGGCTGCTGACACAAGTCGACCTATATTTCATATACTTCATGTAACCAAAACATTCATATATTAGTCATCTTTTTCTTGTAGTTTTGTAGTTCTTTAGAGCTCTGTAGCAAGAAAAGTAAGAATCTTTTTTCGCCTGCTTTTTTAGACACAGCTGTGTTAGCAGTTCAAATTGAAGATGTCAACGACACTCCCCCGATGTTTTCACCGGCATTTTACGAAGCGAGCGTAATCGGAGGTGTTCGTAGAGAGCAATATATCACGACAATTAATGCCTCTGACCCGGACCAGTCTCCTAATGGAGTCCCGTTTACATTTCAACTCAACAGCACCAACGACGAATTCCAATTAAAAAATCCAACTGGCAACAGCGTTGAACTATATACTAAACTATATGAATTTATTAGAGAGACAACACCGCTGTACCATGTTAAAGTTGTAGCGACCGACGCCGGCAATCCTGCTCAGTCAGCGGAAATGATGGTTTTCGTGAGTGTTCTTGATGATACAGCCAACCAGGAGGCTTTTGATGGATCCCTGAGGATAATCATATTCGCATTAGATGGAAATTTTTCCGGGGGTGTTATCGGAGAGGTATATTATAAGGATAACGACTACCAGGTTGATCAGAACGAGTACACTGTTGTCTCACAAGAACCTGGAAACCACTTTAGCGTGAATTCCTCCACAGGTCACCTAAGCTGTGTCACAGCCGATATACCGATCGGCGTGTATTCTATAAATGTTACCGTTCGAGATCAGAACTCTGCGAAAAGTGTGAACTCCGAAATCACTGTTACAGTTCGAAATTTGAGTGCTTCTGCTGTCCAACATGCCGTAGCATTGCGGTTTCCAATGGGAAATTCAGCCATGTTTATTGACGGTGTATACATGAAGCTGATAACGACATTGGCGAATATTTTCCAAGTTCCGGCCGATCATGTGTATGTATTCAGCGTCGCGCAATCGACGGAAAGTCTCGTCAGTACGCCAACTGGCGTGGATGTATGGGTTGCCATCAATGACAGGAATGATGTTTTTATGAATCCTAACTATGTTTTTACACAAATTGAGACGAATTATGAAAAAATTGTGGCCTTAGGTGAGTTGTTTTATAGAATCCTTTGGAGGGAACATTTTGCTTGTTTCACCAACCTGTTAAGGATAGCACGTCATTATTATTCCCGCTCTCAGAAGAGCTTTGATCCACATCACTTTTATCCTTGTTTTCCAGGCGTAAATAATGTTGAAATAGGCTACGATAAATGCGCTGTTGAATCCCATTCTGTTGGTGTGTGTAAGAACGTTCTTACTGCACATCAGTCGTACTCGGTGGTCAGCGGATATCATGGTCAAATACCTGCGCCCAGCTCCAGTCTCACAGTTGTCGTCGTTGATACAGACCTGCAAGCGACGTATACGGTGTTGCCCGAGCCGGCAACCAGTTGTGCTTTATTGCCTTGTTTGAACGGAGGTAGGACCAAGGACCATTTAGAAACTTAACGTCTATCACCTGTATTCAAAAAGCTCTCTTACACTCATTGAGTTTGACATAGAAATTTTGTTATTACTGATCAATGAGAAAGTCCTTTCTTAATTAATAGAAAAATTTAAGGCAAAACACTGAAAATCAAGCTATTTTCATGAAACGTTATGAGAAGATCAAGATCTCCCATTCAATGAGTTTGAATGTGAACGAGCTCTTACAATACAGACGTTTGTATGTTGTTTTAGCAGATATTTTGTATTCATATCTTTAACAATTGCAGGCACTTGCCACGACATTCTTCCCGAGGGATATGTATGTGAATGCCCGCATGAGTATCGTGGCCCGGAATGTCAGGCGACAACCAGAACTTTCGACAAATCCAATTCCTATATTTGGTTGGAACCTCTGTCCGCTTACGAACTAAGCTCGTTCTCCTTCGAGTTTATGTCACAGCCAAGTTCAAGTAGCGGGTTGTTGGTGTATCAAGGTGCTGTGAGAAAAGGTATTGTTACACTAAAATTGTCAAAAATGGAAACAAAATGGAAATACGAAACACCATGGGTTACACCAAAAGGGAACGTTGAAAACGCCAAAAGGGTTACGGTGTTTGAATGACGTGTACAACCACTGGTCTTATAACACACTGGATATAGCAACTATACTTTAATATACATCGACCTGAAGATACATGATTTTTGCAACCCAATTCTCTTGGTTTCATTATAGGTGGCAACAACGGTATGAAAGATTTCCTTGCTGTGTCGCTTATAAGTGGATACGTCACCGTCGCGATATCGTTGGGCGGTCGTGCATTGTCGTTGAATCTTCGGAACGGTCAACGCTTGGATGATGGCGCTTGGCATCACGTTGAGATAAAAAGAATGAAGAAGGTTTTATTTTCAACTTTTTTCTTTCACCCTCTCGTTCTCATCCGAAATGTTATCCCACCTAATGTTATCCTCCGATCATCCACTTTATCCTTCCACTCTTCTTCATACAACCAGCCACTTTTCGCCCCAGGCCGCCTTTTTTCAAGCTCTTTCCTATCACATCCCATTGCTCTCCGCCATGTGACTAACGTCAATTTTTCTCACCATAAAGGAAATCCGCTTAGTCGTCGACCATTGTGAGTCGGTCACCGTTACCGAAGAAGACGGTCGATTTTTTGAAGATCGGGCGAAATGTGAAGTGATCAGTCACACATTTGGTGATTATATGTAAGTTAGTCTCAGCCTAAATTATTTTCTAGGTTTTGGTAATGCAGAAAAGTTCTAATTATTTTAATATTCTTCTTCAGCTATCTTAATGGCTTAGGTCCGCTCCAAATCGGTGGATCATCTTTCGCATTCTCCCATCCCTCAGTCACGGCCCAATCATTCTACGGTTGTATACGAAACATCTACGACAACAACCGAATGTATGACCTGCATAACCCGCTAAAGGTGGTCAACGCTTCCCTCGGCTGCAAACGAGGCTGTCAATCAGAATGTCAAAACGAAGGCTACTGCGAAGCCGAAATGTACAACGGGAAAAGTTGTTGCACGTGTGTGCCAGGATTTACTGGCTGTGATTGTAGTCAACGTAAGTCACTTTGTAAGAAGTCCAGTTTAGCCTGTTATGTATAGAGACCTGTTTAGCTTTTTTGTATGTAGTCCAGTTTAGCCTTTTTCGTATAGAGACCAGTTTAACAGTGTGTATCACGTCAAAATTATTCCTTCCAGGATCTCCTTCCCTGTGGTATATTGAGAACAGTTTCAGTGAATACAACATCTCGAACATGGAACAACAATCTGTGATCCAAGATGACCCCGATGAGCCATCATTACCCGTCAGACATCGGCGTCACATATTCGCACGCATTTTCAGATATTTCTTTCCCTTCCACACGAACCTCGTGCTCAGGATTCGGGTCTTGGCCAATGTTAGCAATGCGATATTCTTTAGATCTGCATCGGCTGCCGAAAGTTCCTCCTCAGAGCTTGGGGTAGGTCGAATAACTGTTTCAGATTTAGGATCATGCACAGGACACGTGTAACCTGCGCACAATCACTGATGGTTTGGAGACAAAATTGGGGGAACGGAGAGGGGGGGAAGCTGCCCTTTTCCTTTACCTGAGTGTATACCTATAGTATTTTAGTAACTCTTTACTTGTGAAATATATACATCAATTCGTCATTTTCCAGCGAACTCGACCATGGTCGAATTCGTCATTTTTCGGCGAACTCGACCATGGTTGAATTCGTCATTTTCCGGCGAACTCGACCATGGTGGAATTCGTCATTTTCTGGCGAACTCGATCATGGTCGAATTCGACTACATTAGCTCATTACTGTTTGTCTACGCTTAGATCAAAAATGGACATCTATACTACACATGTAAATTTGCCGACGAGATGAAAACAGTCACCCTGACTGGGGCCAATATCACTGACAATAAATGGCATACGGTTCGTGTCAGTAGACGTGGAAATACAGTCTCACTTCAGATGGATTTTAAAGCTAAAGCATACGGAACTACAGGTGCTGAAAGATTGTTCAGTATATGGAACACAACTTTGTTTGCCTTTGTGAACCAATTTCGTTACCATGACAATGTTGAAATTTTTGAATATTTCACATCAAAGTGCTTTAGAATTGTTAAAATTTTAATACAGGTGGTGTTGTGCGTCTGACCAGCTTATCTGGTGGTTCGTTGTACACTGGGGGTATACCCCGCTATGCTGAAAAAATCCTTGTCTCAAGTAATGGTAACGGCAGTATGTCCTCGAGGAGCATGATGCATGGCGGGCGGAAAGTTGAAACTGTCCACCATGACTTTCAAGGTAAAGAAACGCTAGTATATCTTCGCTCAAGCCTCAAGTTAGAATCCCATCGTAGCAATCTCTACATAAACTTGTTTTTCCCAGGCTGCACCGGGGGCGTGACGTACAACGGACAAGAACTTGACGAGAAATTCCAGTTCAGCCGGTTTCGTGTGGTGAAAGGATGTCCCTGTGCAACAACTGTCCTGGATTGCAAGAACAATTCCACGTGTACGGACGAAGAGCCGCCGTACTGCGCATGCTCGGAAGGATTCACGGGGCAGACATGTGATCAGGTCGTGACCGAGCCAACACCCAGAGCGCAAATTACAGTGCCAGGTAATTAACTCTGCTAAAAATGGGGCTAAATCTGTTTTTTTTTCTCCAATCATAACTATAACAGAAATAACTATAATTTAACTATACCTAAATAAATGTCAGTTATGTAAAGTGCATTAAATTATGATCACTAGACTCCATTGCAAGGAATTGTTTTCCTCGGTAAAGATAATTGTTTTATGTTATTTAAGGAGAGCGCAAAAGCAATCGAAACAGATTAATGGATCCAGTTTGGATTTGTGTTTTCCTCCTCTGTCTAATCCTTTTAATCTTTATCCTCTGCCTACTCCACATTCTGCCAATCGTTGGCGGGAAGAGACCGCTGATCGAGGAGGAGGCTCACGACAGCATTATGGCATACCAGGAACATGGCGGGGAAGAGAAGGACGCGACAGGATATGACGTAACGGTGTTGATGAAACATTCGCGTCGCCGGGTAACCTTAACAACTGCGACTTCGGCCGCGCAGGTGAATGGGGGACTAGAGATAGACGGAGTGGACTCTCGCGGCGGGAAGAGAATGGTATCAAGCTCACAAACGCGAGGTGTATCTAATTCCGGTGGTGAATATGGTGCTCAAAAAATGGAAAACTCAAGTGAATATAAGGGAACCGCGGCGGAATCTCGAGCCGCTGGTGCACATGAAATCGAAAGTGAACGGCGTTTAAAATCCTGGATAATGGCTCGCGTTTCCGAGGCCGACCAAGATAACGGTTTTTTCCCAGTAGACGAAATGGATCACGTGCGATATGAGGGCAAGTATTCCGATTTTGACTATGAACTTAGTGAGATAGAATTGGATGAAGATTTGAATGAACGAGGCCAGGAAGTATGGTCTATTGACTGGGATAATTTTAGAAAGTAAAATATCCATTTTTCTGATGATTTTATTTCCAGCTCGGATCTAGTCCCCGTGGTTCGTGACCGTGTCGAGTATAGGAATCGAAAAAAACGTCATCGGACGCGAGGCGAAAGATTTTCGGTTACGAAAATGGCACTAACTTTTGGGGGGATATTTTGAACATTTGATTGAAAAGCAATTCATTCTCACTGCCACAAACTCTAAGCAGTAGAACGTTCAGTAGCGTAGCCGGCCTGTCGATTTGTCCCACTATGCTAATATTTTTGTGTTCACTGACTGTGAAAACAATCAATTTCTAAAGACATGAATAATTATAATAACTCGAAATTTACATAGCGGGACAAAATCGTCAGGCTGGCTACGCCTCTGAGAACGTTAAGCAGTAGACTGAACTAAAATAATCGTTGTAAATAGGCATTATTTTTTAGCGTCTCAAATTTTTGAGGAGCAATAATTAAGTTCGCAACCGAAATCAGATTGATTTGATTTCGGATTTCAGAAGAAAGGGATTTCCCTCTTTTAAATGTAAACATTAGTCACAAACTATTTCTAACTTCCACAAACATATTAATGCATAATAGATCACTAGAAAAAACATTCAACGTTTTGCTGCATGTCATTATCATATTGGTGCGTTGTGTCCATCTGTTTGCGGTTCAATTATTTCATATTCTACTACTTCATGTTACAATTATTTACTCCTATAGGCGTGAATACATTCAATGTGGTTGTCTATTTCTTAAATTCGTTTTGTATCTACTTTTAGTGAGTCAGTGACTGATTGAATGTTTCAACGTCTTGTGCAAATTCTTGTGCAATTCTTGAGAAGTCTTTAATATTCTAAATAATGAGTAAAAACATATTAGTTTACTCTCATGCAGATACTGACTAGCCAAGCCATTGCAATTAACCAAAATGCTTTCGGGTGTATATTTGCATGTTTTCTTTTGAAATTAAGAACAGTCAAGTTCTATCCCTGTGTTATTGCATAATGCGCTTGGGACCTGAAAAAGCTTATCCCGCTTTTGTATGTTGAATACAAAGCTAGTAATGTTCACCCTGGCATTCAAACTTCTTTCATTTAAAATTCAAATTCAAAATCTCCGCAGCAAGATGCCCGTTTATTCCAGCGAACACATGGTTGCGGTGAATACTCACAACGAAAGTTTGTGCTTTAGAAATTGTCATTGTGCAAATCAAGATGTTTGCTGTTTTATCCGATAACTTTTGGACGTTTCACAGTAAAGAAATCATTATTTGGCCATCAATGAAGGTCGATAATTCGATTTGAATGTCGGTGTATTGGCAGAGCCGAAGGCAGGCAAAAGTCCCTCGCTTAATTTTGAATCAGATCGTGTTCAACCATTATGAATCGAAGCAATACAAGAATAGTCTCGATTAAATACCAAAATCTGGTCTTTGTTCATTTGCAAAAAGGTAAATCCCAATCTTATAATTTTATAAAATGAATGAACTTAATTCGAATTACCCGTGCATGTTTTGTACTGCTGAGATTAAAGAGACTATGGTGGGCCTCCCGCCACGGACTATAGGAATTTAGTTGTCGACCACTTTTTGCGATCGACAACCATGTGAAGTGCGCATTCAAAAGTCAAATTAAACTTTAATTTGTCTTTCTTACATGATCAATTCACCCGGTAGAGGAATCCATGAAATTGTGTTCCAACGCAGATCGGAGTTATATGATTTACGTCGCAAATGTCGTAGTTAGGACGTTTTCTCCAGCACTTCTTAGCTTCGGCGTGAGGCTGGTTCACGTCAAAATCTTTGTAGCCCCAGCATTCGCCGTAAAACTCAATCAAGAAATACTTGTATCCTTGAGCTTTTGCCACCTTTGCACAACTGTCGGGGTAAAAACATGAAGGGTTTGTATAATCAATCAAATAGACTTCGACAGTCGGTGAATTTTATACAGGAAAATGAACGGTGAAAAGGTTTTTTACTTACTCGCAAATGACCACATCGAGAAAATTATCCCATCCTGAGCCCCAATCAATCTTTTTACGTTGGTTGAACAAGAGCTTACTTGAAACTGGTCTAGGACGAGGAGTCTTGAAGCAACCCTCTTTTGAGATCGATACCACTGGGCAAACTGAAGGGGAAAATACGTTTTAAGGTTGTGAAATCTACAGGCAGGAATTATTGTTCTCATTTTGAAATGGTTTGCCTCAGGGTGTTTCTGCTTCATGCATATGAAAGATTTCAATCTATTTGGACTTTGTCATGTTGGGACGTTCTGCCTTAACTCACGATGTCGGACCAGGCGTTTCCAAACAATTGGACGTGAGGATTCAGTTTGTCCAAAACCGGCGACTTTTTTAAAACACTCCTCCAGGGGCCGGTTGTTCAAAGCTAGGTTAAAGGCTAGTTTCCATTCAGGAAAAATCTCCTTTGGATCGGAAGGGACAGGAAAATTTCCTTTGTCGGTGAGTTCTCAGGCGGTGTTTATACAAAGGAAACTTTCCTGTCCTGTCCGATCCAAAGAAGAATTTTCCTGAGTGGAAACTAGCCTTAACGCTAACCCTGGGTTAAATTTTAATCCATTGTTTTAGTTTATGTGCTTCTGAACCACTGTTCGTCTTAAAACTTTAGAAAATATGACTTCTATCGGTCCAGAAATATTTATGAGAAAAGATATTGAACTTTGTAAACAAGCGACATAAAAAATCGATGTAAAGATTTTGCTTTAACCCAGGGTTAAGCTGACCGACTTTTGAACAATCGGCCCCAGGATATCAACTTATTTCCTGTCTTCGCTCGCACACCAAAAATCCACAATATATCATGATGACTTCAATCAAACTTACATTCAGGTATTTCACAATTCACACCCGTCCAGTTTGGCAAGCAATTGCACTGATACCCTGCCACTGTGTCAACACATCGTCCTCCATTTTGGCAAGGCTGACTTTTACAGGCAGCTTAAACAAATTATTTATAGAATACAGGTTATATTCTTTGCATATTTGACGAAAAAAGTTAAAATGGTCCAGCATCAAAGCAATTTTAGGTTTCAGGTCATTGGCAGATGTTTTACAAGTACTTGTTCTTAACTTCTTTTTGTTTTTAAACAATGAAAATTTGAAATCACACCACTCTCAATCCTAAAATGCACTTTGATCACATTTGGGGAAAGGGTAAATACTTACGAATAGCTTCACAAATCTCTTTAACCAATGCATTCTCGATTGTATCCAATGCGTTTATAGGCGATTTGAAAACATACTCCCGTTTGCTTGCTAGCTGGTTGAGCTGCTTTATTAAACGATAGACGGTTCGACCTTGGCCAATGCCAACACACAAAATGGCGACATGATTTGCCTTCAATTCCTGTGCAAACTGAACTGCTCTTGAATGATCATCGGACCTCCCGTCAGTAAATATAACGACCACATTTGGCGCATCCTTTCTGTCTTGAGCTTGTCCGAATATCTTGTGAGAAATTGGTAAGCAAATCAATCGTAATATGGCTGGTAATGATGCCCAAAGGCTTCTTTATGTCATAAAGGCCCATTTATAGCAATTGGATCATTTTTTGGTTGTAATCTTCGGTATAAACTGGATTTTGGATTTAGGGAAATTCAAAACTGCAATTTCATTGACTTTCAGTTTGCCGGCATGTTTACGAATGTTGAAAAAAACACTATCTGGTGGATGATAGCACCAGTAAACTCTAATAAATAAGAGTTTACTGGAACGATCTCTCTAGACACGAGTGTCCTGCAAATTTTAGCTTTTTGAGAAAATTTGAGAAAATTTGCGGCACTTTACCTCCAGACACGCGTGACCGGAGGTAAGGTCCCGCAAATTTTGGCTTCACGAAAACAATGCGAATGTATCGTTCCAGTTATTTATTAGAGTTCACTGGATAGCATTGTTCATATATTCACCATTTATAAGAGACTACCGTAATTGAGTATGGAATATAATTACGTTTTGATCAACATATTTCAACGCCCTTCCCGTAAACGTGCGACCGCGAAGGTACTTCATCTTTTGGACAGCGGTATGCAGTTGCGTCTCGTTTGTATACTTGGTGAGAGAGAAAACTTCACGTGGTTGGTCGCTGTATTTTACGAGAGCAAAATGAGTGCCAAATCGGGAAACGCTGAAGCGAGATATTAAATCGTTGACAAATCCTTTGATTTTTTGAAAGTTATTTGGTCGTATTGAGCCTGATTCATCTACGACCATAGCGACGTCCATCACCTTTGTACACTTCTGTACTGTTGAAAAAGATGTGGAGTTTTGTACTTAAAACTTTCATCGGATGCATGGCCCGAATGTAAAATGCAATAATTGCAACGTGTCCTGCAACCAATCTGATTCGACACCCAGCTCAGGCCCTTCTCGGCGATATCAGAGCGATATTTAGACGTGATAACTGTGGGGGGTGTATGTAACTGTAAGGGGGGGTGTATGTAATTGTAAGGGGGGGAGGTTCAAATAGTCGCCTTCGCGTGTCTTGAAGAAAATCCCTCTTAATTAAAGAAGATCAATTCGACACTAGACAGAAATATAAACATGCTGCAAACATCCTCGATTTTGCGCCAAGGTTCGGTCCTGTATGTGGATTTCGCATTTCTTCATGGAATTTAAAATCAAGAGGGGCTGTTTGCATGAGTCCGGTTACCCGAGATTCAGCGAAGCGTGAGAGGACTTTGAGGTAATGAAACAAGTCTTTAAGACACAAAACAAGCACATGATATTGTTGTGGTGATTATACAATCGCCAGGATCAATCAGGATCATTTCAATACCTTAAAATCATCTCACGCTTCGCTGAATCTCGGGTAACCGGGCTCATGTAAACAGCCTCTCAATTTACTTGTATATGCATTCTTATTTTATTATTCAAACATAAGTTGCATGTGTTTAGCAAGAAATCTTTGGCAATATACAAGTGGCGGAACGAAGCGAATAACGTCTTCACCAAAGTCCTTGACTTTGTCATGCTCGACTGCATTAGAGGAAAAATTCTATTGTTGTGAAAAATCACAATTCAATAGCGCAATAACTGAATAGCTCAGGTTATGTCTCTGACTTTGCAAAACTATTCCGTATAGACTCCAACTTGATACTTGACTGACATCAAAAGTTACCATTTTTTCTTTCAGAAGGGCAAAACAATCTAATCGCTTGAACATACAAACATACATTATCTCTTTTAGCTTATATAGTATTTCTCTCGTCATCACACGCACAATGCAACTCTGATCAGAAAATAGCTACCTCATTCATTCAAACTTTTATACTTACTTGGCCCAGCCAATGCGCCGATTACATACAGCAGAACATTGCCCAGAAACACCAACCTTATTCGTCGCATTTTTTTTATGTTTTTGATGGAATTCAAAATAAAATGATACGCTTGAAGGTTCCCTGACTAAATTGTTTCTCTCACTATAGGAAAAGTGAATGATGTATTGGCTTGCTGGTGAAATGGTTAAAAAACCGACCGTCGCTGCATGATGAAGTGCGACTGAACAACTTAGCTGTACAAGGTAAACAAATGAAGATACTCATTTAGATCACGTGATAATATTCACTCGACTCTGTCACATTTTGGCGACCAAGTGAAACGCGTTGCCGGCTTTCTACTTTCAAAAACAAACAGCCAGCAACCGTAAATATTCTGTATAGCGCTGCCCTAAATAGTCAATACTGTTGGACATTTGGTTCAGCCATAGTCTGTCAGCGGTATGTATGTACATGGTATGTGATCCATGGGTCGCGTCTAAAGCCTTTAGTTATCTTTATGTATGCTCTCAACCTCATTAAATACGTCATCCTCTTGGCAAGACGAAGTTTTAAGCCAATAATATCCTAGCAGAATATTAATATTTGTGAACCAGACTGTAAACTCTCGGTAGATCCTCGACATACACCCACGCCTAGTTGCCTTACCATGCTTTGATGATTCTCGCGTTTTTAGAAATTGTGTCTGTGGTTCAGCTCTGTCGACATTCAAAATTAGTGCTTATGTACTGTTTCACATAAGATACCTTAAAATATTTGCAATGGCTTAAAAACTACTACCAGCAGGCAATTCAATAACATGTAACACAGTCAAAACTGTTGTCCTGCTCTCGGGCTACTCTAAAGCTTAAATCGGCTCCACAAGATGTTTTTCTGTTCGGAGACTTTTAATAATCCCCCCCTTGCTCCACCTCCTCAAAAAAGATTCCTGGCAGCACCGCTTTTTTGCTGAAAAAACTTTTATTTCTAAGCGTGCGACTATTATTTTCTAAATCTACTTCAATCAACTATAATCATGTTACTTAAGTGAGCCGGAGAGTTCTTTGATGCCAATCTTGCATGTGTCAGAAAATACGCCGGCTAAAAAATATAAATAATGTATTTAAGCGTGTAGGCTTTTAGCGAGTTTCACGGGGAATCATCACAGGATAGATGGCGATTATTCAGGACAGATTCTGGAATGGGCTGCGGTGAAATGCGATGTTTTTGGAAATACAAAAGGAGTTTCCACATTTCGAGGAAACGAGGCCATTTTGAGACAAATGTGGAACAACACCGAATGGTCCTATGATTCCGTGATATCTTCTAGCTATGTGTAAAACACGAATAAAATGACCGAATAAGGCGATGAATACTTTCAGTTTTTTCTACAAACTCGATCAACTATTCTCCGGTGGAAAACAAAGTGATGAAAACAAACTTTCAGGCGCATAATCTTACATGTTCAATCCAGGTGGTAGAGGTACCCGTGATCTCCTGTTCCAACGCAAATCGGTTTCATTTGGGTTTCATCGCAAATTTGGTAGTTTGGACGTTTTCCCCAGCAGTTTCCAGCACCAGCGTGAGGCTGGTTCACGTCAAAATCGCCGTAGCCCCAGCATTCGCCGTGGAACTCAATCAGAAAGTACTTGTAGCCCTGAGCTTTTGCCTCCTTTCCGCAACTGTCAAGAGAGGAAATCAGAAAGCATTGACTTTAAAATCAGAATGCAGAGAACTGGTGAAATTAGTCCCTCTATGGACAGGTGTCGAGTATAAAGCAAAATAACAAGCCTCAGCCCCCCCACACACACACACATCTAACCCTCCTCTACACACACATCTCCCTCCCACACATCTCACCCCCCCACACACATCCCCCCCAAAACACACATATCACCCCCCCAAAACACACATATCACCCCCCAAACACACATCTCACCCCCCCACACATCTCACCCTCCCCCACACACACATCTCACCCCCCCAAACACACATCTCACCCCCTCCACACACATCTCACCCCCCAAACACACATCTCACCCCCTCCCAAACACACACACACACATCTCACCCCCCCTCCCTAAACACACACACATCTCACCTCACCCCACATACATAGGTTTTTAACCAAAATATCTGCACTGATTCTTTGGCCATGTTAAATAAGGGGGGGGGCGGTGGGCTGTGTTTTTCTCGAGTGCATTTCTCAAGTTTGGATTTATCCAAGAACCAAGTCTAGTAACGTCGAAAAAGGAGAAAACGTGGTAATCTTAAAAACGAACACAGAAATCTAGGACAAAGTCAGTCCATCAGGCTCACGAATTGTAGGCACGAAATTACTATCCAAAAGTATTGGCGTGAAAATTTGAAATTTTATTCCAGGAGAAGAGCAAAAGTGTGTTTTCCTTACTCGCAGACGACATCGTCGAGGTATTTATCCCATCCTTGGCCCCAATCAATCTTGCTACGACGGTTGAACAAGAGCTTTGAAGAGTCTGGTTTAGGTTCAGGCGTCTTGTAGCATCCTCGCTTTGAGAACGAAACAGCTGGGCAATCTGTGAAGACACAGAACTATATTAGTAGCTGCCAAGGTTGACTTCATCTCTACCTGACGAACGGCATAGAGGGTTTTCAGGCATCTTCGATCTCTATCAAAAGGACTTCTTCGGGCTAGCGGTGTGCTTTTTCATGCAATTTCATGTAAAAAGATATATTCCTTAGACAAGAGAGGAGATCACATCATCCGTCTTTCAAAGGGATGTTCACTTAATGCATATTCCTGAAATTTTTAACATTTAAACTGGCGCTCAAGATAGGAAACACCCAGTGGTCTGAATCTGTGGTTTCAATAACCAAGTTTGGCTGCAAAGTATTGTAAAGTACGGAAAATATAGCCATGCGAAGTTGGCAATTATGCATGTATACTTTTTTCTACGGCCGGAAGTGTGAACTAAATTAGATAAATCTTCCGGCCGTAGTGAAAAAGTATACAAAATTGGCTACGTTTTGCGGTTATAACTTAGCAGTTATACTAATTTCGGTATGCTCTTTTTATCTGTGGTGATTTATTTCTTTCTTGTTACCTAGATCGTAAGTTGGTCTATTATGCAAAGGGTTGATTAACTCACATTTGGGCACCTCACAATTCACTCCTGTCCAGTCAGGTGGGCAGTTACACCGATATTCTGTATCTGTGTCAACACATTGTCCTCCATTCTTGCAAGGCTGACTTTTACAGGCAGCTTAAACAAAATATAAAAACAAAAATTGTGTCATTTAACCTTCTACAGTGAAAACCTAGCTAGGAAGGTCACTCAACGCAGGGTAGCATACATTTTTTACTGTGGCGTACTTACGAATAGATTTGCAAATCTCCCTAACCAGTTCATTCTTGATCGTATCCAATGCGGCAACGTTCGACTTGAAAACGTATCCTGGCTTGCTCGCCAGATCTCCAAGCTGTTGTAACAGTGTAGGATTTGTTGCCCCGTCTCCAATAGCAACACAAAGAATGGCGACACCACTCCCCTTCAATTGTGCCGCTGCCTGAACTGCTCTATTGTGGTCGCTTGACTGACCGTCAGTGAATATAACCAATACGTTCGGCGCGTCCTTTCTGTCCTGAGCTTGTCCAAAAATCTTGTGAAAGGCGAACAAAATATTAACCTTTGCACCCAGTCCGAAATTTTTATTGGACTTTACCTCTGAGGGAATGAAGAGGGGTAGGGGGTGCACTGACGGATAGGGGATGACAAAGTAGAAGCATGATTACGATAGTACACAAAAATCAATACAAATCTTATACGGAAATTTCTTATTTTATGATAGAGGGGCAAATTCAACCGCGTTATCTCAAATTAGGGAGAGGAGGGGTGTTAACACAATCTTAAAGATCTAAAAAATGTTGATCTTTGCAATTTGCACGAATAAACCGGACCTATGACGTAAGCAAAAGAGAACTATTGGATATAATTACATTTTGTCGGACATAGTCCAATGCTTTTCCAGTGTAGGTGCCGCCGCCCTGGTAGTTTATATTTCGGACAGCGGTTTGCAGCTGTGCAGCGTTGGTATACTTGGTGAGAGAAAACACCTCGCGAGGGCTACTGCTGTATTTCACAGCGGCAAAATGAGCGCCATACGGGGAAACGCTGAAACGAGATATTACGTCGGCGACAAAACCTTTGATTATCACAAAGTTAGCGGCGCCGATACTGCCCGACTCGTCCAGCACCATTGCGAGGTCCACAACCTTTTTGCACACTTGTTCTGTATTAAATATAAAAGATTATGTAGATTTGTATTAAATATAAAACTTTATGTAAAAGTGATTCTATCCGGTGCTATCTATGAAAAAATTTTGTGGGAATATGGTTATGGTTATGTCTGCGACTATGTGTACAAATGCATTTATTTTGTCCCATATTTAGCACTTATCACATATCTTCTACTGGCAGTTAAACCATAAGCCGCGTATTTAACCTCCTACGTTTTTTGGTATTCAATTAAACCAGTTGTTTAGCAGAGGTCAACAATGAGGGGTGTGCATCAGAGGAAAAAATTTTCATTCAGACTATTTCGCATCGATTAGAATGACTTGCTCTCGCGACAAAGACGGCAAAGTGAGCAAGCCTTCTTAATTAATGTGATTTTCTGCGAGATCTTTCTGATCGAGATCTTTAATTCCAAAGCCCTAACATACTATTCACAGACATTATTGCTTATTACTACAGTTCATGGCTAATATCTTTTTGTTTACAAAGACCTTAATTGCTGTTTTTAATTCATTATGTCAGAAAGCTGTTAATATAGTTTTCTGTTAACTGATATAAACCCCGGCGTATTTGATTATATATCTTTTTGATTCTGTGCCCAATTTCCATTTTGCTGTAATTGTCGTGGTGCTGTTTGTGCAGTCAACAATGACGGGTATACATCAGGGGAAAAAATTTTCATCAGGGGAAATAATTTTCATTTAGACTTTCTTAGACTCATTTTCATCAAGTGGGCACGTGACCAAGCCTTCTTAATGTGATTTTCTGGCAGATCTTTCTGATCGAGATCTCTAATTCCAAAGCCCTATCATACTAATCACAAAAGTTTGCTTATTCCTACTGTTCATGGCTAATATATTTTTGTTTACAAAGGCCTTAATTGCTGTTTTTAATTGGCACTAAGTCAGAAAAACTTTAATAGTTTTCTGTTAACTGATCAACCACCGGCGTAGTTGATTATATATCTTTTTCATTCTGTGCCCTATTTCTATTTTGCTGTAAATGTCGTGGTGCTGTTTGTGCAGTCAACAATGACGGGTGTACATCAGGGGAAAAAATTATCATCAGGGGAAAAAATCATTCATTCAGACTATTTCGCATCGATTAGAATCACTTGCTCGCGACAAATACGGCAAAGTGGGCACGTGACCAAGCCTTCTTAATGTGATTTTCTGCGAGATCTTTCTGATCGAGATCTTTAATTCCAAAGCCCTATCATACTATTCACAAACATTATTGCTTATTACAACAGTTCATGGCTAATATATTTTTGTTTACAAAGGCCTTAATTGCTGTTTTTAATTCATTATGTCAGAAAGATATTAATAGTTTTATGTTGACAAAGAAAATGGTCTGAACAATGATGATATGCGTTTGCAGAGGCACTGTTTCTTTGCGTTGGTCAACCGAGTAAAGCGTCTTCCTGTACAATTTTTTCCCTTTTTTCCTTCAAGGCCTTAACCGCTTTATTTTAAACGTTTCTCTTAGCCGCTCCGGAAATAGAGGTTCTATTGTGTCGTCGGCCAGGTGTTAATTGATAGGCAAACATCAAACCAACCCGTATCTACGCAACCCAGTTTCATTAGCGCTGGCATTTATTTGGGGTAACCATGCATAAAATTGGAGAATAGCTCATCCAGTCTTGCTTTGAGAATTATAGCTTAAAAACTGCATCTTAGGTGATAACCCTGTGATTACTCAATACACCATATAAAGTAGGTGTTTTGAAATGCGTGAATTAACTATATCCTGCCATGCAACCCGTTGAAGAATGCATTTTAGAATGAAAATATGAGCGTTTACCTGTAATAGTCGCTTAATCGTCGGATAATGATACAAATTTCGCATTACAAAAGAGCTCGGGGTTAAGTGAGATTTTAATGCTTAGTTCCTACCTTTCAAAAATAATTAATAATTTGATATCATGTTCCACTGGTTAGGTATACTATTTTACGAAATTGCGATAGAGACATCTTCTGATTATGATATTTATTGTTCTATTGCTTTTTAAATGTGACTTACTTGGTTGCGCCAATGTGCTGGCGACGTGTAACATTAAACAGATAAACGAAATTAAACTCCACTTCATGTCTGATGCCGGCTTCTCTCAGTTCAGCTCGAAAGTTCTCCCTGGCTACTGGCGGAGTGCAGTGTTTGCTGCTCTGTGTAGAAATGTCACTTAGTTTTCATGGTAGGCCTGATATATACCAAAATTTGTGAGAACTAATGAACCAATCAATGCGTCCTAGTGTGGTCACGTGACTCGAAACCCGCCCATCATTGTCAAACGTGTTTGATAAAAACAAATGATATTTGACCTCAATATGTAAAAAACACCACATTAATTAGTTTCTCAGAAACATTTTCCGATTTCCGACCGAATATTGTCGAGAAGAAATAAGACTGAATACTTCTCTGCGTGTGTTTGTGCTAGCCATGCATCGGAATAGGCCATAGCAAATCTGCTTTTAGAAATTCAGTGCTTTTTCAGGTTTTTTTAGTTAGATCTGTTGTCGTCAGAACTGTCCGAATTTTCCGTTTTATCTTTCGGTTATGACTCTGTATTTGTTCAAGAGATAGGTGTTGCTAAGCATGTGCTCCGTGCTCTCTCGGAATGCTGTAACGCGGTTCAAAAACATGACAAAAGTTGATGATAGGAGTCAAGATATCCACCTGATATTCCCTGTGGAATGTGAACTAAAATTGCGTTTGCATATGAGCAATTTTGTATAACCGATAGGCATTAGACTTCGTAATAGGCATTAGACTTATCTGAGAGATAAGAATGATATAATAAATAGATCGCATGCATTTAAAAGTGAATATCATATCCCATTAGCAACATATCGGCGATCGAGAAACTGAAAAATATGCATGTACTCGATGACGACAGTTTTCTCTTTAACTGCATGAATGGTGCAATTTTCTAATATCTGTCAATCGCAGATTAAAATGAGCAAAACATTTTTGAGAAAACTGATGCGACGGCAATGAGATACCTTTAAAAATACAAACATCACTTTTTATCACATTTTTATTATATTTCAGTATATACGTGCACGCTACATTTCTTAAATGTCCTTAGTTGTGCTTGAGCCACAAGAACTTTCTTCATGTCAGTGTGTGAATGTACTTCAACGTGAAAGTACTTCGTATACTTCGGTGAGTGCGTCAGTGCTTGAAAACCCATTCTTGTGCAAACTGAAAATACGTCAGAAAAATGCAGAAAAAGCTCTTAAGTAAGTGGACTGACGTACGTAGGACAGATGGGGCGTAGGACAGAAGAAACACTGAGAAGTTTATAGCTTGAATATTTTTTCTGAAATTGTAAGCCAGCGAGGGCTGACGGAATAGCGGGTGAGACTTGAGAGTGTTTTTGCACGTACGTACACGCACGTACGTAATAATTCCAAATACCAAAATTAATACTAGAAAAATACCAAATCTTCAACAGAATCCAATCCTATGTATCTTCTATTCAATCAATAAGTACGAAGGCCCTCAGCTCGAAACGTCAAGAAGTGGTTTTGTCTATCAGTTTATAGGCGGTTGTTATACCACATTTGATGCTAAATTATTTGAAGACGCTGCCACGCTGCTTCCTGGTTATATTGGAGCGTGTCATTGTAAGTGATTTTAACTTACGTGATCAATTCAGTTGATAGACGTATCCGTGGTGGCCTGTTCCAACGCAAATCGGCTTGCTTTTATTCTGATCGCAAGTGTCGTAGTTAGGACGTTTTCCCCAACACTTCTTAGCTCCAGCGTGAGGCTGGCTCACGTCAAAATCTTTGTAGCCCCAGCATTCGCCGTAAAACTCAATCAAGAAATACTTGTGGCCTTGAGCTTTTGCCGCCTTTGCACAGCTGTCGGAAGAAAAAGTTACAGGGCGTATATTTTTGGAAAACCGGCTACAGGGTTTGAGGGAATGAAGGAGACATATGTGGATAATTGTAATACAGTCTATGGTAAAGTTTATCCGAAGGCAGGCTTTTCAGTAATGTAACTTAAGTTCAAGGGAAGCTCTCATGATTTGAGACAAGCTGGGTTGTGTACTGATATAAGTACTGTACTGAAGCGTATTTGGAAAATTTTACAGAGTGCGGTGTCGATAAAATCTGAAGTATTGAAATGTTGAATTTCTTTCGGAATGGTGTTTGCAAACTTGGTCTTGGAACAGCCGGCTAGCTGGTTTTGAAAATCGGAATCTTAGGCCCAGTTCGTCGCGTTTTGGTCGCGTCGAATGCAATTCAAACAATAGATAATGAGATGGTAATCAGGCTGAATTGGGTTTACCATCTCATTAACGACGCGACCAAATTGCGACGTATAAACTAGGCCTAATTTACGAAAAGGAAGAAAACAATACATTCCCCTTACTCGCAGACGACATCATCGAGATATTTATCCCATCCAGCGAACCAATCAATGTTGTTACGGCGGTTGAAAAGGAGCTTTGCGTTTGTCTTGGATGGAGGTGTCTTGTAGCAGCCCTGTTTTGAGAACGATGCACCTGAGCAATCTGAAAAGATGAATTAGCAGCTGTAAGGTTCGACTTCGCTTCCGGTTTTTGTTAGAGCACGGAATAACCGAAAAACAGTTCGAATGGTCAAATTTCTGAGAATTTTAGGGTATTTATCACTTTTTGAGATTGCATATATACTTTACTTACAGGGACGACGAAAGCAGTCTAGGCCAGCGGTGGCAGTGTTTAAAAAGGGGCACGTTCATTTTAACATCGCTACCACACGGAAAGGAAGCCGAAACTTAACGCACACACAGATTTACAGATCCACAGGAGCACGTAATTTCAGTAATGCGAAGAACACGTATCGTATTTAAAACATAGTCTTGCATTGTAACGTAGCCTTGATCATGGTAGCTTTCTCTTTGCCCCACACCACCCGACGCCCTTATATTCATCTTTTAACATAGAAACACTTCCTGAGATAACCCTTTCAATTCACTAAAGAAGCTGTTGCAACCAACCAGTACACTGTACATTTTTAACGAAACTTACATTTGGGCACCTCACAGTTAACTCCTGTCCAGTCAGGTGGGCAGTTACACCGATATTCTGTATCTGTGTCAACACATTGTCCTCCATTCTTGCAAGGCTGACTCTTACAGGCAGCTTGAATAAAGAGAACAATTATAGTTGCGTTAACTGAACGCGTGAAATATCAACACTAGGCTGCGCTTAGCCAGTCCCTAGAGTCAATTGTATTCTAGTGTACTTACGAATAGATATACAAATGTCTTTAACCAATTCATCCTCGATTTTATCCAATGCGTTCATGTTCGACTTGAAAACATATTCCTGTTTGCTCGCCAGATCTCCGAGTTGTCGTAACAGTGAAGTACTTGTTGCCCCGTTTCCAATAGCAACACATAGAATGGCGACACCACTCCCCTTCAATTGACTCGCTGCCTGAACCGCTTTATTGTGGTCGCTTGACTGACCGTCAGTGAATAAAACCAATACGTTCGGCGCGTCCTTTCTGTCCTGAGCTTGTCCAAAAATCTTGGGGAAAATAAGAAAAATTAACCAATCAACACTTTCAAAATATTTGCCCAATGTGGCCAGTTGACCAATGAAAAATATCGTTGGTCCGAAACTACATTACAACACATGAGTTTTTATAAAGGGTAAAGGGGTCGATATAGTATTACGCTTTAATTTTTGCTGGCACATAATCGCCCGTTTTTTCGCCCTTAATATTATGGTATTTGTATGGCATCTAGATTTCGACAGGGTGAGTTTACTTGGCACTCTCTGATGAAATAAGTTTTAGTTTTGTCTCAGAAGGAGTTGCTTAAAAAATGGGGTACTTTTGGAGACTTGACGTTCATAAGTGTTTATGGTTTTCCAGAATTGTAATTTTAATTACATTATTTCGGACATGGTCCAATGCCTTTCCAGTGTAGGTTCCGCCGCCCCTGTAGTTTATATTTTGGACAGCGGTGTGCAGCTGTGCAGCGTCGGTATACTTGGTGAGAGAAAACACCTCGCGAGCTTGACTACTGTATTTCACAGCGGCAAAATGAGCGCCAAACGGGGAAACGCTGAAACGAGATATTACGTCGGCGACAAAACCTTTGATTTTGACAAAATTAGCGGAACCAATACTGCCCGACTCGTCCAACACCATTGCGAGGTCCACAACCTTTGTACATTTTTGTACTATCAAGAAAGTAAAGGATTTTGTCAGGAACTAACTTTATCATGTAAACGTTATTACATCCAATATTATCATATGTAATACACGCTGATCAAATTTTCTCCCAGTACAGCGGGTTCTGTTTTTCAGCGGTTCAAAGACGAAGAATCAAAAGCTTTTCGTTTCACCTGCTGATCTCAATTTTACATTAGACACCCGCTGACAATTAATGTGAGCAGGCTCGCGAGTAGGAGAAATTTCGCTAATTTAGGCTAACGTGGTATCAAGAATTCCGGCGGCAGATGCTATGTTGAAAGCAACAATTCAACTGTAAACCAAGCCTTAGTTAATAATTCACAAACTGTATAATACAGAAAATTCACCAAGATTTTAGCGGGGGTGACGAGCTGGAACGAAGGAACGTAATTTAGACAAAGCGAAGCCAGTGTCCAAATAGTAAAAAAAGTGTCTCAAAACGCTGTTGCTATGACGGTGCAGGAATGCATGTGTCATTGATGTGAGCAAAAGCAGTACGATCAACACCGCTAACCACTTGTTTGCAAAGTACTTTAATTACTTTAATTGTGATTCACACCGCAATGGTTCTTGCAACCTCTTTGTGCGAATTTTTACCCGAATTTACCACGGTGCGAAGGAATAATCAAATAAGAAACTAATATTAAATTCCTAGAAGGAATTTCTCATGCAATTGTTAACCAAAACAAGCTCAAGTTTCGTTGTTAGCTTGTCTGCTTTTGCTTAAAATAGACACCGAAGAATTGATTTACTTTTTACGGCATTCCTTTTTAATCGTCTTGGACTTTTTTCGTTTTTCGTGCACGGTATATGCTTGAAAGTTGAAAATAAGTTTTAAAATTCAGCCCACAACAAACAAATGCATGAAGGAATCTTTCCATTGGTATGCTAGCTTAATCTCCGTTCTCTAAATTTGTTTTCTAGTCGTTTACTTTAGATGACAGGGCATAACTTAATGAGGAAAAACTAATAGAACCATGTTATTTGAGATTCCTAAAATTCAATTGAAAGTGTAAACAACGAACTGTGTAGCTAAGGTTACCACTTCATGTTCTTAGCAACTACAACATCGTATAACTTAGGTAAAAGTGAGTTTTTTGAACGCGCGGATTTATTTGACTTACAAACTTGGAATCTCGGAGTCTGAACTGCATGTAGCTGCTATTACAATATTCACCTCTTATTAAAATTAATACATTAGGCATGGCCTTTGAGAGACAAGCCTTCGCTATTCTTGATTTATTAAACATTTCAATTATATTACACTTACCTGGTACAGCTAATGTGCCGGCAACAAGGTAAATAACGAAGATAAAAGATACCAAACACCGCTTCATCATTATAAACTAGCCTTTCGTAGAAATATGAACAGAATTTTGAATTCGGGTGTAAGAGTATACTGTAGAACTTATCTGAAATTCTTTCTCAATTTAGTTGAAGAATGCTTTGCCAGCTCTGGTCCACTGTTGAGATGCGAAGTGGCTGTTCTGTACTGTCAACGATTAAAGGTACACCTTATATATACAAACATTTGAAGATAATGAGCCAATCAATGCATCCCATTGCGATCACGTGTACCCCGAAACCTTGAACACGTGACGCCGTCTAAATTGGTCGTATTGCATGTTTGGGCGAGTTTTTTACCCCAGTGAGTCGATCCTGGGTCATTTGTGGCGTGTGATTTGGCAGGAACATTGTAACCAATTCTTTAGGAAAAAGTTTGAGTTCGGGAAATAAAGTTTACGAATAATTTGATAAGAAAGATACAGGGGGCAAAGTATTAAATTAAAGAGCCAAATTAAATTATCGAGAGTATAATTTTGAATGAAACTAGCAATCTGCTGGGAGAACACAGTTGCTTAGCAATCACACACCAGTTATCCTTGATTCAACCGGTTCGGATTAAATAAAGTTCAACAACTTGATGTTTTTCAAAGCCAAAATGGTCAGACCGGTCTTATTTGAATCGAAATAGAGTATTTTGCTAAGAATATAGCGGCGAAAGAGCATTTTCCGTGCTAGACAGATGCAAACAACGATTTAAGATTTCTTTGAGATCACTCCAATATACCAGCAATCTGCCTGTGCTGAAATACAACAGCGAAAGCGCCTTTAGTGTCTACTTTTGAGCAGAATTAAGTAGTATTTTGTTTAAAAGCTTATAGCGATGCAATCTCGTTCAGTTTAATTAAATCACTAATATTAATAATATTAGGTTTTTTGAGTCGCCAATTACGTATTCAAACAAATGAGATTTCAAATTAATTTAGGAATATATGAAATTAATAATCAAAGTTGTACACAAATTGCGGCCTTTTGGAGAAAATGAAATTACTTTACTTCTTAAAAAATGAATTAACTTTTTTAAATGAAATTAGCTTACTTTTATAAAAATTAATTTGTATGTTTTCGGGCGTCCTCTTTTAATCTGTCCGGCAGAAATAGATTAATTTTTTAGTGATTATACCGAACAAATATGAAATATGAAATTGGCATGCATGCTCTTTGCTCACATCTTATAAATTCTCCTGTTTAGCGCCAGCTATGTTTACTGTCTTTAAGAGTCGGTAATAAATCATATTGTTATATAGGTGCTGTGTATTTTAAATGTGATTGGTTCATTCGCAGTCACGTGACTTTAAATAAATGCAATGTTTCCCGCCAGGGAAACAAGTGAAAAATTGTTGCCCGCATATTGTCATAACAAAGTTTTTTAAATGAAATTTTCGTTTAACATGTATGTTTTTGTTCCTATATAAAAAAACACTTAATGTTCGCTACACCTCGGGAAATAGTGAGTTTTGTTTTCCCTCGAGTCTCAATGTTCAGACTCTTGGGAAAACAAAACTCACTATTTCCCTCGGGAGCATACAGGAAGTGTATATTATCATAGAGCTTCGTACAACGAAGAAAACAACAGAATGACTCGTAAAGATTTTATAAGGATTTATTCATAAACACGTCACTTATATTTAGAATTCTTTATTATGTATTATATTTCATCTTTTGAATTTCTTTAGTTTTCTGTACTTAAAACATCTTGTGAAAAATTTACACCTAAAAAGTAAAAAGCATTTGTAGTGAACAGATTGTTACGAAGTTAACCAAGTTTAGTTCATCTTATACATTTGGATTTATACATGTTCTCAAGCAATTATTACGACAATCTTTTATGGGTGTTTTTAACTTTTATTGTATTATCATTCGCCTTATTCAAGAATACAGGAATATGGTGACCAGGGAGGAGAGTGTCTCTGGAAAATATTCACCCAGTCTAAATTAGTATTCTTAAAGTTTAAAACGTTGCTCACGCAATCAATCGAGTTGGTAGACGTATCCATGGTGACCAGTTCCAACGCAGATTGGATTTTTTTGATTATGAATGCAGGTGTCGTAGTTGGGACGTTTCCCCCAGCATTTCTTAGCGCCAGCGTGAGGCTGATTCACGTCGAAATCTTTGTAGCCCCAGCATTCGCCGTAAAACTCAATCAAGAAATACTTGTGGCCAGTCTTCTTCGCCTCCTTGCCACAACTGTCATGAAAAGTGATTTGGTATACAAGCGTTACCCTATATTAAGGCTGAGGGATTTTAGGGTTGTGATTGCTTTTTGCCGCCAGGCGGGCCTTGTCAGAATCGAGAACGATCCCATAGGGGTCAACAATGATCGGGATATGGCTAGCAGGATAAGGGTGGATGTAAGAGGGGTATGGTGGATCGACATTAGCATGATATGAGTGGATTTTTGAAAAAAAATAAATGATATCATTTGGTGGTGAAATGTCGCCAGCAGAATTTCGTTTGATGCTAGTGGGACATGAGTTACTTTACAAGGACATGCATTGGACGCTAGGGGGATATATGTGGACACCTACAGGATATAGCTGGACGCTTGGAGGATATAAGTGGACACTGACAGGATATGAATAGAAATTAGACAAGCCTAAGCGACATATAACTTACTCGCAAACAATAGTTTCGAGGTATTTATCCCATCCTTCAAACCAATCAATGGCGTTGCGTCGGTTGAACAGAAGTTTTGCTGTGGCTGGTCTTGGTCGAGGAGTCTTGTAACAACCCCATTTTGAAAACGATGCAGCCGGGCACCCTAAATAGATAGAAATATTGTCAAACAGGTGGCAAACAAGCCTGTACACGAAATAGATTCACTTTTCCATAATTTCAACGGTGGCTCCCTGTCATTTGTGAAATTTCCTGAACCTGCCATAAGAGTTGACCCTGGACGGACTCAGCGACTTGAATGATAAAGAAAACTTCTTTTCTCGAACTTACATTTGGGCAGTTCACAATTTTTTCCTTCCCAGTTCAGCGAACACTTGCACGTATACCCGTTGTTGCCATCATCCACACATTCTCCTCCATTCTTGCAGGGCTGGCTTGCACAAGCACCTTGAAGAAAAAATGTAATGCAATGGTTGAGATTACTTTATGGGTGAAAGCTATATCTTGTCAATACTCGCTTCGCCGAGCCCCCACACCACATGTCCACCTACCCTTACCCACCACGCTCCTGCTTTACACCATCCATGTCTTAGCCTTGCCTTACCACACCTAGCTTACCCTATCGATTCCTAATCCTCACCACACCCGCTTACTCTTCAGTGTCTGTGTGATCAGAATTGATACTTACTGATAGTCTCACACATGTTCTTGACCAATGAATCTTCGATGGTATTCAGTGCGTTTACGGACGACTTAAAGGTGTACTCAGGTTTGCTGGATATTTGCTGGAGCATTCTCGTCAGTCTATTGACGGTTATCCCGTTACCGATTGCGACACAAAGAATTGCGACGCCTTTCTCCTTCATTTTCCGTGCCATATTAACGGCTTTGCTGTGGTCGTGTGACTGCCCGTCCGAGAATACAACTAAAACGTTTGGTACGTCGCCTCGGTCTTGCGACTGCCCAAATATCTTGCGGAAAAAAAGGGAAAGAAAGTTTGGAATCTGTTGGTCGAATTGGCTTTTGACCAGCTGAATATATTACCAACCGTGACAGCCTGCATGGCGTAGTAGTGTATTTTATAAAATTACCTTTTCCTCAACCAACTGCAGTGCCTTTCCTGTAAACGTGCTTCCACCGACGTAGTTCATGTTTCGGACAGCGGTATGTAGCTGTGCAGCGTTGGTATACTTGGTGAGAGAAAACACCTCGGTTGGACGGGTGCTGTATTTTACGGCGGCAAAATGAGCGCCGAATGGGGCAACGCTGAAGCGGGAAATTATGTCAGCGACAAACGTTTTGATCTTCTCAAAGTCTCCGCGACCAATGGAACCCGATTCGTCTACAACCATCGCAATGTCGACCACCTTTTTACATTTTTGTACTGTTCAGAAAAGAAAACTTTTCAGTCAGTCTTCCATTTGAATATTACAGTTTTATACATATCAAAACGACGTCGTTCGAACGAAACATTCAAGTGTTTGAAACCGATATTTCTATATGATTGTTTTTGGCGATGCTATAAATGGTGAATGGCCGATGGTTCGAGGTTGTAGACTAAGTTTTAAACAATGAAATATTTAACCCCAGAGCTATGAAAAGATTTTGAAGTTGATTATATGTTGAGTCTAATTTTTGATCTAAAATTTGGTATGAATTTGATCTGGAACATTTTGAATATATCAGTTGAGTTAGCAGAGCATTGGGCCATCAAACCATCAGTTGCGGTTCTAACTTGCGTAACTCTCATCACAACAAAACATTTTCCTGTTAATTGTTTCAACCTATAGAAACTCAGGCGTGAGGAATTGAACAACTGACGAATCGAAATCTGTCTTCTACTGTTCCTATGTTACCCACCTGGTCCAGCTATCGCGATGGTGGTGTACAACAAAACGCAAACGAAATGTACCAAACTTCCTGCCATTCTTCAACTCTTTGCTAGAAAATTAAAAGATGTTCATAAGCCATGTTTACATAGTTCCAGGGGCGGGTTGTATATACGCGACCCGTTGTGCCTAAAAGGTGGATAGGCTTTAAAAAAAGCAGGGATGCACAACAATAATCACAGGAGAAAACTACAGTTTTTCGCCATGAATACCACAGGCACTTGCAGTATTGTTTACAGCTAGACATGCAAGCAGCATATTTGTGTCAAGTTAAAACACCGTGTTTATGTTTAGAGACAATTCTATATAGAGCCGATAACTCGAGGTAGCGCTCGCTGGGTCCCGAATTGCACACGTTCTACACGAGACGCAGAAAACGACTTTAGCCGTTTAGACGACGTCTAAAACCCCCATAGGTCTTTAAAAATTGCTTTTTGAAAGGGTTTCAAGAGTATATTCTCTTATATGATGTATATATTACTAAACATTTTAACACAGCATGTCATCGTTGAATTTCCAAAGTCAAAGAATTGTATTTTGGTCGACATAACGCCATCATTTTTTCATAGGGAATTATATGCGTTTGTGATGGAAACAGTTAATCAATTGAGCGAAATAATTTGAGGCAAATGTTATTGCTATGATTTACAAAGGAAGCAGTTTGACGCTACCAATGAAGGATATATGGTTTGTGTCCACGCTAGCTCCACTGTGTGGGGGGACACTTAGGAATAATGCGGGTTATCGCTCATACACTTGAGAATATAAAGGCGAGATATAAATTTGTGATGTTGTAAATAGCGTAGTTTATATAAGATAGCCTAGCTCGCAAAAAGATATAGCCTAGCTCGCATACTTCTATAGCTGAAAAAACGAAGGGTTTTATCCATTGCGAGCACCGATATTATTATTTTTTTATAATGTTTAATTATATATTAAGCCGATATATTCATTTTCTTTGGCCTGATATAATTTGTATACAATATTTTGATTGATACAAAATAGATAATAAAAAAATAGATGAATTGAGTTGTACATATTATTACGCGCATCGAGGTCCTGACATCCTTTGGGTTGTCAGTCCTAATTTCATTTAATTAGATTTGAAATTCATTTAGGAGGCTTATGAGATAAACCATCAATATTTGTTGACACAAGATGCGGGCGTATATTTTTAAATCAAAATGTTTAATTTGTTTTATTTATATACACATATATCTCGGTTTTCTGAACATCTAAGCACTTTATTTGGAGCCGCGTTTTCTTCAATCACTAAAGACAAACGCGGAAACGTATTAAATCATCCTGCATTCGCTTATTAAGCTACCTACTTTACTGGGATCGAGTTATAGTGTCATTCATTGTTAATGTGAAGTGAAATGCAGTAAATATGCAGATAGTTCAAATAAGTCCGCTGTTACCAAAGCAATGAGTAACTTTGTAAAGAACTCAGCTTCGAAAAAAAACAGTTCATAAGCGCCCTCACTATAAGAAAATATGTACATATATAGTGTTTAAACTAATAGGGCGAAGTCTTTCACTAGATCGTTACTTGATAATACTTTGCGGATTAGTGGCGTGACAAAATGGCAACAGGTTTAGTTCGAGTTTTGTTAAAAGAGTTTATAAACCTAGTTTTGCAATCCTGGCTATAACTGTATAGGTTCTTCGGGGTCGAAAAACGGTAGGAATATGAGGCAGGATTCCCTTCATTCTTGTTCTCTGTTTTGCGATGACTACGCCCTCTGATTTCACGGAATTAAATCATCTGCTTAAGCACGTATAAGCCCCCCACACCAAACACCAAACAGCCAACGGACTTAAAGTCTCCCAGCCCACGTATATAAGTCAACATCCGACTCCAAACATGCCAAGTTAAATTAACAGTTAAATCTTTAAAAAAATCGTCACTGTCTCCCTCCCCCACATGTCCATTGGGGGGCGCTGTGGTGGGCTTTGCTTGGCTTTATGGTTGAAAGGCATTTGAGTTGTGAAACTAATTTAACTTCCGCCAAACGAGTGTTGGCGCTAAGTAATGACGCGAAACTAGAGACTGGCACTCGCGGAGGAACTTGTAAATCACTATTATTTGCACATAGCTTTGCTAAATTGAATAACTTAAGTCGAGTTTGACTGTTAAGAGCGTGGGATAAATATTAATTTAGACAAGAAGGGACATGAATTACGCATTTTATAATCTCAACTTATCTCTTTTCACAGGCATGAAAAATATGTATGTAGCTAACCATATAACTGTTGTACACGTCAGTTGTATCTGATTCCAAAATTCCAACTTATGGGATAACTGTAATCAGCAGTGATTGGCGTAAATAAATATACTGGTATTCTATACGAGATAAGCGTTTATCGTCAGTATTTCAAGAGTTTTTAAAATTCGAGTACTCTTTTATTGATGCTGGCAGTGTTCTTTCAAGTCTTTTGTTAACACGCAGGTTATTTGCATGTATATACTAGATTTGTCATACCCATGCAAGGTATACAGGATATCATGACACTGAAATACAACTAAACTCGTCAGAACACCTGTCGCGCCTCATACATATGATTTCGTATATGTCTATATTGATATAATCATGAAATCACCGTTTATAAATTACTGGAAGATATACTAAAACAGCTCGTATATCATATTTTTAGAATCAATACAATAATCTTTTGCTAAATGTGAAATAGGGACATATGAAAAAGGACATTGATGCATATACTTTAACTGTTTAAGTTTAACTGATACAAATAAATAGCCATAAAGGAATAAAGCTATCTTCTAAGATAAGTATAAGTTACAAATAACTGATGCTGACCTTTCAGTTAAACTGTTTTCTATCTTGATGGTTGCAACTTGATGTCTCTAGCAAGGATGCGTGGTTATAACTGGTTCGTTCTTCAATTATGAATTCTTGTTAAAGTAACCGGAATATTGCCTCCGTAATGTTTACTCATTGGTATCAAAAGTAATTGTACAAAATGGCATATTTACTGTACGACAATTTAAATTTATTATCACAGTTTTTCACAAATAAAACACGACATTTGTGAGCTGGTGTGATGTCTATTCAAATGCGGGGCAAAAACTTGAAAAAATTAGAAATATTTCTAGCTATCACAACAGGGAACTGCTTTTAAAAATAAAAGTTCGCTAGCTTATGATAAAGGGTAGTTTTTTTGGCCGCAACATTATGTATTATAAGCAAAACTGCTGCGGCATCAATAAATAAAACCAATTTACTGAATAATCTTCATATTTGTTATTAATAACGGTTGTGAGAGAAAAATTAAACAAACGATAAAGAATATATTGCAATGCACATATTTGCGCGATATATATGTCATTGATGGGAAATGAACATCAGTTCCAATTATCACTGTCTTATATAGAACTTTTTGTGCTATCATGCAAGCGCATAGCAACACTATGCCAAGGAACTGTGTTCGAGTCAAGAACGAGCAAGGTCACGTATTTTTCTTACGAAGAAACCAATTAGAGGAAAAAAATTCCGAAAACTATTATTGCTGATATACAAGATACTAATATTATCAATCGGCTCGATAGCTGCTATTAACGATACTTAATAATAATAAGCCTGACTAATTTTCAAGGTTTAAAACTAATATTACCTAATCTTGGATTTTGTATTTCACAAAGGGACATATAGGAAAATATATTCACTTCGTTGGCTGTTTAGTTTAAGAGCAAGAGACTGTACTTAGTTAAAACTTTAACACAAAAACATTCCTGAATGCAATCCAGTGGTATTTTTTGACAAGATTTCTTCAAAAATATCTGTTTTAAAGTAACCAGTCATACGGCCACAATGCTAACGCTAAAGTTTCAAACTTGTATAGCAGCAACACTAATTTCTACAAATGTTGTACTTAATTTTATGTAATATTTGTGTTATATGGCTTCTCAACCCGATTTGCCCTTGCGGCATGAAGGAAAATGCGGAGCACGGAGTGGAAAATACGGAGTACGGAGTCTGTGATAAAAGTAATTATAAACGCCAGACATTCGATTCTAATTGGACTTGGAAAGCGCAGTGTCTATGCTTAAAGTAAAATGCGGAGTCTAATTAAAATCGAATGTCTGGCGTTTACAATTACTTTTATCACAGACTCTGTGTTTTCCACCGAGTCCTGGGCACCGTGGAAAGTGCGGAGTCCAATGCAGACTCCGTACTCCACACTCCGTGTTTCCACCATGCCGCCGATTCTTGCTAGGCTACCACCTGCTGGGCAAACGTGTTCAATGTTTATGCTGCGATCAGGATTTCCGCCTCGTTTCATCATTTGACGCTTCTAAGTTAATAATTTTTTATCCAATCACCCTCTAATTTCACTTCTAGATTTAAATTTAAGACGAATTCGGCCTGATGGCTTTCGCCTTTGTTATTGCGCATCGATTTCCCAGTGGCCAAAGGGGCGAGGTTTCATAAATCTATTTCAGGATGACATTTATTAAATCATTGTTTCCGTGACGCATGTTGTGTGCATCATTACCAAGTGACGCATGTTGGGTGCATCATTACCAAGTTAATTAAGAGCTCATACAACTTGTTCCCATGTTCCCATGTTCCTACCCCTATCTGCTTACCTTGGTATCTTAGGGTCTGTTTACATGGAGCGAGTTATCCCGGCTAGGCGAGGTGAAAACTGCATATAACGAAAGACTAACAGGTTAAGCCTTTGATGTGATGCATGCGCTTTTCACCTTGCCTAGGTAGAATAACTCGCTCCATATAAACAGGCACGTAGTATTTGCCGCCCATCACGTAATCATCGACGACGACAAAGTGAAGTCCTGCATGATTCTGGATTTCAAAATCCACTGTATTTGTCATCATCGAAAACAATTTTTTTTCGTGGGGTGAAATTGAAAAAAGAAATCATCGTGTTGTCTGACGCCACAAAAATTCGTAGTTTTTTCTTGCATGTCTGTGTGAAATTCTTCTTGGCCACGCCCGGTTCCGCCGCCACTGTTTGTCATCATGTCATGTTGTAATAATCTCCAAATAATCCCCGCTGCACGGAGCTGATAGCTTATGCCAATAGATCTGATAAAAACGTCTCTTAAACTTGCGTCAGAATTTGAATCGGCTTAATTCTTCAATTGAATTGATTAACAAGCGGAAATATTATTTGCTTGTAAAAATATGCCACACTTGGTATCTCAAACCATAATGCTTTCATCACACATGAGTTTGCAAAAGAAATTATCCCTAGAGTCAAGAGTTCAGGTGGAAGATTTCAGGTAATATCCGCGAACAATAGCGGTTTTTGAAAATTCTATTTTTGTCTGGCGCATCAACCATACCAGGAGCGAATTCTTGGGAATTAAGTTAATTAGCGCAAAAATGTAATACTATATTTCATTGCCATTTCAGCTTCGAAACACGAATCGTTGAAGCCAGTCATCAAACAGCGCTGGGCTGAACAGTTTAGGCGTCTTGATACTTCACCCAAGGATTTTTCCATTCTCTTTCTTGTCAGTGTCTTTCTAGCGCGCATTCGGCTTCGAATTAGCATTGCGTGCGCGCACCTTGCGTCGTGATGTCTACCCTGGAAAGTGGCCGGTTCGACGCTGAGCAAAAAGAATGCCCGGATGAAATCGAGGATGATACGTCTCCAAACGGCAACGAAGAGACGAAGGTAGGCACACTTGTTTAAATTGTGTTGTGGGCTCGTGCTTTTGAGAAAAATCTTCTCAATCCGGGATCAGCAAAGCTAATATCAGGGATCGCTAAATGCCTTTCAAGGGTAGCGCTATAAGTCGAGGTAAACGAGTTACCCAGCTGCTAAAACCTAAATTTAATTAACACGAATGTTCAAAATGGTTTTCCCTGTAGAGATGTTTAGAAAATGCAACTGATATCGATACTTTCGAGACGTTTCCAATCGGACATTTGTAGAAAAACTGTGGAAATTAGAGCATTATTACCTCACGAGGTAATGATACCGCTACGAGATTGTTAAACTCATAAAATCTTAGAATCTTAAAGCACGTTTTAACAATTACCAAAATTGTTTAATTGTGCTGAGAATTGTTTATATATCTAAGTTATCTAGACAATCTTTGATATATCTAAATTGTAAGTTGACGTGTTACTGCCGTTACATCTCGTTTCATATCATTGACAGCCTTGAGGACCGCAAACCCTCGTATGACCTTTTATCTTCGTTTCGTGCACGCATGTCGAACTTTACCAGTCCGATATTTTACACCCATAATCGCAGGTCCATAACTGGATTTATAATTCTAAACAGAGAACCATACATACATATGAAGATATACAATTAGGACCGGTTTACACTGTCGAATTTTCTTTAATCACAGTTGGTATTTTCAAACGGCAAATTCTAGGCCTCTATGTATTTGGTAGGAATTATTATTCAAGGAACGAAAACACTGGTTACTTTTTCTTGATACTCGCGGCTGTAGAACATTCAGAACTTGGGATTAACTAGTGCAAGTTTTCAAATGTGAACACAGGAACTTTGACAGTGTCAACGGCTTAAGCCTGCTGTACACGAGAGCTATTTTAGCTCGACAAAGACCACGCGTGGCTGTTAGCTCAGCAAGTTACTCTCGTACGTGTGCCGATAGTTTTTCGTGAGGAATTCGCCTCGAAAGGCAAGTCTCTCACGTGTGCGGATAGTTCTCAGGTTGAGTTTACTGCCTTGTAAAGTTGTTAGCTGAACTGATAGTTCTCGCGTGTGGCGGCCGGGCTTCAGCTGCCATATCAACCTGCCGTAAGAAAGCCGTATCATTATTACTTTCATCTTAAAGTCATTAGACGATTAGTTCCAGCCGAGTGCCAAGGATATAGGTCACGTTATGATACTGTTGATATGGAAAACAGGTCAAGACCGTCATCATGCAAATGTTACGTGCACCCGGGTTTCGCTTCCTGCGCCAATGTTTGTTTCTACAGCCGATAGCTTGTTTATTTTATTCGGATAACGAGGTATATCAGATGCATGCAGATCTCAAATATATTCTCAAAGTATTCTTTCGCATTCTCTAAAAATCATTCTCGATCGTTTTCAACAAATAGCAACGTAGATCATATGTAGAACGGGAATATATTTGGTTCCGAGGTCCGTTTTAATTCACACTGACATTCACAGAAACGCACCCAAGCGCACGTAATGCTAATTTTCGGCATCACCACATCTGGAAGAACGCTCTCCGAATTTCGATTTTCATCAAACGAAAAAGATAATTGGTGATAAGGCTGGTCATTTAAATGTTCTATTTATGATCGCGACCTTTTTATCACTTGCTCAGTCGCATTCCAGGTCATCGCGGTTATGTTTACCACTTACCATGCAGTTCTCGTAAAGGGATTATTATCTTTTTCAGTGCGCGCGCAGTGACTTCAACTTCTCATCGCATCGACGCCATAGTATGATGTTTTTGTGTGGAAAAATTATTAAATCTGAGAATCCACGTCGTCTGTGTCTGCGTCCATGACGAATATGTCAGAAATTTTATTACGTCCATATGTGACTGGCGATTCATTGCGTATGGAGAAATGCGTATTACTGCGTATTACTCCCAGGGCCCTTTACCTTGATTCTAGGTTGGGGTAAAAATTTCTTTACTTTGTATAAAGTAAGATATTCTAATCGTCTTTTAGAATACCTAGTCTGTGGCTAGGAGCACATTTAGAGCTTGCGCTTGTTTCCCAACCACATATTGAATTACTACATTAAAAAGACATTAAAAAAAGTCATTTGACAGTAACGCTACTTGAAAGACAACTCGATTAAGCTGTTAGAAACTCTTGGAAAAAAGATGTCAAATCGTTTGTGCTTAAATCATATCCGATTTCATATGAATTCCAGAGTATGTTTTCGATTGTATGTATAAAAAAAACTGCAACTAACTTAATATTCATAATCATATGTTCGCTTCTATGCAGTTGATACACCCTGTACAGCATTCACTACTTCGTTATCAGTGATGCTAAATACCACCAAGTACCCTGCTGGACGTCATATATATCAATATTTTCTTTTCAGGCATTTTTGAACGATCAACCTTCGAACTTTGTTCGACTTACGTACTCTATCGACGACAACCCCCCCTGGTATATGTCTCTATTTCTCGGATTTCAGGTAAAAACAGCGAAATGAGATTTAATCAATTGTTTAACTCGGAAATTATAATGGTAAAACCCCCCCGGCCTACTGGAACATATTATTCAAAATCAGTTGAATACCATAATTATTATACCGGTATATCCGACCTGCACTATTCTTATTGTAATAATATAACCGTACAACACGGTGTTTACATGAATGATGAACCTATCTTTAACCAACCACCATAATTCTTTTTCACAATCATATATAGCACTATCTGACAATGTTTGGAGGTACCGTGGCGTTACCTTTGCTCATTGCCAAGTTTTTGTGTGTCGGAAACAACGGAATCGCGAAAAGTCAACTGATTTGTACGATATTTTTTGCATCTGGCATCGCAACACTGCTTCAAAGCACAGTCGGCGTCCGGTAAGTTTACACTGAGGCAATTTTTGCTGCGATTTTTAACTTGTTTGTGCGATTTTCTTCTTCTAATAGATGTGGTCGAGGAATTAGTTACAAATGCTCTGATTCGTAGGACCTCTTATTTGAACATTCGTAACTGAATTCGCTTGTTTACATCAGCGAAAATCGCACAAAAGATCACATATAAGTGTAACTAGGCCCTGTGAAGAATGAAGGATCTTTGGACGGGCCACAACTTGAAAAACATCTTACAATAAGAATACACTTTGCAAAGTTTTGACTACAAGCAAGTTCGTTTCAAGTAACAACTTTATTTTACATGGCTAAATATCCAATGACAATGTAACTGTTCATGCAAACAGCCTTCGAGAATCATCTCATTTTCTTCCTAATTTCGTGAAATCTTTCCTTGGATAGTTTGCCTATCATTCAGGGAGGAACGTTTAGTTTTTTGGCGCCAACCATCGCTATTTTAACACTGCCAAAATGGAGATGCCCCGAAACGTTAAAAGAACCAAAATCAGGTGAGCATCTGCATGAGTTATTTATATATACCTGTGATTACACAAATATAGAAGCCATGCAGACTCTTCAAAGCAAGATGTCACGAATTTTTGAAGTACACTGCACTAAGTTTAAGGTGAAAACGAATTCCTATGGAGACAGGAACGACAGCTAGGTCGTGAGCTTTCTTGGTTTCTTCCTTAACAATTGAAAATCTGTTTCAACGATTTTTCAATAAAGCTCATGATGCAGGATTTCTGCGGTAGCTAAGAAGAGAAGCTCATGTGAATTATTGACACAATTGACATGTTTGCTCTGACTTTAGGAAACTTTTGACTACCGTATATAATCATCAATTTCTATAGTTCAAAAAGATAATTCATCGTGCTGGAAAAATGTCTGTACGAACAATAAAGCCCTCGATTTGCCTTCGTTTTTAAAAGGTAGGTCATTTAGTCTCGTGAAATTGATAGAAATCGAGTATCTTCACGTAACGAAAACTTAGATGTTAAACTGCTTTTATTGGGAAGATTTAGAACGAGGACGTGAACGTCAAAGAGAACATGAAAATGGCGAATAGATGATGGCGTGATGCGTCCATATATGGATATGCATGCCACGCCATTTATTCGCCATTTTCACGTCGTCTCTGACGTTCACGTCCTCGCGTTCTAAATCTCCCTAATAGGGACCTTAAGCATGTAGGAGGGCAACACGACGACGACGCGGCTGAAATTCTCCTTTAAATAAATGCTATGGCAAAGTTGTTGTTTTATATTATTAATTGTACCAATTCAGTGAGATATAAGGCGTTAAAAACATTGTGTTTATGTTTAAGGACAATTCTATAGAGCCTAATTCGAGGGAGGGCTCGCTGGGCCTGAAATGCAACCGTTCTAGGCAAGACGTAAAAAACGACGTTTTCTCGTTGTAAACAGAACGAAGACGACGTCTAAAACCCATCATGGGTCTTTAAATATTCATTTCTTTTCAATGAACCATTGTATTGATAGCCGTCGTCGTCGCGTTCGTGTTCTACATGCTTAAGGTCCCTAATAATTGACCAGCGACGTCGACCTAACCGCGTCGTAGATCATAAACTCATTATTATTCTCACATACCAGACGGCAATGATTCATCACCAGTTCTAAAAAAGAAGAAAGTGGATCCAGATGCTTGGAAAGAGAGGATGCGAGAGGTACTCAAACGATCAAACGTGATTGACCTATCGATATATCGATGCAATGATTGATTGATCGGATGTATTAATGTGCTGCTTGATTGATTGATTGACATTACATAACATTTTTGCGTGGTTATTTAGGTTCAGGGGGCGATCAATTGATCGGATGTATTGACGGATGAGTTGCTTATTTGATTGCATTACATAACATTTTTGCGTGGTTATTTAGGTCCAAGGGGCGATCATTGTGGCTTCATTATTTCAGGTGATTATTGGCGCGACGGGCACTATGGGATTTCTGATGAAATATATTGGACCCCTCACAGTAACTCCATCCATTTCTCTAATTGGTCTTTCTTTATTTGATGTCGGTGCAGATCATGCTTGTAAGTTTATGAAATCCTCTTTCTGAAAACCTAGCTGTTATATTTAACAATAAATATATTGTGCATGTGTCAAGTGGAAGCTTTCCATTACGCCGTAATGGACGTTATACTTTTGTTTTTCTGTTAGCAAAACATTGGGGAATTGCGATTTTGTAAGTGATAAATTTTATTAAGTAGTCATAGAATGTGTGGACAAATATTTTATAGTCAATCTATCAATCAATAGATATTTCTTATAATGACGTCGAACGCGGAAAGTCTGATGTTACACGAAATATGATTGGCTCCTCAAAACTATCGAGCCAGTCAAACTTCGTGTACCATCAGACTTTCCGCATTTGAGGTCAATATGAATAAGTTTTCTTTCTCGTTGTAGAACAATAGCGCTTGTTATTCTTTTCTCCCAATACTTGAAGAATTTGAAAGTACCATTGCCTGCTTACAGCAAAGCGAATGGCGTTTACAGCATACGTGTTGCCCTCTTCGAACTTTTCCCGGTAAGAAGATTGGTCTGGCTTTTTACTTCAAGCAATAGACGTGTGTTTAACGTTTGACGTCATTTCGAGAAAGATCTATTGCAGCACAATGATTGAATTACTTCCAAGGCCGGCAGCAATCTGTTTATCGAGTTATGGTAGGGTGACTAAGGCATAGTTTTCATTTTCGTAGGTTCTATTTGCTGTTGTTTTGGCCTGGTTTTTCTGCATCATTCTGACCGCTGCAGGCTCCTTTGAGAAAGGTCACGCTGCAAGGACGGACAAAACAGTGTCATTGCTGCACGATGCTCCGTGGTTTAGGATCCCTTATCCAGGTTTGTAGTCAACTACAAGCCGTACTATGCGATCAGACTTTATTGTATTCTCGTTTTCTTCCAATGGTAGGAAGTGAATTTTACTTTTAAGATTTCTATTTATGAACTGGAACAAAAAAAACAATCACAATCTACGGGTTAACAAGTGTAAGTCAGTTCTTTATTTCAAAATTGGTAGTTTTTCAGCAAATTGAAATCAAATTACTTGAGATACTAAGTCGACTTAGGGCAAGTGAAATACGTACATTATCGAGTATATTTTCAAATCAATCCGTAAAATACACTTTGCTCTATCGTATTCATGTGTAAATATATTAATTCAGGGACATTGTGAATACAGAAACTAAAGCAAACAGTCCATTTTACTAGGTCAGTGGGGAACACCAACGGTATCCGTCGCCTCTGTTATTGGCATGATCGCGGGCGTCATGGCCGGTATGATAGAATCTGTTGGCGATTACTACGCATGCGCGCGCTTGGCGGGCGCGCCTGCGGTGCCACAACATGCGATCAATCGAGGAATCTTGATAGAAGGCCTGTGCTGTGTGCTGGCCGGTGCTTTTGGTAGCGGAACGGGAACTACGTCGTACAGCGAGAATATTGGCGCTATTGGAATTACAAAGGTGCGTCTTTATACGTAATAATCCCAAGTTCAGTACATTCCGAATACCGTAAATAAACGATTAAGCACCACGGCACAGAATACTTATCGTAAGCGACTCAGCAAGTACCGTAAGTGAAAGCAATCACCCCCCTGCAAATATAAAAAATGGCGCTGTTGGCAGGGGGGTGGTTTCTCCCCATGATTCATCACTCAGCAAGTACCGTTAATGGCAACAATCACTCCCCTGCTCATACTGAAAATGGGGCTGTTTGTTATTGCCTCCATTTGCGGTACTTGCTGAGTGACGAATCCACTTAGGCAAAAAACAATGGATTTGTCCTTCTGATAAGTATTCCGTGACCACGACCCTTTACAGTTTGAAATGCTGTGTTGTGAGTATTGAATTACTGAATGTCTGCCAAAGGGTCCATATATAAAACGGTCGAGTTAAACCACTTAGAAGAATCATGTAAATATCGTTCGTATAAGGAAACGTGCAAAGGTATTTTCTTAATATTTCCTTTCTTGAATGCTCCTAGAAATCCTAGAATATGTTTAGCTTTTGGTTCCTTAAAAACGACGTCAGTTTTTGATATTAAAATTTCCAGGTAGGCAGCCGTCGAGTGATACAATTCGGTGGTATTTTCATGGTAGTTCTTGCCGTGCTGGGGAAATTTGGTGCGCTGTTTGCGACAATTCCTGAGCCAATTATCGGAGGTGTTTTCATCATTATGTTCGGAATGGTGACGGCTGTAGGTTTGTCCAATCTTCAGTTCGTCGACCTGAACTCTGCGAGGAATTTGTTTATACTTGGTTTTAGTATTTTTATTGGATTGGTCGTCCCCAAATGGGTGAAACCACGCGGGGATGCCATTGATACAGGTATGGGTGCTCTTATTTCTTGTGAAGGTCTTACACGTTTTTCACGAGGAACCGCCAACCGTTGTTCCAGTTTAAGCTAGTTAATCTGGGCAATATTCACTACGGTTTCCTTCCTTGGACAGATGTGATTGTGTGAATAAGTTACTGATGTTCGAATAGGAGCACTTATACGTATATAGCATTTATAACTATTTACTCATTTGCATCGGTCAGAAGAAGAAAATTGTTCCTAAAATCGCAACCAAGATCGCCAGTGTACTTGTCTTTTATGATTCAGAGTGTGACAGTTTAACTCTATCCTTATTCTAGGGTCTGAAGTTTTGGATTCGGTCCTGTATGTACTGCTGACAACGGGTATGTGGGTTGGAGGAATGGTCGGGCTTTTCCTGGATGTGACCCTTTCCGGAACCGACGAAGAACGAGGCATTCTGAAATGGCGTAAAACACACGAATGCCAAAGCGGCGAAGTCCATATTGAAAGGGCCTCAATTCATACCTATGATATCCCTTTTCTCACTTCCCGCTTACAAAAGTTCCCTATAGTTCGTCATGTCCCTTTTCTTCCCTACTACGGGGAGAAAGAGGACATCGAGGACCTCAGGAATGGAAAGGATGCGATGATGGATAATGAGAGTGAAAAGAAATCTAAGTTGGTGGGTGAGGATGGGATAGAAACAGTTATGTGAGTTACTACATTTTAACCAACCCGCATGAACACGAGCGCCCTGGTTTATTATTTACCTTGGGATATGTTGCTATTCGCACCATATTAACTTTTTATATGAAAATTAAGTGATAAGTATATCTATTTTAAGCGTGAATTTTGGTCCATAGAGCATATTAGACAGTGGACACTCGTTTGGCATTACTGGTGTATAATCCACCATGATCGATGACCAATTGAAAAATTGGGGACAATATTGTTGCAATTTGGGAGTTAATTATATGTGGTAAGAATTGAACCACACTTGTATTGCTGAATGTGCGAGCCTACTCCTCTCGAAAGTACGGCATTTAGTTCTGTTGGACCGGCTTGTTTTGAACGACACCAAATCAACAATATGGCATGCGATACATTTAGTTGTATTGCTTATCTACCGCTAGAAACTAGAACTGCTCCCTTCGCTACTGCTGTTTGCATATTTCCAATCATAACAACGGAAGAAATTTTTACTTCATTATTCAAAAAAGTAGAAAGTTCTAAACAAACAGGGCTTATTCGCCGGAAAATCGTAATACCCATGCATGCAACCTACACATTTACGTAGATTCTGTCACAGCGTAGGATGTCAGACTTTGTAAATGTTTGTTTGAAGAATTCATCTCAATCCCTTTAGATAAAGTCGTTTTCCGATTAATCACCGAGTCTAATGATTCATTTATGTGCAATTGATGCACTTTGAACCCATTTGAAACAAATATATCTGCTTGAATAACGTTAAGCTAAGCAGCGTGACTAATGTCGGACATTACGGTGAGAGTTTTTGTAACTTTATTGTGAAAAAGGTATTGTGAATTTCGAGTGCAGTGAATCTGAGACATGCGCACATAATGAACCCGGCCAAATGTTGCAATGAGGACAGAAAACATTTTGGCTGAAGATCCTTCGTTGTTAAGCAGAGATGTAATTTCCAACTGCTGGCCGTTTAATAGTAAAAAGTCTCAATCAGAGTCGTGTATTTCTGAGTTAACTAGGATTTAACTATGAAACTATATAGTTAAAGAGTTTCACGCAACTGGCCACTGATGTTTAATGATAATCATGATTACGATAAAACTATTTTAGTTTATATTTGGGCCTCACAAAAAAGCGTTTTTAACAAACATGCGGCACAAAGTCCCTGTCTTTTTATTCCGACTTTATATAATAGTTTTGATCATTAAATTTCCTAAACTGACCAAGTAATTGCTAGATTTTGTACTGGATACGACTGTTCTCTCTAGATGAACAGGAATGCTCATCCCAACTGCATGTGCATTGCATGCACATTGCACGATAAAACACGCCAAATGCACGTGCAATATATTGCCACCGTAAAAGGAGGGGACATTATTTTAGTTTGGGACGGAATATTACCCACAATGCAGAGTTCGTGCGTTTCATCCTCTCAAATTTTGAAGACTAACTTGACAGCGCATCATAGCAATGTCTCTATAAAACACTTTAAAATTTAGCAAAACTGTACCCTTCATCGCCAGAGAGTCTGAAAAGATTGTGTTACAACAACTGTCTACCATAAGTCCATAATCGCTTCTGTAACTACCTCAATGTGATTGATCTGTGGATTGATTAACTAGGGATTACAACCGTTTTACTTGATTGGGTTTATGCAAATTACTAAATCAACTTTATGTAGTTTTTGGTTAATCCCTGATAGCAAACTCGTGTGTAAGAAAATACCACTGTATATTTTTGATAACCATTGCAAGTTTTCAGTACAAGGTATACTTTCAAAGTCAAGTGAAACTCTGTTCAAAATGTGCTGAATGTTGCTTGAACTCGTTGCTTCAACTTGGATGTTGTAGGTGTAACTTTACCGAGCGTGGGCACAAAGCATTTTTGCGTTTTTCTATCGCTAAGATTACCATCACAATGGCAGGCTGTTTGCTTTTGTGCGCACCAAAAATCAAGGCTATGAATTCTGGATTAGAGTCCATTAATGCTCCCAGTCTGTGTTTGAACAACACTAGTCGCTCTGCTACCTTGCGTCGGAGTAAGAGTGCGTAGGTTAGAAACATTTGGAAACATTTAATATCATTTTTGTAAGACTCCCGTGGAGGAAAGCAGAACGGCCAACTCTGGACAACATGCGAGCGATATTTCTCGCGTTTTTGGGGACCTTGTCATGGGCAATGGTCATAACTGGTAAGCCGTATGGTAATATTGTAACGTTTCTTAAAACAAGGGTTTCTACGGTTTCATAATTAATGTGATTAAAGGTTTTTGGGAGAGATAATTGCATGCCTGTATTTATAAAGAAGCTGTCAGGATTCACCTGAAAATGTAGTTTATGGATTCCGGTATCCTGAGAAAAAGACTGAGATAAATCCTATGACTAGTTAGTAATTAGGATACTCACGTCTGCATGTGTTCTAAAAGTTCACTCACACTCAAACTCATTAAGTGGGAGATCTCAATCTCCTTATAACTTTTTCATGGTGGTATTTTCAGTCAAACGATAGCTTGATTTTCAGTGTTTTACCCTAAATCTTTCCACTGACTAAGAAAGAACTTTCTCATTGATCAGAAATAACAAAATTTCTATGTCGCACTCAGAGAGTGTGAGTGAGCTTTTTGAATACAGGCGTCAAACTCTTTCTGGGGTTTATCTGAACATCTTTCCTTGACGCTCGCCTAGTTTACAGCGTTGGGATGCTGTACTCCCATCCCGTCCACATGTGCAATATAAGGTGTGATCCCAGATTATGGGTGGAGTGCATGTCCCAACCTGGTTAAATGAGTGCAATCACTCAGCAGGTATTAGTTCAGGATAATCAGCGGGGGTCTTCGCTTAAACATAATTCTGGATCATCAATCAATGACATGCATGACTTGAAGTAGTTTTACTTGAAAAATGTTTGGCTTTATTTTCCAATGTACGAATTTCTATTTTGTACTTTTTGTAAAGATTTCCTTGCAAATTTTGCTCCTTTGGTTGTAGAAATAACCAGAGTTGTTTATTCTAGAATTGAATGTCGAAATTTTTTTGATATGAAGAAATATTTTACCTAATACCTTGACATCAAAACTATTCGAAGCGGCATCGGAATGGCGTTTTCGTCAGAGCCATTTTCACGAGCTTTTCGTACATTCTGATATGCAAGAAGGAAATTACGTGAATACATATCACTTATTAATCGCATATATACGAAGCAAAACTTTACATTCATGCGTCTGTCCATAATTACAGAACTAATTTTGCAACCTTGTTATTTCCCGGCATTATAACAAAGGGCGCCAAAATCGAGTTAATAACAAAACGTTATAAATCATCAATATGACAATTTTGACATATGAATGCAGCTAAATGATGTCTATGTTGCAAAATTGTTGTTTGGACAAAATTGTTGCGGTTATTTTTTTGACGTTATCTGGTATATAAAAGTGTTCTAGAAACGAAATTTTGGACGGTTGTCTTGGTAAACTGTCATATTCGTTTAATCAAATTGTATCTTTTGGAATTTCAATGACAAAAACGCCGATTAATTATGCAAGATTCAATGCATTAGTAAAGTACACATTCCTCTTCATTCTTCAACTCAGCGATTAAAGTGTGATCCTTTGAACCAAAGATCTTTGCTCTTATTTACTGCATGGATATAGCAGTATAAGAATAGCGGTAATAAGTTAACGTATTTGCTACAATTCTGTAGAAAAGATGGGAATTTATTACTAATATTGAAGACAGACGGGTTCCACTATTTCATTGGCAAATCGCTCGCAATAAGTGATGATACTAACCACGATAAAAAATGTTAATCCATTTTTTTAAACATCATAAAGTCGTAAAAAAACAACAAAAACCTAACTGTCATTAACTTTTGATGAAGAGACATTGAAAGAAGGGCATTGAATTAATGGTTTCTCCAAGTTAGGGTATAAATAGCCCACTTTCTATACTTAATGACCCCGGCTTTGCAACATTCCCTTCGCCTCGAACCTAATTGATATTATAATCAGTTGAAAGTTTAACTATTTTATTTGTTTCAATATTTGTTAAGGACTTAATACTGAACGCAATATTGGCGCTTCATTATTATAATGGTGAATCTTAATGAGCAATCTCCATTCCACGGCATCGTGTCGGCCTTTGTTGAGAAAGGCCATTTGAGAGATAATTTTGGTATAATTTGTCCATGTCTAACGAGCATCAGCCGAATGACACGACTATTGAGAGTATATTTCGTACATTCATTTCCATAAGGATTTAAAATGATGTTCTAATGACGAGAATACTTTTGCTTCCCGTAGTAACAACTTGATACAAACACAGAAACACTGATTTAATTAGGTGACAAAGTGCGTGGTTATTGGGTTGAAATGTGTGACTTTTGTGTGTCCGAAATCCTTTCCCTCCCTCCCCCCAAGAAAAATGCTTCTGAAATGCTCGGCATTGACATGACACACCATAGAAAACGTATTGCTCGAAGTCCATGAGTCTCTTAGTACATCCAGACTTATTATACAATGTCACAGTCTTGGCTCGTTTCGTATACCCCACCGTTCAAAAATTGCTGGAAAATTTTGAGAAAACTGAAATTTTTCCTGTGTGCCTTATCATGGTGTTGCCAATACTTAGTTTTGCATGTGTATATGCTTTAACATTATTTACCCACTGCCCTGGGGAGCTTTCTTCCCAAAATAATCAACGCCTGGCAATTTCACACCATAATGACCTTATGAATGGTTTGAACGCTCCCTAGAAAATGTACAATTCGGCGTTTTGACCAAATTAGCACCCTCACCAGAAGACCTAAATCTCTATGTCAGGAGAGTTTCCTAACAAATGTACTTAGGTCGAAACGTCAAGACATTTGTTTGTGTTGCCAACGGCTTGATTCGGTGACAATCTATGGACTAGTCTTGGTATCAAAGTGTGTAATGTCTCGAAAATTGACTTTGACAAAATGTAGTCCTTTTTTAAAGTCTAATATGGTAGAAACGATTCACTCACGAACGACAACATTCAAACTGTTCCACTAAACTATCACAATACTTGAAGAATTATTGTTTCCAGTCTTGCTGGCTTCGACTCAATCTGGAATCTGAATTATTATCTAGCTCGCATCTAGTTACAGGCAGAATTAATCGTTTCTCAGATGAACTATCAGTAGAAATCAAAGGATGGTGAATTCAATTTATAGAGATTCCTTTAAACACCTACCAACATAACTTCCGTTTCAGTATCCACACACTTCAATTGCTTTATTTAGGTGATTCATCGTGCCTTCAACACCTGGACTTAGTTTTTCTCCTGGATGGTTCCAGAAGTATTGAGCTAAATGGCAAAGGAAATTTTCGACGTGAACTAAATTTCACGAAACAAATCATCGATGCTTTTCGTATAAGCGAAGGAAGAGTTCGCGCTAGCGTGATTGTTTATAGTACCGAGCCTACACTAGTCTTTGGGCTTGATAAATTCAAGTCAAAAGATGATATTTTCAAAGCAATTGATGCGATTAAGTTTCCCGCAGCTGGGTCGGATTTGGGCAAAGCTTTGAAGCTCGTCCAAAGCGCTTCGTTTAATTTCTCTGCGCCCAGCACATCGAGAATCGTGGTGATACTAACAGACGGCAAAGCAAAGGACGAGGTGGAACAACCTTCAGAAGTATTGAAAAAGAAAGGTGTCGACTTATTGATGGTTGGAGTTGGTAACAACTTGGACGCTGATCAATTGAAAACAGTTGCAAGCGAACCTAAAGATGAAAGTATTTTTGAATTCGATCAGTTGTCCAAATTAGTGGATAGAATAGGCAAAGATGTTTGCGAAGGAATAGGTAAAGCTCTTTAACTTATGGTTTTTCTTCATGTTATGCATTTTATTCTTTATTTTTGACCACATTTTTGCATCGCGGTGGGTATGCGAAGCGTAATTCGCGCCGGAAGGACAATTTTATCAAAATGATCCACCTTTCATGTAAACTTTCATTATTTAATATGTAGTTGATGCTTGTGGTCCTGAACCTTGCGAAAATGGAGGTACCTGCGTTGTTCAAGGAAATTCATATACTTGCAATTGTTTACAACCTTATCATGGCAAAAATTGCAAAGCGGCCCGAGGATGTTACACCAAATACTTCAAGAGAGGATGTTATCCTGATATTGACACATTTAACACCATCTTGTTTGATAATACATCCGTCATCAAGTGGGGTAATGGATGGAATCATTTTATCAATGATTTAGTATGCAGGTTCGTTCATTTCAATGACTTGAGCCATAACTCTAAGCAGTTTCTATTTGAAGCTCCTAAAACCTATTTTGAAAACAGGAGATCAGACATCCTTTTTATAGAAAGATCTGTAAATGATCATTAAATGATTTGAGGGGAATTTTTGCAACTGGAATGAGAATGGGGGAGACCCTCGTGATCTGCCTCTTTGCCTTAGATTGAACATTCGTATAAAATGGATTTTGTAGATCCATATGAAACGTCAACCTAATTCCGTTTTGGGCATGATAAGAAATACCTTGGTAGTACAGGGTTACAAAGACCGTCGCTGGACTAATATGTATTTCTGTCTAATGCAATATATGTTAGTATTTTTGGTCGCCACTATAGCAATTAGCATAAAACTATTGGTTTATATGGACTTACACAAATATGTTCGTGTTTTTACCAGGTGCGCTGAAGAGACAGCCGCAGGTGGTTACAAATACTTTGGCATACTAAACTATGCAGAATGCTGGGTGGAAGGACGTCCAAATTTCCACAACAAAATGGCACCAAAAGGAAAGTGTCAGGGCCCAAGACCAGACTCTCACCTTGCTTGTGACCAGAATTCACTTGGGCCTTGTGTCGGCATGCCCGACTATCAGTATATATACAGTGTTGAACAAGGTTGGTGGAGGGAGAAAATTTAATCTCATGCCAATGGTCTTCTAGTCAATCTAATTTAATTTCTCTTAACCAGAGTATATATCTCTGCATACCTCCCTAGAAATTTGAGCTGTAAAAATTGCAATTGATTGAGCTACATGTATATAAGCTAAAATTGTTGGCTTTGTGCCAAGGCCTTGCGTATAGCTCTCGTTACAAAGCGTTTCCTAACAAGGATAATTATCTTTCATCTGCTATGGCATTTCAGATAAGAACGAGTGTTTTTCACGGCCGTGTATGAATGGTGCTACTTGTGTCGATAAAGTGAATTCCTATAAATGTATTTGTCCACGTGGCTACACAGGCACTAACTGCGAAAATAGTAAGTGTGAGCAGTACTATGTGTTAATTATCGTTGGGGCTCAAACCATCAAAGAAGGCACAAACGCTACACGAAAATGGGGTGTCGTCATGCGACTCATGCCATTTCAGTTTCGGTATATTCGACCATGGTCGAGTATACCATTTTTCGGTATATTCGACCATAATTCCGTGCAGACAGTACAGTATCACCCAATCAATCATTTCTATTTAAGATATAGATGAATGTTCCACTAAACCTTGTAAAAATGGTGCGACCTGTATCGATGGAGTGGATTCTTACACATGCAAATGTGTTGCCGGTTTTGACGGCGACAACTGTGAAAATAGTACGTAAACTTAAGGTTTTGACCTTTCGAAAAAGAATAGGGTGTGGCGGGGGTGTGACAGGGTTAGATAAAAGGTAGAAGAAGTAATAATACCATGACACAAACTTGAGGTGGAAGGGTTGTGAATGAAATTACATTGCTGTTGGGGTCTGGGAGGTGGGGGTTGGGTGAAGAGGAGAGGAGGCAGCACTTCTAACATGAATTAGGAGGTAGTAAGCTCGTTGGTGAAGTAGACTTGGAGAGTGAAGGGTGAAATGGTAAGAGTGACACCTGTAACATTTGGTAGGAGAATAGGGAAGTAGGGTGATGAGAGGCTAAAGTTCATAACTCCAGGTACGACACCGTATTCACGATTGATGACAGTAAAACGACAACAGTTAAGCGCATACAACAAAAAGTGAAACAATGCTCGATATCTTTCAGACATAGATGATTGCGCTGGAACTCCATGTCTGAATGGCGGAACGTGTACGGACGGAGTTAACTCACATACGTGTAAATGTCCTGAAGGATTTGATGGAAAGAACTGCGAGAACAGTGAGTGGAAGCACATGCATTATACAATTACCATAACTTGCTCACAAGGAAATGAGTTAGCGAAAATGATGTATATGATGTTCATTATTTATTTGACGATGTAATTTGTTCAGATATTGACGACTGCTCTTCCTCATCGTGTTTGAATGGTGCGACGTGTGTGGATGGTGTAAACTCTTTTAAATGCCAGTGTGCCAAGGGATATGATGGAGATAAATGTGAAAACGGTTGGTGAAGCACTTTCTTTAAGTCCAGCAGTGTACTTGTCTTAACAATGTAATCATTGTACTTCAATGCATCCAGCTCACAGACTGTTCTCAATTTATTCAATGAATGATAAGTTTGAAGGGTGATGCAATAATCACACCCCTCTCGATCCCCAAGGTTCATTCTTGATTCATTCATTACCTCGCATGACCACCTCAACCGACTAACGTTAATGCGTATCATTTCATAGACATTGATGAATGTTTGTCGAAGCCATGCCTTAATGGGGGAACCTGCCACGATGCAGTCGCATCCTACAGCTGTAAATGTCGTCGAGGTTACGCTGGACGTAACTGTGAGACGAGTACGTTGAACTCTCTCTTTCGCAGACAATTCTCTTGCAGTCTTAAATTCATCGGGAAAAACATTAAACCTCTTAATATATCCTTTCCTAGAAATTCACGAATGCGACTCACATCCTTGCCTCAATAATGGTACATGCGCAGACATTCATACCGGACTCGAAGATTTGATTGGCTCAGGCCTGGATCAAGATTATGCGTGCGTCTGCGAAGCTGGATACACCGGCAAAAATTGTGAAACTGGTAATTTTTTTCTATAGATCATACCATTTCAGCCATTCTCTCATGTGACTACCGTGTCATAAGAACGGCTAGAATTTCATTTCCGATTACATTTCCCTGTGGAAAAGTGTTTCTTTAACCATCCAAAGAACTGTTAGAGACAACTTGACATGCTATGCTATTCGACATAAATGATACATACTATAAGATCTATCCTTACATGAGTATCGAGGTGTCATATATTCGCGTGTTTAAAATCTACAGCAAGTTATCTTACTTTACTAGATATCAACGAATGCGCTGTTCAGCCATGTCTGAATGGGGCTACCTGTATTGATGGCGTCAATCATTACACCTGCAAATGCAAACCAGGATTTACTGGGGAAAACTGCGAAACAAGTAAGATTGATTTCGTGACGTGTACATGCACAGTTTCTTATCTCTTTTTATGCCAAACCAGTGTGGTGCTCAGCGATTTACTTTGGTATTACATTTACTTTATACATTAACTTCAAGCTACGGTATTACCCCTTACTTCCGCAGATATCGACGACTGCACTCCTTCGAAATGTTTGAACGATGCCACTTGTGTTGATGGAGTCGCTTCGTATAAATGTTTATGTCCAGACGGATACACTGGCAAAAACTGTGAAACAGGTAGATGAGTCATTCTTCATGAATAAAAATTTTTCATATTCGAACCAACTTGACGATAAAGGTGTTTGTATGGTATACACAACAGTGCAAAAGTTAGCTGCATAAGACTATGTAATAAGCCACCAAAAGTCCTGTGAATCCATAGACATCCTATTTCTCCGGCAGTGCAGATTAGCCTAAGGATTTTTCCCTGGAGGGCATCTTTTGTGGGCAAATCGACTAAGGTATTCAATTCTTGGTTTTGAAAGAAGAGCCTAGCATACGAATTCCCCTCTGCAAATGCGTGCATGATTTCGGCATTAACAAGTCTTGTATATTCTAATTCTGCCTTTTTACCGTTCAACAGATGTCGATGATTGTGATCCATCCCCATGTCAAAATGGCGGCAAATGTATTGATGGGATCGACAGCTATTTCTGTCAATGTCCAAGACGTTATGTCGGTGTGAACTGTGAAGAAAGTAAGAACCATTCCTCAGACTTTGATTGTATTTGCTGAAAGAAGAATACACTAGCAGTCCTTTACATAATATTATACCCTAGAACTTTGGTAAATTGCCGGTAGATGGATCGCCCAAATTTTGTATCTAGTATCTGTGATTCCTCTTATCGTTTCGTGGGTGGACGAGGGAAAGTTGATCCACCTCTTTCCCCCTCCTCTTTAATTGTGGGCAAGAGTTACATACCATAGGTTTTCAAGACCATATATCTATCGTTTTGTCTGCAGAGATCAACGAGTGTGAGTCAGCACCGTGCAAAAATGGCGGTACTTGCAAGGAAGAAGGTAATCTTTCGCGGGCTTCGTTTGAGGAAGACAATGAGAGTTCTTACAAGTGCTTTTGTAAACCTGGATTCACTGGAAAGAACTGCGAGATTGGTAAGAGACTGCGTTGAAATGGTATAGTCAAAATCACCAAGCCGTATGCCGACAGGACTGTGGCAATTAAACAAATATCATCCTGCTTGAATTCTTCCTGTCATTCTTTCAGATATAGACGAGTGTTCGCCGATGCCGTGTTTGAATGGGGCCACGTGCGCAGAAGGTGTGAACCATTACAACTGCACGTGCGTTGCAGGCTACACAGGAAAGAACTGTGAGACTGGTAGGTTATCGTTGAGTGTTTCTTTCTCGCTAATTGCTATGCCAACCCCACGGTAATGGGGTGATTTGCCTTTGTTAAGAGAAGCCGTCTTCATTTTTCTGTAGATATCAACGAATGTCAATCCGGGCCATGCAAAAACAGCATTTCATGTATCGACGGTGTCAATTCGTACAAATGCGTTTGCAAACCTGGATACACTGGGAAAAATTGTGGAGTTGGTAAGTATAATTAATTTTGGCCACTCTACCGTAAGCGTATATAGCAATCGGAGATTAATCGGGTTTTTAGCACAAATCTGCTGCGGAATCCAACCCCTGATTGCAACCCTTCTATTTCCTTCGTCCTAGATATCAACGAATGTGAACCATTGCCATGTAAGAATGGAGGTGTCTGCGTCGATGCCGTGAACGCTTATTCTTGCAAGTGTCCTAGGGGATTTATAGGGACTGATTGTGAAACAAGTAAGTGGCAATATGGGGGTATTAGAAGTTCTAGACGGGATATATATATAGCGACTGATTTGTACGACAAGTAGGTTGCATATGACGGCGAGAACACCAGTGGGTTGTACGTTTTCCAGATGGTCTGTAGGGATTATTTGGAATTCCAAGTGAATTCCTGGATTGTATTAGAAGGCGAACAGGATTGGTATGATTGGTCATTTTTTTATAACTTTGCAGGGGTGAACGAATGCGATACGATGCCATGTTTAAACGGTGGAAAATGTATTAATTTGAACATAGAAGATGCTGGCAGCGGTTTCGGAAGTGGTGGAGAGGCCTTACATAGGTGTGTTTGTGCTGCAGGATATACCGGGAAACTTTGCAAAAAAGGTAACCAACTTGATTATAATCTGAATCTGCACAAACGATGTAGCATATGCACCAACGATTTCAATAGGAGCGAACTGATGCTGATAGATCGATGTAAAACTTGGAGTCTCTTGATTTTAGATATCGATGAATGTGAATCATCGCCATGTCTCAATGGAGGAAAATGTATTGATCAAGTGAACTCTTACTCTTGTGTTTGTAAACCTGGGTTTAATGGCGAGGATTGTGAGAACAGTAAGTGGCCTGAACTGTCGCGTTTTTTGTGATCGTATTTTAAGAATCAACCATGTTAAACGATCAATTATTTTCAGATATAAATGAATGTTCTCCTTCGCCTTGTTTAAACTCTGGCACATGCAAAGACGGCGTGAACTCCTACACGTGTAATTGTGAAGCTGGTTACGAGGGTGACAACTGTGAGACAGGTACGAGACATCAAAATTTCTCGGATATCAACTGGGTTAGGTTTTTTGTAGTTGCAATATGAGTTTTGTTGGGAGGAAGAGTAGGAGAGAAGAGAGGAAGAGGGAAGAGGGGGGAAGAAGGAGAGGGAAGAGGGGGGAGGCTTAGGGTTATATTATCAGCTGTTCATACACCGAGACTACTGCCTTCCTAACCTCCACCGGCTGAATTCGTGCTCGGAAAAGTCCCAGATTAAATGACTCCAGGTTTCCTCTCGGGATAACACTTTCGGTTTTCTTCAGACATAAATGAATGTGCTTCGTCTCCGTGCAAAAATGGAGGAAAATGCGAAGATCATGTCAACGATTACTTTTGCAAATGTCCCAAAGGTTATGTTGGAAAGAACTGTGAAACAAGTAAGACAATACACACTCAATTCATTTTCAAGTAATTTTCGACTTTATTATCGTTATCTGTGGTCAAATATAGGAATGTATTGCATTTATAAGATGTTTTGTTTATTTGCCATTTGACTTATTTTTGGTGGTTCGTTGTTCTGATGAGAGTGCAGTATTTACCAGCATGTTTTTTTACTTCCTGAAGGAATAAATCCCCTGAGTTTGCTTTTTGTACCAAAATTTTACAGAGATCAAAGAGTGTGACTCGCAACCATGTCAAAATGGCGCGAAATGCATCGAGGGCGATGAAGTTCCTCGTAAAAGATTTTTGCGTACCTCTGATGAAGAATCGTCGTACATTTGCGAGTGTGTCCCAGGATACACTGGTAGAAACTGTGAAAAAGGTAGATGAAAACCATGGGGATGCATATAGTGTGTTTACTGGGGATTTTCAATAATTTTCCGGTCAATAGCGCGATATCATTGACCAAGGATTTAGGCACCATTTTCTCTCAGTCGCAACTACTCTTAAAATTACAGGTCTGGGCTATAAATGCACAGAAGGCTATCAAGCCATAATTCTGACTTAATTTCATAGTTATTTTCTCATTGAGATTTGATATAACCAAAATTACCTCCTTAATTTTCACCTATAATAAGCCTAAGGCGTTGGCGTACAACCCAAGCTTGAGGGGATCACCCACCGCATACCGTCTCGTACAACTGTGAGGGTAGGAAGGTGATCATCTTACCTTAAATCCAACTTTTGTTGATACGATTCCCTCTCAGGTTTTCTTTCCTGATTTTTGTTGTTTATGTCGTCACAGAAATAGACGAGTGCTCACCGTCCCCTTGCGAGAACAATGCGACGTGTGTCGATGGAATAAATAAATATACTTGTCAATGCAAAGCAGGCTTTGCTGGAAAGAATTGTGAAGAAGGTTAGTAAAACGTTTTTGCTTCATATTTAATACACCTCCATATATGAAGTATACAGGCAGGGCATGGACTTTCAAACTTTTTCTTCGCTTCTCCGGCAGACATAAACGAATGCGATCCAAATCCATGTTTACATGGCGGTGTTTGCTTGGACAAGATCAATGATTTCAAATGTGTCTGCAAGTTGGGGTACAAGGGAAAAAATTGCGAGACAAGTAAGTACCTGGGGAGAGCATGTATAATTCCATTAAAGTGTCCAATTGTTTGAGAAATCTATATAGTTGTGTCGAAGTGATAGTTTCAAGCTCTTCTAATATTTCAACTTGTTTTCTTTTAAAGATATCGACGATTGTGCGTCTCACCCATGCCTTAACAAGGGTCAATGTATTGACGGGGTGCACAGCTACACTTGCAAATGTCCAAAAGGATTCATCGGTGACAACTGTGAAACACGTGAGTGAATTGCTTCCAACGTCATTCCTAAATTAAACCACTACCATTTAACATAAGATGAACTGTTGTCGTCTTGGTATGAGCTAAGAGTTGACTTGAACGAATTTGAGCTAACGGTTGACTTGAATGAGAGCCCCTCCTGGGAGTTTGCATCCATCTGACGAGGGGGAGGTTTTCTATTGCCTAAGTCACGTTCATTATCACGTTAAAATCATGTTCATTATAGCTATAGCCTGCAGCGATTTAGGCAGACTATTCAACTGACCTTATGCATGTCTCATAATTAGGACTACTTTTTTACATGCAAAATCTGACTGGCCTCTTTAGAAGTCAAGCAGTGCGACACTCTTCCTTGTCTAAATGATGGTACGTGTGTGGATTTGGAAGTTGGTGAAGATATTGCGTCTGGTTCTGGAAGTGGAAGTGGACTTGGTTTGGGCGAATCTATCGACGCCTATAAATGCGTTTGTCGTCCTGGATTCATTGGCCGCCTGTGTGAAACTAGTAAGTGGGATGATTAATCACATATAGATTGGTCTAGCATTCTTATACATCATACTCTTAAAACAATCATTATAAAATGAGTTTTCATTCTAATGAACATTTAAACTTTCAAATAGTAATAGTTTGTTTGCTTGTATGGCTGTCTTGAAAATACACGCTGCCTTTTTCCTCGTCTTTAGATGTTAATGAATGCGATCCTTCACCATGTCTGAATGGTGGTCACTGTGTTGATGGTGTAAATGACTACACATGTAAATGTTCTGCTGGTTATACTGGAAAAGACTGCCAGACAGGTGCGTCTATGATAAATTAAGGGAAGATAAGATTAGTCGAGGTGAGAATGGTAAGTATGGTATAGTATACCACGTGTATACTATACGGTTACGTAGGGGTATGTTGGAGCAGAATTAGAGTGAGGTAAGGTGGAGTGAGATGAGGTGTACCGTGAGGTGGGGCAAGGTAAAAGGTAAAGGTGAGGTTAGGGTGATATTAGACTAGGATCGGATCTAGATTGGATGGAGCTTAGTACAGAATTAGGATCAAGTTCAGCATCAAATTATGTTTATGTTGGTTTACATCTAGATACGATCAAATGAAGTGGGATATAAAACTGTTATTGTTCTTGAAACACAACATACCAATATTCACAATTCTTTGTTATCCAGATATCAACGAATGTTCACCTAATCCATGTTTGAACAGTGCTAGCTGTATCGATGGTGTAAATTCTTACACATGCAAATGTTTAGCTGGTTATGATGGTAAACACTGTGAAACTGGTAAGTATCTATGGTATTCCGCTTACACACACTTTAAATATTTTTCATTACTTTCATCCTTTTAAAATTTAATCTCTTCATCAGATGTTGATGATTGTCATCCCAACCCATGTAAAAATAACGGAAGATGTGTTGATGGTGTAAACACCTATACCTGTGAATGCCCAAGAGGATTTGCTGGACCTAACTGCGAAAAAAGTGAGGAATATTGACGCAGAATATTAGCAATATTTACAGCGAAATTACACAGCTTCAACACTTTTTTGTATTTTTTTTGCAGAAATCTTAGAATGTGATAGTTCTCCATGTAAAAATGGAGGAAAATGTGTCGAAGGATCGTTTGGAAGTGGGGTCGGAAGTGGGTTAGATACGACAGAAAGTGTTTACACTTGTATGTGTCAGCCCGGATTTGCTGGAAAGAATTGTGAAACCAGTATGTAGTTTTTTTATAATTCGATGTTAAAAGTAATTTTGATCATTTTCAGATGATAACATTTTTTTTCGTCAGATATCGACGAATGCGCTTCTAAACCGTGTGAGAACGGAGGTACTTGTAAAGATGGCATCAACAGCTATAAATGTACATGTCTACCTGGATTTAATGGGAAAAACTGTGAAAACAGTGAGTAGAAAGCGAAGTATTCTTCTGCAATGTTGATCAGCTTATCTTGTTATTCACTTGTATAAGATTTCGTCCGTATTGTGCCAGTATATTTCAATCATGTTTTCACTATTGCAACTTTGGTATGAATTATAATCGCATTTTTCTTAACTCAGACATCAACGAGTGTGCTCCCTCGCCATGTGTGAATGGTGGAACATGTACCGATAAAGTAAATGCTTACAAATGTATCTGTAAACCTGGTTTCACTGGAGAAAACTGCGAAACAGGTAGGTTGTGCAATGATGCTCAAACTTAGCTTCACCGTATCTAAAATAATTGAGAAAGGTTGACGATTTTTCTATTCGCACTTGCTATGCAATTCGGTGAACGTGTCATTCTATCATACCATTTCTTAGATATCGATGAATGCAAAAGTAAACCTTGTTTAAATGGCGGTTTATGTGTGGATGGCATTAATTCCTACACGTGTAAATGCAGAGAAAATTACATCGGAGAAAATTGTGAAACAAGTGAGTTCATGGCCTCCCAGACTGGCCAGCAATGCCACCAAACTGTGTATGTTAAAATGTTCGTCCTTTCATTCCAGGAATCAACGAATGTGACAAAATGCCGTGTCTTAATGGTGGAAAATGTGTGGATCTTGGAGATGTTAAAATTGGCGAGCATTACTATAAATGTGTCTGTAAGCCAGGATTTGCTGGGAAGAATTGTGAAACCAACATCAACGAATGTGATCCTTCACCATGTCTGAATGGTGGTCACTGTGTTGATGGTGTGAATGACTACACATGTAAATGTCTTGCTGGTTATACTGGCAAGGACTGTGAGACAGGTATGGATAGGAAATGGTCATAAAACACAGCGTAATGAGGGATCCGCAAGGGGTGTAAAATCTAATTGTTTCCATGATTATTCTATATTTAGATATCAACGAATGTTCACCTAATCCATGTTTGAACAGTGCTAGCTGTATCGATGGAGTGAATTCTTACACATGCAAATGTTTAGCTGGTTATGATGGTAAACACTGTGAAACTGGTGAGTAAAAAAAGCTCAGTATAACCTATGAATCAGTAGTGTTGACTCATTGTTGTACCATCATTTAAATCTTTTTTTTATCAGATATCGATGATTGTGATCCAAATCCATGTTTAAATCGTGGTAAATGTGTGGATGGTGTTGACAGTTATGTTTGTGTGTGTCCAAGAGGATTTGCCGGAACAAATTGTGAAGAAAGTAAGAGACATTAGTCAAATGTTACGTTAGTCAAATTTCAGATATCATTTTTTTATACACATTCTTTAATTCTATTCATGATTTTCGATGTTTTTAGAAATCTTGGAGTGCGATAGTTCTCCATGTAAAAATGGAGGAAAATGTGTCGAAGGATCGTTTGGAAGTGGTGTCGGAAGTGGGTTGGATACGACAGAAAGTGTTTACACTTGTATGTGTCAGCCTGGATTTACTGGAAGAAACTGCGAAACCAGTAAGGAAATATTTGATTGTATTAAGTTAATTTAAGTGTGATGAGTTTCACCATGCTAAATTATTACTAATATTGTCAATTTTATCTTCCAGATATCGACGAATGCGCTTCAAAACCATGCGAGAACGGAGGTACTTGTAAAGATGGTATCAACAGCTATAAATGCTCATGTTTGCCTGGATTTGAAGGAAAGAATTGCGAAAATAGTAAGTATTCCAATGCTTAATCCTACATTCCGTAAATTTTGGGTGTAACCAAATTCCCTTCACTCTCCTCTCTACCTTCTTGACTTATGTCTTTTTTTTTCTTTCTATCGTTTCGTCTATTTAATAAAAAGGATATCGTTTTCCTAAATATGACTTTCTCTTTCGCATGCAGACATCGACGAGTGTGCTCCATTACCGTGTGCAAATGGTGGAACATGCATTGACAAAATCAACTCTTACAAATGTATTTGTGAACCTGGATATACTGGAGAGAACTGTGAAACTAGTATGTTTGTACATTTACTGCAGCATATATTACCTTTGGGCATGAATTTGAACATGCTGTAAATAATATATATTATCAGCAAGAAGATAACCAAGTATTGATATCTTTAGATATTGATGAATGCAAAAGTACACCGTGTTTGAATGGCGGTTTATGTGTGGATGGCATTGATTCTTACACGTGTAAATGTAAAGAGAATTACATGGGAGAAAATTGTGAAACAAGTAAGTTGGAAACACAGCTCCATGATGTAGTCTTGAATACCTGAGAATACGTGGTTTGTGCAACGTTTGTACAACGTGTAGTTTCTAAATTTCGTATGTCGTTTTAGGAATCAATGAATGTAACAAGATGCCGTGTCTTTTTGGTGGAAAGTGCGTGGATCTTGGAGATATGAAACGTGGCGAGCATTATTATAAATGCGATTGTAAGCCAGGATTTACTGGGGATAATTGTGAAACTAACATCAACGAATGTGATCCTTCACCATGTCTGAATGGTGGTCACTGTGTTGATGGTGTGAATGACTACACATGCAAATGTCCTGCTGGTTATACTGGAAAGGACTGCCAGACAGGTATGGTTAATACAAGATGGTCGATATTACATTAAGTTGTTAAATTCGAATTGAGGTATTGTGTGTGTTGTTGTTGAGCTGGTCCATTATGGTGCTCTGTCTGTTTGCTAAGATACTCGGTTACCCACCAATACGGAAACACGATCTGTTTTGCCGTTTATTAGGCCATAAACGATCATTCTTCTGGACCACTAAACGAACCTAAAGTCATTCAGTTGGCTGCTTAATTTTGTGTGTATAAAGTTGAAATGAGTTTTGATGTTGCAAGCTTGCAGTATTATTATTCGTTATTTATAGATATCAACGAATGTTCACCCAATCCATGTTTAAACAGTGCTATTTGTATTGATGGAGTTAATTCTTACACATGCAAATGTTTGCCTGGTTACAAGGGGAAGCATTGTGAAACTGGTGAGTTTTATTGCACGTTCAGTTCTACCCCAATTGGAACTCTACTAAACTCTCGCTTTTTCGTATTCAAGATGTCAACGATTGTGATCCAAATCCATGTTTGAATCACGGAAGATGTATGGATGGTGTCGACAGCTACGACTGCATGTGTCCAAGGGGATTTGCCGGACCAAATTGTGAAAAAAGTAAGGAAAGATGAATTTGTAACGTCGATCAAATCTCATACAGATTTTGTTAACATTTCAACTTTAACTTTTTTAGAAATCTTGGAGTGTGATAGTTCTCCATGTAAAAATGGAGGAAAATGTGTTGAAGGGTCGTTTGGAAGTGGTGTAGGAAGTGGATTGGACACGACAGAAAGCGCTTACACTTGTATTTGTAAAGCTGGATTTGCTGGAAAGAACTGTGAAACTAGTAAGGATTGTACTTTTTCATCGATTTCATTGGGTTGGTTGGTTAAAATCTAGCCAATTTTTCTGATTTTCCTCTTTCAGATATTGATGAATGTGCCTCTAAACCGTGTCAGAACGGTGGGTCTTGTAAAGATGGTATCAACAGTTATACGTGTAGCTGTGAGCCAGGATTTAATGGAAAGAACTGTGAAAACAGTGAGTACATTTTCTTTCAAATTTTGCTTTCTGTTTTAGTTCATTTTAAATGCTGTACATGAACTCTGTTTTTATATACTCCTCTTCTTCATATGTGTCCGTCTTTACTCCTTAAATGCCATCATGATCCTCTCCATTCTTTCCGATTTTCTTCCACTGCTATATCTTCAGTTAAGAAAAGGTTAATATGGATTATCGCGTTTGCCCTTTTTTTTGACAGACATCAACGAGTGTGCTCCACAACCGTGTGCCAATGGCGGAACTTGTATTGACAAAATAAACTCTTACAAATGTGTTTGCAAACCTGGATATACTGGCGAAAACTGCGAAACCGGTACGATGGTAGTTTTTAAAGATCCTAAATTTAGATTCAGGGAATCTAATTCGGTATACAAATGCATTCATATTATGTTTCATATCTTTTCAGATATCGATGACTGTAAGAATAAGCCTTGTATGGGAAATGGTGTTTGTGTGGACGGCGTTGATTCGTACAAGTGTAATTGCAAAGAGAACTACATCGGGTCGAATTGTGAAACAAGTACGTTCTAGGTTGTTGCTTTAGAAAGGTGCTTCACCTCAGTTGTTTTGAGAGATTACATCCGTAGACTCCATTTGGTTGATAGTTCTAAATCTTTAATTCAGGAATCAACGAATGTGACAAGATGCCTTGTCTTAATGGTGGAAAATGTGTGGATCTTGGCGATGTGAAAATTGGCGAGCATTACTATAAATGTGTCTGTAAGCCAGGATTTGCCGGGAAGAATTGTGAAACCAACATCAACGAATGTGATCCTTCACCATGTCTGAATGGTGGTCACTGTGTTGATGGTGTGAATGACTACACATGTAAATGTCTTGCTGGTTATACTGGCAAGGACTGTGGGACAGGTATAGTTATGAAATGGTCATAAAACACAGCATAATGAAGGATCCGCAAGGGGTGAAACATTTAATTGTGTCCATGATTATTCTATATTTAGATATCAACGAATGTTCACCTAATCCATGTTTAAACAGTGCTAGCTGTATCGATGGAGTGAATTCTTACACATGCAAATGTTTAGCTGGTTATGAGGGTAAACACTGTGAAACTGGTGAGTATAGAAAATTACAAACATAATCAGTTTAAGCTATGAATCAGTAGTGTTAACTCATCGTTTAAATCCTTTTTATCAGATGTCGATGATTGCGATCCAAATCCATGTTTAAATCGTGGTAAATGTGTGGATGGTGTTGACAGTTACGTTTGTGTGTGTCCAAGAGGATTTGCCGGAACAAATTGCGAAGAGAGTAAGAGTTTACACAATTTTGCTTAAATCGTGTTTAATTAAAAAAACTTGTACGAAAAGATTATAGGAGTCCTGTGATAGTTCATTAATGATCTCAAACGTTTTTAGAAATCTTGGAGTGTGATAGTTCTCCATGTAAAAATGGAGGAAAATGTGTCGAAGGATCGTTTGGAAGTGGTGTCGGAAGTGGGTTGGATACGACAGAAAGTGTTTACACTTGCATGTGTCAGCCTGGATTTACTGGAAGAAACTGCGAAACCAGTAAGGATTGTTCGCTTATAAGCCTGACCCTGAGGGATGACGTTAGAGTTGCTAAAATTAATAAATGTTCGCCATTTTCTTCCAGATATCGACGAATGCGCTTCAAAACCGTGCGAGAACGGAGGTTCTTGCAAAGATGGTATCAACAGCTATAAATGTACATGCTTACCTGGATTTGATGGAAAGAATTGTGAAAACAGTGAGTGAATATTTTCGACGTTTTTCTGCAAGGCATTTTTTCTAACTTTTTATACCTTTCATTCTATTTGTTGTTTTCCTAATTTTTCTTACCAAGATTTCTCAATTTTGCTTTTCATTCCTCTGTTGCAGACATTGACGAGTGTGCTCCACTGCCGTGTGTCAATGATGGAACATGCATTGACAAGATCAACTCTTACAAATGTGTTTGCAAACCTGGTTACACCGGTGAAAACTGCGAAACTAGTATGTTTATCCATTTATCGATTGGTTATGTTCTGATATTTGAGCTCTTAGCTGATAGATTTGCTAACTAACATTCCTTTCTTAAGACATTGATGAGTGTAAAAGCACACCGTGTTTGAATGGCGGTTTCTGTGTGGATGGCATTAATTCCTACACGTGTAAATGTAAAGAAAATTACATCGGAGAAAATTGTGAAACAAGTAAGTTTGTGTGAAAATGAGGCAGTGCTGCATGTCCATGTACAGGGACCGCGGAGCAGGGTGGCTCGTTGGGCTTTAGCCCCACCAATAATTTTTCCGTAATTAGTCTTCGAATATTTTTTAGTTCGCTCAAATTTACAAGCAATACAAGCGCCAAAATGCTGGAAACTTTACATAGGGCAAGCATTTGACCATTAAAACAGCGTGGTTATCCATTTCAAAAAATTTGACATCATAACCAAAGCATGGTTATATTGTTTAATGTTTGTTATGAACGCCAAACATGCTGGAAACGTTACATAGGACAAGCATTTGACCATTAAAACAGCGTGGTTATCCATTTCAAAAAATTTGACTTCATAACTAAAGCATGGTTATATTGTTTAATGTTTGTATATGAGCGCCAAACATGCTGGAAACTTTACATAGGACAAGCATTTGACCATTAAAACAGCGTGGTTATCCATATCAAAATATTGGACATCATAACCAAAGCAAGGTTATATTGTTTATGTTTGTTATGAGCGCCAAACATGCTGGAAACTTTACATACTATCTATTATTTTCCATTAATCCTTAAACTGAGAGGCATTTGCGGCGATTTCAGAGACCTATATTTCAAAATTTTCCCGAACTCTCCTAGCAGGCGCGCGGTTCCGAGCCCCAGGAATACGAAAAACGTCCCTGATGTAGTACATATGTGGTTTATAAAATTTCTCATTCAATTCAGGAATCAACGAATGTGATGACATGCCTTGTCTCAATGGCGGAAAATGTGTGGATCTTGGAGATGTGAAACATGGCGAGCATTATTATAAATGTGATTGCAAGCCAGGATTTACTGGAAAGAATTGTGAGACTAATATCGATGATTGCGATCCTTCACCATGTCTGAATGGTGGTCGCTGTGTTGATGGTGTGAATGACTACACGTGTAAATGTCCTGCTGGTTATACTGGAAAGAAGTGCGAGACAGGTATGGTTAAGACGAAAGCCATGCACTAAGATTATACAGTCAGGCTTGAGCAGTTGAGCCATCTCAGCTTTGTAAAGTCATCAGAGCTGAACCATTATAAGTTATAGTCAATGCTGGTATAAATTTGGCGAGCTTTTGAGTCTGAAGACTGTGTTTTATAGGCTGAAATATATCATGGATTAAATGATTTTAGATATCGACGATTGTTCACCTAATCGCTGCCTAAACAGTGCTACCTGTATTGACGGAGTCAATTCTTACACATGCAAGTGTTTAGCCGGTTATATTGGTAAACATTGTGAAATTGGTAAGTATACAGATAGGCTCAGTCGAATTTATTAATCTGTAATTGTTGACTACCGTAATTGTAATTGTAATTGCAGTTATTGTGCTACCATTTTTTTAAAAAGTTTATCGTTCTTTAGTAGTTTAATTTATGAGTCTCTGTTATGCTTTCAACCATTTTCTACATCAAATTTCGTTTTTTCCAGATGTTGATGACTGCGACCCCAATCCATGTTTGCATCATGGTAAATGTGTTGACGGTGTCGACAGTTACTCTTGCAAATGTCCAAGAGGATATGCTGGTACAAACTGTGAAAAAAGTACGTTCCATCGAACTTCTTCTGTATACCAAAATAAAAAACTTCAGCAAAACTTTAGGTATGGCATCCTTGTTCTATATGCATTTGATTTTGTAATTTTTTTAGAAATCCTGGAGTGTGATGGTTCTCCATGTAAAAATGGAGGAAAATGTGTTGAAGGATCGTTTGGAAGTGGTGTCGGAAGTGGGTTAGATACGACAGAAAGCGCTTACACTTGTATGTGTCAGCCTGGATTTGCTGGAAAGAACTGTGAAACCAGTAAGAATTGGGTTGGTTGATCTTAATTTGAATGACCGAGTTGGATTCAGTATTTACTTATTCGTTTTCTAGATATCGACGAATGCGCTTCTAAACCATGCGAGAACGGAGGTACTTGTAAAGATGGTATCAACATCTATAAATGTACATGTTTGCCTGGATTTGATGGAAAGAACTGTGAAAACAGTAAGTGAATGTTCTTCCTTCGCTTTTGCTCACATTTATTAATTGTTTCACTCACCATATCTTCTTAAAATACGTACTTTTTATAACTCCAGTCACAGCTGTCTACTTCTCACAACCCTCTTACACTTTTGTTATCATTTTATTATCTCAGACATCAATGAATGTGCTCCATTACCGTGTGTAAACGGTGGCAAATGTATTGACAAAATCAACTCCTACAAATGTTCCTGTAAACCTGGATATACTGGAGAGAACTGCGAAACTAGTACGTTTGTGCAATTTCGTTTTTTTTCCGCCTTTATCTATCCATGCAATTTATCCATCCAATTGGCAATTTGTCAACTGAACTAACTAGAAACAGCTAAACTCTACTAAAACGAAACATTCACCTCTTTAGACATCGATGAATGTAAAAGTAGACCGTGTTTGAATGGCGGTTTATGTGTGGATGGCATTAATTCCTACACGTGTAAATGTAGAGAAAATTACATCGGAGAAAATTGTGAAACAAGTAAGTTTGTGTGGCAATGAGGCAGTCCTTTGTGTATGTAGTGCTGTTTGTACAGTGCCCAGTTAGTTTATAAAATTTTTCGTTTGACTTATAGGGATCAACGAATGTGACGAGATGCCATGTCTTAATGGTGGAAAATGTGTGGATCTTGGAGATGTGAAACATGGCAAGCATTATTATAAATGTGTCTGTAAGCCAGGATTTGTTGGGAAGAATTGTGAAACAAATGTCGATGAATGCGATCCTTCACCGTGTCTGAATGGTGGCAAGTGTGTGGATGGTGTGAATGATTACACATGCAACTGTCCTGCTGGTTACGAGGGAAAAGACTGTGAGACAGGCAAGTTGAACATAGATTGTCTTTTTGCTTACGTTCATGTAAAGAACATTAAAGAATCAAGCTACTGAGTAGCTTATCCTTTGAACAGCCAGGTATTGAAGTGTTTGGAGGAAATTGGGTAGTGAAGTGTTCCTTGAAAGTTAAATAAAAGGGAATAAATAAGTATTTGTTCTTTAGATATTGACGAGTGCTCGCCCAATCCATGTTTGAATAGTGTCAGTTGTATTGATGGAGTGAATTCTTACACATGTAAATGTTTACCTGGTTATGTTGGAAAACATTGCGAGACTGGTAAGTTGTAGTAAAATATTCTTTGTCTGTCTTCGGTTGTTGCATCTTTACCAAGCACCTTGCTCGTTCTTTCATTCCAGACGTTGATGATTGCGACCCCAATCCGTGTTTGAGAAATGGCAAATGTGTTGATGGTGTTGACAGCTACGTCTGCAATTGTCCAAGAGGTTACGCTGGAACAAACTGTGAAGAGAGTAAGATTGTTAAATTGTGGTAAAATAAACCAACCAAATAACAATAGATTTTACGGACTCTAGTTAAGCGTTTTTTTGTTTTTCGTAATAGCTAAAAGTAGGGAAATGTGGTAAATGTGATATAAAACTGTTAAAATGTAATCTATTTTGTCCAAGGGTTGACCATAAAACGATTTCCTAATTTTTTAATGTTTTTAGAAATCTTGGAGTGTGATAGTTCTCCATGTAAAAATGGAGGGAAATGTGTCGAAGGATCGTTTGGAAGTGGTGTAGGAAGTGGGTTGGACACGACAGAAAGTGTTTACACTTGTATGTGTCGGCCCGGATTTACTGGAAGAAACTGCGAAACCAGTAAGTTAATAGTCCTATTGTCTCTCCATAGTAACTTTGATAAGGGCAACTGTATTGATCTTACATATGGTTATTATTCACAACCATTCACAGCCTCGTTTCCCCATAGATATCGATGAATGCGCGTCTAAACCATGCATCAACGGCGGTTCTTGTAAAGACGGCATCAACAGCTATAAATGTACTTGCCAACCTGGATTTGATGGAAAGAACTGTGAAAATAGTAAGTTTCCTTGTTGTCTCGTAATGAAAGGGACCTATGACTGGAAATTTGGACACGTTTTGAATCTTTTCGTTGGACAATTCAAAACTTTCGATAGGGTTGAATTCATCTGACAGAGGGCTATTGGCTTGAGTAATTATCAAAGAGCGAATTAGTGGTTAATTTGGGGATGTTTTCTTTTTTCAAGATATTGATGATTGCGATCCTAACCCATGTGAAAATGACGGGAGTTGCCTCGACAGGATTAACGGTTTTAAATGTTCTTGTAAAGCTGGATTTACTGGCACAAACTGTGAAACAGGTAGAACAATCATCAACTTTATATGTTGTCACATTTCACACTGGATAACAAAGGTTCAAAACTTGCTTATGTAAATAAAATTTTTCTAGACATCGATGAATGTAAATCACAACCATGTTTGAACGATGGCGTGTGCGTTGATCACGTGAACTCTTACTCGTGTAAATGCAAACGAGGCTTCGCGGGAACGAACTGTGAGAAAGGTAAGCAGTATTTTTTGAGTCGGTTTCTACACCTTGCTCCTTTTGGATGCCAAACAGCTGCTGTTAACTCACTATTTTTCTTCTTGTTTCATTCGTTGTCTTGCCTAGAAATCAACGAATGCGACAACTTGCCGTGTATGAATGGTGGCAAATGTGTTCATCGTATCCACGATCTTCAAGTGACGGACCTTGATCCAAAGTCCCGGGCATTCAAGTGCACATGTCCGGCCGGATACACTGGAGACCTTTGTGAAATAAGTAAGAAACCGACCTTCAAGAATCACACAATTCCATATAGTTTGTAAACATGGCGAAGAAGAACTTTGGAATCGCGGGTTATCGCTTAGGATTCCTTGCTCTTTGAGTGGGAAGAGGGGACGGGGGGGCTGTGACATTTCGCTACTCTTTTAGTTCGACTTTTTTGTTAACTTTTATTGCCCTGCTGTTAGTGTGTACCTCAGAGAACCGTCTTTGTTATAGTTTTGGCAATACACCTTAGCGCTGGGGAAGAATATTTGTGTTTGATAACAGTATAGTATAACATTGTGTTACTGAGCCCATCTATATCAACAAACGTTTGTCTCCTTAGATATCAATGAATGTGCGCCAAAACCATGTCTTAACGGCGGCACCTGTGTTGATGGAATCGATTCGTACACCTGCAAATGCCGAAAGGGTTTTATGGGCAAGAACTGTGAAACAAGTAAGTTGATGAGTATATTCAATTTGCAAGTTTTATTATTTCCCAAAGAGCTTTACTCCTGTCTTGAGCTGTCCAGCATAATTTTTACTTTAAATAATCGTCTTTCGTGCAGATATCGACGAGTGTGCGAGCCAGCCGTGTGAAAATGATGGTCGTTGTGAAGATGGTGTGAACTCCTATACGTGTCATTGTGAACCAGGCTACACTGGAATGCGCTGTGAAAAAGGTAGACAAAACTGTTCGATAACCATTGCTTCTATACCTAAATCTCTTTCATACGCTGGCTTCAGATATTGGGAACCCGAATGATGAAGCTTGAATTTATTAGCTAATAAGACTGAGCGAACGTGTAAAGTTCTAGTTGGTACCACGAAAGATTATAACTTTTCAATCATTTTTTAGACATCAACGATTGCAAACCGTTACCCTGTCTCAATGGTGGCACTTGTGTCGACGGTGTGAATTCCTACACTTGCAAATGCCCGAAGAAGTATGCCGGCAAAAACTGTGAAAAGAGTAAGTGTGAAAAGCTCGAATACTTAATTTGATGGTCATGCCGATAGAAACATCGGTTTGTTTCCATAGAAAGGCCAGTTTGCAACTACATCTACAACGAATGTTGGCATTTTTTAGGGATAAGCGAGTGCTTGGTGAACCCTTGTCTTAATGGTGGTGTTTGCGAAGATGTTGACCCTACGATGTCCGGAAGTGGAGCCAGTGGGGATGGTAAGATTGGCATTGGTGGCAGCGGTGATGAAGGTGCACTCATAACGGACAACAGTGGTCTATGGTACAAGTGCGATTGTCCTGAAGGTTACACTGGAAAAAACTGTGAAATAAGTAAGTACTGGTCATTGTTATTTGTCGAATGAGTCTCTTGTTATTAAAGTATCTTGTATCTTGAGTATCTTGTTGTTAAAAGTCCTTGTTTCTCATTCCCCAATAGCATTAAAAACAATAGATAATTCATTTAGTTGGAATGCTTCATTATCTATTGTTGTTAATGCATTCAGGTCATGAGAAGAGCGTGGTCTGAGACTCAGCAATGAAATATGTTTTTCTTCCCAGACTCCCAGCACAAGGTTTCTTAACACTAGCATTTTTTCTTCAGATATCAACGAGTGTTCTCCTGATCCTTGTAAGAACGCTGCAAAATGTATTGATGGTGTGAATTCGTATAAATGCGAATGCCGCCCAGGTTATCGAGGAAAGAACTGTGAGGAAGGTTTGTATCTGCCGTTATACTACATGTAATCTTTCGACTATTTGTAAGCAAGATACACTTGTTCAAATGTTGAAGAGTTTTATGCATAGGGCAAAGCTTTACGTCAAACGACTAGGATTTCTCATGATTGATTTGGGCAAATAATTTAATTAGATGATGAGTGTGTGTCTGTTTGCAGATATCGACGAGTGTGCCTCGACTCCGTGTGAGAATGATGCGACATGTGATGATGGTGTGAACTCTTATACATGCGAGTGTAAAGATGGTTACTCTGGGAAGAACTGTGAAACAGGTGAGTTTCTATGTACTTTATATATTCGTTCATAAGGACACCTCTAGATACATATGAATATGACAGCACGGTGCGAAAGACAATGAGGAATTTGTTGTTTGTCGCAAAATATCAAATATAAGCTTCGCTGATTCGACCATTAAGATATTGGGATACTCTAATTGTTCCTATGTTGTATTATACATAGTGCTCATGCATTGTTTTGTTTCACACTATTCAATGTTAAATGTAAAAGCACATCGACTTGTGAGTCCACATTCGACTTGTGAGTCCACATTCGACTTGTGAGTCCACATTCGACTTGGGACATTGATTTTTCTTTGCAGTATCAGATATTAATCTCCTTTGTGCGCGAGAAGCTGGTTCTTTCGTATTTCGAGGGCGATCCAGTAATAATAGTACATCTTGGTATTTCTTCTCTAATAATAGTACATCTTGGTATTTCTTCTCTAGACATTGATGACTGTTCGCCCAATCCTTGTAAACATGGCGGTGTTTGTGTCGATCGTGTAAACTCGTATGAATGTAAATGCCCGAAAGGATATGCTGGTGATAACTGTGAAATAAGTAAGCTTGATTCATTTGATGTCAACAAGTTAAGGGCCTATATACTTACTTACATAAGGCGCGTTCCCCCAAGAATCTTTTGTCTGCCACCAAATGAATCTGTATGAATCATCTCTTGACATGCATGAGTTAGACATGATAATTTAATGCAAGTATAGAATCTTTTTGCTGGCATATTATTTTTGTACTTCACTTTGACAACCATATAACTGGATTGCTGTGTTTATCATAGAGATCAGTGAGTGTAAATCGACCCCATGTATCAACGGTGGTACGTGCGAGGATCTTCATCATGGCACTGACTATAGGTGCATCTGCAAACCAGGGTTTACCGGAAAGAACTGTGATATAGGTAGGTTACTTGATGCCTTGTGAAGGATTCCAGTTGGTTTTACTCTAACTTGTCCACTCATCACGCATGACAACTGCCAGCTGTCTTGCAAGACAAGCTCCCCACCGACAGTTGGCTACGAGGCCGATTCCAGTAGATAGTGAAATTTTTACTCCGCTTCGTGTTCCGCTTTGCTAATCCAATCTTTTCTTTGCAGACATCGATGAATGCAAAACTAAACCATGCAAGAATGGTGCCGAATGTGTGGATCAGATTAATTCTTACAAATGCAAATGTCCGCCCGGATTCATTGGAGAAAATTGCGAGAAAAGTAAGAAAAGGACCTTTTATTATATTCGACCAACAACAAGGATGACGCTTTGAAGAACTGATTTCTGCCAATTAATTTGTTCAATCATCAGCAAGGAACTGGAAATTCCATGCCCAAACACGGATTTTGAACAGTTTCAGTGTATTTTCATGAGAATAATTATTTTTGTTCCTACCATTTTAGATGTAGACGAATGCGTTTCTCGACCTTGTAAAAATGGTGCTAAATGTATCGATAAAGTGAAGCGTACGAATGCCTTTGCGTGCCAGGATTCACTGGAAAGCACTGTGAAAAAGGTAAGCTGTACTTGATGCACTATTCATTTTGAACCAGTGGCACCTACGGGATGGCCGGGATGAGCAATTTGCCCAGGATAAAAAATGGGCCGTAGAACACCATTCCTGCAGACCCTGAATCCCTCATATTCACATGCCCCCTCTTATTGAATCTCATCCTCATTTGGTTTGGCTTATCCATGAATGCAAAACTGTACTTTCAAAGTCAATCATTCTCCTTCACAGACATCGACGATTGTGCTGGCAAGCAGTGCGAGCCTAACGGAAAGTGTATTGATGGCGTGAACAATTACACATGTGAATGTAATCCTGGTTACTCTGGAAAACATTGTGAAAAAAGTAAGTTCATTCTCCCAGAAATTATCGATAAAATTGTATTGCCATCATCAGTTGTTCAAAATTTTTAATAAACTTCGTATACGGTGTGGTCTTTCAAAACGACCGACGAGGTTTTAATATTTTTACCAGCCTAACCGAATATTTTATTTTGCCGACAGATATCGACGATTGCGAAAGCTCTCCATGTTTGAACGGGGCAACCTGTGTGGATGGAATCAATTCGTACACTTGCCAATGCCCTAAAGGTTACAAGGGGAAAAACTGTGAGAAAGGTAAAGGGTATAGTCTCTCCCCTACAGTAGGTGGGAGCTTTCCTCTTGAAATTATTTACTCGTCTTCTATCTGTTCTCCTGCCCCCATCCCAATGTCTTTCACCTCGCTCCTCCCTGTCACCTACCCCTGTATCACTCCCTCCTTCCGAACTCCATTTCCTGTCTGCACCCCCACCTTTACCCCCCCCCCTTCCCTCACCTTGTACTTTTTTCAATTCACCTGTCCCATCGTCTGTGTGCTAAACATGCTCTTACTAAATCCTTCAACACTTTTCTCATGAAGATATTGACGAATGCAAATCATCTCCGTGTCAAAATGAAGCAGTCTGCGAAGACAAAGTGAACAACTACACCTGCAAGTGTAAGCCTGGTTTTAAGGGAAAGAATTGCGAAACAGGTGGGTTAAATTTTTGCGGGCGTATGATTACCATGGACCATTGAACGCAATGCCAACACTGAATGCCAACGCACGAAGATTATTAATCCCTCCATTAACGATGACTACTTTATTTCAGATATCAATGAATGCGAATCGACGCCATGTTTGAACGGTGGTTTATGTGTTGACCAAGTGAATTCGTATAAATGCAACTGTACCTCACGGTACACGGGAAAAACTTGTGAAGTTGGTACGTTTAACGTTTTCCCACATGCCTTGCATCTATACTTTAGCTTGCCTAATTCAGATCAGCTGTTATCAGTATGCTTTGAGCGACAATCTATACAATGAAAACATTGTTGACAAGCCTACTATAAGCCTGTTGCAGTCATATCTAGTTGTTGGCAAGATGCAGGGTCTGACGTTTTTTCATGTGCTGTTTCTATAGAGAAAGACTCCATTTTTTTATTTTTTTGCTATAATCACAAAGGTGTTTTTTTGAGGTGTGAATTTTGAGTAGTATTTTATGTCGTTATTTCAAATTCTTTTATCTTTATTTGCGGTCTCGTATGCTCAGAGGTGTGTGGTAAACGTGTCGAACTTGGCTTCTTGCTGGACGGTTCTGAAAGCATCAACACTCCTAATAAAACCAACTTTAAAAAGTCCTTGGAGTTCGTAAAGAGCATCGTCAACACTTTCCGTCTCTCTCAGACCGAGGTTCGAGTTGGATTGGTCGTCTTTAGTACAGATGTGAACACCATCTTCAAGTTTGCTAAATATGGCGATAAGGAAAGCATAGGAAAGGTATTTACCATAACCAGACGCTTCACAAGTTGTTCACAAGCATACTCAGGGATTTTTTTAAATATATATCTTCTCAAAACAGACACGCATTTTAGGAGTAGTTCGATGCGAAAAATTAGATTGGATAATATATATTGAAAAAATAAGATTCATGCATGATGTTCTTCCTGGCAGTAGTGTGGTTTTACTAATATGCGCCTTGCCTAGATCAGAAATGATTCTGACATGCAATTTGTCCATTTCACAAACTACTGAAACATTGTTTTCAGGCCATCGATTCGGTGAAATACCCATCACAAGGAACCTTGCTAGGCAAGGGATTGCGAGGGGTAAAAGCGGATCTGTATTCTCATGCAAGACCCGGTGTCCCGCGTATCCTGGTTATCCTCACCGATGGCAAGTCGAAAGACAATGTCACAGGCGCGGCCAAAGCTCTGCACGATATGAATGTACGCGTGATGGCTGTCGGGATAGGTCCATATTTGGACGTGAAGCAACTGAATGCTGTTGCCAGCGGACCAAAGCAAGAGCACGTGTTTACTGCGGGTGGTTTTAATTCGCTTGGGAAAGTCGTGAAAAAGGTGGAGAAGGAAATATGTAAAGGTAAGTAGATTGAAATTTGTGCATTTTTGTTGTGTGCATTGTGTTTGTGATGAAGTAACTGATCACAGAACTTTGGAGTTATAGTTCCTTAATGATTGAGGCTTAGAACAACTTCTCACGAGAGAGTAGATTAGCTCTTCACATCCTTGTTCAAATCAGTTGTGAAAATGTCATCGGATTGCTAACTTAGTTATACGAGCTGTTTACCAAGAGCGATTCTCAGAAACTCTTTGGACAAACTTTGCAATGTCAAAAAGAAATTCATTTCTTTCACTTCTTTCATTTAGACATTGATGAATGTGGCTCGCTACCGTGTCGACCCAATGGTAAATGCATTGATGGAGTCAACTCGTACACTTGTCAATGTAATGCTGGTTACAAGGGCAAACACTGCGAAACAAGTAAGTTGTTAAGAACTTTTTATTGTCGAGGGTTAGAAATTTACCTAATCTCCGCTTTGATTTGAGGGAACCCAAGTACCATACCGAAAAATCTTCTCTGCGAGTTATTCGATTCTCAAAAAGTCTCAATTCTTTCTCCCGCCTTTTAGAAACGGACAAGTGTACACCGAACCCGTGCAAGAACAACGGCAAATGTATGCTTGATGCAGTTGAAGATGAGAGCCAAGAATTACAGATGAATGATCAAGCTGACTCCTCCTTCGTCTGCATCTGTCCCCCAGGATACACCGGACGGCTTTGTGAAATAGGTATGTGATGGGCCCACTTATCTCCCACGGTGTTCCGTGTCCGGCATTTATGGGATACCTCGCACCGAATGACAGCCCGAGTACCGAGAGTCTACCACGAGAAAAGTGTTCCCTGCATTCATAGGATAGACGGAATCGATTGAAGAAGCTCTTCACTGGGCAGTTTACATCGATATACGCGTGGTCCTCAATATCTTCTTGAATGTGCAGATATATTGCATATGTCTTTACGGCAAAAGGTATTGATTTATATTAACACTGATTATTTGTCGTCTACAGTTGTGAATCCGTGCAATGCTCGGCCTTGCCGTAATGGAGGAGCGTGTATGAAGAGCGTTATTGAAGATGAAAGCGTGTATCAGGATTGGCAGTCTGGGAATTCATATGTTTGTGTATGCAAAGAAGGCTTCACTGGAAAAAACTGCGAAATAGGTAATGTTAGTTGGTGTTAAACCCATCCAAATTCGTGTAGTTTTATTTAGTTTTCTTGTAGTCACAGTGGAGCTAATATCCGATGTTATTTATCGCACAATTCCGCTGGTTACTAAATATCTTTGATATTTCTGTAGATGTCGATGACTGTGTTGGCAATGGCTGTCAGAATGGCGCGAAATGTATTGATGGACAAAACTCCTACCAATGTCAGTGCCTGGCTGGGTACACTGGAAAACTTTGTGAACATGGTACACGAGTGTTATTTTTACGTAACTACTTTGATAAATAGGGTTATCATGGAGAGATTGTGGTGATTATGGTTATGTTATGGTGGTAATAATGTTGAAATAAAACCGATAAAATTTGGGTGGTTGTTGGTAATGTGGTCCTTTGATGATGGTAATCATTATTGTGATGGTTATGGAGATGGTAGTTATGATGTTACAGTGGTTACAAGTTTGATGTTTTGGTTTTGTCCTGGTAAATGAGGTGTCATTTGTGATTGTTCGTGACCATAAATATGTTTCCTTCACATAGACATCGACGATTGCTTCGGCAATGAGTGTAAAAATGGAGCCACCTGTGTGGATGGAATTAACTCTTTCACCTGCAAATGCAAAGCTGGTTTCGTTGGGAAACACTGTGAAACAAGTAAGACTATGACTGGCTTTCAGACTAGGACTCTTTAAAAGATCAATTCGTCAGTTTGATTCGGTTTATTGACGTTTCACCCTGGTGTTTTAGACGTGGACGAGTGCCAGTCTCACCCTTGCATGAACAATGCTTCCTGTGTCGATGGAATCAATTCCTACACGTGCAAATGTGTCGTTGGATTTGAGGGTAAAGATTGCGACAAAAAAAAGTAAGTTATGTTGAGATGTAACTGAAGCAGAAAAAGACAACTTTAGCAGGGCAAGGGGCTGTTTAAGAGATCTGTTAACAGGACTCCCCTTCCAAGATCAAACAAAGCGCATGAAATGTTTTCGACATGTTAAGACATGTACGATCTATTGTGGAGATAAACGTCTTTTCAAGATCACACAGTGACTTTTCAAGTATGCCTCACTTAACGCCTCGTTTAATCTGGGGTAAGCGTGCTCTGTCACCAGTCACTAGTGGACCATCACATATTCACATTCTGCCACCACTGACATCAATGCCGTCAACATGCAAATGCATGAAATATTGCATCCATGCGAATGTTTGGTCTTATATTTTTTACCTCTGCATGTAAATGACCCGACACGATTAATAAGAAGGTTGTATTTAGAGATTCAGTCGCTATAGATCCATGTATCTTTACTACCAGACACCGATGACTGCGTCTCTTCCCTTTGTCGAAATGGTGGAACTTGCAAAGACGGTGTAAATTCTTACACATGCGTATGTCCAAAGGAGTACACTGGGGATCATTGTGAATCTAGTAAGGATGCAAAATCTTCGTTTATGTGATTTCCAGGATTCTCCTTTTCGTATTTGTAATGTAAACATTGATTTAAACTCCTAAAACCGCTTCTTCCAACTAGAAAAGTGCCTGAAGTCTGCTGATGTATTGCTCATGGTTGACGGTTCGGGAAGTATAACCACTCCGCATTTCAGGAAAGTTCGTAGATTCCTCAAGGAACTCGTGTCTCGTTTTAACGTCTCCAAGGACGGCACGCACGTCGGACTGCTCCAGTTCAGCTCTCCTTGGCTCACGAAAATCGAGTTTGACTTGGATAGATACAACAACGTGAACGGTATTAAGAAACACATCAGCACCATGAAATACCAAAAAGGAAAGACCTACTTGGGCGACGCTCTCCGAAGGGCACGAGTTCAGGTACTGGGTGAAGAAAAACCTTCGTGGGGCTGCCAGTGTTTGGGGAGTCGAGTGCTGTAAATAACGGTTGAGGCTGGGGAGGGACCACACCTCTCCCCTCAGCTATTCACCCTGAAATTAACCTGGGTTAATACTCTCGAACACTCGCTTCCCTATCACCTACTTATACGGTATCCCCACACTTCCGTCCGAGGGACAAACCTCCGTCCCTCCCCAGCCCATCAAGTTAACAGTTCGTTCACTTAATGCGATATGTTTTCTTTACATCAATTCGATGGTGGTGGTACAGCCAATACAATATTTCATTCGTACCTTGAGCTGTAGGGCTCGTAGGGTCCGATCTCTCTGCGTCTTTTAGTATTAAGGAGGGCCATATGACCAAAAGTGATCTAAGGGGTTACGGCTTAGTAGTCCATATCGTTTCAAGATCTTTACCTAACAGGTAACAATTTCACCTTATAGGTATTCGGACGTCATAAACGCCATAGATTTGGTATACCAAAAGTGTTAATCATTATTACCGACGGAAGAGCCTCGGATCAAGCCGTCGCATTACGTGAAACTACGGCTCTCAAAAGACAAGGCGTTCAAGTGATTGGCATTGCTGCGGGCACGAAACAAAATATTGATCGATTTATCAACAACCTCCATGCGATTGTGGCTGACAAATCTCTTGTATTTACGACCAGCTTTAATGGTTTGGACACGATTGTTGATAAGATCACTAAATCAACTTGTGATATGGGTAAGAAGCACTGATACATAAATTGACACTGGATAGCAAGTGCATCAGCGGCGAGAAACTGATTTGCTTAACACCACAAGATTTAGGATAGGTTTTGTTGATAACAGATTAGGATTTAGTTGGATGCAGGTATTAGGATTTGGATTAGATAACAGGGAATCTTAAGAAAACATACCACAGCTCGCGATTAGGGTTTGAGTTGGGAATAGGTTTTCGGGAATCAAGGTACGGATAGGGTTCCGATTAGAGTCAAGAAAAAACAAACCTTGGTTAGATAATCCATTTTTGTTTTCTTTTCTCTAGCAAAAGATCATTGTGATCCCAACCCCTGCCAAATGGGAGGTCACTGCATCAGTGGTCACAAGTCTTTCACGTGTCGCTGTCCGAGCGGTTACAGTGGACGTCTTTGTACCGAATGTAAGTTTTTGATTGTCTTAACTTTTTTGTTAGTTAAATTTTAAATTAAAATTCATCCTAACTCCGGAGGTGCGCTGTAACACATATAGTTTTTTAAACGTTAGACTTTGGATTTTGCAACTCCTAAATGCTCGTTACTGCAGGAGTAGTAGTGTAGTACACCCCCCTTATCAACTGTTATCCCCATCAAACAATTCAATTCCTTTTTCTCTTAGGTGTCTCGCCCGATACCCTCCCCTGGATATTCATCTCGAGTTCCATTCGCTCGATCGATACTGGCATGACATCATCGGTCTGGGCCGTCGGCACAAACGATGACGTCTACTTCGTCGAAGGTCGGAAATTGACCCTGGTCCATCGCAAGATGAGACATGTGAGCGCGGGCGAAGCCGGGGTTTGGGGTGTAGCTCCGAACGGCTTAGCCTTCTTCCGAAAAGGAGTGACCGCATCGAATCCCATGGGAACGGAGTGGGTCCGAGTCTCTGGACGAAATTTCCGGCAAGTGGACTCTGGACCGTTCGGTGTGGTGTACGGTGTTAGCAAATCAGGAAATCTTCGATGCCGTAGGAAGATCACGGGTGAAAAACTCCAGGGTAAGTTTAGAAGTGACTTCGCGCACAGCCAGCTTAATTTTCAATCAGAGAATCGTTGCAGCTTTTAGCTACGATTATACGCTAATAGGCAGGCAATTAGGTGATGTGAAATGGTGCAAAACTTCGCTGTATAATAGTTTAATGTCTTTGCAAATTCTGGTTCACCATTTCGAGCCTGTATGTATCCAGTGGAATGTGAAAGCCAATTAAGCCATGCTTGTCACAAAAGACCGTAAACGTTTTATCCATGTTCTCCGATATTACATGTTATGACTGCCTACAATATACACTTTGTTTTCTGCAAGAAAACTGTTTTGCCGGGAAAGAATTTTTAAATTCTAACCTTATTTTGCACGAAGGTACATTCTGGCGATCTGTGAACAGTCCTAGCTCAATGAAATACGTAAGTTGCGGTAGTTTCGGCTGCTGGGCCAGTGATGGCGCAGGCATATGGTTCCGCGATGGCGTCACCCAATACAACTGTGAAGGCACCATTTGGGAGAAGGTTCCCGGGAACCTGCCTCAGCTTGAGGTTGGAGACCACGGGGAATTGTGGGGCATCAATCCGACAACGACGCTCTGGAATCGCGTGCGGGTCAGCGAAGATCATCCGACCGGAAGGGGCTGGAAACGAGTTGGAAGCTTCGGGTTCAGTCACGTGAGCGTCGGTCGCCCAGGCCTTTTCGTCGTAACCGATCAAGGAAACGCTTACAAGAAACATGTTTGTGAAAATGGTAGGCAACTTACAATTCTGTGAATCTGCCTTTACCCACAATCTTATTGAATATATTATTTCTTTCTTTATTAGAAACGGCCAATCAGTGCACGTCATCTCCCTGCCGTAATGGTGGTCAATGTATGATCAGCGGTCATACCTACAAATGCAAATGTACAATCGGTTATCGCGGTAGAAACTGTCATATCAGTAAGTAGCTTTTAGTATACAAGTAAAGGCGTGGGTAGCCCTTTTCGTATATTGCGGTCAGTGACACACGCTCGAAAGCTTATATTACAATGTATTACAAGTCTAATTTCTTGTCTTAATAATAATCATCTTTGAATAAGAATCTAATTTGTTTTAGAATCCCCGTTTAAATATGAATGGGTGAAGAATCCAGGCCTTCAGATGAAACAGGTTGATACCGGTCTGACCAGTGCTCTCTGGGGAATCAGTCCGGCCGGTAGGCCAATGGTCTTCCTCAATCATTCCACATGGGTTCCGGTCGGTGGTATCTTTAGAGATATCTCGTCAGGCGAAGCAGGCGTGTGGGCAGTGAAGGGCGATAGTCAGGTGTTCTATCGTGCAGGTGTAAGCTATCTTAACCCAACTGGCATAAGTTGGAAGGCGGTTGGTGGCCATCTGAGGCAAATCGATTCTGGTGCAAAGGGTGTGGTCTACGGTATCGATAAGGACAAGAAACTGATGTGCCGAAGTGGTATACAGAAGAACCTTCCCACCGGGTTGCGATGGAAACCCATCCAGGGATCCTACAAGCACGTGACCTGCGGATACCGTGGTTGCTGGGTCATCACTCAGTCCAGAGATATAAAGTTCAGGGTTGGCATAACAGCCAGTCACTGCATGGGAGATACTTGGGTCCAGGTCACACCGCCTAAGAAGATGAGATACATCGAAAGCGGCAGTGATGGTGTACTCTGGGCCGTGTCCGAAGATGGAGAGGTCTGGTACAGAGATGGAGTCGATGATCTCCACCCGTATGGTAATAAGTGGAAGAAGTTGAACCTTGACGGGACATATAATCTGATCACATCTGGTCTAAACGGACAGTACGCTCTAGACCCTTCAGGCTATGTCTTTCATCTTGAAGGTCAGTGGAGTAGAATTTTTCTCCTTATATACTGCTAGCCTACTGTTTGAATTTAAGTTTTCCCAGGTTTTCTTACTAACTTAAAGTATTTGATATCTTTTCTTTTAGTGGCTGGATCCTGAGAGACCAAGTTTAGCAAGATTCAAAAATAACTACCTTGATATTAGCCGGTAGTTTTAGCACATATCTTTACATAGGCAATGTTACCTGACTAACCAAGATATACTTTTAAACCTTCGTCTATCATTCAAAGATATTTACGAGCAACTATCTCCATCGCGTTCCATTCGACACACCGATGTCCATTTCACAGAAACGGGTACGTACAGTAAATGGCGAGATATCTCTGCAAAAATGAGAAATACCTTGCTACTCTGAGAATGGGATTTCATTGGCTGAATGAGATGGTTGGTTCAGTTATTGCTGGATGAAAAGTGCTCATAAATATCTCTGTTCGGTGTAATATATCATCATGAACAATGAACATAACGGCGCACAAAATGTTAAAAAAATGGATATAACCCCAAAAAGAAACTTCACCGTGACTATTTTTTTATCTTAAGCCTAGAGAAATCACGAAGTGATTTCTGGTAGAATGTTAAATGCACGTAAATAACTGATTTATAATAAACTTGCAATTAACGAATTTCTCCTTGATGTGCTTTTTTGCCAACAGAATTTGATTTAAACTGAGACTAAAACGCGCCGAATTCCAAAAATATTTGCGCAAAAAGTACAAATGCCTTCGTGAGAGAAATAGCTGTTAGCATCTTGCACAAGTTTAAAGAATGAACGTCTAACAGTTTTTAGACAAGTCCTTGCGCCGAAGTAATAGCAAATCATGCACAGAACTTTTGAAATATCATCGGAATTTCAAAAGACTGTGCCCATGCAGCGAATCCGGTGTCCTACTACCATCTGATTATGAAATAGGTCGGTAGATAGATATTTGGTTGAGTCGCTCGACCATGTCGAGTCGATATTTGGTTGAGTCGCTTCCCGATATTTAGAGTACTTTGTTTATGATTTAGAAAGCGTTCACTGTCATGCGTTATGTCATAACATGACATGCAGCAAATTTCAACGGCATCCAACAACAAATTTCAGAGTTCAAAATATAATATGCAACCTTTTGGTTTAAGTAAATTTAGTTACTCTTTATTATATTAGTTCCCAATAATATTACATCCCTGTCTTCTTTACAAATAGCCACATACATAAGTGACATATTACAAAAAATCCTGCTAATATATTCATTTACTGCATTCTATAAGTATAACAAGTACAACATTTTCTAAGTATAACAATTTGTTCCTATTAATATATACAATAGGATATCATTATTTTCTCCAACAAGTCTAAAATAATTTTTCCAACTTGACAATTAAATTTACCTAAGATGTCCTGACTTTAGGGTCTGGAATTTTCTGTTTCTACCAGAAGCCTCAATAGCTAGTGGTTTTGGGGTGCAGGTCTTTATATTAGTAAGTGGAGTGTAGGACATTTAGTCTAGCATCCATCCAACAGCTATGCAGGCTACATGTATGGTGCTAGAAACCATATTTTTACTGAGAATTAAGTATCAGTTTGAAGCACTTGTAATCAGTGCATGAATTTGTTTTGGTTTCTTTTCCTTGGATTTAGCAGTGAGCTTGTCAACTTGCTTGCGAGGGAAATACAGAAATGTTGCTCTCATTGCTCGAGGGTGTCGGCATTGATGGCAACAGTGTCCAACAGTCGGTCTCTGTGTCATAAAACTCTACAGAAGACAACACATTTCCGCTGCCTTCCCAGCCGCCGCAGATGTAGATTTTCCGGTTTAACGCAGCACAACCCGCCTTGTTTCGTTCAACGGACATAGAGGCAATGGTCGTCCATTCATTTTCCTCAATATCATACACTTCACCAGAGGCCATGCAGTTGTCATTGTGGTAACCACCAATAATGTAGATCATCCCCTCGACATATGCCGACATAGCATCTTGTCTTAGATTCTTGATGGGGCTATAGCCTACAAGTATAGTTCAGAATAACTATCATTGCAAATTGGTGATTTTCTCAGTGAAAGTACTGCATTTAACATGAGAGTTAATTCTCAGCAAACAGCTCATACTATACCTTCAGTAGTCCATACATTTTTGCCTGGGTCATAAACATCCATTGTGTTAAGATATGAATTTCCGTCGAACCCAGCTATGGTAAATATGTTGTTGTTGTCGGCCACAACACACGCTGCATCTCTGAGGTTATTCATCGAAGCCATAAAAGTCCACTGATTGGTCTTGGGATCATACCGCTCTACATACCTAAAAGAATTAAGTAACCTTTTGGAATATTGTCTTAGACTATTCAGTATAAAGATGGAGCTCATACAAACCTAGAGGGAGTGTTTCCATCATAGCCCCCAACAGAGTAGAGATACCCCTCTAACAGCACCAAGCCCATGTTGCTACGTGCAATATGCATAGGTGCCATGTCTTCCCAAGTGTTTTCTTCTGGGCTGAATCTTTCACAAACTGGTAAACGCACCCACTCGCGGCTTCCGCCCACCAGGAACATCTGGGATCCAATACTCGCAAGACCGGGACAATGGCGTGTGGTGATCGGTGCCAAGGACACCCATATCTTTTCCTCGGTATTGTAGAAGAGGGTCTGTGTTCCGCCCACAGCTGTCAGGACAGGCACAATTCTTTGCCACTTGCGAGGCGTACTCATCTTAACGAGCTCGTCTTGACTAACAAGGTCGTTAAGAGTATCTGAGTGGTTGCGAGCAGCCTTCATGAGATCCACAAGGAAGGGATTATCTGAAACTAAGGGATTGTGCTCAACCAAATTCCTCATATATTCTTCAGAAATATATCCCAATCTCAAATGCTTGAATAAAACATTTAAGTATTTGTATCTTCCCTCAAGGTCGTGTTGAACCCACTTCAAAACTGCAGACACAAGCTCGTCTTCTCTGATATTGAGCTCATCGTCGGACATTAGCTCTTTCATCAGTTCAAACGGGAGCGTTAAAAACTCGGTCGATCCCTTCGCTTCCGCAAAATTGTCCTCGATGAATGCATGAACCTTGCCAAAAAGATTTTTTAACGAGTACTTATCAGCGATGTTGCGAATACCCCAGCAATTATTCACGTTGATACGATCTTGCGTGAACTTACAACAAGCAACCGTAACGGACTCCAGTAGCAACAGCCTCGAAGCGACCAGAATTTCTTCAAGGTTGTCTTCAGTTATTTCAATTTCTCCTATATACATAAAGTCCAGAATAAGTTCTATTGCTTTGGCTGTTAAACCTTCGAGCTTCACGCTTGTCTCGCTGTCTGCAAAAGGGGATGAAAACATTGCTTTGAAGTAATCGGACGAGGCCGCCAACACATTTCTGTGTGCTGGAAACTCTCTTCCTTCCACAATCAAAACAACATCGACCAAAATATTCTGGGCACGCATTTCTTGTATGGATTCGAGCAGATGTTCCGTGTGGCATTCTGGCGTGAAACGAAAAGATGTAGTGGACTTTGTGCTTCCTGAATTCATCATTGTTAAAGCGTAAACCATAATGTTTCAAAGAATTTCATTTGAATATTGTGGTTTCGTTTCGTTCATGTTGAGTAACCGAAATTTAAATATATTTTGCCTTTTGTAACCATTCGAGTGATTCGACGTGGCTATGACGTCATTGCGAACAATCGGAAATCCCCTTAATAGATGAGTTGGGTAGGTGGGGGGTGGGCCTCGCCCCATATCAATATTGTTCGTTCACATCACTGGTCCACATTCCTATATTCAGTCGTCGACCTTTGTTAAAAAAAGAGTTAAAAGTAGAGTTATTAAAGAATGATCACGCTTCAGTTGGATAGCGTCTATCATTAAAACTTCATTATAAAAGGGAATTATGTTATATACACTGCAATTATTCACTGCAGGTTGCCAACAACACGCTTGGTTGCTAACAGTGGTACAATATGGGGTTTGCATGGTATTAGCCTGCTCGCAGATTGAATTAGGGGAGCCGGAAATTTTCCCCGTTCAGGTTAGCATGGTATGCCCAAGAACAATTTCACACCATTTCAAATGCGTGGTGTGAAATTTTATCTAAGCAAGCAGATATTCAACACCACGGATTGAAAGCGCCTTAGTCCTTAGACATAGACTCGGTGAGACTACAAAGTTTTGATTAGAAAATTTCCCAATGAAATTTAGCACGCTGCTCGTCTACGGGCACTTCAAGGGGGTCAGCCTGTGAGAAAAGGCAGCTAGACCAGACTGTGGCTCTTCCGAAAAATTCCGAGGGATTTCCCCTACTGGTATCATGCAGACTTCTGTCCAAAGATCGATGTATGTGGGATGCATTACGTTATTCAAGTCATATGATATGATATGAAAAAATGTATTCCTGAGGATTATGCAAGTCTGAAATATGTTTGTGAAATACAATGAACAATGAAATACAATTGTTTCAAGACCAGCTATAACGTTTTAGTTGTATGAGTACGGTTCTCCCCTTAACCCCATCGGCGATAAAACTTAAGCATATAGAGACTTGCTCATGAGTCATGACGAGTAATGTCAATAGAGTACTGAATATAGTCTAGAATATAGTTTGATGTCTGTGCCTGATTTTCCACTGACATGCATGTATACTGTATACACCCAACAATCCTTTATATGAACGCTCTTCCTATTCTATGCTATTCTATGCAATATTCTATGCACTAAATGTATCAATGAACGAGTCATCAAAATGTGTGCATTTGCATCCATATTGTGAAAACGACGGTTTATGAAATATTACCCGGCCGGGGATATTGACCCGCGACGTAGAATACAACCCGCCGGACGTCATCGTTCTCAGCCAATGAGAAACGTCGGAGATTGGATGCGTGCGCATAGCTATCCCATGATGTTGATGTGTCCGTTTTTAATGGCATAGTTCAAGTCGAAGAGGTTAGTATGGCGTCGTCGTTCATCGAAGATATACTTGGATCAGAAGTCGATGAAAAGGCTGTGAGCGCTTTCGTCGGCTCATTGGAAAGCCAGTTGGCGTCCCCGTCTGGCGGCACTTCGTCCGGTGCAAGTACGACGAATAATTTGCCCCGATCACAGCGTCCAAATCACGTCCCTTCTTCCACGGCTCCGAGCAATTCGAGTCAAAGTAACAATTCAAGTGTGGCGACAGTTATCAATATAAATACTGCGACAGGTTCACCAATTACTATTACCGGCAAATCATCGTATATTTCCAGTTCTAGTTCATCTACACCCATCAACATCGCTCCACGGCCTGTTGTTACATCGACCGTTTCGCTCGCACCGAAAACGGTAACTTTACTATCTCCACAGACTGGAAATCGCGGTTATTTGCCAGTGCAAAGCGCTAGTCTCGGCCTTCCATTGATGATGGGTCAAGTGAGGGGGCAATTACCTCATGCACCTAGATTGGTATCTACTGCCATGTCATTGCCAAGAGGCAATACAGCACAAAATACTGTTCACAAGCTTTCACCACAACTTCATAATATGCAGCAAACTGGCTCAACCCATAGGATTGCAATCAAGCAGGAACCAAAAAGTCAGCTGAACCAACCACCAACACTGTTAACCAACAATGTGCACCTGCACTCCCCGGCAACTGGGAAACCAGTTCAGAACCATGCGATGGTCATTAAAAATGAAACAAAAATTATCACAAATCATGTACCAGTACCACACAGTGGGGTGGTCAAATCAGAACCGGCAAAGTCTGTCGTTACTCAGCACAACTCAACGGCAGCTAACCAAAACCGTGCTGCAGCGCAAGCTCAGGTTAATCGGGTTAAAGAACAAGTTATGAAATTGAAAAGCTTCTTCACCAGGTTATGTACCTTAGCCACAGATCAATCACCTGAGATTGGTAAAGCTGTTCAGGAACTCATTAATGCTGTCATGGTGAGCTTACATCTAATTCAGTTAAAGTTGTCCTTTCAAAACATCAAACTTTAACTTCTGACTCAGCAAGAGACAATGCATTGTACTCATTTAGGCTTGTGGTGTTTATGGTTTGAAAGGATAACCTTAATTTTAATCACTTATATTAAGCTAAAGTTATGATCAAACTTTGGCCTGTTAGTTTGACTGTATCCACTTTAGTTTTGTCCTAATTTTTAGGTTTTTTCACTTAAGAGCTAAAATGAATGCAATCTGAGTAAATTACAATCTGTTTAACTTTAACCAATGATTTTGATTGACTGTGCACTGGTTGGCTAATCTAATAGAAACTGTTTATGCTTAAATGCAAATCATGGTCATTTCTGGATCATCTAAGTCAGTCACATCTAAGTTGATAAAATAATAAAGAAGAGAATTATTGTTTTTGTACATCATTTATGACACAACTTTATGTGTGTTCTTGACTTTGGGATCCAGCTGGGGTGGCTTCCAGCTAATAATTTTCGAGGGGTGCAAACCCCATACATAGTTGAGTTTTCCTATGACATGTTTTAGTTCTGATGAATGGGACTATGGGAAGTGCCACCCATAACTGTAACCTACTATTATATTCTTCCTGGACTTCACCAGGTGAAAAAATTCATCTCCAAAATTTCTGGTGTCTCCTGCTCAGAATACTCTATGCTAACAGTGACAGTCCAACAAGCCTGTTTTCTGATTTGCAGGAAAATAAACTGACAGAGGAAGATTTCACAGCGAAACTTGAAAAAACCTTGCACTCACCATCACAACCTAACCTTGTACATTTTCTCAAGGTATGTGTATAAGTACTAATATGATGAAACTTTGAGTAGTTACTTAGTACCTTAAGAGAAACCAAACTACACATACCTGAAGCCTTATTCCACCCCTAGACATGCATGTCTGGAGGTCATATTGAAATGCAATTACCAGGGCTGAATCTAAAGTACGTAGTTTTGTAGACAGGTGCCCAGGCCAGTTGCTGGCAATGGGGTGGTCAACTTTAAGGGACGTTAGAATGTATGTTTGTTCAAAACAGACAAAAACTGAATTGATAGAATGCTGGGTAAGATTGTTAGCACCTCAAATAAGATTCTTAACCACCATGTGCATTGAATTACAGTGTATTCATAATTGAGTACTTAGTTCCCAACATAATCCCTTAACATTTGAGCTGACATACACAAATTAGCACTTCTTTTGCCCCCCCTCTTGTAGCCTAGGCTAGGGGTACACCACCCTCTGCAGCCCCTCCCCTCCTCTCCAGTAGATGCATCATTACATTCCCTTCTTTTACCATAGTCCACGTTACCATTCCTTCGCATGGCTAAGCAACAACAGAGCGCTCAAACGGCGGTTGCAGCTGTCGCAAACTCCCCGACTGTGCGCCAAGTTCAAAAACCAGTCCAGTCGGTCGCCGCCGTGAGCAAATCGCAGCCCACGATCCTGCCATCGACGCAAATCAATCGACAGGTACGTGCATGCAACTACCATTATCGTCCACAAACAGTGTTAGAACATCAAGGCTGGTGTTCGTCAGTTATGCTTAAACTACGTTATCATTGGATGTACATTTTACAAGAATGCATGTAGCAGATATTGGTTATTAAAACGAATTAAGGTTCTTTGAAGAACAGGCTGAAACGCGGGAAGCTATTACGTTCAAATTTCACATCATTCTCGGCGTTTTATGTCAATTTTTTCCACTCGTGGATTTGGTAAAGTACATCAGCCATGTACACATAGTATCACATAATTTTTAAGAAAGTCTTCGTATAGTCTAGAATTCTCGCGGAGGGATGTTCAAGACGTTCGCAATTCTGCTTAAAACTGTCATTAAAATGGCTAGTCTCTGCCTTTAAACGCGTAGATTAATGGTACTTTTTTCCATCAAAGATACCAGTACCTGCGGTTGTAAACAAACCTCGAATCAAACCAGCCACCTCGGCGCCGCAACAAATTGTTCTCAATCAACACACCTTCGCACAACTCACACCACAACAACAGCAACGAATCCTCTTACAGCATCCTAGTCTTCAACAACTCTTTCCAAAAACGCAATTGGCAACGTCGAAACGTAAGTTGTCATATTCGTGTTGGGGGAGGGGGAGTGTGGAGGCTGGGTAGGTGGGCGTGGAGGCTGGGTAGGTGGGTGGGTGTGTTCCAGTGAACTCAAAAGAAGTTCTTTTGAGTTCATTGGTGTGTTCAACGTATTGTTGCTGGTACACTTTCGTTTTTGTGCGAGATTAGGGTCTGTTCACACGATCCAATTTTGTTGGATCCAATTCACTTCTGATTGATGTTTTATAGTCTGTTGACTTGCAATGTGTGTGGACAGCAAATCAACTTAAACCAACACAGTACTGCTTTATCAATAACTGACCTCATTCCATACGTCAAAAGTAAATTTGATCGTGTGAACAGACCTTCAGTCTCACTATGTATTTTCTAATCATTTGTGTCAGGAGGGAATTAGTATACGTAAGCTATGATATACATAAGCTGGATCATAGTGAATCCTGGCTTTGAATGATTAAATATCGTTTATCTGATCAACCTTTCCTCCGACTTCGTCTGTGATTTTAGCTGGTATCGTGTTAATATCATCTCAAGCTAATCCACCAGCTCATGCTGCGCACGCAGTGATTACGGCAAAACCGCAGGCCCCTCCAACCAGCGCAGCTCAGGCGCAGGATAAGTCAAAAGCGAGGCCGACGTCATCCATATCAGCTGTTACCAGGTAACAACTAGAGCATTCTTGAACTCTATATAGACTGGAACGATATCTCTTGAAGATGTAGGGAATTGAATCTGGCAGTTTTTTACGATTTTTTAGCAGAACGGGAGCTGATGTAGAAATGTCAATACTTTAAATAGTTTTCTTCTTTCGACGTTTGGCAATTTCAATAGTTATCACTCCACTGTCCTTCCTTTTGTTCGTTTCCAGCGGTAACGATGACGACATCAATGACGTGGCGTGTATGGCTGGAGTGAATTTACAGGTAGGGCGGTGTTAAAACCTGGATGGTTTTTCTGTAGTTTCTTGTGTATGTTGCTTCAAGCGAGTGGACAGATGTAAAGCAAAATCTTTCTCATATATGTCTTTATATAGGAAGAACAATCGAAAATTCTCGCTACGAACTCAGAAATTTTAAACCTCCAACTACGAAGTTGCAAAGATTCGTTCTTTTTAAATAACAAGATCTTGCAAAAACAAATTGAAGATATCGGTTAGTCTGATTTATATATTCACACCGTTTCTTTTAAGCTCATTAGCGGGAAGTTTAGAATATGGAAATTTATCCAGCTTCTGTAAATAAGCGTACTCCGTGCATGAAGTCCAGCTAACTTTCTATAGCAATGCTGTAAGGTTTTGATCAACTTTTCTAGCAAAAAAACATGGCGTGAGTTCGCTAGGTTCAAATATCTGTGGCCTAGTTTCTCATGCGACGCAAGAAAGACTCACAAACATCATGGAAAAACTGTCGATTTTTAGTCTACATCGGTTAGAGACGATGAAGGTAAGTTGTTCAGATTACCCAGTTTATGCTTTCGTTTATGCTTTCGTTTATTCTTTCGTTTATGTTTTCGTTTATGCATGCTTTCGTTTTTGCTTTCGTTTATGTTTTCGTTTATGCATGCTTTCGTTTATGCTTTCGTTTATGTTTTCGTTATGCTTTCGTTTATGCTTTCGTTTATGCATGCTTTCGTTTATGCATGCTTTCGTTTATACTTTCGTTTATGCATGCTTTCGTTTTTGCTTTCGTTTATGTTTTCGTTTATGCATGCTTTCGTTTTTGCTTTCGTTTATGTGTTTTCGTTTATGCTTTCGTTTATGCTTTCGTTTATGCTTTCGTTTATGCTTTGTAGCCCTGGCAGTCGGTTAAAAAGTGTTTCTTCCTTCTTTCCTACATCTAAATATAAATTTAGTCCTACAGAACACTCTGAACAAACATTTACTTCGTAACCTAATTATTTCCACGCCTGCTGGCTTTCCAATGAGGGATTGACAGGTACACATCTGCTGTATATCTCTTTAACACAGGATGATCCCACTTATCAAACATCATCGGACGTCAAATCGCAGCTTCGGGTTTTTGAACAAATCGATGAAATCGAGAGACGAAAACGAGAAGCGAGAGAGAGGGAAGTTTTAATACGAGCTGCCAAGGTCAGGAACTGTTATTTTCTTCTTTTGATGGATGTAAACAAGGGGATAAGTTACGGATGTTCAATTAAGGGATCAAATCATTAAAGCACTCTTAACTTTTCGCTCTTTCGCATCTATCAAAAGGGGGAAATCGCACCAAAAATTGAGCCTTCAGTGAACAGGGTCTGTTCAGTGCCCAATCTAGAATCAGAACAAGACAATTCTCATTTCTATTTTTTCTTTGCGGTTAAATTGTAGAGTCGATCACGGCAGGAGGATCCTGAACAAGCCAGACTAAAGGAAAAAGCAAAACAGGTAAATATAGAGCTACTGTATTCATCTGAAATAAACACTTCCTTTACTGATTATAGAATTGAAGGCTATCTGCGAGCCTATTTTTTCCGGTGACGTCAATTCAATTGCAATTTTTTTGTGTCAGCTACAACTCGAGGAGGAGGAGACATTACGAAAGCGTGCAGCGAATAAGACGGCGCTGGACGCCATTGGACCGAGAAAAAAACGGAAACTAGACGAGGCTTTGAATAATGCCGAGGTAATCTACGTCTTATGCAGGGATGTATGTAAAAAACACTTGGATCTTCTTGTGTTGTAAATGAATGATAAGTGACTGTATATTTCCGTCAGATTTGGTGCTCAAATGCATGATATCAGATTCTTGTGATATGGTACTTATCGTATTAATTTTGCAGGGTTCGCCTGGAGCAAATTCAGGAACTGGTTCAACCACGACAAGCACTATCCGAAGTCAAGTACGTGGTGTTAGTGTATTCTTTTGTATTCTTTCCAGTATATCTCTATCTGTTGGATTCATCTGTTGTAGTTTGTTCGGTTGCTTTCTTTGACTTGATTGTTTACTTATTTGCTTTCTCTGAGTTAGTTTTCTATTTGTGTTTACCCCATCCTCCCCTGTTCTCTTGCATTCTTTCTTTCTTCAATATTCGTTTTGTCCCATTTTCTCTTCTCTGCTCCTTTCTTCCCTTCCCTAGTATTTTTTCCAACCTTTCTCGCTTTCTACTGTATTTTCTCACACCATTTTCTTACAGTTTCCTCGACAGAGAACACGTCGGGTCATCCTCAAAGATCTTTTACTTATAATGGAACAAGAAAAGGAAATGTGCAATTCCAAACTATTATACAAAGCTCTTATGAAATAGCGATTGTTCTGTCGCGAAAATTACCATATAAATCAGAGTTAGATATTGTATCAGAGAAGTATAAGAAGGTGAAAGAAAACAAAACATTACCCGAGAGATCGGAACACATTAAGACTTCAGAGAACGTTATCAATAACGCGACTGGCTGTGAAAAGAACGTGTTCTTTAGTACTTCAATTTTAATTTAATTCGATCTCATCCATTTTTCTAAAACACGAGATGATATTAATATTGAGAGTGCATTTGTAAATATATTGAAATTCACTTCCAGTGAATAATGGAACAATAATTCTCTACTCGCTAGTATTTCAGATTTGATCGAATGTGATTTAGTTTTTGCAATAGTCATTTCTACCCAATGCCACATCCTGTAGAATACGATTTTTGTTGCGTTTTTCACATTCGTTTTAGGGTAACAAAACTAACGCATGCGAAAAGCTGCGATTCATTAATTAGGACGCACGTGTTAATTTTTCACATATATTGAAATTATTGAAATTAACACGGCAGACGCCACGCGACGCTACATTCAATATTTTTTTAGTCATGGACGCGTGGCAAACATTTTACATGATCCCAAAATCGTCTCTCCTCGGGTTATGCTTTGTTTTCGATTGAAATTGTCGGTCGGACATACGTAAGGTGAACATAAGTACATAACGTGTTGTAGGCATCGTACAAATTTTAGGCCTGCTGCGCAAACAACCGCGCGAAGCTCTCGAACACAATGGTAGATTCCACCAGAGTTGGTGCATATAGGACGCGTTTGAACCAACGGGGGACTGGCGCAAATATCACAAAGTCGTTTATGAAATCAAATTGACGCAAATAAGAGAATGTGTATAGAATTTCTAATTTCGATGATGTGTGTTGTGTTGGGTGTGGGTTCATAGGAAGGAAAGGAGGGTACCTTTTGAGAGGGGTTAATAGCAAGAAGCATAAGGGTGTTCATAAATAGGGAAAGGGGATTGTGTTAGCTTGCTTCAAGAAAATAGGACCGCGTTGATCGTTGCAAGCTCAAAGCCCGACTTAGCTCAACTGTTATTGACAGCTATAAATATTTGGGTTATTAATCCGCAATCCTGCGTGTCCATTTATTTTCAGATTAGCTCCCTGTCAAAAATATTGCGAAAATGGAAGGCGAAAATATGATATCCCGTTCAAATATTTTGCAATGTTGATGTGCGGATTAAATGATTAACCGGGTTACTTTTTAACAGGCAGCTTAATGCGTTGTTTTCATTCCAGCTTTTCATATACATTCTTGTAATTACGCTGTATACGACCTGCTGAATTAATTAGCATGCATTAAACCACCGGCGTCCCTTCTTTTCCAGTTTGTGAACAGTTGACAACATATCAAAATTGAAAAGGTTTACGATAAACGGATAAAGCATCAGTCGTTTCAGCTTTCGTTTGATCTAAATGGCAACAGAATCGCTTAAGCTTTGTACGACTTGTAAATGGCGAATTTGACCCCTATATCTACGGCATCATCGACAAGTAGGACAAGAAATTTAAAGTCAAGTGAGTATAGAACATCGTTTAAATAGCATTATGGGCTTAACGGGCACCGTTGACAAACTTGCTATACATCTTTCATTATAAATTTGGTGTCCGACATCGGGTAACAATTAACTAGTTACTTGAATGCAACGTTACAATACGTGGTCAAGTTGTAAAGTTCGAAGAATATTTTACCACAAAGTGTAGTACATTTACATGGAATAATTAATGAGCTTGTATACTTAAAAAGGTCGTGTGTTTTAGTCATCAAATAGTTTTAAAAATTATTGACCAATTTAATACATATACCAATGAAACAAGTGCATCAATTGTGGCATGAAATTGTAAAATATATCTCTGGACGTATCGCTTGTTTACATAGCATCTCCTTATTAAAGCACAATAGTGAAAATTCATATCTTTCACTACAAAGTTTGACGTTGACATGACTACGCGTTCGAGCATTGCATCTGTGGCCTTCGGCTTTGAAAGGAAGATCATAAGCATGAAATTATATTTTTACTACTGTTCTCAATTGAACTCCTGTTGATTGCAGAACGGAAGCGACCTTGTATGCAATTGATTCCAGCAGGCAACAGCTTGTTATCGTCTGCGAGATTTTTAATGTACTCGATTCAATCTTTACTCAATGCCGAATTTTATTGTCATTGACAAAAATAATTTTTGAAGGAGCAGATTTGTGCTATTCTAGATTGTGTGTTCTAAAACAGGGCAATGTGTCGGTCAGTCGGTGTTGCAAAGCATGGAAAACTATGCAATTGAAACATTTAAATTCGCTTGTAATTGCACATTAATCTCGGGGTTTCTTACGTTTTCAGTAACGTAGAAAAAGGGGATGATCTGTGTAGATATTTAGCATCATTTTTAGTCTTAAGATCGATAAACTTTCCTATTTATAAAAGCTAAAGTGATTAATAAATGCCTTTGTTTACAATTTCTCTTACCCTCGTTCTAATTCACCACTTGCACCGTGGGCGCCACGTGTACTTGACACGTGATCAAAAATGTAAACAATCGCAAAAGTTCGGACTACGGGTCACGCAAACTCTCACGCGATAGTATAGAAAACATTAGTACATTGCACGCAAATTGGGTTGTTCCGTAGTTTTTTCAAACTTGTGCTGTTTAAATTTTCTATTCTGTTTGATTAAAAAAGATATATATCTATATATATGATGTCGCGCGAAAACATAGATGATAAGTTCAAAGCGATGAGTGTGAAAGAGCTTCAAAAATATTTATCGGATCACGGCGTTACCGTAAGCGGCCATCTAAAACCTACTTTAATCAATATTGCATCTTCTGTCGAAAAAATGGGGTTGCCAGTTGATCCGAATTTTACAAAGGATGACCATAAAGAAAGTCTGGAGCGTCGATTATTTATTCATGATATTCAAATAAACGACCCGTTTACCATGAAAACAGAGAACAACTTCGTCCAGTCACCCCCATTTGGATTGTACGATATATTTAATCATTTAATATATCATTCCACCGTATATGATAAGCAAGGACTTGCTTCATACAAGTCATACGATGATTACAGACTGTTTGTAAACGGTTATGTCCATTCGTTACAAGCAACAACTTTACAAGATTGTGGAGTTCATGTGTACGTTGGTAAAGTGCAGCCAAGCATGAAATCAACAACTGACGACGGCAAAAGGTTTTACGAACTGTGGTTTATTTTAGAAGGTCGTGGACCAAATCGTGGTAGTGTTATAGATGCGTTTTGTACATGTAAAGGAGGCAGGGATGGTGGGTGCAAACATATAGCCGCTGCAATGTATTCGCTCGAGGATTTGTTGAACACCCGTGAGGAGGATAGCGTGACAAGCGGACCTTGTAAATGGACAAGAAAACCTCGCGTGAACACAGAGCCTTGTCCTGTGAAGGAGTTAAATATTACGAAGGATAGGATTGCACCTGCAGTTAAAGCAAAGAAAAGACCATACCAGTGGCTCCAAAATAAAGATTTTGATCCAAGGCAAATTCAGAAACCCGTAGACAACGAGGAAATTGCACGATTTACGTCGAGAATGAAAGAATTGAATCCTGGATCACCCCTCTTCCCACTGCTGAATAAATTATATTTATCAACAGATGAACCTTGCAAACCAACTTCACCTGCTTGTACCAAAGCACCACTGTCTGACCAGCAGAATAAACCATCTTTGGGTATAATGGCACAAAAAATTATCAAGTTACTCCATTTACACAGATCCCTAAGTCCAAATGATCTACTTGCATATTTGAAATTCAGTGATGAGGAAATCAAAAATATAAATGAATCCACTATTGAGCAATGGCAATCTGAGGACTGGTACATTCACAAACAAGGGTTCCTGTCGGCATCTAAATGCAAAAACTATTGCACCAGGCAAAACAGTATTAGAGAAGGAAAGTTTGATGGTTTTTGTAAACTTGCAAAACAGACTGTAAATGTTTCAGCTAGTGTACCAAGGGAAAAAATGCACAAGGACATCAATAATCCTAGGGAATGGGGATTAAACAATGAAGCAAATGCAAGAAATGCATACAAGAATGTACAAAGCCATTTGCATCATAATGTCCAACTTCAACATTGTGGCTTCATGATATCAGCTAAAAAACCTTTCATGGGAGCAAGTCTTGATGACATTAGAAGTTGTGGGTGCATAACTGGTTGCCCCAATGTAGCTGTTGAATATAAGTGTCCATGGTCGCATAAGGATAAAGATCCCAAGGCTGCATTTCTCTCAAAAGAAATTGGAGGTGTTATTGTCAATGGTAAATTATGTTTGCAAACAAGCTGCAAGTATTATTATCAAGTCCAGATGCAGATGTTTGTCAGTGGCTTGTTATTCTGTGATTTTGTTGTGTGGACAACAAAAGGAATTCAATGTGCAACAGTGCCATATGATGCTAAGTTCATGAATGATGTGATTTTGCAATTGGAGGAGTTTTGGATAGGGCAGGTTGCACCTTTTGCTGATTAGAAGTTGAACATTTTACTGGGAAGGTAATTACATATAATTTTGGAACTTATGCTTTAATTATACTTCTTTCCAATAAAGAATATAGTTCTACATAACAAAGTTCTTGTAGAATATTGAAACCTTAATTTTCCATTTCAGATCATCAAAATCTGAAGCGGAGACTGCCAAAGCGTGTGCAGGTTCTTGTGAAGATAAAGGTAACATTTCTCATTTGTGACTAATGATATAAGTTGTATACCTTTATCTTGCTTCTCTTTTTGTTCACACCTTGAAATTTATCAACAATAAATCTATGATTACAGGGCAAGATGGATCCATTTATATAATTGATGATGATTCTGAACCAATTGCAAATTCCTCCATTAAACTTAATGATGTTGAAATCAAAGAGCATGATCTATTTTCATTAACCCCTGGAAGGATGATCAATGATGTTATTGCAACTGCATTGTTAAAGTAGGTATTCCTGCAAGTATATATGTATACTGTGTCATGTACATGCAATAACAATTTATAATTATGCTTGCATATAGTGAACAGTTATGCCATTTTCCTGTAATTGACTGCCTGTTTTATTCCATTTTGTGTGGGGAACAAGACGGTGGCCTAGCTTCTGACAGGTAAGGCAGTAATTAATTAATCTAAAATACAAAATACTGTGCCATTAAAATATTTATTGTATTTATTTATGTATAGGAAAACAAGAATGGTGGCTGCTGAAAAATATTTAACAAAAGATCATCTGGAAAAGGATTATGTTGTGATTCCTGTTGTGCGAAGGTATACATTTAATGAGCATGCAAAATGTACACACTTCTCTTTTACAGAAATATAATTCACCATTTTACACTTTTTTCATTGCAGCCTTCATTGGTTACTCATAGTATTGACACCATGGTATGACATTGTATTTATGCTTACAATAAATGTTATGAATATAGCATATAATTGTAAGTATTGCAAAATTCTTAGGCACATTATTATCATGGATTCACTCACATGGGACAAGTCTATTAGGCAAACCGAATTTCAGTATGTAGTCAGGTAAATGCTTTTTTTATTAACAATTTGGTAAAGAATTTATATGAATTATTAGTTGTCCTCATTGAATAGTATTTTAATTAGGTACCTGGATCACCTCTGCACTGTCAAAAATATTCCAAAAAAACACATGCAACTATCACATCATGTACTGAAGGTAAAATTATGTATGCATTCTGATATTTATGTTATTCCACACATCTCACTTCCAGCTTAATTTTTTATATAATAGGTTCCAAGGCAACAGATTGACAGTAACAGTTGTGGGATATATAATGCATTGTTCCTAAAGCATTTTTTAATGGTGAGCAAACATTTGAGTATAAAAATGAATTATATATATATATATATATATATAATACATAATTATTCTTTTTCACTAGGATTTAGACATATATGAAAGTAACCCAAATCATTATGTCAATCAAAATCATCAATGGTTTACTTGTGAATACGCTGAAGAATACAGGAGACAAATTAAAAGGCAATGGGATATGCAGTTTTTACTCCACACTAAATTTGGAAAATCATAATTTTTGAGATCCAAAATGTAAATACAAAATATAACTGATTTCTATGTACATATAAAACAAAAAGATTCCTCATTTCTTCAATCTGTGTCTTTGATAATTGACGGTTGAAGATTGACCAGATAGGCACACACCTTAGCAATAGAATTTATGTAAGGCTTTATAGTAAGTGGAATTGGGCTTCTTAAAATTCTAAAAAGTTTTAGCTTTCTTATCATCCTCTCCACATGAACCCTCGCTCGAGCAATTCGACGGGTTAAAGTCACTGCTTGTTCAGATATTTTGTTCTTTGCCATGATTGGAGGAGCCAACAAGTATACATGGTGAAGGGCGAGGATGTCCTGAATGTTAAAACCTTTGTCTGCCATGACAACGTCATTAGCTTCCAAAGCATTAAGAAAACCACTTCTTTGCACTATAGATTTGTCACTGATTGACCCACTATATAATTCTGAAACAAAATTAAAATGACAGATCGGAGAGAGGGAAACCAACAGCTTGAAAGTATTTGCTGACTTGTATCCACTATATGTTCTACGTTGGCTTGATGGATTGGAAGGTTTTTCAATGTAGAATTCAGTACAATCAATTACAGCTCGAAGATTTGGATAAGGTCTGAAAACCTTTGGTCTTTGTAAACCTTCCATTTCAGTTAGGGTAGAAAAAGGTAACAGGAACTGTAACTCCTTCTCCAAAAACAGCACCCAGGTAGTGACTATTCTGCTACAGGTTGACTCAGATATTCCGAAATTGTTGGCCAGCATAAGTAATGTTGGACTTCGCTTTAACCTCACCAAAGTCATCACAAACTGTTCTTTAATACTCAGGGTTGTTTGTATAACTTTTTGCTATAGATAAATAAAATGGTCAAATATTAACAAGAAGACCAAGCAAAACATACCAAACTGGTATTTACTGACCTTCACATGCTTTTTATCCATCTTAGATTTTTTCAGTTTAACACTCTTTCGCCCTTTCCACAACCTTAACTTCTTTGCCTTTGACTTCAAGTGACCGAGAAGCAATTGTATTGACTTATTTGTTAAACCTTGAATATAAATAAAATAATGAAGTATAATGTAATGCAATATATATAATTATTTATTCAAAGGATTATATATACAAACATACCTGTGTAGTGGAAAGTATTTTTTGGATCATCTACCAACGCCATAAACAACTGCCTTCGTAACCGCTTAATATTTTTCAGTTCAGAGTCTTTGTACAGCGAAATGTCGGTCAAATCAATATCAGTCTACATAACAAAAATATGTGCGAGTATTGAGTCACTTTGACATAAATTGTAATCCATGTAAAATAAAATCCATCTGAGTGCTGAGAAATTAATACGTGTATTTAAATTGCATGTACGCAGTGTACAACAAACCTGTGTACATGTACTGTTATGTTTCACTGTACTTTTCGGCGGAGAACAACCCGAGTTAAATGCATTAAGTTCTTTGTTATTTGTTCTTTGTTTGTCATTAAGTTCATTAAGTTCACTATTAATAGTGTCTTCATTTGCATCAATCGCGTCGACTTTTTCCACGCTCAAATTTAATAAACTTTCGGCAAGAGATAATTCTTCCGAAGATCTCGCTGTGCTCGACGACAAATTCAAAAGTGCCTCAGCAACCTCCTTCTCAAAAGCGCGTTGTTTTCTCTTGGTAGGGCTACGTCGTTTCCTTTCAAATCGTTTAGCCTTAACAAAAACACGATTTTTAGTTGGGATGCGTTCATTAATGCATGTCGAAAATCATTACTTAATAATTTTATTTAATGCATATTATTACCTTTTCATTGCTCGAGACGGCGGACACAGGATCTGGGTTTTCCTTCGTTGGTCCATTGGTACCGATAAAATGTAAACTACAAATGTAGCTGTCTTTCGTGCAAACGAAATTATCACCTCGGTGACACGCGATTATCCATTTTCTTCTCCTCTCTGCCGATCGTACAATACCAGGAAAATGATAAAATTTAATTGGGTCATTGTTTTTATTTCTCTTATGCAGGTGCGGGTATCTTGAATCATTTTTACATGTTCCCCAAGCGCATCTTTTAGTTGCGACCATAGTCCGAACTTTTGCGTGCAATGTACTAATGTTTTCTATACTATCGCGTGAGAGTTTGCGTGACCCGTAGTCCGAACTTTTGCGATTGTTTACATTTTTGATCACGTGTCAAGTACACGTGGCGCCCACGGTGCAAGTGGTGAATTAATCATGTGTAATATATATTCGTGGGCCCCACGAATGGTACGGGGCTACAACGCGTGGCCTCGCGCGGTGCTTCGAAGCGCCAAATTCGTATTTTCGTACAAGAAGGCGTTTGTTTACTAATTATTTGTTTGATTTTTTTGCGTGTACCAAGGCACTTTTGTGGCAAAATCTATATTTTACGTCTGCTTAGTTTAATATGGTAGTTGAAAAGTGTAATACAAGCAGGAAAGGTAGTTACAAGTGCGAAAATTTTTGCCTTTTAATGCGTGTTGTATAGTATTCTTACTAGTTGCTATTTTGTACAACTCATAATAATGCTTTTTCCTCTTTATTTAGAGAGCGCAAATGGTGGTGGCATCAGGTAATATCAATTATTCCATTCCATATCATAATGTTATACATCTTAGAGCATATATTCATTGAACTACATAGTACATAACAAAAATGTTGTCACTAAATCTAACATTTCATAACAGTCTACAAAATTGCGTATAGAATGGCATGTCCTCTATTCTAATGTACATGATTTCGTGTTTAGTGATGATAACATCAAGGTGTATGTGCGTGTGCGACCACCTGACAGCTATGCCAATGAGATTGATCATAAACCATGCTTGGAGGTCACATCTCGAACCTCATTGACATTATTTTCCAAACCTGATCCAAAGGTCTTTACATATGATCAAGTCGCTGATCCTAATACAACACAGGTACAATTATTACTATTGCCATTCCAAATTGTTCTCACAATTGGCGCAATTTGGCAAGCAAAACTCTGAGTTCTGCATTGCTTCAGCTGATCATTTTTTAACTTATCAGGAGGAAGTGTTTACATATGTTGCCAAAAAAATCATTGATGGGTGTCTTGAGGGATATAATGGAACAATATTTGCTTAGTGAGTCACACTCTTTGCTCAAAGTTGATTTAAACCAGGTCAAGCAATTTTGTTATCAATTTTTTCTTGCTTAGTGGGCAAACTGGATCTGGAAAGACATTCACTATGCTTGGTTAGTGACAATTACCTTGCTCATTATACTATAGTTATAGTAACAGCCTCAGCATTTGTGTGGTGAACAAACTTTATAGCTAAAAATTGAGGAGGTCAAACCTTTTATTGGCAAACCATGAATTCAATGACTTATCTTGTGTGTTTTAGGTCCAGTGGAACAAGACAGTTTCAATCATGAGCTACGAGGTGTCATTCCACGAGGATTTGAATACTTGTTCAATCTTATTAACAGGGAAAAAGAGAAGGTAGGACTAATTGCAGTCATAAAATGAGCCATTACCTTTAGGAAAATATTTGTGTTCTTCTTGACAAATCAGTGTGTGAAGTTCGTGCAATCGAGCTCAATGTTTCAACCCAAATTTTGTGCTGAAGTCAGCACCTCCAAGTTAATTAGGTTTACTTTAATGTCTGTTCTGAGGTTTGATTTATTAGCAAACTAATATATATATTAGGTAATGATCATGACTGTTTCTTCCAGCTTGGTGATAAGGTAGAATTCTTATGTCAATGCAGTTTCCTTGAGATTTACAATGAGCAGATATTTGATCTTCTTGATCCAACCTCAACTGGACTACAACTTCGTGAGGATATCAAGAGAGGAGTTTTTGTTGATGGGATGTTAGAGAAACCTGTTTCTAGTGCAAGAGATGTCTATGATGTAAGCATGCAAAAATGAAATATTTTGAATTATATTTTCCAATTATATAATATGCTGATCAATTCATTTAAGGTGCTAAACTCTGGCTGGTTGAACAGACGGGTTGCATCGACTTCAATGAACAGAGAGAGCAGCAGAAGTCATGCTGTGTTCACCATTACTATAGAATCCAAGGTGATTTGGCCCCAGATGTAATTTACCATTGTAGTTTAATTTTGGTCTGGCTGGCTACTTTTCAAACTTTTTCAAACTTTTAAAACTTTCAAACTTTTTCACTATCTTGTCTTTCATAATTTTAACTTTAATTAAAACTATAAACTTAGCTGACTGACTTAGTGTGATTAGGAGTTCATAAGTGTCCAAGTTCCTTACTTGTTGGAATGGCATTTAGGAGGTGAAAGGAACCATAAACAACATCAAAGTTTCTCGACTTCATCTTGTGGATTTGGCCGGATCTGAGAGACAAAAGGACACACAGACTGAAGGACTGAGACTAAAGGTTTGCACAGTTAGAGTCCTCTTCACTGCACCTATCATCAAGACTGCTTGAAAACAAAAGAGTGTCATCAGTTTTCATGTTCTACAAACTGATCAAGAGTTCACTCTTATATTCAGGTAGTTCGACCGGGTATAGTTAAAGTGGTTTATTCCTTTTCACTTGTAGGAAGCTGGTAGTATTAACAAGTCTTTGTCAGCATTGGGAAACGTTATTATGGCGCTTGTTGATATCACCCATGGCAAACAAAGACATGTTCCTTACAGGGACTCGAAGCTTACATTTTTATTGAGGGTAAATGGAATTAATGTTTATCGATCATGAAGGCTGCATGCGATCACAGCCACATATCTTTTGATAAAATAGTGGCTTAGTCAGGGTTTAATATCATAACAATTTTGTTAAACCTGCAGGATTCGTTGGGAGGAAATGCTCGTACTCACATCATAGCCAATGTTCACCCATCCGCAAGGTACGTGCGTGCATAATAATGAAATTATAATGAATATATAGGAAATATATACAGCCAGGCCTGTAACCTTTGCCAATTCCGCTTTTTCGATGGAGTACTGGAGGAGATGAGAGAGGATTGAACCTAAATAACAACAACGCAAATTTTCAGACTGAGCTTGAATTGGAAGAAATATCTAACATGATTTGACTGTTTTTCCTGGCATTCTTAATAGATGTTTTGGGGAAACGTTGTCAACGTTGAATTTCGCCAGGAGAGCAAAACAGATTAAGAACAAGGTTTGTGCAAATTAAGTAACGCCACAGTACACTATGCCCATACCATGGCTGTTATTATTGTAGTCTTTTCCTGGTGAAGTTTTGTTATATGGAATGTGTGAAAATTGCAGGCAATCGTGAACGAAGATACTTCAGGAAACGTGGCCAGCCTACAGGAGGAGATACGAAAGTTAAAACTGCTGCTTAGCGAGGCCAGAGGTATCGTAGGCATCGTGCTTCAGATCTTCAGATACGCTTGTTTCAGTTCTAACAACGGTCGTAAATCAACCTGCACAGCAATAAAACTTAGTCAAAAACGAAATGGTTTTAAATTTTTTGGGCCTCTTTCATCCCTGTTGATTAAGGCTGACGGTGGTGAGCTCCCCCTCTCCCCACGATTTAACTGCTGCACCCCCCCCCTCTCCCCACGATTTAACTTCTGCACCCCCCCCCCTCTCCCCCCGATTTAACTTCTGCACCCCCCTCTCCCCACGATTTAACTTCTGCACCCCCCTCTCCCCACGATTTAACTTCTGCACCCCCTCTCCCCACGATTTAACTTCTGCACCCCCCTCTCCCCACGATTTAACTTCTGCACCCCCTCTCCCCACGATTTAACTTCTGCACCCCCCTCTCCCCACGATTTAACTTCTGCACATCACATTGTGTCTCAGCACAAAACTAAAGTGTGGATGTCGCTCTTTTATTACAGCTGGTATCAACACGATGTCTCCATCGAATAAAGGTGAGTATGTATCATTTTAAAATACTAATGCTTTCAGTCGTTGGTGAAGATTCTCGGATATAGCGAGATATCCTCCGGTACCACCCGCGCACACTTGCAGCTTTTGTTGAAAAACAGGGAAACTGATTGGAAGTGCTTTGTGTAGAATTGTCCAATGCGGGTGATTCACCGAGCCTGCAGTCGGCACCAGGTCACCCGGGCGAGGCCGCGTCCCAAGATGGTCCAGATGAGTGGAAGAAAATGATGCTCACGGCGATCAATCTGAAAGAGAAATCCGAACAGGAAAAACAGGTTTGTACGGCATTTGAGTGGCTTCAGCTGATTAATCAATGCTACAAACATGGAAAATGATAATGTATGTATTGTTTTGTATACCAACATGTGCAGTTTAGAACATGTGCCTGTTGAGAACATCAATGTCACAACTACCTACCTCCTGCGTCAGCGGTGTCATTCAATGTTTTTAGGCTTTGGAAGAGAAAGTGAAAAAACTTGAAGAGTTGTGTAAGAAAAAGGAAAAATTTTTACAGGCAAGTTTTTTTACTAACTCACGTTAGTTTCTTTTGCGCGTTCACACAGAATTTTTGAGTGAAGTTGTCACTGAACTCTTTTTCGTATTAAATATTTGCGCCCTCCTGTTTTCAGTCCACCAAGATGATCCTGAAATTCCGCGACGCCCATATCGCTAAACTGGAGAAATCACTGAAGAAAAATGGAAATGCGTTCACAGCCGACGAGAGAGACAAAGAGCTTGTATGTTCTTAAAACTTTCTCCCAAGATTTCCTTGTACAAATTTCTTATATTTTCGTATTCGCGCCAAACTTAATGCACTTTTTCTCCCGTTTTCTCGACAGGAAATTTTAAGGGAAGAAATAAAAATCTTGCAAGAAAAAGTCGAACACCATCCAGACGTGACCAGATTTGCAATGGAAAATCTCGAGCTCAGAGGTCTCACATTGAAATATGATTCAGACTCCATTATATACGATTAAACCTATTTCAACAACCTTTCATAACGTGTGTTTGATCCTTTTTCTAGCCGAATTAAGAGCCCAGCGTTCAAATACCGAGGCGCACTATGATTTGTCCTACGACCTGAGCAAGACGAGATTTTATGCCATGCAGTTGGAGAGAAAGTTGCGAGATTCTTTAAACACTCCTGGAAGCGGCGATCTGGAGAAGAGTCTTTCAAGTTCATTGCAGAGTCTCGAGGCTTCCAATGCTGAACTCGAACGGTATGAGTCTGGGCGCTTTCCTTTATACGGTAAAAACGGCCAGACCGCGGTCCTGTTGAATTTCAGTACCGACAGATTACTGGTGTTTTAGAGTCTTTCAAGAACCCTGCATTCCAGTGTATCGTTATTTACTTCTGCCCAGCATTTCAATGCAAAATATGACCGGTTTGACCATTTTTGCCGCTTAATGACCATTTTAGTGTCCGATTCGAACATCGAATATCTGTTATTTATTCTTCGGATGAATATCTTTTTGCTAACATCTTAGAATTTTGCGCCTGAATAGCAATTTTGAACAGCCTCATTTTTCAGTGTACAGTCCTGAACTTGTAAATTATGTTTTTAGGTATAAAAGTGAGTTGACTCAGGTTCAAGGCCATCTTGAGGCTGTGAAAGAAGAACTGCATCAAACCCGAGAAGATTTGCAGCAGTCCAAAGAAACGTTGGTCGAGAAAGAAGATAGTTTTAGAAAGAAATTTCTCGAGTCAAACGCCGAGATCGAGTCCTCTAAGAAAACAATAACAGAACTCCAGGTGAGGACATGCCTAGAGACCACAGGGGATGATGTGGGATGTTCGGTTCCTTGGGGGATTGGAAGTCGAGGTTCAGCTGGGTTTTGAAGCATGTTTCAAGCGCAGTCTGACACAGGGAGGGGGTCCTGAAGTAGATGGAGATGAAACTTAATATATTTTGTGATGTTTTCCTTTAGAGAACTTTGGAAACTCTCCAGCTGAAGACAGCTATCGAGCGTACCACATTGAATGATGTTCACATGCAAGCTATACGGGTATCTACACAACCTTCCTTTTAAAACATTTTATGTGGTCTCTCCTCTGATCCCTACCGCCATCACTTTACGCTTGTCAATTCGCAAAATTGGTTTATTAATCTTTTCTCACCTCTTTGACACACATCTCTTGACCCCACCCCTCTTTATACACACTTCCCTAACACATCATCTTCCCCAGCACACACTTAACAGACACAGCAATACTCACTGTAACCCTTAAAACCACACTTACTCCGGGTACACCCTTTTATTTAGACATTATCCTCTCCCCGATCGTTCACCAGCACGCCGAGCAGAAAGCGTCCACCCCATCCCCATCAAACCCCTGGTTCACCCCACCGCCACAGCACGTCGGGCATTCTGGACGAGCAGGCACCTAATGGCCTTCCCCTCACACGACGCGACAGCTACCACGATGTGAACGAACCTGACCTCGAAGAATCTTTCTTGAAATACGAACCAGGCACTCCCGATGACGAGGAAATTTATCAGGAGACTTTGCTGGAAGAACTAAGGCAATTACAGGACATGTATAATGTCGTTCTGCAGGAGAAACAGAGCGAGGAGGCGCAGAGGATCAAGTTAAATCAAATGAAAAATAAACTGGAACTCCAAGTGGAGCAACTGAACGAGGTATGTGTCATCCAGGATTATTCTCTTGTAATAAGAGCCCATGTGACCTGTACACGTCTGATCTATACATATTAACTGTATTGTTTTAGTTTCTTTCGAGTGAACGAACGAGATTTGGAAGTGTTGAAACTGATCTAAATAAGAAGGTTATCGCACTGAACGATCAGCTCAAGGAGGGAATGTCGGAAATCACAAGTGAGTTTGGAGATTTTCGTCTTTTGAAGCATGTGAATTTATAGTTATTGTTGTTCACCCAAAAGCATTCATAACTCTTCTCCGGTGCCTTATAAGATGAAGTACACGCGTAGATTTCTAGACTCTAGTTTACACGTTTATTTGTAGTTCTCAAAAGCGAAAACGAGGATCTGAAGATATGTTTACAACAAGCTGATCGACAAATTGACTCCCTGAAGAAAGACCGCGATGTGGATAAAATAAACACGGGGCGTAAGGCAGCTTCTTTGGAGAGCAAGGTATGTTGCCAAATCGGACTTTTATACATCCAGGCGCATCGAGATCAGTGTATGCCTGAATGAACTGACCTTATAATAAAAACGGAGTGCGCCACTATTGACCATCTTATTTGTATGAACTGATCTCATAATACAAAACTGGATGGACTTCGGACGGACAAAATCCAATTTGATCGACACTTGAAGAAAGTATATAGTCGCCGGGTCCTGCTGAAAATCTTCACTGATGAATCTCATTCTCTTGAATTTCAGATATGCACGCTTGAGATTGAATTGTCGAATACGAAGGGCGAGATGGAAGAAATTCTGGAAATCAATCAAAACTTTCAGGTAACAAGGTTTTCCCGAGATATTGTTAACTATTATATTCTATCGTTTCGTGACGTTCGCTTGTTTTCTTGCTTAGACCGACGTTGAAAACATGCGCGAGGAACTTCAGTTCAAAGATCACAAATTATCAGAATGGGAGAACTTGGTGATTGTTGAACGAGGAAAGCTCAAGTCGCTGAAAAATGAGTTGGAGGTAAATAATAACGCTTTGCAACGGCACTGATCTCTCTCTGAAAACTGGATCACGCATCTTCTATAAATAGTTGGCCAATGGTGGTCATGCTAAATGGCCCCAGTTGATTTTCTAATTTCTGTTGTGGAGATGTCTTATGAGGTTCTATACGATTCTGGTTGTTGGTAGAAAAAGAAAATATCGCCTTTGACAACAGTTGATGATTACCTCTTATTCTTCCTACTGTATAGAGTTGCCTTGAAAAACTGCACATGGTTACTGAAGCAAATGAGAAGTTGAATACGCAGGCTGATAAACAACAGCAGTTGATCGCTGCTTTGGAACAGTGCGTTGACCTCAAAGATGAACTGCAACAAAGTAATGCTCTTTGCGAAGAACAGGTATGTTGTGGATGTGTCTGAGGGCGGAGGGGTCAGGGAACCAGACTGGGTAAGGGTTGGACCTTTGGGGCAAGGGTCTCTTGATGAAAACCTTGAAAATATTATGAACGCGTAAACAGACATATTGATATTAACAACAAACTACAATGTAAACATCAAGTTTGTACTTTATGTGCTTTCACTTATGTCATTGTTACTCTACTGTAGACAGGTGCTTGTTACTATTATGGTACTCGGCCATACTTCACAAGAGGAATATTTGGTAACTTCTCTTTATATATATTTCCTAAGGGCGAAAAAATAATTGCATTGAATAAAAAAGTAGCCGAACGTGGCGAGTTGGTGTCTGAATTGAAACGACAAGTCCAAGAAGAGAAGGTAAGAACTCGAATTTCTAATTGTCTTTTTCAAAGAATTCTTCCCCAGCTGTCGGTCAGTAGTCATATGTAGAAGCAAATTATATTGTCCCTCGCGGATGATTATCTAAACTCTTCTTTGGAAGATTGTCTTTTTGATCTGGTGATCAATCTTTTCTTTAGGACTATCGTCTGAAGCTTTTAGACTCAGTCAAAGAGCTGAAGTCAACTCTATGTGAGAAAGAGGTTGGAAAAACATTGTTTGTGTTTGTGTTTTCACCTTATTGCATACGAGAGAGTGATTCATCATTGCACTTTATCTTTTCTTCCAACCAAATAGTCTAAGATAACTTCACTGGAAAGTGTCATCGCAGAAAAGAAAGATAAAATTGAAGAACTGACGAGTGACATTGAGAAGAGGGTGAGCCAACGCTTGTTTTTTAATACGAATAAAAAGGTTTTTGATTATTGTTTCTGTGTAAAATACTGCATGCCTTATTATTCATGTCTCTGTCTTTAGCAACAAGTTATTTCAAAGTTGAAAGAAAGACTTCACAACGAAAATGAGAAGCATGAACAGGAACGAGAGACACTTCAAAGCGAGGTTTGTGATTACTTCAAAATGTGAGATATGAATAGTTATGTGAGATATGAATCTGCCTATTAAGAACAAGGTGAAATATATTTCCATTATTAGAAAATAGAGATCTAAAGTGGTTGTATTTTTGCTCTCAGATTTTAGCTCTTAAAGAAGAGGTCACGACGACATCGGAGCATTGCCGGGAGCTTGTGCGTACGTTGGAAGAACAGCAGCAACAATTTGGCACATTACAGGTATACAATAACATCTTATAGCTTTCGAAACAGTGGTGGATATATTTTTTTTGGGGGGGGGTACAAAAATAACAATTTTATGCTGGTGGTTACAGCTGCTATCTTGAATGAACTTTTGAAGTGACTAAAATCAAGACACAGTACTTCTATAAGTACTTCTGAGTAGGGTCAATTTTCACGAGTTATAAATATCTTAAGCTGAAGCATGCGTATGGATTGGTTGCTTTACAATGTTTGAATGAACTTGAATTCGGTTAGATTAAAGACACGGTACTTCTAAGTACCTCTGAGTAGTGTCATTTTGTCAGTAGAGTTATCCTAAGCTGAAGCATGGCTATGGTCGCCCTACAATGTTTGAACGAACTTGAATTCAGTTAAATTCAAGACACAGTACTTTTAAGTACTAGTTCCAGTAGCGTCGAAATTACCCCGAAGAAGAGTTTGTTTTCAGAACTGTCATTCGATGGATCTTTACCAAACAATACAGAAAAAGACACAGTACTTTTAAGTACTTTGAAGACGTGTCTTAAACGTTTTCTCTGACTGTGTATGATGAACTCATAATATACCTTAGTAACGTTTTTTGTTGGAACAAGTGAATATTTTTTTGTTTAAAAAGACACAGTACTTTTCAGTACTTCAAGTAGTGTCAATGAATATCACTACAGCTTTCACTGAGAAGTCAAGAGATTCAAACAGAATAATCTTTAAAACAAGTTTTTGTGTCAATGCTTCCACGGCAGTTTCCAATGTCCTGCTTTCTCAATTTTTTCCCGCTCTCGTTCTTTTAAGGGTATCACGTGATCGCACTACTTATGCACATGACATTAAAAAGCTACGGTGGTCATTCTTGAGTCACGTGTCGGACTTCGATCAACGGGGCCGCTGGGAAAACTGTGAATTTGTGGTGAAGCCTCGTCAGCCGTCCTGGTTCATCAAACCACCCCACCGGAATGAAATTATGGAGAATAAAGGCTCCCCCCCCCTGAGCACTATATACAATATTCTGAAATTCTAAACGATCCCATACACCAGCCGTTCATTTTAGTTCTGTGAATTTTTAGGCATCTCTGTTGTTAAACCGTAGATAGGATTGTAAAATTATTTAATATGTACAGCTGTTGTTTAGCATAGCATAGCTAAACATTTCTTTGACACGATCTAATTTTGTCTCATTCAATTCACTTCTGATGGATGTTTTATAGTCTGTTGACTTTCAATGTATATGGGCAGCAAATCAACTCAAGCCAATCCAGTACTGCTTTATCATTAACAGACTATATTCCATACGTCAGAAGTGAATCGGCTCCAACAAAATTATGTGCATTAACAGACCTAACACATTCGCCTTTTGTATCTAACATTCGTTGACAATAATTTATTAAAACACTCATCCATCACATCGCCTTTACCTTTACCTCCTTTATTTTAGTTCATTTTTTTACAAACTAAAGACTCTAAGCAAAATGTATTTTAAACCAGTTTTTAAAAGATATGTTCCATACTTTATAAATGTAAAAATGTAAAATTAATATAATCTTCTTATCCAGAGAAATGTGTTGTTAGCAATATTCAATATATCGTAGTATGGAAGTGATTAAATTTATTTAAGTATTTTTGAGCGTTTAGTCGCATTTATAAATAAATAGTGGGGAAAGTAGGATGACAGGTTTGAACTTTTTTCTTTGTAAAAAGCGCCTTTTATTGAAATTTTCATGACGTGTATTTATTTGTATTGTCTTTATTTTTAGAGCGAACTCAAGGAAAAAAATGATGAACTATTTAATCTGAATAACAGGGTTAGTCCATGCACTCGAAATATGACAATATCAATGTCTCTTCTCAAATCTACTAAAGTGTAAAATACGTTATAAAGCCTGAGGCATATCATAGGGTTCAAGGTATATCAGTTTGAAAGGGACAACCTTTCAAATTGTAAGTTATATATGAAAAGTGCATTTATTGATTGATTGCATTCCCTCCTTTCTAGTCCTTGAAAGAATGTCTTATTTAACACCCCGGTCCCCCCCCCTTTATACATTTTTAAATATTTTTTGATGAGGAGCTTCCTCTGAAAAAAAAACATTGACACAGAATCCGGTCGATTTTTCTTTCAGATTGCTGAGATCGCTGCCTTGGAACCGGACGTCGCGCAGAGACCCTCGGATCCTTTTGGCCTGGAGACGAGCATGGTTAGCTGCTCGCTATTGGATCAATCACAACTGCAGGAGATGAAGAAACGCGAGGTAAAGGTGCAGAAGGTTTTGGAAAGCTACGAAACCACGTTTCGTGAACAAGCACAAGATATTGAAAATTTCAAAACGAAAATGAAATTGTTGGAGGAGAAGTCGTGCTTCGAGGAAAAAGCAAAAGACTTGGAAATTGAACTGGAAAATTTCCGGACAGAGATGAAGGAAAAGTAAGTGAAGTGTGTATGATTTATAGTGGAAGATACAGAAGATGGTTACCTGAATTGAGGAGCTATTTAAGTGTTGTTAATTTTCTTTCTATCGACAGGGAGGTTGTAAATGAATTTGAAATGAAGCAATTGAAAAACCGCGTTTCTGTTTCCATGTCTGCCTGTGATAGCGCTAATAAGTTGAAGGTAGGCATCTAGCTTGACCTGTGAGATCTCACAAGACTCGAGGATCATTTGAATACCCGAGGATCGTTCGAGACTCGTGGAGTTTTTCATTCTCGAGGATCGAGAGGAGTTTGATTGAATGATCGTAGTATGGCACTTGTGACCTAATCTTCATGACTGTCGTTTCAGGATGAAGCCGTTCAAATGAAGCTAGAGACTGAGAAAAAGTAGGTGACCACGTTTATCAATCACTACTGTATTGTAAATGCTGGCCTCTAACTATTCCCGTAGTCGCTTCTTCGTAAAAACAGACCCAAATCCAGAGTGCATTGAATTTATTGGTGTAATAGATTGATTTATTTATTTGACTAGGTTAGCAGAAATGACAGGTCGAGTTCTGATGGCGGAAGAAGATTGTGCAGCAAATTATGAGTCCGTCGTGCGGTAAGTTTAGATCACAAGTTGGGAGATGTTTGGTCGTAGCGCATTCACTAGTATCTACTGTAATCATACATTGTTGAGACTAAGCCAAGGGGGGGGGGAGAATTTTGTCTTCTGGCCAGGAATCTGTATTAACACCATCGTTGATCAAATTTCTAACCAGGCTGACAGACACACTGAAGGAATATCACCAGAAAGAAGATCAATGGAACGAACGCTTTGGACGTGAAATGGAGGCAAAGTCGAAATTACAAAAGGTACTTTTACCTGGAATATCCCATATATAAACTAGTGCCTATTAATCTATTGTTTCTGTTGTCCACCAGACACAGTTTTATAACCAGCAGTTAGGGCATTCACGATGTAACTGTTCTAGTATTTGTAAAATGATAGTTTTCCATGACACTTCGCATCATTCTATTCTAGGCCTGTAAAGAGCTAGAACAAAGGTTAGAAAAAGCCAACGAAGACAACGTAAGATTAGCTGGCCATCAAAATTCGAGACAAAAAATTCAGTACATAAGCGACATGAAAAAAGACTACCAAGCCCTGAAAGAGGTAGGAACAACAAATACTATAATTCCATTTACATTTACATGCACCACTTGAAAACAATTCTTGTGTGTTTGGCGCTAATGAATCAATATTATATTGTCATAATCTTTCGTGTTTAAAAATGCTCTATCTCATGCATCACGTTAATGATGGCGATGCGTGCTTTATCGTGTTTAGGAGAATCAGAAATTGACCGCCAAATACCAGAAGCTTCTGTATGAGAAGACCGAGGATAATCGAAAACCCTTGACGATTAAGAACGAAAACGTTTGACAACTTATTTGATAATCTTTTAGTTCACACAATAACATATAGGAAACGCAAGGTAAGTCTCGCTCCTTGTAAAATGCACTAGTTTTAACATCTGAAATGTGATTATTGTTTATACGTAAAATAAATGCATGAAATATGGCAATGTAGTTACATGAAGTAATGAGTCTTGGCTGTTGTTTATCTGTCACATACATTACTTGCACTTATTCGTAAAAAAACGAGAAGCTTCGTTTTTTAAAATGGGCTGAACTTGATTCGGTCGTGAAAGCATCTCAGCAATGCGCGCGGCAAAAGTGATCTGGGCATGAGTTTGAAAATGCAAAACTCATGTAAGCAGCGTTATATTGGCTCGTAGAAATATCAATATGGCGGTCACACACGACGATTGATTTTTTTAATGTCTTGCCGGTTTTTTATTGCTAAAACGATTCTTTTGCTCTCGTCTTTAGGACGATTTCATTTTAATTAAAGAATCACCTGCAAAATTATTGTTTTTAATGACTGCATAAAATATAATTGCTCAGGAGACCATAATTTGCTGCTTGCTCGCCGACAAATCAGCATCCATGTATCTTTTGATACGGGCCAATCAAAACCCTTGTACTATGACATATCCAATCACTTGCAGACCAATCATAATTCAAGGTTGTATTTTACCGCACCATTACTGTTCACAAGTTCATAATGTTCAAATCATATATATATTATAGATTTGGTTTTGAAACTCCTCGTATAAAATCACTATTTTTTCGCCTTTTCTGTAATATAAATTGATGAATTATTAATAAAAGTAACTTGGTTAATATATTTCAGTTGTGTACTCGAACAACTGAAGATTATCGAAACTGCAAATTAAATTTCAGTTTAATATAAAACCGCACATTGCATTTTATAGAGTAGTATATACACCAATACTAAATTAATTGAAAATTATAGTAAGATTTAAGGTGAATTCTAATAATTTCGCGCTGTTCTATATCCCTAGATGTTGTTATATATCACATGGGGTACACGATGATCACAATCTACTCCTTCTTGTTAGATCATATAGTATATAATTCACAAGTATTGTAAATCACTCAAAGAAATATTTTTACTATCGCGTTTTCTTGCAACAGTACAGCAAATAAAATGTTTTTCTATAGTTTGGCAAGCGCAGAACGTAAACCAGAGGATTAATAGCATAATTCAGGTAAAATATTCCAAAAAATACTCCTCTCAAAACACGATCACCCTGGTTGTCGTTTGACTCTGTTTCAAACAAACGGTAAATAAAATTTGTCGCTGAAGGCACGACGCAAGCTAAAGCTATACACGCTACGAGAATAATCGTCTTCAAAAATCGCTTCTCTTTCAAAATTCGCGCCTGTTGCTGTCGATCACACATGTTATCCCGAGCCAAATTCCTCGATTGCTTCTTCAACTTGCTGTAAGTCAACGCGTACATCACGCTTGATAATGAAATCGGCACAACTTGGATGCAATAACTTGCAAAGACAAGGGCAGGATTGCTTCTCATCGAAGGACCATAAATCATTAGAGGAAGTGCGCTACAAAAAATCCAAATGCAAACCAACCATGCGACTACAACTCTCCTCGTCATGAAAACGCGATACTTCATGGGAAACCCAACGATCAGAAAGCGATCGAGCGAAATTGACACTATCGTATAAATTGATACACCAACGGTCGCGTGCGTGATGCATTGTATGTAGATCCAGAACTCTTGGTTAGTAAAATAAAGCAAAAACGGCGACAGACAACAGGTTAAGAAGTCCGAAACAGCCAAATTTTCGACAAGGTATGTCCCCGAGTTCTTGAAGCATTTCAGAGGGTCTTTGATGAAAGCAATGAGAAGGAAAACGTGTGAAATTACACCGAAAATACAAATTGTTGTCGGCAATATGATCATTTTACCCAACTGCATGAAGGCTTGGAGTATGTTATCTGCCATATTTTCATTGTCCACCTAAGTTGCGACCGTTTGGCGATCGTATACAGACACTCGCAAAACTTCTTAATTAATTTTACAAAACGTATAATAGCACAGTTGATTGTGTAGCCTGCGCCACGACCAATCAAAATCCACGTACCTCGTGTTGCATTTTCGGCATGATAGTGCCCACCAATCACAAACGACGTTGTATAGAACGATGTATACATGCATATGACATTTATAACATTTCACCAAAGATCGTTTATATAATTCTATATATTTATAATAATGCGTCGTTTTCGTAAGAATGTGTGTCATATAGAATTGCCAGGTCAGTACAAAGAGAAATGATAAGGTCTAAAATAAACAAGCTGAATTATTTACACTGAATTTAATATAAATGTCGCTCAAAGGACCTAAGTTGACGCATTTGCTTAGAATCTTCACCCTTTAATTTAATTAATATCAATACAATTTTATTTCACAAGTCATCTCAAAGTTGATGAAAGTCTCACTATTAAGACATTCAGTCTCTCTCTAAATTGGAATCGAAAAATATGACAAAAAGAACATATAACTTCGCCGCAATGCAATCCCTAAATAACATCACCGTATAGTCCTGGGGTCGTTTGTTCGAAAGGCGTTTAGCTTAAATGGTGGTGGATAAGTTCAAAATGGAAAACAAAATTATCTCTTTTTTGAACAACTGAGATGAAATAGACAGTTTAATTTTCAATAGAACTTCATATTTGATGCATAAGATGCAGGTTCAGTCATTCACAAGATCTATGAGAGTATATTTAAACTTTGGCTTATCCACCATTTAAGCTAAACGCCTTTCGAACAACCGGCCCCAGTGATATATAACAGCTATTCATCAAATTATTCCCGTATTACGTATTTTTATTGTTGCATGGTCTTGCAACAGTACAGCAAATAAAATGATCTCCTATAGTTTGGCAAGCGGAGTACATAAACCAGAGGATTGATAGCAAAATTGACATAGAATAATCCAAAAGATAATCCACTCAGCACTTGAGCACCTTGACTATCTGTGACCAAGTTTTCAAACATTTCGAAATGGTGATCTATCGTTGACGGCACGATGCAAACGACGGCAATACACGCTATGATAATAATTGTCCTCAAAAATTGTTTCTGTTTCAAAATTCTCGCCTGCTGTTGTCGATCGGGGATATTTTCCAGAGCCAAGTTCTTAGACTGCTTTTTCAACTTAGAATATGTAAGCCCGTACATCATGGTTGACAGTAAAATTGGAATAACCTCGAGGAAGTGGGATATGTATGTGTTCGTATCATGTCGTATGGAAAAGACCAATATTCTCATTTGAAGCAAACAAGAAAGAAGCCAAACACAAACCAACCATACGACTATTCTTCTTCTCTTCATCCACACTCGATGTTTCAAAGGATACGTAACCATTAAGAAGCGATCAAGTGAAATTGAGGCTATCGTATAAACAGATATGATGATTCCAGTATCCACGATGAGCTCTCTCGTTCTGAACCAACTTGTCGGAATGAAAAACAGGGTCGGAGCAATCAGACAGATGAGGAAGTCTGAGGCAGCCAAATTTGCCACAAGATATGTCCCCGAGTTCTTGAAGCATTTCAAAGGATCTTTGATGAAAGCAATAAAAAGGCATGCGTGTGAAATTACACCAAATCCGCAAACAACGGTAGACAATATACTGTTGTAACCCAAATTGAAGGCTGTAAAATTGTCGTCTGCCATATTCTTGAATATAAACGCCGTTGAATTTTGTTTCATAAAATATAGCAAACACACCTTTATTATAGTCTTTAATCAATAAAATTTGGAATTAATGCATTTTGTTTAATAAACATGCAGATGTATTGCATTTTAAAATCGTTATACTTTGCATGCAAACGACCCTTTAAAAGTCATTTTTAATGAAGGGATCCCGCGTTTGGGGAATGATAAATAATAATATATCTGTCTGTGATATAGCTACGATTTTGATAGGCATAATCTTTAGGCTATCACAAAATAAAGTTGCCAAAATTCAAAAAGCTCTGTTCGACAGAAGTCTTCATATATAGTTTGCAGAGTTGCAAGAGTACCACCCGAAAGAAGGTTTGCTTTGAATGAGGTTTGTGAAGAAGGTTCAAAGTTGAACACTCTAATTGAGCACATGCATGCACCACAAAACCAAATATCTCCTTATGCTGGTTGCCACTTGACTCAGTGACGTAACGTCATTTTGAGGACGGTTTTCAAAACTTGAAATCCTACCCGAGGAAGGTTGAACTCTTTTTGCAACTTTGATAGTTCGGATTCCTCGAAGGAACAAGATGAAAACATTTTCAACTCCCAAAAGTAATTTTATTATCGAGTTGCATTGCAGCCGTACAACAAATAAAATGTTTTTCTATACTTTGGCAAACGTAATACGTAAACCAGGGGATTGATAGCATAATTAAGGTAGAATATTTCAAAAAGAATTCCTTTCACAACATGCATGTGTATCCTTTTCATCCTCAAACAAGTTTTTGAACACACCGAGAGAGAAAAGTCCATCATGGAAGGCAAGATGCAAGCGACGGCAATACACGCTATGAGAATGATTGTCCTCATATCGTTTTTCTTTCAAAATTCGCGCCTGTTGCTGTCGATCGGAAATATTTTCCACAGCCAGATTTCTGGATTGCCTTTTCAAATTGTAGTAAGTCAACGCGTACATCACGCTTGAGAATAGAATTGGTGCAACCCTGAATAAAATAGTTGGTAGAGGCTGAAGGGTGTTGATGTTTCCCATCACTACAAACCCTGGAATAATTCCACAACAAAAAAGCCATAAATGTAAGCCAACCACGCGATTATAAAAACGCCGAAAAATGGCAAATACGACCTGGTCATATTGGCCGAAAAATGGCAAATACGACAATGGTCATATTCGCCGGAAAGTGGCAAATACGACCATGGTCATATTCGCCGAAAAATGGCAAATACGACCATGGTCGTGTTCGCCGGAAAATGGCAAATACGACCATGGTCATATTCGCCGGAAAATGGCAAATACGACCATGGTCATTTTCGCCGAAAAATGGCAAATACGACCATGGTCGTGTTCGCCGGAAAATGGCAAATACGACCATGGTCATATTCGCCGGAAAATGGCAAATACGACAATGATAACTCTCCTCGTCATGAAAA